AACCAGAAAAGAAGCAAGGATATCGCCCACATGGATCAGAAGTCCAGAATGATGAGAATCTTCCTTCCTTCCTTGATTGGAGCCTACCTGTCAGCAAAAGGTCCGACCAAGTCCGTACTCCGTGGCTCTCAGTTCCCTTTTTTTTTTTTTTTTTTTCTCTCCCTGGGATCATTTAGGTTACACGTTGGGCCAGTCTGCCACGTGCGGGAAAGTGAAACCCATTGGGTATGGTAGGTTCTGACCCCCCGCCGTGTCAGCGTTCTTAGCGGGTATTACCATTATCTTAGGGGGGTTATTACTCTGGTATGAAGTAAGATAGTAAGGTAGGTAAGATAGGTATGTACTAGGTATTGAAGAAAGGCGAAAACGAACCTGGTCCTGCGCCGTGAGTGGGCTGTTTAGTCTTTTGTTCGAAGAAGTGGGTCGGGGGCGGACTATATTCTGATATAATATTTTGAGATGAGTTTCCGGAGTTGATCGGTAAGTTGAGTTGTCATAAAGGGTTGATTGGAAGGTACTGTCCGATGAAGCGACGCGCGATGAAGTTTTCCGCAGGGGTGGGGAGATATTTCGTCTGAACGGGTTTCAATCTGGACTGTGGAACGAAATGGAAGATTGGATTTCAGGCCGAAGAATACATATCTTGGGAAAGAGTCGTGGCTTGGTTGGTGGCTCACTACATAATCAGGATTCTCATTGGGTATGCTATATATGTCTTCGCTATCTATAAATCTACTCTGTAGGTATGCGACATCTATATCGGTAACCCACCGCAAATAAACTTCAAGTTAAAATCAAGATAACAATAGATGTGAAAGTTAACCATAACTCTGCCTTGACAACGCTCCAGTTAGCCTTGCTGATAGAGTTTCTCTCCCGTGCGAGAGTTTAGATGTTAGAATCAATACCGGCTGTCGGTCGGACCCCTCCACGTTATCTGACTGCACACTCTACGAAGTGCATGAATTAAAAATAAAAAAACCTCCGGTCAGGAACTTGCCAAATCCACCGCCAAACAACCAGCCAAGCACGGGGTTTCCAGTACGGAAACGTCGGTCAGCGCCAAACCCGGATTGGATTTTTTCTGGACTCAAAAAACATGGTTCCTGATCGAGTTGGCAGGTGGATAAATCCCATGACATCAACGCCCGCATGGTGCTAAACCCGCACCAAAATAAAACAAATAAATAACAACAGAAAAAGGACACTAAAAAAACCTAAAAGGAAGCGGTGTAAAAATAAATGTGCTGCGCCTCGATCCGGTCATGGAGGCATTAGCGCACGAGGATCTTCCAATTGAAAGGACGGGAAGATCCGCGCTCTGACACGCGATAGGCTCGACAATTGTGGCTCATTCAAGAATGTGGCGCTAATTCCGTTCTCCTCACCGACTTACCTTCAGATTTTTTTGGTGGTTTTTTTTCCCTTTGCATGGGCCCGTAGTTATGCAGATACGCCGCACTGCATAGCGGCGGTAAAGTCCGTGCCATAAGTCTGTTCCTCTCCGTACCTACAGGATCGCTGATTTTCCTAACTCCGTAGGTAATTTTCTCGTCTATCTGATATTGGCTACGATTTGATCGCCCCGTCGGACAACAGCGTCTAGCCGGCGCTCCTTTCTGACCTAGCGTTTACTTCATTCCCGTATTCGGTAATCTATCTGGTTCTGAGTGTTTCGTGATTTCTCCCAAACCCGCGCTTGCATCCCAGTCTAACGCAAATGCGATGTACGTTGCGCTCTTGTGTGGTTAACAGAATAGCGCCCGAGCGATCCTTTCGGTCGGAATTGGTCGATTTTGATTGATGCCCACCACCTCATGTTGTGTCGTCTCGAGGTTATGCATGTAGCTCTGTCAGTGACACATGTCTGTGTGTTTCCTGGCGCGTCTTTTTTAGGTGAAGTCCGTGTTGCCCATTAATCCGATCTCCGATGTTCTTCCAATTTTATATTTTCATCTGATTTCAACTAGGCGAATCCTACCACGTCTTAGTAGCTACTTAGGTGCTGTGGTACGGAGTACCTAGTGTAGGAAGCCAAGTGCCTTCCGCAATATTTTCCTCTTTCGGTCTTTTAGTAGGGTAATGTAATCTTTCCTTCGTACTCGGGATACAACCTCACCATGGAACTACTCCGTAGGTTGCGTACACTGTGTAGGTACGGTAAGGTATGTCCTACGGAGTCAGTCACTCAGCCTTGCATGAGCCACAGTAGACTCAATCCATGGAGTTCGGTCGCGACAATCTGGTCCCGATGGCTTGAGGTTCCATGTTTTCATGTGTTGATTGGTGTTTACTCCGTAGTTATGTATGATGTACAAGATTACAGGGCTTCTGACTACCTAAGTTGTGTAATGAATAATCATCTCTATATTATGGGCTACATGTACTCCGTACATACGACTCCGCTGTACACACTAGGTATGTATGCTCGTCTTTCCGGGGACCAGAGCGATCAATCGGCCACCACCGATGCATCTACCGAATTTTCATCCGTCAATCCATCCGACAATGTACTTGTCTATCTGGAATACTCCTGATTATCGCAATATCCACCACACACCATGGAATGCCATCCTGGATATTTTCTAAGAAGTAAATGAAGGGTTCGCACGGAAAAATCTCAGAACAACTAGGTACTCAAAATTTACACAGACCCTTGACTAAACTGCCACAGTGATGATAATAAACAGGGTAGAATAAGATAAGTAGGGAGTACATCGGTGCGGCTCTTGAAAATAAGAACCAAAAAAAAATTCTTACAATTACAATCTTACATACGGATACTCCGTCCTGCTAAGTAGCAAATCTGTGAGTTCGTCCACATCGGGCAGGATGATTGTCCCCGTCGGGCGCCCTAAATGAGAATCGTCTTCCCGTCCGGTACCATCTGCCGTCCCTGATTGGAAGAAGCTCTTATGACGCTTCATTTCGCCTGTCAGGACATCTCCGCCAATCAAGCCCGGAGGAACCGCATGCACGTTTCTTGAAAGGGGGGGAAGATGTGTGGTCGGTGGGGCGGGCACCTTTTTCATTTTTTTTTCTTTTTCTTTCTTTTGCTAAGATCGTCAATGGACCCCATGCTGGGAAAAACTTGGGTGTAAGTTCGAAACTGGCGGCCTATCTACCTACCTACCTACCTTATAGAGTATCATGGAGTCGCGTTTGGCTAGGCTAGATCGGATGGATTTTAGACCGCTGCTAAGGGTCTTTTAGTCAGATTTTTTTTTTTTTTTTTTTTTTTTTTTTACTACGGAGTGGGAGTGTATGGCGTACTGAATTTTCCCTAGGATGGATAAACAGAAAATTTAAAAAAGAAAAAGTGAGAAATGATGTCGACGATCTGAACCGGATTGACGGGACGGAAGGATGATACAGGGTGGGATGTACGGGGGAAACCAAGACATTACGGAAGCGCTGCAATTTGCCAAGCGCCATGGTTAATATGCCTAATAATACCTTAAGGAGGGCCAGGAAGTTTGGACAGTCCACGGAGGAGATCGGTCGCCTTTGACGATCATTGATTTTATTCATCTTCATCACTGTGATTGAATGGGATTCTTCTGCATCGACTATTGGAATCCATGGCAGCAAGTTACGGAAGGACTAAGGTAGGAAAGGGATAGAAACAAAAGAAACAAAAAAAAAGATTGGAGTTGAGATTGCAATGAGCGCATCATTACTAGTCCCCAAACAGCCTTAGCAGGCCCATTCCAAATACTGTACACGCCTTAGTGACGCTCCCGTGCAGGTAAGCTGCTGCTTGCTTATGCAGTTTGAGAAAGATGAGCAAAAAAGCAGCCACTGCCAGCGGGAGATACAGATTACAGAGACAGGGAAAAAAAAAAAAATTTGCCACCATCTTATCAGCGAACAATGTGACAGAAAGCGGATCTGGAGACGCTCGACTGTTAGCCACTGCCACTGGCCTTGGAAAATTTGAGACTAATCGGCAAGGTTGGATCAATAGTCAATTGGGCTACTGACAGCCATGGTCAATGTGTCCCCGGACTTGCCGATGACACATGCGGATACGAGTGCCTGGAATGTAGGGACGGAGAACGGCGTCCCCGTATGTTTGACATTGGCTTTCGGTGGAGTTGTTATTAGAGTGTCTTATAGTTATAGAGCGTTCTTTGATTTGGGCGATTTATTGTGCTCTGACCGGATTCTCGACAAGCTTAGTGAGAGAAAAGATCATATCAAGGGAATTGAATATCTAGGAGTACCGAGTACGGTGTAATGAAACGAGACGTAAGCAGAGAGATTCTCTCGAATAAAACCAGATTGGAATAATCTTCATAAAGGAAAAAGAAAAAGAAAAAGAAAAATGCAGGAACCATGATTGAAAATTCTCATAGGTCCAAGCCCATCAGAGACAATTGTACTTTGTGGAGGCTTTGGCAAAGGGATTGGCCGAGGCCAAGTGGATCATTTAGTTTCTTTTTGGATTTCACTTTTTTTTACTTCCTCCCTTGAACGGACTTACGGAGTACATGTTTCTGGAGAATCCTGTAAATAGATCTCGGAGCATTAAAAATATCACCAACACTTGAACTCCCAGAGTTCCGAGTATACATGCCCAGACAGCCGGCCTGGGATGGCTGCAGGGCAGGCGCGAAATGCCAGCCAAAAGAAAAAGATATAAATATCCTCAACTGGGCAGCCGCGAGGAATAAATAGAAATTAATTAATTCCAATTAGGTAAGATGGGAAAGCGGGCTAAATGTAGAAAAATAGAAATCTGTCGAGAGAGAGGAGAGAACCCTCTGCTCGGCCGCCTGGCAGTGCCTCATGCAGGGTTAGTGTGGTATTTCGCATTCTTAGTTTTCTTACCAGCTAGTGTACTGTATCTAATAATAAGAATTTATTTATTTTTTCTAAAATAATATTGTTCAGTGTTCACTGCCTGCCCCTGCTTGCCCGACATTTTTTGCTCCACACTCCCCTGTTCGTTCCCTTTTTCCCTTCCCCCCCCCTCCATCATCATCATCGACGACATCATCCACACACCCACCCACCGCCCACCCCAGTCGTTTCGAGTCTGTCGACGCGCGCTAATGACTCTGTACCCCTGTACCCCTGCTGCGCATTTTCTACCCCCAGTAGTCTGGATGGCCATTCTTTAGCGTCGACTTAGTTCGTCCGTAGTGTTTAGTCAATCCCCGTCCACCGCGAATCCAGATGGGACACTGCGCTCATAGGGCCAGCAATCACATATCAATCCATTGCTCCCACTTCCTCTTCGCCCTCTTTCTTCTCTACTCCGTCTTTCGCACGCCTTGAATTCCCACTTGAGGCACGGGTCGGGCTTTTGCGAGTTATTTCATCGGAGAGAAAAAAAAAGAAGAGACCACCATTAAAGAAGACCCACGCACCTTTTTGTTTTTTTCCCTTTCTTAAATCTCTCAATTATTTCCGCATCGCATCGCATCTTATTGCTTTGCACGTTCCAAGTCCTATATCTTTCTCTTGCTTCTGTGCTCGATATATCTTCTCTTCTGTTTATCTTCGGCCTTGATCTGGTTGCTTAGCAGGCTCTCTCTCGTATACTCTTGTCATATTGTCTTGCTGTTAGGCACACGTTCTATACCCTTCTCCGTCCTGTTAGACATCTTGCTCTCGCCACGAGCTACCTTGGATATCCTCCGACGTCTTGTCGCTCCACGCCCCAGCCATTCTCGGTCCTGGAAGTATCCCCCGATCTAGTCGCAGAGAAAGTCCACTTGCATTTCCGATCATATTTATTTGGAAAACGAATCGTACCGAGTATGTCCTCCCGCGCGGCCCGTCCCTTGCGTGGAACCCGATCTCATTGCCTATATATCACTCAATTCTTCCGGAAAGAACTGATCTAGGGTGGCTGACATTGGATGAGCGTCTTGCAGATCTGTTGCCTTTTCTTCTTGCTTCTGTCTCTTGACATCAACCCTCGCATCGAGACCCCCACACACCATAGGGGTGCACAGCCAACCACTATTGGAAAAGTGGGCATGCAAAACGAAACAGATCACCTCGATTTTCTCCTGTACCCTGTGCAATCCACCGACAGCGCCAAAATGTTGGCCCTGGATTCGTCACGACAGCAGCAAAATCCCTACTTTCAACAACAGTTCACAATGGATCCTGCAATGATCGAACCCTTCGGGTTTCACGTGGACAGCCTGAACGGATTCGGCCAGGCCCCTACGTCGTCCGCGATCCCTCAGCCTTCGTCGTACTATGATACGCCCCCGGTATATGCCGAGTCTTTCCCCGAAACCCATAAACAGGCCGGCTTTCCTCCCATGCCCGCGACTCCCCCGTCCATCCCAACCTCGCGGATCTCCGAGCCTTATATGCCCGGCCTCTCCACCGCATCCGGCCCTTCAATTGCAAGTGCTTCGTCTTCCGCCATTGGCTCTCCCTACTCGGGCAATGCGCATGTCGTTCAAGAGAGCTGGATCGATACCAACCACGGCCTGGGACTTCCTGCTGCAGTCATGAACGATATCTTCCCCAACGACTACATGGGTACTACAGTGGACTCGGATGCATTCTATGCAAAGAAATATCCGGACACCTTTGTCGGTGAGTGTCCACATGACTTTCCTCCGACTTGGTCCATGGCAAGACCCCAAGCTAACAAAAGAAATTTCCACAGACCCTTCCTTGGTCCAGCCGATGCAGCAGCAGCAGCAGCAGCAACATCAGCAATCCCATCTCTCCCCCGGACTCTCCTATGCTGAGCAGCCTGATTTCTCCCTGGCTCAGACCGGATTCCTTCCCCAATCCCCTGACCCTTCTCAACTCGCAATCCCCGAAGCCTATGCTCCCATGTCGACTTCCTCCCCTTCTTTGATGCCTTCCCACTCGCGTCCCGTCTCCATCTACGATAGAAGGTCGTCTATCTCTTCCACCCAATCTCGCCGATCGCAACCCAGTCCCGCCGCCAGCAGCCCCGGCTTTGACGAAGATGGCAAGGAAAAAGACCGCTGCCCCCACCCTGACTGTGGTCGGATCTTCAAGGACCTCAAGGCTCACATGCTGACTCACCAGTCGGAGAGACCCGAGAAGTGTCCGATCGTTACTTGCGAATACCACGTGAAGGGGTTCGCACGTAAGTACGACAAGAACCGACACACCCTCACTCATTACAAGGGCACCATGGTCTGCGGCTTCTGTCCGGGGTCTGGATCCCCGGCAGAGAAAAGCTTCAACCGGGCAGACGTTTTCAAGCGTCATTTGACTTCCGTCCATGGGGTCGAGCAGACTCCCCCTAACTGCCGGAAGAGGAGCCCGACCAGCTCGGCCAACAAGAACGTCACTGGATATTGCCACGATGCCACTGGCAAGTGCTCCACCTGCTCGGCCACCTTTAGCAATGCACAGGACTTCTACGAGCATCTGGACGACTGTGTCCTCCGGGTGGTTCAACAGGAGGAGCCTAGCGAGGCCATCAACCAGCGGCGTCTGGCTGAGGTTGAGTCTGACGAGGAGGTGAAGAAGACCATGGAGAAGCACATGCTACTCGACACGGCTGGTTCCGTTGATCGATATGACGATGAGAATGATGATGACGATGATGACTATAACGACCTTTCATCCACTCTCCGCTCCACCAAGGGCTTCCCTAAAGCAGCCAAGGGGAATCCGGGTCCTGGGTCCCGCGCCATTCTGGGCAACAATGCCGTCAGCAAGCGTGCGACCGGATCAAAGCGACGGAATAACCGTGACCGTTACCCCCAGTCCTGGGGCTGCCCTAGCAGCAACATCAAAACCAAGAAGCGTGTGTTGTGTGTCTTTGATGGCCAACGCCGTCTCTGGAAGGATGAGATGATGCTTGACAACGAATTTGAAGTTCGACTCAAGCTTCCCGGTGGTGCGGGAGATGGTACCAACCGAGAGGCATACATTACCGATCTGGACGTTGAGACCCTCAAGCGTGCCGAAGGTGTGCTGAGCGCCAACGAGGAGGAACGTGGCCCTTGGTTGGATGGCCCTTCCACTCACCTTATCGGCCAACCGGCCATGATCCTGCCGGATCTATCCCAGTCTCGCGAGGTTGATGTGGACATTGAAGAGCTGATGTCTTAAGACTCTGTCCTTTTGCTTTCTTGACGAACCCGTCGTTCTACATGTGTGGCATGATAGCGTTTTTACTTACTCTGTTTGCGTCGTACCTTGATACCAATACCTTGTTCTCTATATCCCTTACTTGGTTCTGTGTGATATTTTTCTTTTTTTCTGGGTTCTTTATGTATGTGGTGTTGTATCTTTACTTTCTTTCTCCTGTTCCTTAAGGGCTGTGCCATTTGGAGTTCAGGCAACAAAAAAGTTGGAAAGGAGCATTATGAACGGAGAATTATGGGCCTTGATGACAACCATTCTAATTCACATGAAACTTTTTCTTCTTAAACTTCATCCTACTTTCCTTTGTAGAGAACCACTGTAAGCTTAGAATCGTAACACTGGGGCTCGAGCCAAACGGGTTTAGTGTGAAACTCGGAGCCGCTCACATGTCCGCCTCTCCCCCCGCATTCCGCCTTCCTCTCCCGCAAGTCAGTTCCAACTTCCCTTTCCACTTGTTCTTCTTCCCGTTGCTGGACTAATACAACATGCAATTGGGCCTTTCCGAGCATCTGTCAGCCCTGGTGGCTCGGCGGTTTGTAGCTGCCAAAGATGCGGGTCACCTACTATTCTCCCAAACTCAACTTACTACCGTTAGCGCTTCGGGGGTTCCGGTACCGTGCTCTTGCTTTCCTACTTTATATCCGTGGCCAAAATTGCTGACTATAGCTGTTCGGGTACTTCAAGTTTCAACTCCGATATTGCCCTGCCCTTGCGAAGAAACCCAACGCGAATCCCAAGTCCGACAAAGCGCCCCCGGGACCAAAACCAGACCCCTTCGAGAACCCGTCGTCCGAACTCCTGATCGCTCAAATCCCCAGAGAGAACCCGTCCCATTTCCTCGTGTTGAACAAATTCCCCGTCATTCCCAACCACTTCATCCTCGCCACGACGTCGTGGAAGTCGCAAACGGACATTCTAGAAAAGGACGACTTGGAGGCCGCGTATGCCTGTGTTAAGGAATGGGGGTCACAAGCAGACGGCACGGAGTCCAAGCGACTGTTCGCCTTCTTTAACTCCGGAGACGAAAGCGGTGCCAGTCAACCCCATCGACATCTGCAGTTTCTACCGGTCGAGGCCATGGCGCAGGGCGGCGACTCGGGTAGTTGGCAGCCTTTGATTGATGTCGTGTCATCGCAACCTTCTTCCCCGTCGAGCTCGGGCTCCGAGATTCGGTGTTTGAGCCATTTCCCGTTCGCGCATTTTGCCCTGCCGTTGCCGTCGAATCCTTCTGCCGATACACTCCACGCTACTTACCTTTCTCTCTACCGCACCGCTTTGGCAACTGCTAAGGGGAAATCGGGCGGTCACGACGCTCAGGCAAGCAGTGGTCCGGCGGCGATCAGTTATAATCTGGCCATGACGGAATCGGTGATGATGATCTGTCCCCGGAGGAATGAAAGTAGTCGAATCCCTGTCGATCCTGCCGTGTCCCAGGATATCGCCGAGGCTGGGATCGTTGCTCTGAACGGCACAGTACTCGGCGGTACCCTCATGGTGAAGGCCGAAGCCGAATGGGATCTATTACGTCGCAACCCAGAGGCCCTGGCCAACGTATTGTCCGAAATCGGCTACCCCCAGCCGGACCTGCGTGAACTTTCCCTGTTATGAGAACTGCTGCAACTGAGGGAAGGGGCTGCGAGAGATGCAAGCCCATCTTAAGACGTACAGTTCCTACAATGGAAACCGATAAGTATATACTGCGGCTCATTTGAGAAGGCATATTTCACTGTTATGATCATTATGGTAACTTTACTGCCATGGCAGAGGAAATAGATATGAGAAATGCCCAGGAACTCTTGTCTTCTCCCTTTCTTGTCTTTTTTGTCTATTTTTCGAGCGGTTTTATATTAGTCTATTCTTTTCGCGGAGCATATAACTGCATATAAACTACACAGCATGAACCGCTCTTTTGCGGCACCAATCACCAAGCGGGACATCTTACCATTAAATTATGTCGACACGGTTCCTTTTAACATGAATACTCCGAAAGATTCATAGAAGATAAAAGCCCTTCTGAACTAGAGTTGTTTTCGCCCAGGTTTGTCATTCCACGAACCATTAACAACACCCTTATTGAGTCTAGCTGGATATTGCCAAAAAGCCGGCATCGACCCAAAATGAAAGACTTTTATGAGACCAATGAAACGAAATGAATTAGGAAACCATGACCAGGAATTTCATCCATCAATAACTCATTCAACACATACAGCAACAAGCGGTCAAACCATCACGTCATGAACTTCACACCATTTCTTCTTGCAGGTCGCATACCCGAAATGATACGAGCCGCCATGCGCCCGGATATATTGAGCCACTCTTTTCCAGGAAACTTTGGGCGATTCTGCGGTCACGCTGGGTCGACGACTAGAGCTGCGTGCATGGTGGCAGGCCCTGCCGGTTTCCGAACAGGCGTTTACGGCTTCACAGAGCAGTTTTACCTGTTTGGACGTTAGCGCCTGATGTCTGCCCGGGGTGCGAGGGAGAGTGGGTTTCTTTCAAAATCTGGGAGGAAGAGAGAATGAGGGGAGCTTACATCCTTATCATGCCAATGTGGTTTTCTAACCCGCTGGTCTTTCGTCTTGGTAAGGGTCCGGAACCTACCGCGCAGCGTCGACTCTGCTTCCTTGAACCCGCCGAGCCGTTTGATATCCTTGTATGATAGTCCGCGACGCTTACACTCTATTAAGAAGGCGTTTCGGGTCTCGCCAGGGCAGTTGAACGTTCTTTTCCCCAGTAACTGCGGACGGAGGTGGGTTGTCTCGACCGGGAACCGCGGATGTGGACGTGTGAGTTGATCCAGTCGGAACAGACTCTCTCGATATGCGAATATGTCTGCGGGGACGAAGAGCGGCTCGTGGTCTCTGTTTAACGGCATTGGATTTCGCGTGCTTGCTAGGTCGGTGTATTCGTGTCGCCAGGGGTTCAGGTTCATGTTTATGTTCATGGGTACTGGGGGCGGGAGGTAAGGGTGGCTATGGCTTTCATTATAACTGTTTAATAGTGCCAGGCCGTTCAGGCCGTGGAAGTCATTGGCTGTCGTGGCTGTCGGGTCGTACCCAGCGTTGATATGATCATAATGGTCATTGGGCGTGAAGAGCTCTGGGTCATCAGAGCAAAGGGTTTCATTGTGGTTGATGAGAGCCTGCTGCTGCTGCGGCTGCTGCATGCTAGGATTGGCCTCGTAGCCAAGGGACGACCACGATAGCGAGGAATCGGGGCTGCATGTGTCATTCATTGAGGCGAGGCTGGTGTCGACGAATGTGTCTATCGGCCTTCCTGGGGAGAGCTCATTGAACAACGGCGCGGTTTCCACGTCGTCTATCGTCCACTCTGGCCTGCGAATGACGCTGTCGTCGAACAAGCACTCGTTCGACGCTTCGGGTGATGTGAAAAGCGACGTTGAGTCGAACTCCAGCTTAGCATCCGCAAAAGCATCAGGGAACATTGCCATGTTCCTACTGGCGATAAAGAGACTGGCTGGTCTGGGGACAGGATGAAATAGACCAACGGTGGGATCATTGGGGTCAAAGCTCTCTTCTCCTTTGATTGACACGTCTGGCTCGGCAGAGGCTATCGCCGGGGGGTCGTATGGATGGTACTCGGAGGTGAAACTTTGGTTTTGGTTCACGCTGTGAACCGACGGACTTGTGCCTCTTAGGGCTGAGGGACTTTGAGTGCCACGATGAGGCTGAAAGTCGTCATCCTGGCAGTCCAGAGAAGGCAGTGGAGGATAGCATTCTTGGATGTCTTTTTCCATGACATCACCCTGCGACGTTGGGGCTCGAATTGGCACGACGATATCGTGCGCGGGGGACGTGTCTGGGTTTTCCAACTGTGGCTTTGGGGAATCGTCACGGGTGGTATTTCGAGGAGGGGATGGAGATGCAGGTGCAGGTGCAAATGCAGATGCAGATGCGGCTCTTTCGTCGCAGACATCATCAGAGCGGAGGACATCGCCTTGAGTCTCGGAGGGTCGATCAACCGCAGCCATATCTGAAGAGCGACTGCCGTGCTTATCGAGAATAGTTTTCGATTGCGCACGACAACTACCAGGCTCGATGAGGACGCAGCGCATGGTCCTTAAATCAGAACAAGGTCGCTCGCTCGCTCGTGCCCCGTCCGTGTCTTGATCTAGATTTCTCGTTCACACCGCTACTATGATCAAAAGTGTGTCAGTTGTGCTCGGTGTAGGCCCGGTCATTTAGGCTTTTCGGGATCCTGGATCATGCACGTTGTTGGGCTTGACACAGGGCGCCTGCAGTCCACTCAGTATATGAGAAGGTCTCACTTGGAGGTGGTCGATCCCGCTTACTGACTGTCTGACTCACCTGGATGTTTCTTTTCCTTTTCTTTTTTCCGGTCTAAGCTGGAGAAGGTGGGAGTCTCAAGGTGAAGAGCCTGTCGGATTTGATTTCGCAAAGCTCGCAGTTGTATCAACCCGTATGGATGCGTCGCAGATTCAAGACCTTCTTGCGGTGGAGGCGAGACCAGAGGACGACAACAAAGAACGAGAAGGAAGATAGAAGAATCCTTCGTGGAAGAAACAAAAATGATCGGAGACAAATAATCCAAGACAGCGAGAGACACTGAAGTGATATTTTCTAGCGGTCTGGATGTCTTGTCTCTATCGTCGGAGTCAGCCTGTCTGGTCCTCTTCTTCTGTTGGGCACGATCTGCCTTTGCCAAAGCCATACGCCACAGGCAGATGAGCGCCCCAATGTCTCACACGCTTTCACTCACCTTCTCAAGACAGAAAAGTCGTTATGATTCGAGAGGTAGCTGAACAGGCTTCTCGGGGAATGCTCTGGTGCGGATTCTCCCCGTGTTCGAGGTCCTCTCGTATCTTGCAATTGGGTCTGATGCAGTGAAGGGAGTTGGTATAGTTGGAACAGTTTCAGAAACGAATAAAGGAACAAGACAGAAAACGAGATAAGCGGAGGGCACAAGACGGTGGCGGAGTAAGATCAATTCTACTCTAGCAAGCTGATACTCTGGATGTGCTCAGCATATGAGTTTCCAATGCCCCCCCAACTTTCGACAGGAAAATCCCCTTTCTTTTAAGGACATGAACATTGCGCAGTTGTGAATCTCACGCCTTACCCCTGCAGCCCCAACTGTGATTATTTTATTTTCCTTTCTAATTTTGATTTCATGTTTATTATTGATCACAAAACACCAGGATCCCTCTATCCATCCCATCCCGCACTAACGGGAACAGATTCCTTGTCTCTGCCGTACAAAGCGATATTGTTTTCCCTAGCTTACCACCCCTGGGAGCGCCATATTGGATACATCTGAAGAGTCTCTTCTCTTCTTCCCGTAAAAATCTAGACTAAACTAGCATGAGTGGTTGGGTGGTTGTGATTCCCGATTCTAGACGTCGCCTAATCCACTACCTTATCTCTGTCCGCAACGTCCGTTGAAGATCACTTGACGAGTCTCAAATGCTACATAGGTAAGTCCCTTTCCCCTGCCTTGTCAACGTTCCCGATATCCAATCGTATCGCTCTCGGACCTTTTCCCGGGGTGTCAAAGCAAGGGAAGGAACAGATGGATTGGGAGAACGTGACATGACAGACATCCCCGGCCGGCCGGCCCTACGTCGAAGTTGGAGAGATGAGGGATGGCAGAGCAGTTCATATCTTCTGCTTCTTCTCTGCCGTCGAAATAGTAACATGGGTAAATCGAAAATCGAAACCAAGGAAGCCGGAGGGTTGGATAATTATGTGCGTAGGCAAAAAAAAAGCACCTTCCACTAACAACTCATCCCTCCCTTCCCAACCACCCCTCCGAAAGATAAAAAAAAAAAAAAAAAAAAAAAAAAAAAACCTGCCAAAAGCCTGCCTAAGCCTCTGCCAGCGCCGTGTCTGTAACCATCTCCTCTGAGTGGTGGGCGTGGAGTTGAGAAGGATGGGAGGAGACGGGTAGCCACATAGGGCTTTGTTCGCTGTACTCACCTCTCTTTCGCTCGCCTCCCTCCCATCATCCCTCCCGCACAGAGGATGACAGTGGGTTGTTTTGTCTGACGAGTTGTCCCACTTCTTTTCTGTCTTGCTATGGCTCTGGCTCTGGCTCTGGCTCTGGTTCTGGTTCTGAAATGTGGAAAACAGGGCGGAGAGGGTGGAAACGTTTAATTGTTGTCGGAGAATTAGGGTTGCGTTCGTTTATGTGGCGTTTATCTAGGTAGGCTCTAAGTACCTTTTCCCGTCTTGTCTGGCTGTCTATCTATCTATCTCGTTAAAGTTACTAGATCTTATTTTTTTTTTCTCCTGAAATATTATTTGTTTTATTCGTCTTGATTTGATTTATATCTTTTTACAAGTATTTTTCTCCTTTTTAGACGGATTGGTCGGACTGCAGGACTGCGCCGGGTTGCATGTCAGTTTCTCTTTCGTCTTTTAGCTTATCTCTTTGGTTTATTCTCCCCCCTGCACTCGTTTTCTTCACTCGAGGGGATGGAGGGGCTGGGGCTGGGATGGGGTACTAATGCTACACTGCCTGTCTCTACAGGAAAAGTCCAAAAAGAAAAATGTATAGTCAACCGGATAAGCAAAGTAAAACATCCTCAGTGCAAGAATGTAAACCACAGTACCGAAAAGCAGACAATATTCAAATAGACTACAAAAAAAAAGCAAAGAAAAACGAAGAATTTAGGTTGTTCCCGTCCGTGGGGGAATGTATGCTTGGTAGATCCTCTAACTGCTTTTTCTTTTTTCCTTTATGATTGATCAACTTGTCTCCTCTTTCTAATCCCGTTTGGTTTTAGTTTACTTTTACTTCACCGTGGTCTTTATATTGATTTCCCTGGTATATGATAACGGTAGTATGGGTCACAATGCCCTTGATTAGATAGAAAGACAGACAGATCAATAGGATAGTCTTGTTCCCTCTATAGTCCCGAGTCACAATGTCTAATCAGTCAGTGTTGAGCCTCAACGTAGGAATGAATTTCTCGGAACAAGTGAAACGGAACTATCGAGTATTGTTTGCTGATGACGTAGAATTGAATAGCGTCTTGTACTCCCCCTGGTTTTCTGATAGGTAGAGAAGTGTCCGTGGATGATCTGGAGCAGTTCCGGCCGCGGCGGCTGAAAGTTCAAGGATATTAGAGTTTGCAGAAAGACGTTGGCAAGTTGAAATAAGAAATAAATGAATAAAAAATTAGAAAACAGAATTAAAATAAACTACGATGAAACAGACAACAACAATACAAACCTACTCTGCCACGCCTTCCCGCAAGCTATGTGAATGACACATTGAATCGGATATTCGAGAAATGTTCTGTGCTTAAAATGAAAAATGATAGTATTTCCTACCTACCAATCTCCCATGCAAACCCCCACCAGGTAACTACGGTACTACTGTCCTATCTGTACGTATGCGTTGTTCTCTTCTCTCGTATCTCTTTCATCTTCCCCGCATAGGTATCACCATCCAACCCCTCTCCCCTGTCCTGTCCTCTTAGTCTTATCCTCAGTCCTCTCCATGCATGCATGTCCACCCCGGATCAGCGGATCAGGAGGGGGAGGGTACGAATGAGAAAGTACGGCGCATGCAGTAGGCAGTGGGCAGGGCAAAAAGGCATCCTCATCCGGACAGACCGGACCTGACTGGCCGGCTTCCTAGCACGGGGTTGGCAAAAGACGTATATGGGTGTGGCTGTGGCTGCGAGTCGAGGTGTGTGTGGAACATCGAGTAAGGCATCCCGGACCCGGCCTGGGACTTTTGCTTTTCGGCGCATTGCTCCCGTCTGGTTTCGTTGCTTTTCTTCTAGTCGGGCCTGGGCTGATTTGGGGATGGATGGGAGGGAACCTAAGGGGACCTACTACCTGAGTGCGGACCTGAACAAGTGTGGGTGGATGGACGGACGGATGGATGGGATGGTACGGGGATGGAGAAGGAGAAAACAAATTGAAAATGGCATTTCAAAATGAAAAGGATGGGAGGAGGACGTGAAGGGAAAGGTGGGTGTGACGGTGCTGCTGTGCTCGTGTCAGCTGGTAGGTTAGGGCTGTGGTTGTTCTGCCCTACCTGATTGACCTTTGCCTTGTACACGAATTACCAGTTACTTGGTGATGGAATATTGATTGCTGCTATTATTTCTCCTTTTCTGGGTCTTTTTGATCCATCTCTTTTCGAACTGTGTGTTCCAACTTCTTTCTGCCTGGTACGATGGCCCGCTGTCATTCATGTCTGTTCCCGAGCATTGCCTGGGTATCCGGTTTGTCGACGCTGGTTGTCCGGAAAAATAAAAAATAAATCAGAAAACCCACAGAAGCATTGATTGATTACAAAGATGAAGAAATCAAGTGCTTTGGATCAGCCGTTTTCGATTTGTATCATCTATCTTTCCCGATTCAATCCCGCATAACATCACGTTTCGCCCTTTCCACGAAATTGAAATCAAGGAGTAAGTAAGAGCAGCTCAATTCGTTACTAGTCGTAAGCACAGGTCCCAACGTATCGTGTCTCCGTGCATGCTGGGACCCTTCGAGGCTTGTCGGAAGAGGAGTCCAAAGCCCACCCTGTCAACCCAAACCGGAAGACGCTGCCGATTGGGGCGTGTCTCCATGCTCATGCAATGCAATGCCCCTATTGCTGCCGTCGTCAACTTTTCCACCTAAAGCCAGTGGATCTTGCTTCTCATCCATGGATCCGCAATACGCATGGGCGATGACCACTCCGGGATTGGTATCCAATACTGTCACGTCGCTTTCCTGCGTCCGGCGGAATTCTGCTGCGCCTCCATAGTGATCCAAAAGTCGGTCAACTAGAAGAACTATTTTCCACATCGTCAATCCAATCAGAAAATGTGGTCCATCGGATAGTAACAAGCGGTGTTCCAGAACAGGAAAACAAACTTACCCGTCAGCAAGGTGAAGGTAAATGCGTAAAGGATCGCCGGAGACGTCATGAATGAATACACCAGTGAGAAGTCTCGGACGAAAGATACCAGACTGGCCAAGAACACCCCCAGGAGGACCCGAACCGTTGCTCCAATGCCAATGTGGAAGCGGCCCTGGTGGTGGCGGCGCGCTAGCAGCAGGAATGCGGCGAAAAGAAACATCACGAGTGATGCAACGATAAAGAAGTACACATAGACGAATCCTAAGACCTCCACATACGTTCTCAGAAGCTGGGGCCCACTGAGGTGGTTGAATTTTGGGCCTTCCGAGGGCACAATGCCCATACTAGAGAATAGAGCAGCTGTTACGTTTCCGACCAAGGCACCCATGCGATTGCGAGTTACGTGATACCTGGCGGCCTCGCCCACGCCCACGGGACATAAGGGATGGTTGGGCAGATCTTCTAGGATGTCGGAAATTGCCATTTTGGCCTTGATCGAGCCGCGACTATAGTTGATTTCCATATCAGCAATGGTGGTCCGAAGGAGGTGGATGGCAATGTCGGGTTGTGGGCGTGGCTCTTCACAGGCAAACATGATAGTTTCCAGAAGATAGGTCAATTTCAAAGAGATGTCTAGTGTCAGAGCTAGAATTTGTGATCCCTCAAGCAGGAGAATAAGAGCCACGTGGAACGGAAAATGCAACTGGGCCCAGATCTGCTGTGCGTATTTTCCAAGCGTGCATCGTGGGGAAAGGTCATAGTATGCCTGCCACAGAAGATACTAAGACAAACCGGTTAATCAGCATATTTAATACTGGCGAACAGTATCTTTGGCAATGTACCGCGGGATCAGAAAAATGATAGAGAGGAAAGGAAGAAAAGGCACACACCACATTGGTTGTAACACCCAAGATATGCACAAACGACCATTTGGTCCAGCCTCCTGGCCGCACCGTTTTGTTGACAATCCTTGTAATCGATATGACACCCTCGCCTATGATGATCAGCGTGAGAAGCCCCATTCGAACATTCAGGTGAGTGTCTTGAAGCCCAATCCCTGGGGTAACACAGGAGACCCCCATGACAACCCACATTTCCAGGCCGAACAAAGCAAACCAAACTGTCCATATATAGGGGTGGACACCGAGTTGCGCCTTGAACGTGAAAAACATCTAAGAATTGAGTCAGAGGTTGTCGAGAGTAGTTTCTACAGCTGCGCCTTAACAGACAAGGAGACAAGCGATGATGGCCTTTACTCACCCCAAGATAGACCAAGCTGGTGATAAACAACGTCGTAGCGATGAGGAAGACCCCCCTAGCAGCATGTCTCATGTGCTGGCGGACGAAAAGGATGTTGACGGTGTATTGGAGAGCCAGTAAGATTCGACTCCCACCCAAAAGCAGGCTCAATGACTGGAAAGCCCAAACGTTCTCATCCCGAACGTGCGTGGTAAACCGCGTGCCCGCAGATGCAAAGCCAACCATTGCAGCCAATTGCACAGCCTTGCAAAATCGTTCAAAGACCGAGTCTCGAGCAAATCGCACGTCATATAGTGTCACCTGAAGCCAGGTAAACCAGATTACCCCGAGAAAGCCTGTGTATGCTCCTAAAGCTGGAAACATTAAGTCAACAGTCGCCCTGATGGAGCTTGGGGCGTATTACAACACCTTCTACATTGTGGATCTCATGTGTAGCCGTGAAAGTAGACAGATTCGCCACGAAGAAGAGGTCAAAGAACAGTTCTATCGGAGTTGCATCCGCATGCCGGTTGAGACGTGCAGAAGCCCCATCAATGGGCGTTTCAATGAAGGGAATGCTGCCTCTCTTCCTTCACAGAGCGTTTGGGTTAGTAAAACACTGGGAAAGACAGAGGAAAGATTGTGTGTTCTTGACTCACAATGCAGAATCCCCAACAGGTAATGCCCTACGTATTGGCTGACGAAAAGAGAAAAAGGGTGCTCGCGCCATGGTGAGATATATCGAATTGCAAAAAGGCAATTGAAAAGAGTCTTTGGTGAAATCGGCATCATACCATCATGATTTGGATCTGCCGTGGAAACGGAAAGAGCGACAGACGCTCTTTCTGTTGACGTATAAGGCACTGCAAGGGATTCTGAACACCTTCATTAATTAACGTCTGGTCAGAGAGTGACGATAGCCTTCCCTGAGCACCTCCTATGGGATATCAGGGACGTGCAGTAATAAGAGATATCTATAATACATGACAAATTGACCAAATAATTAAGTGCATGTGCTCCGTTGCCTCTTTCACGCAATTATACAACAGGGTCCTAGAGAGCATTTCCTGTAGATGCAGCGGTTCGTTGGCCGATGACTGTGACCCTACGTATGGCTGGGTGGCCGGGGAATTTCACCCGGTGAGCTGGCCACAGGGGGTTTTCGGTGAGCGGGTCACCAGTGTGTTCGTGGCTTGCATCTGGAAAGAAGATAGATGTGCGGATTTATAGACATAGGGATGATATGAGGTGCCTGTATTCAGCGCGTGCAGACCTTCGCGTGGAACTCTGGAAGCTGTAGGAGGGCAGCGAAGTCCCGGGGTCCGAGAGAGCCCAGATAAGCAAGCGCCTCGGAGGGGGCCAGACTGGTCGCTTGGGCCAGCGGGCAAAGTAGCACTGGGCGTGTCTGCAGAGAGCTATGTGCTCTGGCGATTTGCTGCAGCCGCAGCTGCAGAAAGGTCCGATGATGGCAATGGTCATGAATCGTTTTCTGAATTCGGCGTTGACTCTTTCATAGGACTGCCGAAGCTCTCTAGTCCTCGCTCATTCTGGACATCACCAGCAGCGGTCCCGTCTTCGATGGCTTTAGGAGCTTGACCAGCCTCTTGTTTGAGCTTCTCATAATTGTCACCCGCCTCTTTGATCAAGGCTTGGATCTCTACTTCGCGCACAGCGATGTCGGCTTTCTCCTTTCTCAGCTCCTCCATCCGAGCGATCATCTGAGTCTTTGACTGTTCCATAACAGCTAGGTTGATGCGAAGACGATCTAGACAGGTTGACAGTCGGGGGATCGAGGTCATCTTGGGAGGCGTCTTCGGTCGCTCCATGGGATCGCGGCCACTCTTGCCCATTGCAGCTCTTGTTTGAGTCGCTTCATAAGCAGCCCTGTCTTCGATGTCGGAGTCGTCTTCATCTGACGATCCCTCCGCATCGTCGATGAGTTCTTTCATCTGTTCGCGTTGTTTTCGCTTCTGTTCGCGCTCGGCCTTTTTCCCAAGTGATATCCGACCGTCCTCCACAAACTCGTCGAAGCCTTCGGCAAAATCTTCATCGTCCCTGATGAGCCTCGTATCTTTGTGACTGTCCCGAGCGCCGTCTTCCCAATCAATATCACCCGCGTTGTCTTCAAGCGAGATATAATCTTGTTCGGTAACGGTGGCACCATGCTCTTTCGCTAACCGCGCTCTTCTAGCTTTCTTTTCTCTGATTTCCGCTTCGCTTGGGATAGCGGCAGGCGCGGACACCTTCACTACTTCGCCGAACTTCGCAGCAACATCGACCGTCCTTTCCTTCTCTTCGTCGGTCGCGGGGGTTTTCGGTGTCGAGGGCGTCGAATCTCGGAGTTCTTTCAGGTAGTCATTGTTGTAACTGGGTCGATCTTGTTCGGGGCCGACTCGTAAGGGAATGTTTCTACCCGATCCTGACTGGGACGTCGTGTTCTCGAGCGCTCGTCTTCCCAAGCCAGGTCGTTTGGGCACTACAACTTCGCTTTCCTGTCCCTCATCATCGGCCATAGAGGTTTCGCCAGGGCCGAACGAAAGGCGTAGTTTTGATTTTTGTTTCACTTTGGAGTTAACGGGTCTCTTGACGACGGGTCCAGTATCTGATAATGCACTTGTTGTTAGATATTTCGGTCTATTGCCACTCAGGCAGCGAAAGTGACTTGAATTTGTATAGAACAACCCACCTTGTTCACCTCCTTCATCTTCATCATCCCCGCCAATCTTGCGCGGCTTTTTCCGATTGGCAAATTTAGTGCTCATATTTGATGTCCTTTCGTAAAACTCCGGTGCTGATTTTCCCCTCGTTGCGCAATCGCAAGAAGTAGTCGATTCACTCGGCCGCGAGTTTGAAGCTCCGCAAGACGCCCGCCGCAAAGCTCCCGGGAACAACGTTCCTCCGAGGCCAGCTTATCCCACGGCGACCCATCTCAAAAGTTCCGCCGCGCGACTGCTCTCGACCATCCACGGAGGGAAAGTTTACACCAAACTGGCCAGCCAAGATGCCTCAAGCTCAGCCGGAATTGAAAAAAGTAAGTGTTCTGTTTATTTCTCGTTCGGTTCCATTCTTTTGGCGACTGTTCTGGTCACTGACGACGCTTAACTCCCCCACAGTACATGGAAAAGCGGATCTTTTGCCAATTGAACGGCAACCGCAAAGTCATTGGTATTCTGCGAGGTTACGATGTACGTCTTTTTATCCTCTTCGAGTTCCTACGATCCTGGAGCTTTGTCGTTTGCGCTTTCATCTCGTCTCGTCTTGTCAATGCCCGGGAAGTCGTGCGCCGACGGCACATGCGAGCGAATGTTCTAGGCTATTTCATATCCCCGGGGAAAGGCTAAAGGCTGACATGGTTGCGTACGTTGCAGGTATTCATGAATATTGTTCTCGACGAGGCTTTTGAAGAGAAGCCCGGCGGTGAGAAGGTCGCTGCTGGCATGGTGGTAAGTGATATCATATCGGCTTTGGAAGCTTGGTTCCTCGAATGTGTCGCTAATCAGGTCTCCCTGTTTCTAGGTCATCCGCGGTAACTCTGTTGTCATGCTTGAGGTGAGTCAACTTTCAACCCGGGGTTGCGCGCTTAACAGATCTTGCAGGTAGCTAACGCGATTCATCACTCTAGGCTTTGGAACGGATAAGCGAGAAATAATCGGACGTCCGTCGATTTCGAGATGCGCCTCGCTGCCGGGATGGATAGGGGGGTGATTGTGTTTTTTAAATAAAGTACTGGAGTTTTAAGGATCGGTTGTCGCTTTTCATGGTCTGGTAGAAGAAATACCAATTTCGGTCTCCTCGCATCCTTTGTCTACGAAGAAAGAAAAATGATACTACCATTACTGGAGGGATCTGATATTACGGGGGCTTTCCTTTGGTCTGTTTGTCTTGTTCGAAGAAATTATTTCCTTGATAGACTATCTGATGATTTCATTGCTATGCAAGACATCGACATTCATGACAAAATCAAATCCGGTATGGCATCAAACGAACCGGGTAAAGAAGCCGGCTTGGGGTTTTGAGAAGTAGAAGACAATAAAATCAATACCACCATCGCGCCATGAAATTTCCCTTGCCAACCTCCCTCCAAGGTTTTAAGAAAGAAAATAGAAGGAAAATAGAAAGAGAATAGAAGTATAAGTTACATGAATGAAGTAGGAACTCCTAGGCGTATTAATAGGACCCTATTTGGGCTTTTGACCAAACTTCAGCTTTAATTTGAACCCCCCACCAGGCGTAGATGGCGTAGATGGCGTAGCCGGGTTTCGAGGTGCCGCTTGGGGCGCCGGGGAGGAAAGTTTGGGGATATGTAATTTGGGAGTTGGCTGCGGTGCCGGGGTCGAAGGTTGGGACGCCGACACCTTTTGGCCGGCCTTCGACTGCTTGAATGTGATACGAGGTCCAGGGGGTGGCATCCCCGGCTCTTCTCGTTTGCGCTTCGTGGGAGCTGTAGATGAATCCTTGGACGGGGTAAGAGTCGTGCGAACACGACTGGATCGGAAAAAGTGCATTCGACCCTGCAACGTGTGAGCAATATGGTATCAAGAGCCATACTAGGGTTAGGGATCATACCTTGCCGAGGTGTTTCACCTTCCAATATCGTGGATACTTCAGAGAGACCATCACTGAGGTGATTGGGTTGTAAATAATTCGGCAGAGATCTGCGAACTCGGAAAGCTCTAAGATCCCAATACAAGGGGAGTTGCACGCAGACCACAGAGCTTCTTTGAGAACCTGTTCCCCAGATACTTCGAGTTTGAGTGCCTCCATAGCGCCAGGGACGGTTTGTTTTCGTGCCAAAGTCGCCTGACGGACTTCGGTTGACGACTCCTGTTCAATGATGAGACCATCGCCGGAGGTTGGCGCCTGAGTGTCTGATTCACGGCCGAAAGCAACAGGAGCAAGAGCCGTGCCAAACAAACTATGGAGCCGTCGTCGAAGCCAGGTAGAAGAATCGTTGGACATGGTGAAGATGAACCACTTCAGAAGTTCCGGGTTTTTGAACAAATCCAGTTCCACCAGGCACTCGAACGCATCCAAGCGAAGGAGGTCGTATGTGCCAGCCCGTGTGTAAGGTAGGAATTGCATAACATCCATCTCAACTATGTTGGCTTGCATAAGCTGCATTTGACATCGTAGGGCTGCACGTGAATAGACGTTCTGAAACGAGCTTGACCACTCATCCATTCGCCTATACCGGTCGATCTCGGCCAAAGCATCTTTTTCTAATTGCTCTTCTGCTTGCAGCTCGAGCATTCGTTCCATATCGAAGTCGTCCATCTCAACGGGCGCCGACTCGACTTTGCCAAGCATAGCGTGACACAGCGACTCCATGAGCATCGCAACGTAGAAATTATCCGAGTACTATAAGAAGAGTGAGCAACACCTTAACCACAAACACAGGAACATGGATGCGCACCTCATTATTAGAGTTGTCATTGAACTTTAGCTTGTCATGCAAAAACCGCTTGACTCGCATCGGTGTCTTGCCGCTGTTGTCGCGCACTTTGGAAATGGCCTCCGGGATCATCAACTGGAGCATATATGCCGCCCTGTCAGAGAAGTCGTTTGAACGAGTCATCGGCGAGTTTGGTAAGCAAAATAGCTCCTGGAACGCTCGCTCTAGGTGGAATAACCCTAGCCAGTTGATTTCTTCTTTTGCATGCTTGACAAGAGCTCGAACCGCGGCTGCACGGATCCCGTGGAAATATCTTCGATCCATCAAGGTTCGAACGAAAATTGTAGAGATCAATGCATGCTCTCGTTGGGCGGCCATGTATTGCAAGGACTATAGATTGTGTCAGTATCCTTGAACAACACTGGGGAGAGGAAGAAAATACTAACCTCCAACTGAGCCACGACATCTCGGTCTTGTTGAAGCTGGGAGAGATACATGTAACCCGGCATCACCAATGATAGTTTGCAGATCCATTCGAAATCTGCGTCCATACGAATCCATTCGTAGGACTCTTGACCCATCCTTTCCTCGTCTTCTTTGCTCCAATCAGCCAGTTTCCATTCCTGCATTTCCTCTTCACTCTGCAGTACATCCCCAAGGCAGTAAAGCAAGACGTCTTCTTGTACTTCCGCGTTGGGATCACCAGAGACGGCAGCTGCACGCTCTTTTTGTCTCTTGTTCCGTTTTAGTCGCTTGTACTTGGTGTTGTACGGAATATCAAACTTGGTGACACCTTCTTTAATCTCAACAATGTGCTCGTATGGCGTACCGTCAGCCTCGTGAATGCGGATCGTCATGGAGCCTGTAAAGACCGGCTGAACAACACCTGCGTACACACCGCGAATTTCTTCCTTGACATCACGCATGAAAGTGTGCTTCTCTAGATCACGAGTGCTCGGTTGTTCCGACTGAACTTGCTTGATCATCATCTCAACCACCAACTTCTTCTTGTTAAATCTTTGCGTGGCTTGGAACCGGGGACATCCAGCACCATACACCCACTGGGCAAAGAACGCATCTAGCCTTGCATGGCCAAGTTTCTCGCACGTTTTCTGGAAAGAGGCCGTGGTGATGGCACCATTGGACATGTCGCCCGTTCGTGACGTGAGGAACAGTCGAGATATGATACGAGACATTGTCGCCTTTCCACTTGCTTTGGTGAGTCGTCGGTCCAAGATGAATAAAACAAGGGGTGCCTTCAGAGCGATGAATTGAATTTCAGATGCATCCAGCTTCAGGTAGTTGCCCATGTCGTGTATCGATGGACGTTCATAATCTAGATCGCAAACTCGATCGGACATTTGCTTCATTCGAAATCGATACTCATTGTTTCCGCAGAGCTTCCTCATAAAAGTATCGGTGATGTACCAAGCGACTCCGACGGTAACCCACGTGTCTACAACCGTCTGTGGTACGATGTTGACTCCAATCCACTGACACGATAGAGCGTGGACCAGCATGCGCGTGGAGTCATACATCGGATCGATGATGTCTTCTGGAAACAAGAGATGGTTGCTGCAAATCGACAAGCAGGCTGTCGGCAAGGTCTCTTCGGGCGTGTCGTCAACGAAGCACATTTTGTAACTTGAGAATGGATAGGACCCGTAAGTTAAAGAAAAGAAGTCTATCGCCTTTGCCATGGGAAAACATGTGTTCCTAAGTTCATCCCCTCTCCCCGGGAGACAAAAGGCATGAAGTGGGATGGCATTCAGGCCAAGCTGTTCATCCTGGTCACTTTCTCTAAAATCAGAGAGATTAACGTATTCGAAAGGACCAACGGCGAATCCCACTTGCTGCGCCGATAATTGAGTGATGCACGCGAATGATACCGTTTTCTTGCTCGAGTCTTTCGGGTCAATGATTTCATCCGTCATGTCTCCGGAACAAACCACCGACATGTCCAAGCCCTCATCGTCTGGGGAGATGTATCGCCCATGGCCAGACGCAGACTTGTTTCGACTGGATGAGACAACTCCAGATGGGTCCCGTGGTTTGCGGTCGAATACGTCTCCCAGCGAACATGGCGTTTTTATTGAAAGTTCCCATGTGCAACGAGACGAAGGGTCGTCGACGCAGGGAAACAGCGGGCATCCGACGCCATAACCAAGTGGATTTGTTGTGTAGACATGCGGATAGCGTCTATCACCGTTTTCCATGCCAACAAATTGAAGACCTTCCCGGATAGTATCAATGACAAACTCAGCATACACCGTCACCGCCGTGAAACGTGGGAGTGCAGTGTCCGCCGCTTTTGAGCTCGTGAGTCCTTCGGCATCATCACCAGCACCCGTTGCTCGCAAGGCCATCTGGTCCTGGGCTTCAATAGAGAATGGGTCGAGTTCATCGATTCTGACGCTTTTCGGGATGGTCACAAGCAACTCAGCTTCCGGTGGAGATTTCGCGAGTTTATCTATCCGAGACGACAGTCGCTGGTGATAATGAGGCCCGTACAGTTGAAGGGTATCGTAAGTGTTCGTATGTTTAAAGGGAGTGGACTTTCCGCTGACGGTGATGCGCTTGATTTCGCCCTGTCGGAAACTCAATCGGATAACGCGAAGGTCCTTGTACTGCGGGTGGATGGTGATTTCGGTTTTGCCCTTCAGGCTCTTGCTCGCAAAGTCTATCTCCAGTTCAACCTTCTGATGCGCAACAGTAAAGCCCAGCCCCGACCAGTCAGGGCTGGCGCCGGCCTCAACGACGCCCGGCATTGCGCAAAATACTCAGTCGTGCACTGCGCCGCAAGCGCCTGGCGGAGCCACCGTCATGTCCAAGCCCAGAAAGCAGCCGTATGATTGTCAGTTATCGGTCTCCGATGATGCTCGTTTGAGGAAGATGCTGGAAATCGTTGGAGTTGGGGTTATATGAACGGTCCTAAAACTTGAAGCTTTAACGGCGGGCGGGGAACGGAAGGGCAAGAAAGGCCGTGAGGTAAGAAAAAGATAGCCTGGGAGATACTGAACAAGATCAGGGCAATAAAGAATGACAAGTATTTGCAGACAGAAGAATATCGGAGTCGAAAAGCAGGAGACGCCGAGAAGAAAAGGCTTTTTCCACCTCAAAGCATTCACTTGCTCACCTTCCGCTCAGTCGCGTTTGTTGCTCGAGAGCTGCGGAGCTTCAGACCGCCGGGCACGTGATGCCCGTCCGAGGACAGAACGTTCGCCGATCCTCTCCTTCTCCGTCCGCAGGTCCCTTTTTTTCTCCTTTTACCGTCCTTTCTGGCGGATGATTCCCTCTCGTTGACTCTCGGCTTTCTGCTGTTCGTGTTGCCTTTGCTTTCACTGAGTGTTCAATAGCGCTTGTCTTTCATCTGAAAAGCAATTCACCGTCCCTGCGCCATTTGCCCTATCTAGTCGCATTCCACGCCATGAACTAGAGGTCGATCATAGCACCCTCCCGGCTTCTTTTTTTCCTTTTATTTTCTTGGTTCCTCTAGACTACACAAAATATACAGGCTTTGGAAAATGAGTGCAATCTTTAGGAAGATCCAAGGTTCGTTGTCAATAAGGAAAATGATTTTCAATTCCTCATAGACGTTCAGAAATTAATGGCTCCTCTGAATCTAGCGATCCAAGACTCGCTTTCCGACGATGTGCTCCTACCCCTCAAGAGCTACAAGTACTCGAGTGTGGACAAGTCATTTATATCGAGATATATATTGAAGCATTATGTGCGATCCCTTTGCACCATCGCTAGTACCCTGCCGTCTCTGACAATCAACCCATGGCAATAGTGGAATGCGTTTGTTGAGGTCTTACCACTATGGTTGGCTCCTAATATGGTGACGCTTCTGGGCTTCATGTTCATCGTGGGCAACGTGATGCTCATTGAGATATATATGCCTGACCTCATTGGACCGGTAAGGGCTATTGTCCGATTGCTTTTGGTTTTTCTTCACTGAGACGCTTTCTTGAAGGGACCCTCTTGGTTATACTACAGTTTCGCTTTTGGCATGTGGATGTAAGAAGATCGCACAACCCACGGTATACCACTTGGGCTTAACGATGATCTAGGTATTCGACTCTAGACAATGTCGATGGCAAGCAGGCACGGAGAACTGGAACCTCCAGCGGACTTGGGGAGCTTTTTGAGTTAGTACTGGTGTCCAAATCTGATCGGAAAACGTGCTGATGATTTGCAGTCATGGAATTGATTCATTGAACTGCACCCTTGCCAGTCTTCTGGAGACTGCGGCGATGGGTCTCGGCTCCACCCAACTCGGTGCATACACAGCTATCGTCCCATGCCTTGCTATGTATTTTTCAACCTGGGAGACCTACCACACGCATACGCTCTATCTTGGGTACTTTAACGGTCCCACGGAGGGCTTGTTGGTTGCCATTGGGTTAATGATTGCTTCCGGCTATTATGGGCCTCAGATTTGGTCCCGACCCATCGTTGAATTCTTGAATTATCCTCAAATCTTTGGAAACAACTCTGTGAAGGATATTTGGATCCCGTTCCTCCTCCTTTCGTTCTTCGTGGGCCACTTGCCGGGATGCGTTTACAACGTCATTGTTGCCCGGAGGCAGCAAAACCTTCCTCTAACCCCGATTTTCAAGGAATGGGTCCCGATGATCGTCTTTACCGGCTGCAACCTGGCCTGGCTTCTTTCACCCTACTCGATTATTCTGGCCGATGATCGACTGGTTCTGTACTGCTGGACGATCTCTTTTGTTTTCGGTCGGATGACCACCAAGATCATCCTTGCCCATCTCCTCAGACAGCCGTTCCCCCACTGGACTGTGCTACAGATTCCTCTTGTCGTTGGCTCCGTGCTAGTCAACCTCCCCCAACTTGGTTTGCCCGGAATCAGCGGGTGGGTGGAACTCTTGTACCTTCGGCTTTATCTCGTCGTTGCATTTGTCGCCTACATGCACTGGGCATTCCTGGTGATCAACCGGATCACCACCTTTTTGGGAATCAACTGCCTCACCATTCGGAAGGACAAGTCTACGGCCAGGGATCGGGCTTACCGCGAGTTTGGCGAGGGAGCTCAGGAGGACTCGAACGGCGATCCCAACAAGGGAGCTCTCAAAAGCCATTGACTAGGTTCCCTTGCGATACCCAGAAAGTGGTATACATTGAAGTACCCTCTTCTCTCTGCAGGTCAATCCAACGTCCACTACGAAGGAATCTCATCCTCTGCGGTGAATTCCTTGCGGTCTAACTGACACCACTTCGGTGCCAGTATACCCCATTCTTTCTCGGGGTATCTATGTTTCTGTCAATATTATGTTTCTAATGCCCCCTTTGAATATGCCGCCACTGCATGGACTCTGATGAACTTAATGACTTCTGTTGATGGTCGATGCAAAGGTTCCCCCTGGTGAACCTTTTTATTCTATCTCTTTTTGTGCCGTATATAGATGCATTGGTATGCTATTATATCAATATGAATAGATATGTATTTAATCTTTGTGAGCGAGGAAGTCTACTACAATGCGGTCTATTGTTTCCGAGTATAGGTTTAAGCGATGCTAAGCCTCCTTCAGCGTAGTTAGTCTGCCTGATCGGCATCGGCGGCGACGGTCTTTGCGCTTGGCTCGAGGCGAGGATTCTGCGCATGACCCTCGCAAGTCAGTGTAACGCGGCTTATCGGATATCTGACCGGTGAACCGGCGAACGGGGAAGAAGTCCGATAACTAAACATGCGATAAGAACTACGTAGGACTGATCTGACCGATAAGGCAGGCACGGGACATTTGGGCCTGTTGAGCTGCTCGATCTATAAAAAACCCTTGCTGAGCCAGTTTGAGCGGGGAACACAAACCCCTCTTTCTTCATCATACCCCTTTCCAGAATCCTGGTTTGAACCCAACACAAAATGGGCGTTTCCGACGAGATTGCGACTCCCGTCGCAAGATCCCTTGACAATAATGGCTCCGATATCATCCAGGTCCAGGATGCCGACGAATTGCGATTGGCCCAAATGGGTGCGTTTCACCAAGCCAAAGCTTCTACTATGCGACGGGGGGTGATGCTGATTGACAACTATTGGTCCATTCATCAGGGCATAAACAGGAATTGAAACGACATTTCTCTGTGTGGAGCTTGATCGGTCTGGCTGCGAACTGTACTATATCTTGGACTGGTGAGTTGATCACTCAAAGGGTTCAAGGTGTCGATGAATCTAACGTCTCAAGGTCTCGGGCTCGGGCTTATTACATCCATCAATGCGGGCGGTCCTGGTGCTTGTAAAGTTGACGCCTACATAACACAAGACAGTTCATGCGTTGACTGATTCAGTGATTTACGGGTTCATTCTGGTTTTCATCCTTCAGTGCTTCCTGGGCGCCTCCCTTGCAGAATTCGTCTCGGCATATCCTGTTGAGGGTGGGATGTATCACTGGATTGCTGCAATTGCTCCCAAGCGTTACAATAGCCTTCTGAGCTTCGCAACTGGCTGGAGCACAGTGTTCGGATGTACGTAACTGGCGGTTTCTGACTGCCCGTTGCATTTTGGGAGCTAATTGAATTAGGGATCTTCACAACGGCTTCAACAAACCTTATCTATGCTTCTACCTTTATGGCGCTGATCGCGCTATACAAGACGGACATGGTGCTTCAGCCCTGGATGACGTTTGTAGCTTATCAGGGTCTAAACATCCTCACTTCAAGCGTTGTCATGTTTGGCAATCGCTACATCCCTATCATAAACAAGTTTTCATGTAAGTCGAATATCGACCAATGCGTTAAGCAAAGGGATCACGAGCTAAACGGTCGAAGTGGTTTATCTCCAGCTCGCATGGTTTGTCACCATGGTCACGGTGGCCGCAGCGGCCCCAACTCATAACGATGAGAAATTTGTTTTTCGAACCTGGATGAACAATACTGGCTGGGACAATAATGTTATATGCTTCATTACTGGTCTTGTGAATCCGCTGTATGCCCTCGGTGGACTGGATGGAATCACTGTATGTTTTTTCAATGTTTGCGGGTATCTTTTTACTGATACCAATTCCAGCATATCACCGAAGAGATGCCAAATGTAAGTGATACTAGTGTTTATCTTCTGGGTGTACGAATATGGTGAGGGCTGCATATGATGATCAGAATGTATGGCTTCAACTATATGAGATGATCATCTAGGTGGCTATTGAGGGAGAAGAGCTCTTACTAGGTGCTTCATGCATCGAAGGATCAACAAAGCGAACACTTAGCAGATCTTCTCAGGCATCTATACACCAACATATCCTGCAGTTCTTCTCAGCTAACACCTTTACATAGCCAGGGAAAAATGCCCCTTTGGCCCTAGGTAAGTCTTCTCTGACATACTTTTGATCGAGCCATGACTTAGCTTACATTTGGAATTAGCCTGCACTCTGATCATCGCTTTTGTTACTGGTCTGTCTTATATGCTTAGCCTCATGTTCTCCGTGCAAGACTATGGAAGTTTGGCAGATACACCAACCGGTCTACCGTTGGCAGAAATCTTTCGTCAAGCAACTCAAACACGTGGTGGTGCATTCGGCCTTGTTTTCCTAGTATGGGTGGCTTTGGGGCCATGCATGCTTGGAGCTCAGCTCAGTAAGTAAACTAAATCAATTACTGTCACACATTCAGCTAATCTCGCCACAGGCACAGGAAGAATGTTTTGGGCATTTGCTCGAGATGGCGGCCTTCCCTTTTCAGGGGTGTAAGTAGCACTCGAATCTAATTTCTATAAATTCAACTAACTCTCTTAGTTGGTCCAAGGTTCATCCGCGATTGGGCTCTCCGTTCAACGCACAGCTGTGTGTTACTGTCATTGTGGCACTTCTAGGGTGTATCTACCTAGGTTCGAGTACAGCCTTCAATGCGATGATGAGTTCCGCTGTGTGAGTTTTTCCACTTATCTCTCTTTCGACGGGAGACTTTCAAAGCTGACCGAGTTATTATTAGAACCATTAATAACATCGCATATCTGGTTCCAATCCTGACGAATGTACTCCTTGGCCGCAAGACGATGCACAGAGGCCCTTTTTTCTTGGGTTCTATTGGCGGTATGACGGTCAACATTGTAACGATTGCGTGGCTGGTGTTTGCAATCGTTTTCTTTTCGTTCCCATTCTATATGCCAGTGACAGGTATGTTTCTTTCCCATCATTGGACGCCATCCTTTCACAGTAGTCCAGGATCTAATACTGCTCACAGCATCTAACATGAACTACACTTGTGCATGTGTCGGGGGGTTCCTGGTCATTGAGTTGGCATGGTGGCTCGTCGCTGGAAGGAAATACTCCAAGAATATGCAAAAGGCAAAGGAAGAGGAACAGAATGCTGCTCGAGCTGTGATTGTCAACCCAGAAGACAAGACTTAAGATGTAGTTGGTACCCTGTGTGGTTGATCATATGAATGGGCCAATATCTCTGCGCTCCAATTGGTCTATGCCTGAGGTTCTATGCTTGACTGTCCGAAAACTTATGATGTGGTACTTCGTTCAATCTTTCCTCCTCGTTGCAATTGTAGGTAAGCTTTTTGGATGCCGGAGGTGCCAGCTTCCAAGCATCTCGCCGGCTACTTGACCCGGTAACCACCTAGCACCTTAAACATCTACGACAATCCCGCTACTGCACTGAAGATATCATTATTTCCAATGTAAAATGATAAAACTAAGCAGATCAACTGCCTTTCTCAGTGATATATAATGGCTATATAGGCCTGTGCAAGAAAATGGAAACAAAAAAAATCAAATCGTTGCTCCAAAGGCTCCAACGCAGCATTATACATAGACATAACATCATAGGGGTAAAATCACAGCAACAATGATCTCACAGTTGATTATCAACACATCCTACCGAAGAGGAAGTCCTTGACGATCGGCGAGCTAGAGAATTCGGGGTTCAATAGGATACAACTATAGTGGAAGCAAAAGGGTTAGAGACGCGATGGTGTGTGGGTTCGGAGGTCGATATGTATGCTCACTTCAAGAAATATTCTAATCCAACTCGCCTAGATTCGAGGAAGGAGGGACGGAATTTGTCTAGGGAGGTAGGTTAGAGGTGTTTTGTAATTGGGGTTGGGGTATGCGGTTCGGGACGCACAGAGGACGCTCTTCGGGGGGAGAGCTGGGAGGGCGTTCTTTGCATGTGGAAATGAGGCGACGAGTTGTTTTCGTAGGTCGTCGAATTCGGAGTATCTAATGTGAGACAACGAGGTCAATCGAGGTCCAGATCGGTGAGGGGATGGTGTGGCTGGGATATTTTAGATGTATACATACCTCATACGGATAGTGATGGGACCACCCTGCCAATGTAAGTTAGCAATCTATCCTGGAACAGTGAAGTTCATGCTTCAGGTCGGAGCTAGGGACCGTTGTACCTCCAGTGTCTGGACGGTGCAATTCCAGACCACATAGGACCCAATGCCAGTTTTGCCTTGTACCACGACATAATCGTTAACCGATACGCTTCGAGCCCATAGGCCGCGACTCGTCTCCGAATTTGGATCCTCCGTATGGTCTTCTAGCGTGATGGCTGGAAACCGATCGAGCGATGCTTGGGATGCACGGGACGCATTGCGATGGTGAGTCCAGTATGGCGGAACTATACCGGAGACGGGGCGATCTTTGGGCGAGGCGTGAGGCGAATTGTTGCGGGCCTGGGGCAGAAATGACCCATTGCTGGCGCTGGCTCCATCCGAGGACGATGCGGCGGCTGTCGGGGAATCGGGACGAGGGTTCGAGGGAGAGGATCGGGAGGGGGAGGATGTCCGAGGCACCAGACCAGACTCCTCATTCGCTGGCTCCATCCATTTAGATCTCCGAGGGGGGACAATTGACGAAGGGAGTGGTCGATTCCTGGCGGTCACTAAGAATAAGTTTAGATGCAACCAGCCTCGTTGAATCGAGGGGGTATGTGCGAGAACCCGTGGCGGGGAAGAAACCCAATGAGGAGTGATAAAAATAAAAAGTACAGACACCAAACGGAATAAGAGAAAGAAAAGAAAAGAAAAGAGGCAAGGGTAGAAGGTGGCGTTTGATATCACTCACGTCGTAGTAACTAGTTGAAGCTTACTAGGGGTTTGTGTCAGCAGGCCGGATTTGGACCGCTTTGACAGGTGGAAAGTGCGGGGGCAAAAAGAGGAGAAAGCGAGCAGGAAAGAAAGAAAAGACCCGGGAGGACAATTGATAAGATCGGAGGTTTCAGATGAGGAGGGATGCCGGTACAAGGGTCAATGACAATCAACGCTTTGCCTCCTTCCGTCGTAGGAAATGATTATGTCTCCCAGCGGCCGAGAATCACGGGACTGCCAAGAGACCCCGGCCCCGACGGCAGCCACATGACCGCCGAAGGTCTGGGAGTACGAACGACAAGACAACCCCATCGTTTCTGACTAGGCTGTACTGAGTTCAAACTACAGACACTGCGTTGGCTGTCGTCGGTCGCTGCCGAATTTTTCAACATGATCATTGACTCACTGGGTTATCTGACCATCCTATCACTGAACGGCTCTCAAATTGGGCGATGATTTGGCCCGGTAAGCCAACGCTCTTCGGATCAGTCCATCCCATGCACTACGGCCTACAATGCAGACCTACGACCTAGCCGTGCTACCCTTTCTTGCTAGCGACATTACTAGGGTCCACGCTAGAAAAAGCCAAGCGTCTTTGGACCCAATCAGTCCGCCACAATCTCGGGTATTCCTCAACCCCAAGTGAGACATCCTGGGCCCGTCCTTGCCGGAGGAAAGCAGCCATCAATCACAATGCCTCCGACTTATCTGCCCGCTCGTCTGCTTCCAAGACATTGCAGGGCCATGTGAGGGTTGAATTCTGCTCCCAGAGGCCGGAAGAGGACGCGTAGTCGCCATCAAACTCCTAAAGATAGAACGGCCAGAGAGGGGGCAAAGGCAGTCATGTCACTCATGGGACGCTCCATGGCTCCATGCAGACCAGGGTATGCCTCCCGGCAAGCTGCCCCGGATCGACATGGCTCCTTTGTCTCATTTTTTTCTCCCTCTCTTTTCTTTCCCTTGCCCTCGGTCAAATTCGTTGCGTCTCTTGTTTTCTGTGCTGCAGCTCTAGCTGGTTTCATCACTTAACCCTTCGGGGTCCATTTTCTTGTGATGGCAAATGTGTATGTACTGAATTATGTATGTAATTAATGTGAAATGGGTCCATATTCTCCTCGTGTCGGTTAAGACGCCGTCCGACTTCTTAGTGGAAAATTCCAGACTAACGAGTCACTAAATTAACAGAACTCTACATGAAGCTCTAGGAGGACAAATGGTCTGGAGCTTAGGGAAGATAGCGCCGCCACCCCAACCTCGTTTGGGAGGGCCAAAGTAGTACGGTGTGATAGTCTGACTACATATATATGAGCCTGGCGGAACGGTTTTTATCACTAGTATGAATTCCCTTTTTTTTCTTCCATTCACCGGCCCCCTCTCTCAGTCCCTTTCGCAATCCCTTCTCTTTGATTTGCCTTGTCTTGTTTAAATCTCTCAATCCGCTCCAGTTTAGGCGTCAATAAAGCTCACTTATTGATTACCTGCAGTCGGGCCTTTTGCTCTTATCTCCTAATCCGGTTGGTATATCTGTGCGAGGCTCTCCTTTTGAGACCTGTCATTCTGCATTTTTTCAGGCTTACCATTTGGATCACGGACCAGACAGAACGCTATCTAGACCCCCTTCTTTCATCAGCATCATATACAAAATGCTTTTTCTACATTCTCTCGCTCTCCTTGCCTCTGTCGCGGGACTGGCCAGCGGCCAGACCATCGACCCGAGCACTGTCGATGAATCTACCAGAGGTATGTTTCTAGATGAAAGACCACATCTTCATCTCGCACTGTGCTCACAGTCTTGCGTGTGATAGATTATTGGTGCCAATCGCAGACCTCTGCCTGCCCGCTTCTTTGCCTCCAGATGCCTGGGGCATCCAACAAACCTAAGGACAACAGCTGTAGCGCGGTAAGACCTTGTTGCGTTCTATCCATTGAGTGCTCTCTTTCTGACAGTCTCCCGTCCAATACAGAAAACTTTGGACTACACTTGCATCTGCAGTAACGGCCAGTCGCCTAATGCCTCGGAATACTCGGAGACGATCCCCTACTTCATTTGCACTGAGCAGAACAACAAGTGTGTGAGTGCCTGCAGCAACAACGACGCTGAGTGCCAGTCAGATTGTCGCGACGATCACCCCTGTGGAGCTCAGAACCCCAAGCGCGTCAATACCACCACTGCCACCTCCACCGTCAGCACTCCCGCTGCTACCACCTCTCTGGCTCCTTTCACCGGAGAGGCAGATGCCAAGGGCCTTGCTCCCAGACAGTCGGTTGAGATGGGACATGTCTATGGTACCGTTGCAGTGGTCGGAGCTTTCCTCGCGGGCTTCGCTACCTTGCTCTAAGTGCGGTGTCAAGGTCAACTCTCTGCGTCTGGCTGTCGCGAGGCATTCCCCAGCTCAGAAATCATAGGACGGGCATCTCTGTTGTCCCGCTCCGCTCTGCGTTTCTTTCCGCTCATAGCATATTTGCCTGCAGTACTCTTGTCTTTTCAGCGTTGTATGGGGCGTTCTCATCTCTGCTTTCTATGGTTCATCGTCCACGCATGTCATAACGGTTCTGTCCCTAATAATATTTGCACTTCTTAATGTACCTGATTGAAGAATGGAATCTCAAAAGTCTCCCATGATTAGCTCGGAAGCGTGTTGTCGTGTTGCAAGTAACAATTAGTGAAACGATGTAGGGAAGGTGGTTTAACATTCAATAATAACGAAAGTGGATGATAGTGATAATCGGTGATGGACAGGGCCAAGGCGGTGTGTGGAGCGGTGAACGTCGGGGTAGCGATGGCTTGTTGATATCGAATCATGATGATCGATGATGGCTGTCCGATAGATCATCTCGCCCACTCCACCTCCGCTCTCCAAATCCGCCTCGCTTGCTACCACTGCTGGCCATCAACTTCTAGCCTTGACCAAAGGGCCTTCCGTGAAGTTTCTTCAAACTCAACGCGGCATTTTCCGTTCAAAATCGCCTCATCTTTCTTCATCTTGACGTGCCGCACACCCCTCCGCACTGTGAGGCTCGGAAGGCTCCAGCACCGTACCAACCGCCCGAGACCCAGCTCTCAGATAAACCCCAGGCACATTTCATTGTTTCTAGTTTTGGGAGCTGCATTACCGCGCTCACCGGTTCTACCAAAAGTGCACGTGCCAAACACTCTCAAGTAGTCGGAGATGGATTACATACCGCCGGACACCTTCGACGCTCCATCGTCGACCTTGATCCCGAGGCAAGTATCGGGCGTGGGAGCCGCAGACTTGGAGAGCTTGAATGGGAAAGCCGCTGCTATAGTTCCATTTGTGAAGGTCGATGGTATGTCTCCTGGAAACTTTTCAGCTGATGTGATGGAAATGCGGCTCTTGGGGTTTAATGGAATGGCTGCTGATCTTCTAGATCCACCCAAATTCGAACTGGAATCATACATCGCGAACTACACTGGTATGTCAGCATCTGCCCTAACTAAGTTCTCTGACTAATTCCTGTGCTCTATTAGGCCGGACCAGATTCAATCGCCTGTATCTAATAGGCACGTGTTCGACATACCTTTCCAGCGAAGCGCTTAAGACCGCGGTTGCCGAAGCCAAGTCGAACAAAGATGTCTCGAGATATGAATGGGCTGTGCGAGCGCTTGCTGAGGTTGCGCCGAATGAACCCGAGGCTGCTCTCGACAAGGAGTGGATGGACCGCATGAACAAGATTGTCAAGGCTGAGAGCGACCGATTAGAACACGAGCTTCGAGGCTACAAGAACAATTTGATCAAAGAGAGTATAAGGGTAAGCTGGCTTTGTCCTCCATTCTAGTACGATGTTGTCTGACAAAACTTCGTGTTGCAGATGGGAAATGAAGATCTCGGACAACACTACCATCAAATCGGCGACCTGGTGGCAGCATCCAAGGCTTATTCTCGCATGAGGGACTATTGCACCACCCCGAGTCACATCGCATCCATGCTGTTCAAGATCATCAATGTGGCCATCGAGCGAGGGGACTGGCTCAGCGTTCAGTCGAACGTCCAACGACTACGCAACCTTCAGTCCAAACCGGAAGAACAAGCCAAGAACCAGCCCAAGATGGCCGCCGCGCTGGGCCTATCCCAACTTCATTCCGGCTCCTACCTGGACGCCGCGAACAGCTTCCTCAGCACCCCGCCCACCCTCGGCGACTCGTACAACGAAACGCTCACCTCCAACGACGTCGCCGTCTACGGCGGCCTCTGCGCGCTCGCCTCCATGGACCGCCACGAGCTCCAGCGCCGCGTCCTCGACAACTCCGCTTTCCGCAACTTCCTCGAACTCGAACCCCACATCCGCCGCGCCATCTCGTTCTTCTGCACCTCCAAATTCCGCCCCTGTCTCGACATCCTCGAGTCCTACCGCGCCGACTACCTCTTGGACATCCACCTCCAGCGCCACGTCGACACCTTGTACACGCGCATCCGCACCAAGTCCATCCAGCAATACCTCGTCCCCTTCAGCCGCGTCACCCTCGACTCGATGGCTCGGATCTTCGCCCCGAACTCCGGCTCCGGCCAACCCCCCGCCATAGACCTTCACTCCCCCTTCGTCCAGGAACTGATCCGCCTCATCCAGGACGGCACTTTGGACACACGCATCGACCTGGAGAAAATGGTCCTGGTCTCCAACGAGGTCGACAAACGCACGGAAGTCCAAGAGGCTATCTTGAACAATCTCTCGGAGTTCACCCGCGAAGCGCACATCCGTCTATTACGGACGGAAATCATCCGCGCGGGCTTGGAGGTCCGGAATACCGACGACCGGTCGAAGACGGGGCCGCATGGTCACGGGCAAGGGGGGAAGGGGGCAAAAGGGGGCGCGGGGTTTCTTGAATTCTTTCATGGTGGTAAGTAAGCCATGAGCTGTCTGTCTTTAGGGAAGGTAGCGAGACATCATGAGATGAGACAACATGTGATGTGATGAGATGAGATGGGACAAGACCTAGAGATACGAACCGGAGCAATGACTACTAGTGGCTAGATAATGAGCGAAGGAAAGAAACAGAACCCCACTTGCTATCTACGACGATGCATGCATAGATACCAATTCAAGATGACTGCGCGCTAAATCTACTCAATTTCACCTCACTTCCCTTTCATATCTCAACCATGCCAAGATCCCTAGGTCTACGAGGGGTGGTCTTCTTATCGGATTTACTGAATTTAAAGCGTATTTTTCAAGTTACATCGATATTAGGTAGGCATGACCATTAATCCGAATGAACTGGTTTTCGAGCGTATTATTCACATTAAATCGGTATTAAACATAGCCATCAAAAGGGAATCATCTGCGTAAGTGCACTGAATGAGTGAGTGCATCGGGGAAGTCATCAGAAAGCATCACAGCGAGCTGAATTAATTACACGAGCAGATGTAGAAGAAAGAAAAACTCAGCCCATTATTCATCACAATAGTACCCAACCGAACCAATATAACCCCCAACCATCTACGCCATAGCCAACGCCAACGCCATCGCAGCACCGCCGGCAATCAAGCCCGCGTGACCGGTAGCCTGGGCCAGGGCAGCGTTGCTGCTATCCGTTGCGGAGGCATCGGCACCGGTGCCGGTAGCGCTGGCTGAGGCGCTGCCGGACGCGGTGGTCGACAGGGTGGACTTAGCCGTGGCGGTCGCGGAGGCGGAGCTAGCGGTCGCAGTGGCCTTGTTTGTGGCGCCGGTCTCGGTGGCGGTGATGGTGACGGGGAGGTAAGGCACGCTGGTGGTGGTCAGGGTCTCGGAGGTTGCTGTGGTGGTGGTCGCGTCGTGCATCTTGATATCACAGGTGATGACTGATTTGTTGCCGATCTGGCAGCCTCGGCTTTGGACGCTGTGGAGTGGAAGGTTAGCGGTTTGGTTTTCTTGGTTTATTTATCTTTGGGGGGGTGTAGGTGGGCTGGAGCAGTTATTGATAACTTACTAGTCCTCGTAGCTGTAGATCATACGGTGGGTGGAGGCACCTTGGGCGACAGTGTAGCCGTCCGGGGGAAGTCCGCAGTCATAATCATCAGTGCCAGGGGCACAGTAGAGAACGTAAGAGGTGACAGGGCCATCCTGTGGTAATGATGTTAGCTTTTTTTGGACATCAAATACGCATAGAATGGCTGGACGGGAGCTTACAACGCCGATGACCTTGCCGACGATGGGCTGGGGGTCAGCCTCCGGGAGAAAGATCGACACTACATCGTTGGCGACAACGGATGTGGCGGATGCCAGGAAGGCGAGAGTGAGCGACTGGAGATGCATAGTTGAAAGTATTCAAGTAAACGAATGTATGGGTGTGGATGCAAGAGCCGATCGTTGCGACTAAAGGAGAGACAAGTTGGGGGGAAAACAGCAGGCGGAGTTCGCAGAGGAAAACAGGGCTGCCAGTCCCTTAAGAAGAATAAGCCGGCCATGTCCATTTGGGAAATCTTGATAATCTCACTACGCCGGAGTAGGAAAATCGTCAGGAACGAGGGGAGGGTCGAAGTCTGATGATTGGGTCGGTGGCGGCAGCTAAGAAATAGTTCCTGACCAGTCGCGACTTGGGGCCTGCCTGGATTCTCTGGATTGCCTTCGAGTCGTTCTCCTTGTCGCCGCTTAAGCTTAGGGGCCGCCTCGGTGCCACTCCGTTTTTTGCTGAGGTTTTTATTTGCCCTTGCACTAAACAGTAAACATACTCCGTACATCAAGAATAGCGCTTCGCTTAAAACAAATTGTATGATAGAAGACCAGGGATATTGAATCTAAGCGCCACTTATCGGAACACGAGCCTTAGGACGGCTCACCAGTCCGCTCACCACTCCGGCCAGCAACAGAGCACCGTTGAATCCAGCCATGATGTAGAAAGGTGCGCCGGGGGAGACGGTGTCGAATAAGGTTCCACCCACTTTGGTCAGGAGCAAGATGCCCGCTCCGCCATACAAAGAGTAGACGCCGGCAATTGATCCTTTGAGGTGCGCCAGCGGCTGTCTCTTTGGAGTCTGACCCGCCGCGCCACCTAACAATGGTCGCTGTTCGTCGGAGTCAAGGTCTCGGCCAGTCTCCGCATGCGGGGGATTTCCTGAGTCATGGGCTTCAATGCGAGAATCATCGCTAACATTCAGGATGCCGCCACTGAGAACTGCCAAGCTGCAGACAATGGCACCGATCTGGCTGATTCCGAGCAGGGCCACCACCAGGAACACGCCTGCATTCCCATCGGGACCTTTAAATTGCGGGCTGGGCAGCAACCCGAATGCCGTATAGCCGATAACACCTGCGAGGCAGGCAAAAAGAAGAGGAAGATGATACCATCTTGACTTCTCGGACAAAAACCCGAACGCCGGCGCTGCGATCAACGCTATTAGCTGCGAGACGCCCGTCAGTATTGAGGCCAACACGTAGGCCTCGCGACACGATTCCTTGATCCCGCTAGGGCCGGTGTCATCGTTGCCGCCGCAAAGCCCGGATGCTCGGTAGTAATGGTTAACAAAAAGGGGGACGAATAATGAAATGCCCACAGACGACGCTCGGGCCACGAATCCCCCAAGATAGCCTATGAATATATCGCGTTGGCGGAAGCCCAATGTAATCGCTGCATTGAGCTGTCGTAGATAAGGGAGTCGTGATTTGCTGTACACGGGACAGGATGGGCCGCTGCACGTTGTCTCCGAGTCCTCCGAGTGTAGCGACCACAGCGAACTCCACGTCTTATCTTTCTCGCCGGGAAGATTCCGCAAGCCGATCCAACAGCAAGCACTCACCAACAGGGCCACGAGCGCAACTAGATAGTAGCTATACTGGATTGCTTCAGGCGGAGATAGCCCCCAGGTTTGGAAACGGGCTGGGAGCGGCAGGAAGGCCACGAGAGACACCAGGGCGCCGCATCCAGCACACATCCCCACAAATCCAGCCAGTCTGGATGACGGTGACCTTTTATCAGCCTTTGACCCGGCACCTTGAGAGGAAGGTGGATGAGCGGGATCATTCTGAGTTTCGACCGCATTGTTAGCCCGGGATGATGGAATTTCGTGTCCACGGGCCTTTCCGGTCACTGCAGGTAGAACGGCCGTCACCATGGTCGAGACTGCAGAGCCTCCTACACTGAACAGCAGTCTTCCCAGAAGCAGCTGGGGGTAGACATTCTTGGCCTGAACGAACAGGGCCAGGGCCAGGGCCACAATAGCATACCCAGCGACACAGACCTAAATTAAATTATCATCACTGAGCTATCAGGGAAACTTTGAACTTCCACATCATCCGATGCGAAGACGACACTTACATTGCGGACACCTATGCGATCCGACAGAGCTCCCCACAGGGGACAAGCGGCCAGCGCAAGTAGCTCATCGGCAAAACCCAGGGTTCCCACCGCATTGCCCTCTCCTTCATGTAGTCCTATCAGATCGGTCACAACAAATGATACAGAGGAATTGATAAAGACCAAGAAAGCAATGGAAAAGGGGCACACAGCAAGTAGATAGGTTAGTGTCTGAGTGCGACTGGCGGTAAACAAAGAGCCTTGTAACGCCATTGTATATAGATGATTAAATCCCGATCATATAACAATCATAGGTACCCCAATCCACTAGTCTCTTCTCTGTATAAAATTAGGGCATCAAAGAATCATGCATCCTGGAACAAGAGATGATGGACTGGCAAGGGAGGAGGAAGTGATCTTCCCCTCCAGTGATCCCCGATGTCACATGATTACGCGTCATGGCTGCTTGGGCCCGGCCAAGTTGTCACTGCATAAAGTTGCTGTGCACCATACGAACCCAATCAGGCTGGTTTGTTGGGATCTTTGGTTTCCTTCTGCTTATGGCCTTCTGGAATGTCTGTTTCATCGTGTAAGACCCGTTCACATTGTGCGGGTTCTGTCAGCAATGAAGTCATTCAGTCAACGAAACCTTCCAGGAATATATATGCAAGGTAGACCTGTTACAATGCCGATTGGTGACTACCTAACATTAGGTATGACTACTACTGCTACTTGCCCACCTTCCTCGCTCTCTTATCATATTACAAGCATTGCTAAGTTCAATTCACACATGTTCATCACCCATCATCGCCAATCCCCTATACATCAAGTCCAGAACGGAGATAAGTCACATGCTCCGGCAGACCCGCTGACGTAAGAAGGCAGCCAGACGGTAACAACCGGTACAATACATCCATACAGTACAGTATAGCTGTCCAGAAGACCTCCGTCCACTCCGCCGGACTTGCTGCGCTTCCCCCCTCTCTAGTTATCCCCATTGTTTCTTCCTCTCTGGCTCAGTCCTGCCAATGTCCTTCTGAGAGGTAGTTTACTGTCGATATCCCGTCCTCGTCGATGACCCCGGGCTTTTTGCCCACGTCTGTCTCCCTGTCGCCATGAGATTAGCCGCCTACGCCGGGGTAAGTAACTCGCTTGCACCTGCGTCGCGGATTCACTTCGTGCTGACCTCATTGCTTCACAGGCGTCTGTGGCCCTGGCCACGGGTGTTTTCTTGAAAGCGCTACACCAAAGGGCGAATTTCTACTCGGCCTGCGTGTATCTATCTCAGAGCAGCGCCAACCTTATGGTAAGTCCTTACCGCAGCGTGCGTGCCCTTGCGGAAGATGTCGGACTCACTCGCTCCCCCAGATCCTGACGAATTTATGTCTCTTGGCGGTGGGCTTTTTCCTCTTCTGGCTTCAGCGACTTCTGTACGGACCCCTACGACCGATCGAAACCGAGCAGCTATACGAGAAGGGATGGTTTGCCATCACGGAAACATGCCTTGCGATGACAATATTTCGGGGCGAGCTGGGTGGGTGGTTTCTGGTGATGTTTGTTTGCCTGCTCGTGGGCAAGGTTTGGGGATGGATCGGCGAAGGTCGCGTGGAATACTTGGAACAGCAGCCACCGGCTAATCCTCGCCTGTTCCATATCCGGATGGCTGCCTCGTTGCTCATCTCGGTCCTCTTCAGTGCCTTCATGCTGAGATATTGCATAACCACCGTCCTTGAGCAGGCGCGCCCGGATATGATGGTCATGTTCGGCTTTGAGTTTGCCATTCTCACGATTCTGTCCAGCTCCACCGCAGCTAGATACTCGATATCTCTGGTGGAGATTTACATTACCCACCAGCAGACGAAAGCAAAGCTCGAGGAGCGCCGTCAAGAGATCCGAGCGGCTAGAGAGGAGGCGATCCAGGAACATGCGCGCAGGGGTGAAACCGCGCCCCCCGCTGATCTTCCGGATGAGAACGACGTTAATGAGATGGAACTAGACGTTCCCGGCTGGGAGGAAAAGAGCCGATGGATCTTCTATCTGGATCTTGTCACCGATTTCTTGAAGTTGACCGTGTACCTGAGTTTCTTTGCCATCCTCTTCACCTTCTACGGATTGCCGATTCACATCTTGCGCGACGTCGTGGTTACCATTCGCTCTTTCGGCCGACGGATCATAGACTTCGTTCGTTTCCGAAATGCCACCCGTGACATGAACGAGAGATACCCCGACGCCACCGCCGAAGAAGTTGCAAGAGAGGAAGTTTGCATTATTTGTCGCGAGGAGATGACACATTGGCAACAGCCTGCTCACGGGCAGCCGCTGCGAGCGCGAGTTTCAGATCGTCTCCGGCCGAAAAAGCTTCCATGTGGCCACATCTTGCATTTTGCCTGTCTCCGAAGTTGGCTGGAAAGACAGCAAAACTGTCCTACGTGCCGTCGTCCGGTGATCGCACCTCCCCGCCCTCGCGGAGACGCAGGGAACGTGGCGAACAATGCACAGGGCAACGCGGGCGCTGGCGGCCAACAGAACTTCGCCGGTGGGAACCAAGCTCTCGGGAGGAACGCCGATGGTTTGCCCAGGGCCCGTGTATATCAGTTTGGACCCTTTCGGATTGGGTTCGGCGCCGGCCGAGGCGATCTTTTTCACAATCTCCAACAACAGATCCACCAAGGAAACGTTCCACCGCAACCAGCAAACAACGCCAACATCCCGGGCCCTCAACACATCGGCTTTGGGTTCGGGTTCGGGCGGCCTCAACAAGCTGAGGCGCACCCTCCTGCACCTAACGCTACTATTACCGGCGTTCCTGACATGCGGAATCAATTGCAGCAGATGGAGCAGCAGATCATGCAGGAAATTCATGACCTCCGTGTCACCGCAGACCAGCTCAGTGTAGTACGACAGTTACAGACAGAATTGCAGAGACTTCGAACTCTACAGAGCAACCCCACAGAACCTCTGACCAACGTATTCACCAACCCCTCGGTTCCTCCCACATCAACCGCACCGTCGTCGATCTTCGCACGCCACCATTACATCGCGGACAACCCTGTCCCGACTTTGGCTGCAGACGATTCTCAACTCCCGGAAGGACTTACCCTCCCACAGGGGTGGTCCCTTGTTCCTCTGCAATCCACGACACATGGGCCTCCAGGGGCCACCAGCTCGAGCGCAAGCCCGGCGGTTCCGGCGTTGACATCGCCAGCGCAGACGACGGATCATGCGTCCATGCCCCATGCTGCTACAGAAACTCATGTTGAGAACGAAGACCAGAACCATGGGGATACTACTGCGTCTGTGTCTGCTTCCCAAGGGTTACCGGACTGGGGACGTGACGGGGCCGAATCGCCCTCTCAGCAATGGACCGACGTGGCTTCGGAGACACAACCCGAGAAAGATGGATCGTCTTCCACACACGCTGAGGAGCGAGAGAACGAGGACGGTCAGTCGACGTCATCCAAGGGGAAGGCAAGAGCAGCGACTGTAGAAGATGCAGTGGACGATGAGAGCTGACGATTTTTCTTTTTGTTTGTCATTTATTGGGCCCCTACATTCCCCTTCTCTCTGGCTTGCCCTGGTGTAAAATCTCATTGGCGTTTATACTTCCTGCTCTGCCCTTTTGTTTTCTTTCTTTTTTTAGCGAGGCAGACCCATCATACCCGGGGTGTATGTTTTGACTGGTGCTGTGGCCATGTTAGCCATAGCCTGATTTGATGACGTTGGAAAATATTTCACTGGAAATTGAGAAGAAGAAGAAGTTTGTACATAGTGTAATGGCGAATTTGATGCGGTGATCTTGGCGTGAACTGAACTGAACCGATCCATCGATTGTAGGTCCGGAATCCGGTGATAGTTCCGACTTCCGAGACATTAAATAAGTACGGATAGTGGTGTTTCACGGTCAAAAAAGATCGACAGGTCGTGGTTGTCAAGGAATCGAATGCGACCGTAGGACGAGGGGTGATTTCATGACGGGGAATTTCTGAGGGTCTCGTCGTCATCCGCTGCTGACGCCAGCTCCGCCTCCGCCCGTCTTCCCGTCTCTCTTCATCTCCATCTCTTCTGCTACTTCGGTCGTGTGCGCGCTTCTCTTCCTTTCCTTCTTCCTCTTCTATTCTTTCCTTGACATCCTTTCCATTGCAATTTATTCATGCGCCCCTCCCTCCTACATCCCCTCCCTTACCCCCTCTGATGTCACACCCCGACATCGCACATGGTTGACAGAAAACGTAAGTCTGGTCCCCTGGCGGCGCTGATCGGTTCCAGGATGCTCTGCTGCAAGCCACGTTTCTTGTTGTCTCTCATCCATGCTCCGTTGACGCCTCCTTTCACCTCCACCCCCTTTCTCGTGATGATAAATGAGTGTCTCTTTAACACCCGGTCGCTAATCGCATGACTTGGCTCAATTGCTTTGCAGCAGACTCCCCTACCCTTTTGCGACGACTCTTTTCTTCTCCGCGGTAGCGCCGACAGACCCGATCTAATGCTTTCCACACGGCGGGCTATCCCGCTCCTTGGCCTGACCTTCTTCGTCTTCCTCCTATACTCGTTCACTAGCCTCTCACAATGGCGCCGGTTGCCGCAAACCGTTCGACTGGGCGATACCGCTGCGACACCCTCCCCGACCCCATTTGCTCGCTGGAACATTAGCGGAGTCGGATTTGACGAACGACCGGGCAGAGAGCCGTACGCTCCTCAACCGCAATACGTCCCTGGCAGGCCTAAGCCGCCCGGGTCGGACTACTCGAAAACGATCGTGGTCCCGCAGACCAGCGAAGAAGACACGACGTGGATGGAGTACGAGCTCCCCGGCTGGCAGTCCGCCGTTTACATGGTTGACGACCCCTCTGCGCCTCTGCACCCGCCCCGGAATAAAGGACACGAGGTGATGGTATACCTGAGCTTCATCATCGACCACTACGACCAGCTGCCCGACATCGTAGCTTTCATGCACTCTCACCAATTCGCATGGCACAATGACGAGATCTTTGGCGGGAATGCGGCCGAGATGCTGGACCGACTCAACCCCGCGCGAGTGGTCCGCGAAGGATACATGAACCTGCGCTGCACCTGGGCTCCCGGCTGTCCCGACTGGCTGCATCCCGGAACGGTGGAAGAGGACGAAACGAAGCAGGAAGAGACCATGCTCGCTCGATCTTGGGGAGAAATCTTCCCCGACGACCCCATCCCGGACGTCCTGGCGCAGCCATGTTGCGCTCAGTTTGCGGTCTCGCGCGAGCGAATCCTGTCCATACCTAAAGCGCGCTTCGTGTATTACCGCGACTGGATCCTTCGGACGGAATTGAGTGATTACATTTCCGGCCGTGTGTGGGAGTATTTGTGGCACGTGGTATTCACCGGACAGAACGTTGTCTGTCCCAAGGAGAACGTCTGCTACTGTGACGGGTATGGAGTCTGTTTTGGTGGCGAAGACGAGTACGACCAATTCCGCAGTGTTGGCCACGAGAAGCAAGACTTGGAGGAGCAGCTGAAACATTGGTATGGTCAAGCCGAAGTGATTGAGATTGCTCGGTTGCGAGGAAATCTGGGAGAGAACAGCCGACTCACGGTTCCCGAACCGGGCAAGGATCTTTCACTGCAGGATCAAATCTACGAAAAAGAAATATTACTGGATGACATCCTGTTCAATGCTACGGAACGGGGCAAGGATCCCCGAGCCAGAGCTAAGGAGGCAGGAAGACCTTGGAAGGAGGGAGATGGGTTCTAGATTGTCGTCCTCATCTCCATCTTCCGCAGATTTGGTCTTTCAAACACATTAGGCCTTCTTACGAGTGGCAGCCGGCCCTTGGTGTCTGGCAAACTCTGGGTATGAAAGTCTCCCGTCATAATCTTCTTGTCTATATTTGTGAGCTTCCTTTGGGCCGGTGCTCCTTTTCCTATCTTCATGATGGAAATCTAGCTTTGATCTATTGTCTTGTTTTCTTCCTCTGAGCGTTGAGGATTTTGTTTCCTAGGGGTTATGGGAGTTGGTTTCGCTTTGGTGGAGCATCAAAAATGTTGATATCTGGCGCAGTTAATGTTTGGCAGGCTCCAAACCTCAGGAGTTTACTAGGGTTTCTCAATTTGATGCAATTTATGGAGCAAGTAAAACAATCCATATTCGAATAAATGTACTCGTCTAGGATCTAGCTCTTACCAACTGTCAGGGCAACAACCATACCTGGTATACTAAACTCATTGTGACACTTCCGCTGCCCTCTATTGAAACCTCCCCTTCACAGCTTCGCACGAGTCAACTGACCCCCAGCAAGAACTCGTTCAATCACCTTCGCCACCGCAACGCACATCTCGTCTCCGAACCGGCCGCCCACAACTTGCACGCCCACAGGCATACCCTCGACAAGGTCGATATCATCTACCCGCACGCATGTCTAATCAGCCAAAGGAACCCCCAAACCCAACCAAAACAAGCAGAGAAACAGAAACACAGGAACAAACGGTGAGTAAAAGCAAAAAGGGGGAAGCTTACATTGTTCATTCGTAAACCTCTCACTTTCATTCCTCGGCACATGCGCCCTCCACTCCTCATCCGGCTGATCCTTCTCCCTAGACGCCCACGTCACAGGAACCGCCAGCGCCGCATAGCCCAGGAAATTCCATATACTCGTGTACCCGACGTATTGGCTTCCGCTAGTCCAGGTCCACGGCTTATAGCCTACCCAGGGGCTTGTGGGCATGATTAGGGCGTCGATTCCGCTGAGTGTCCATTGCGTGAGGTAGGTTGTTTCGTAGGCGTATTTGTCGGCGTGGAGCTGGGATTATCTGTCAGCTTGCTATTTCCCTCTTATCATTTGTTGCGAGCATGGAAAAGGGACAGGGAAGAGAGGACTCATACTTGATGTGTTTGCGACGTGGTCAGTAAGTCCGTCTCGTTCCCAACTAACATCCCAGGGATTAATGGCTCGCCGCTCAATTCTGTCTTCTTGCGACATCCCTCGCCGCCGTCGGAGAGGACGGCTTTCAGCCAGAGAGAGTAGGCGTGGCCGTGTGAGGATGCGTCCCATTCGATGACTGGACAGGCAGAAAGACAGGGACGGAATGTGTTAGTCTTCTATTTTTTGCGTGCAGGGGAGCATGGATTGTGTCTCGTCTCTCGTCTCGGTTTGCATACACACATGCATGCAAGCGGACAAGTGTGACAGGGTAGCAGGTAGGTACATACCTTCATGCCCTGCACCCCTCAACGCGTCCACAACCTCCCTCACTGCCCTCGCGACCGGGGGCTGAACCTTGACAACCCCGTCGTCGACCAGGAACCCGATCTTGAGACGTCTGTTCCCGACAGAGGCGAGATGAGAGCGCCACGGCACGGCGGCGACATGCGGATCTATCGTCCACGGCGAGACCGATGGTAGGGCTTCCATGTAGCGTTCGATGCTGGCTAGACTGTTTGTCATGGGACCGGCTACTGAACGCACGATATCTTGTCCGGGACTGGGTAGGGGGTGGATATGCATTAGCATCAACAATAAAAACAACCCTCATCGCCGTCCTCAAAGCCAAACCACCAACCGCCCCCAAAAGAAAAACCAAAAAAAGAAAAAAAAAGGAAAAGAAATACTTACTTCCCCCGCTCATACGGATGCCTCCCATGACTCGGCGAAAGCCCATACAACCCACATACCCCCGCCGGAATGCGAATCGAGCCACCCAAATCCGTCCCGATGCCCAACACGCTCCCCCTGGCGCCGACAAGCGAGGCCTCGCCACCTGAACTCCCGCCCGAGATGAGCCCGCGATGGAACGGGTGCACGCACTGTCCGAACACGTGGTTATACGAGTCGGACATCATCATTGACTGGGGGAGGTTTGTTTTCACGTAAAGCACCGCGCCAAGGCGGCGGAGGGTCGTTGCGACGGTTTTGTCGGTGGGGGAGGGTTGGGATGTTAGGCCGATCCAGCCTGGGGGTGATTTGATTAGTGGGTAAGTAGTTTGGTCGGAGGGGTGTGGGTTAGGTTGGTAGGGTTTTTGATAGCACTTCCCCTGCTAACTGGGTTTTGGGTAGGGAAAAGCCGAGGGAAGAAAGTGACGGAGGGAATGGGATAGATTGGAGTCTTACCAATGGAAGTATCAACGCCTTTGACGGAGAACAGGTCTTTAATAGAGACAGGTAACCCATGCAACGGACCTACAAGACATCCCGTGGTCGCGAGATATTCGTCTAACTGTTCAGCTGCCTTGAAAGCCTCTTCGAAAAAAATCTCCGTGCAGCAGGTAGTGAGCTGGTGTGCGAGGGCTGCTCGTTTAGCAAACGCCCTCGTTAAGTCCAGCGAGGAGAGCTCTCTGGAATGCAACTTTCGGAGCAGGACGTTGATGTCGGTTTCCTCTGTCAGGGCTAACTCGGCGGGGGTCAGGATCCGACGGATATATGTCAGTGCATTGGGTGCCGAGTCAATGGATGGGATGGGATCGAGGCGCCATTCCGGGGGGATGGAAGATAGTTGGTCGGCGCGTTTTTGCGCGGCGAGTTGCTCGTATATAGGTGCCATTTTGTGTTGGTTGATGATTGGGATCCTGAGGGAAGAAGAGGGAATGAAGGCTACGGTTCTAGGGGGTTATATAGCATTTACTGTGATGGGGAGATACTAATCTGATAGAGTTAGACATGATGATTGGCAGAGTTGGCATAACAAAGAAGTCCTTGGAAGTTCTCTGCTGGTGGATTAGTAGTTAGGGCTGCATATCTTGATTGCTTTCCTCTTCGGGAAAGGGTTCTATGCGAGTCATTCGTCACTGAAATGGCTTGGACTAATCATGCAGCATGAATGGGAAACCAGGCTAATCACACAGGGCCAGAATCGAATATCATGCATTGCCTATATACTATGTATGCATCTACCATCTACACTATCACCCGATTATGTCTCCACCTCCGCTCACACTGCGCTTGTCCATCCGGATAGCGCGGAAAATCACCTAACTGGCAATTTCGCCAGTACGTCCGGAAAACGAAACACTGCGCCTCGGTCGTTGCATTCATCCCCGCTAAATAGACAGGCGTTGCCATGTGGATGTAAAACTGTGAGTTCACGTCCATCTGAGTCACGGACTCGCACACTTTATCTACCATGGACGATACCACGCGGGAGGACAGCATCGTTGTCGATATAGTATTAGTAGTAGGTGTAGTACCTTGATTACAGCCCGCGCGGGTAAATGCCACGATGGCCCCCGTATATCGATACACTACAGCCGCGCGACCCCGATCGGTCATGCAGTCGGTCGATTGCGATTGCAAGATCTGATCCATTGCGCGCCATGTGAGATCCACTGCATCAAGAGCGGCGCGTCGATCTCTATCGCAGTACTTCGCAAGATGAACAAACAAATCAAACGTCTCTGGCGGACAGCCCACGGAATCAAAAAAGCTCTTCTGCAGCGTCTCGCGGTGCCAATCATCGAAGATCAAGCTCCCCCCACGCATCAGAGCCCCCGTAGCGTCGAACCAGACCAGGTAGCTCAGGACATCGGCCAGACCGGTGATTCTGCGACTGAGCGTCTCGAAGTCGGCACGATTACGACAGTGCAGATCGAGTAAGGACCGCGCGCCGTGAAGATGGCAGTGCCAGCGTCCGAAGGAGCCGCTGCAAACTTCGAAGATGGCGAAGGTGGCGATGCCGAAGAGGGCGAGCGGGTGGGCGGATCCGACCAGTTGGCTGAGACCCATGAGGACTGCTACGTTGAGTTGGATGGATGTGAGGGTCGATGAGGTAGGTTGTTGTTGCTTGGCCCCGTTGATGCGTGAGCGCGCGAACTCGAGGGTGCGTGCGATCAGATCGATGGCTTCGGTGGGGAAGCCGCGCTGGGAGGCGCGGATGCGGTAGTAGCAGTTTGCGAGGAGGTCGACGAAGCCATAGAGGCCGATGGGGGTGTGGGATTGGGATTCATTACTAGTTTGGGTTTCCTTGGATGGGGTGGGTAGTTGAGTGGCCGGGAGGACCGAGGATGGTGACGGTGAAGATGACGGGGAGGAACTCTTCTCTTCCATCCATACCACTCGTCTGGGATATGTGCACGTCCGCCGGTCTTGCGCGCAAGAGCGACATCGAGGCCGGTTCAGGTCGCATTTGATGTTTCTTGCTCGACAGGCATGGCAGTGCCGGTCCCGCCGGATGCCTCGAGGCTTCTTCACTCTGCCGGTGTTATTCATGGTGCATTCCAATGGCTTGACTAGGAAGGCAGTCATCTCGGATCCCAACTTACCTTCTGGTCAGAGCGGGGTCTAGATTGCTTTTGAATGCCCCTCGCATCAAGGAAGGGATGCTTTGATAGCCTGCCTTGTTGGGATTAGGGCATCGCCGTCGGAGATAAGAGCGAGGAGAAAGCGGGGAAAATAGCCGGCAGGTCGGGGGATTCTATACCTGAATTGGGTAGTAGTCTCTTTTCCCATATCTTCTGGTACTCGCATGACACAATGGCGGTGATTACTCTCTTGGGAGCACGGCTTACACCAGGGCAATGTGTCGATATGCTTCTCAATTCGATGGAATTTTGTCCCCCATGTCGAAACTTACTACCGACTCGGTTCGTGAGTCATGTCGGCAATCAGCCCGCTAGAGGTCGGATACTGCCGGCGCAGTTACTGAGTCATTCCTTACATATCGGCTCTAGAGAGATTCAATCAAGGTTACCTCAATGAATCCGTCATTGATCTCATTATGCGGACTAATCCTTGTGTCTAGCCGTTATATGGGGACACCCAACAGAACACTGGATGCTTCCACTTGTATAGCCTTTAGCTGTGTATATTAAAGACTCCTATATCAATGAAGTTTTCCCACCTGTCCCTAAGGAAAGAAGAAATATCCAGCCCTTGGATTAGGTTCATTGATCGATACACTGCCAAGTTGCAGACAAGATGGATCGAGTTCAAGCGGAAGCGGATTTCTTTCGACAACACTCGCCCCCTGACAACCTTACTTCCCACGAAGAGCTCGCATGCAAGTTCATCAATTACCACCTGGAGACAGAGCGTCGTGTAGTGCTCGTGACATCAGGAGGAACAGCTGTTCCAAACGAGTCGCAAGCCGTGCACTTCATTGATAATTTCTCGCGTGGTACGAGAGGTGCTCGCTCTGCCGAGTACTTCCTGCAGAGCGGATATGCAGTGATCTTCTTGCATCGTCAGAACAGTCTGATTCCCTATGCTCGGCGTTATAGTCCTCCGAAGAAATGTCTTCTGAACCTCCAAGACGCAGACGACGGTAGTCCTGGTGGTAGAGATTCGCTCCGTAGAGGGTACGAAGACCAAATTCGTGATGCCCTCAAAAACCATCATTGTGCCACGGAGTATAATAACCTACTGCTTTTGCCATTCGAAACAATCTCTGACTACATGTTTCAGTTGCGATCAGTGACTACGCTTATGCAGCCGCTGCGCACTAAGGGGCTTGTATACCTCGCTGCCGATGTGAGTGACGTTTTTTTCCCTCCTAGTAGAATGCTTGGAAACAAGAATCAGCCCTCTCAGCTGCCCTTTCCCTTCAATCAGAGCGGCGTGAGATTAGTGGATAGTGCAAGAAATCATGATGAGAGTCATCAAGCGTTGCCCAAGAAGCCAGAGAACCCTGATATTGAGCTCAAACCGGTTCCAAAGTTCCTGAAGAACCTGGTAGGCGAATGGTTGCCAACCGGAAGTATGATTGTCTCGCTTAAACTGGAAGCTGACCCAAACATTCTGCTCCATAAAGCACGTAGCTCATTGCAGCGTTATAACCACCATCTTGTTATCGGCAGTCTGGTCTCTAGTTGGCATCGTGAGGCAGTTTTTGTTTCGCCCTGGCCGCGGTGCAAAAAGTGGGTTCGGGCTCCTGAGTTTTCGAAAGGCGAAGGATTGATTGACAGTTATATTGGCGAGGAGGTGATTGAGATTGAGAGTCTTATCGTCTCTGAAGTGGTTAGGTTGCATTCAAATAAAGTTGAGAAAGGACAGAAGGGACGCATGAGATGCGAAAGATTTTCGAGAAGAGCTTTTCGAAGCACGAAACGATGAAATGACCTTTCTAAGCCATTTACTGATGCACTATCAGAATACTGGTTACCATAAGCAAAGCCGAGCCCAATGATTCCTTTAAAAAAAGCTCTCACTCCACGAGTGGCTGTGTAGCCCCCGTGCAAAAGCCAAGACAGAAAGTGCAAGGCCTCCATGAAAAAAGTACTGCTTGTTGATAGGAGTATCGTACCTCGTCACTTCAACTTATTCTATTACAAATCAAGGGATCGGTCCGCAGACCGACGTTATGATTTATAAAGTCAGCCATCGTGCTCGTTGCTACAATCCTTAGATGTCACGTTATCGTAAATATGTCTCTCATATTCTGGTAGTCGAACTTAGTTAAGCAAAAGCGCATATTTAAACTCATGAAGCCCTACTTAACGTGCCATATACAACGAAAGTGAAAAAGACATACTCTCCTCGGTGGAACCATCTGTTGTAGAGCATAGTAGTTATACAAGGCCTTTTTAATCCGATCATTTCCAGATACTTTCTTGTCGTTCTCGATATCAAGAGACTCTGATACTTTCGTCTTTGTCCATATTCGAGCACATTTAGCTGATGCAAAAAGGAGAGCAGCGCAAAATGGATCCTGAAAGGTTGCGTGAGGAAGCGCAAGCCCCGATAGTATCGATTTGACCTGGGTTAGCTTCAGAAGAGCTAACTGCCTGTTTCCAGATGGACGTATGTGGGCCTTAGAACATGCAGGCTGTTATGAACTAGGAAGTCAAGCTGGTTCCGTTTGTTCCGCAGCCATGCCTCCACACCTACCGGCTTCTAGAGCAAATTCTATGAATGGAAGAGGAGACTTGCTGTCGCACTAATGCACCTGAATGCAGGGGTTGATAGTTGATACCCTGAACTTGTGGACCTGGGTGTTGGTGGTTTTGCCAGGGGCCCAGGATAGCTACGCCGTATTACAGATCGATATTACTTCGAGAAAAAATTTTAAGCACCTTCCGGAATAAATATAGAGTACGATCAATGACAAATTGCTTGATTGTATCAGCACGGAAAAAAAACACTCAGAACCGAGCCTAGCAGTTTCGTTGATCCGGACAGGAAGGGTCGTCAAGAACAAAAAGTGATGTTATTGGACTGATGCTTCGCGATAGCTAGGGGCAATTGTAGCAGCAAGTCTCTCTAACCCAACCTATAAAATCAGGGATAGTCAAGGAGAAATGTCTCAGGTCGGTGGCCAACGGTTGGATAGAAAGCATTCAACTTCGGTGAGACCCAGACCAACAAGACCGCTGGAAATGCCCATGTGTCAAGCCGCAAGCGAGATGGGAATTGTTAATATGCATGGGAAAATCTCGGACAATTTATTTTCATCCGGAGATTACAGCACTGGCATGAGTCCAGGCTAGGGCAAGAGAGTATTAGTGACTATTGTTAAGCAGAAGTATTGACCCAAGGCAAGCGGTATCCTCCGCAGTGGCTTGATAAAACCCGAACTACCAAGAATGCAAGACAATCTCAAACACGAAAAGGTCCCTAAGAGGAAGAATAAATGGTGAATGTCTCGGTCAAGGCCGGATCGAGGGATTTCCGGCGAAGCTTTTTGGGGCCAAGTGGGGAGGCGCTAACGATGGCTTAAACCACACTTTTCTCTGCTGCCTGAGAACCGTTCGCCAAATCAGCCCTAAAATGACTAAAAACCTCGTCCGGCACTCATATTGGCTGCCGGTCCTCGTGGAAATGACTGGGCGTTCTAAACTAGTCCGGGAATCCATAAACGCTTCTAGTAGTCCGGGTCCTGACTTCATTTCCACTTTTGCCCCTGGCCGAGTGTTCGAGACTCTTTGGCTGGTTGGCCCATCACGGAGTACTATGTTTGGGAATGAAGGCTCCACTGGCGACCAGAATATGAAGAATATAAGGATCCTGCAGGGTCCTGGCAATGGTAGGATTCTCTTCATCATCATTCCTTCATTCTTTTCTCTTGTTTCTGTTCTTTCGTTTCCCGGGCCTGGTTGATCGATTCAATTTCGCCCTGTTCATTCCTTCTTCAAACCACTTCCATTCTTTTCATCATGCATTTCTTTCAATCCGGCCTCGTCGCCGCTGCCCTGGGCGCTTTGCTGGTCTCTGCCGCCCCGGTTACTGACCTTGAGGCTCGTGGCTCCTCTTGTACCTTCACCACGGCCGCGAAGGCCAAGTCCGGCAAGGGCTCTTGCTCGAACATCATCCTCAAGAACATCAATGTCCCTGCTGGTGAGACTCTTGACCTGACTGGTCTCAAGACCGGTGCTACCGTACGAGTCTCCGTCCCCGCCTAAAACCGTACTACAACTAACTCATGGTCCAATAGGTCACCTTCGAGGGTGAGACCACCTTCGGCTACAAGGAATGGAAGGGTCCCCTGATCTCCATGTCCGGAACCGACATTACCGTCCAGCAGGCGTCTGGTGCTAAGATCAACTGCGACGGTGCTCGTTGGTGGGACGGCAAGGGTGGCAACGGTGGAAAGACCAAGCCCAAGTTCTTCAAGGCCCACAAGCTCAACAAGTCCACCATCAAGGGCCTGAAGGTCTACAACACCCCTGTGCAGGGATTCAGCATTCAGTCCGACCACCTGACCATCTCGAACGTGCTCATCGACAACTCCTCCGGCACCAACAAGGGCCACAACACCGATGCTTTCGACGTTGGCTCCAGTACCTACATTGTCATTGACCGCGCTACCGTCTACAACCAGGACGACTGTCTCGCTGTTAACTCCGGCAAGGTACGTGTCACTCCGGTTTTCCTTGTACTGCGCGAGAGCTTCGGCTAATAATACCTTCTAGCACATCACCTTCTCCAACGGCCACTGCGAGGGCGGCCACGGTCTCTCCATCGGTTCCGTCGGCGGCCGCAAGGACAACACCGTCGACACCGTGAATATCGTCAACTCCAAGATCATCAACTCCCAGAACGGTGCTCGCATCAAGACTGTCTACGGTGCTTCCGGCTCCGTCACTGGCGTCCGTTTCGAGGATATCACTCTGTCTGGAATCACTAAGTACGGTATCGTCGTCCAGCAGGACTACAAGAACGGCAGCCCCACCGGTAACCCTACCAACGGCGTCGCTGTCAACGGCATCACTTTCAAGAATGTCCACGGTAGCGTCAAGAGCTCTGCCACCGACATCTACCTCCTCTGCGGTTCCGGTAGCTGCAAGAACTGGACCTGGAGCGGCAACAACATCTCCGGCGGAAAGAAGAGCAACAAGTGCAAGAACGTTCCCTCCGGTGCTTCTTGCTAAGCGTCTCGCTGGTAGTTCTTTGGGAGATGGAGCGGTTACTCCACGGGACCTGAGTTTCTCTTCGGGTATCTAATAATTACTGCTTGACAGTAGTGCTATATACCACCTGTCAATACTGTATTTAGTACCCCTACTTATATAGACTTTAATACAACTGGACAAGTGCCTCATCAACCCACACCCTTAGTATCAGGCCTCATTACCTAGACTTCACCCGAATACTGACGCTGCGTGATTTGCAACTGCACTCTTCTGGCCCTCTGCCTCAGGCCAGCCAGGACCTTCCCGCTCATGGAGGCGCGCAGCTGATCGGGCCAGCGAGTGACCGCGTCCTCCACCACTTTCCATGCGTGATCCACCGCCTCGCACTCCTCTCGATAGCACAGCTCGTTCAGCAAAAAGGCTAGTGGGCGATACTGTTGGTATCCCGTCAGCAGCCAACTCCACTGCTGAGATTGTGGCTCTATTTTTAACCGCGCAGAAACATCGACGATGTCAATCGCTAGCAGAAAGAGTCGGTCCTGCACATGCTGCGACCAATTGTTTATGGGAATAGTGTCGGCACTGTACAGCTCAAACCACATCTCCATGATGAGGACGTGCGCCACATGTTGAGCTAGCCATTGAATTGGTTCCATCTCATTGCTGTGTCGGAGATACAGGTCATGGATCCTGGTCTCACATGCTTGTATGAGACGCTCTTTTTGGTTCAAATCAATCTGATCATGCAATTGGCGTCGTGTCATGGCAATTTCGAAGCGAACAAGAGCGAATGTCACTTCAGTCCAACCTTCTCGCGGAGTGGGTACTTTCGTGGCATTTGGATCAAGGTCGGCGTCATCGATGTTTAAAGGCAGTTCTGGAAAGGCCTCTTTGTCGATTACATCCTCTTCCCCGAGATCCTTGACTGCTCGATGATCTAGGTACCACAGGTTCCACCACAACCGGGCTCTCATCTCACGTTCATAGATTGTTAAATTGGATTTGCGAAATACTCCCGACCGCTTTGCCAGTCCCGTCAGCTTCCATGCAACACCGGGCTTGCCGCATAGTCGATTAATCGTCAGAAAAAGAACTAGCGCCTGCAATGTGCTCAGTTCATCATCGAGGAGAAACGCCGCGCGTGCCATTGACTGCTCTACTAAGTGACTATAGGCTGTCAAGGCTGTGTCCTTGTTCGTTTGAAAGCATTCCCGAGCTTCCTCCGACGTCATGCTTGCAATACTTGCGAAGTAAATCGCATGGACAAGAGCCTCCTCACTGTCACGTAGGGACTCTGACTGACAGACCGATTCAACAAGGAGTCTTTCTGCGCTAGTGCGATGCAATACTTTCACGACCGGGTCCACCCTTTCGACGAAGACCCACCAACAGGTTCGCGCTCGGGACAATGACGGGGATAAAATCACCGGTGGCTTGCATATCCGGATTGATATGTCCAGGTCCCACGATGTTGGACTGGGGATACGCACCAAACCCCCCTGTGACTTTGGTTCTGTCTCTGTCAACTGCTTTTTTGACGGTCGACTGCATGTCCTCACTGGCGATGGGTACGTACACGCCACTGACCACCGTATACAGTTGCTGCAGGGTGTTTCCCTGTCGCATTTTACTTTCCGGGCGCGACAGCCAACGCAGGCTTTAGGTTTGAAAATCAGGGGGGCTTTCATTGGTGGCTGCCCGGCCGGTCGAATCTCTTTGTCCATGGCTATATTGTGTGACTTTTTGCGTTTGCAACGCTGATCGACAGATGAACTCGTTTACCTGCTGGTAACTTTTGTGAAACGCATTAAAGCTCGGTGATCTCGGAATATGGAAGCCTGAACCCCTTACATCTTCGCCAGATGGCAGCGATGTTGGCAATACGAGGTGTGGCTGTGCTGCCAATGCAACGGCCTTTTCGTGATTCTCGCATTTCTCGGTGCTTGGAGGGATGGTGCCGTTTGATTGGCCAGTGCATTCTATACGAAATGACCTCATTCGAGGCTCTAGAGATTTGGAACTGGGTATAAAGTGCTGGGTATTTAACGATAGCAGGATCATTGGGAGTGCTTTGTATACCGAGTTTTAGAAGATCCAACGTCAACCCATACGGATTAAAAGACGAAAAGCATAAATTTCTATATCGAGGTACGTGAAGAATGTCCCCATATAGTGTTTGAGCCCATAGTTTCATGAACATCGAGTTCGTCTACTGACATTCAATAACAGATTGTCGTCTTCCATCCTCTCCCCATGTCTCAAATCATCTTCGAAGATCTTCATCTAGTTCCCAAATATGCGAAGGCCCATGGAATTGTCATGAGCCTCGCTTTCACCGTTATGATGCCCCTGGGTGTCTTGGCAATTCGTTTTCTCCGTGTCAAAGGGACTATCTGGATGCATGTTGTATGGCAAATGCTCAGCTGGATCTTGCTGCTTGCGGGGTTGGCGACTGGCATTCGTGTTGGGAAGATTCTTGATCGAGTAAGTGGCATCCTCATTTTGCAGACTTAGCGGAAAGACATGATCAAAATATCTACTCCACGAGGCACTGTACCCGTACTAAGCTTACAAAGAGGGATCTAACACCTTCTATCACCAGCTGCACAACAATGCCCACACAATCCTCGGCACCATCGTCGTCGTCCTCTTACTATTCCAACCCTTCATCGGATTAATTCATCATTTCCGGTTCCGTAAAACCCAGAAGTCTGGAAAATGGACCCGCCTGCATGTTTGGTACGGGCGTGTCTTGATTCTTCTAGGTATCATCAATGGCGGGCTTGGGCTGGAACTTGCTGCAAACACTACCGGTGGTGAAATCGCCTACGGCGTGGTAGGGGGTGTTTTTGGGGTGGTTCTTCTATTGGTTGCTGTCTTGGTGGAAGCGAAGAAGCTGCCTTTGTCCAAAGAGAATACTGAGCCGCAGGTGGAGGAGAGGGGGTTATAGAAGGTTGTATGGCTTGTTGAACGAAGGAGTGATGGGATTTGCTGGCCTGGGGGTTTGATGTTCGCTTGGTACTTGATCAAGGATGTAGTGAGGCATGTGGAAAGATGCATGCTTAGTATTTAATTGGGGTATTTGAAGATTTGTTAATAAGGCCGAAGCCAGGCTTGATCGTACGGGGTTATACAGCAGACAATAATTATCAAGTCATAGTCTCTTTCCTCAAGAAGCACATAATTCAAATTCATTAAATCATATCTGTCCTTGATACCTTCATTGCTTTGCATAGTCATAACACCCTAAACCATGATCAGACTCGGAAATCGGGCTTTTTAATGGTCAAATTCACATACGACTAGACACCCAAAAATGAAAAATGAACCCTAGTTCACCCCCAAATATTCTCACCATTCAGTAAACCGCACCCCTTAAATCCCACTCCGACTCTAAACCCCAAGACCAAACCCCCAATCTCCTCCGTCTCCGTCTCCACCGCAAAATGCCCAGCATCTAGCAGATGCACTTCCGCATTGGGCAAATCAGACTTGAACGCCTCCGCCCCGGCGGGGACAAAGATGGGATCATTCTTCCCCCAGACCGCCAGCAACGGGACCTGCGATCTACGGAGATATTCATGGAACTGCGGATACAGGACCAGGTTGTTCTGATAGTTCAGAACAGATCGACTTGGGCATCTGCGTTGCCGGGCCGTTGGAGGAGGGTATAATCTAGGGTGTATGATTCCGGGGCGATGGTGCGGACGGGGGACGTGCCGTGCTCGTATTGCCATTTCGTGGCTTCGAGACTGAGCATGGTCTTTGCGAGAGTGGATCGTGCATCTGGTGTGTTCTCGCTGTGCCAGAATTCGCGGATCGGGGCCCAGAAGTCGCCGAGGCCGGTGGTGTAGGCGTTCCCGTTTTGCGAGATGATGGCGCGGATGCTGGATGGTCGGGACAGGGCTAGTCGGGGGGCTGTCGGGGCGCCGTAGTCGAAGATGTAGACGGAGAATATGCTGATGGAGAGCTCGTCTAGGAACTCGAGTACCGTGTTGGCGAGGCCGTCGAACGTGTACTGGAATGTGTCTGGGACTTCGGTGAATCCGAATCCTGGGAGGTCTGGGGCAAGGATGTGGTACTTTGTAGCTAACATGGGCATAAGATTGCGGTATTGATGCGAGGAAGAAGGAAAGCCATGTAAGAGGAGGATTACAGGGGCGTCTTGAGGTCCGGATTCGCGGTAGAAGAGTCGGATCTGGGAGGTTGGGAGGTGCAGGTATTGCACCTTGGTAAGAGGAATGGGGACATGCTGATTATTGTGCGACAAATCACTTGATGAAAGACTGTCAAGGTAGGATCTCTGTTGAGCCAAGAAGTTTCTCTTATACCCCTGCACCAGATGAATTTGTCATGGCGCTGAACATGGCTGAAGAGAAGTTAGGGCTTTGCTTCACTACTTGGCAATCCTCTAGGTAGCGTTTTTGGCTCACTACAACCCTGCCTGTTCCGGCTTATAAGCCGCCATGCGTCCCCCCGAAGAGTAATTCCTTTGTCTTTTCTTTTTCATCTGACTTTCGGATCGTGGCTCGATATGAGGACGGGCGAATCAGATCCGCTTCTCTTCGTCCTTGGTCCGGATGACAGCCACCTCCGTTCTCAACTCATGAAGCAGCGACGTCATCGCTTACAAACCATCTTGATTATCAAGAAGAACTTTATCTTTCAGAAAACAGATCCCGGGGAGATCTTCTGCCACGAGTCGAGCACGGATGCGATTAATAGAAGGGCCCAGACTTGGATCCTGGCTCCGTGCCAGGGTCAGCTGTGTTCTGGCTTACTTGAGAGCCCGTTGCATTCGAGTGTGTCCACCAGATCAGGTCCATTCTCACAGGAGATTCCAGAATGAGGCGAATCATCAGACCGTCTATTGTATCACTGTGAGTGAACTCCATTCGTGCGTGGTATTCAATCCTGCTCGTGGCTGTTGACATCAAGTTAGGTATCCATGTTTTTTGGCCTTGTGCACGGCCAGTGGACTTCGCACAGGGCAGTTACCACGCATACCTACTCACCGGAAGAAAGCCTATTGTCATACAAGCGATATTTTCTAGCGCCTCCTTGCATCTGGATGCATTGTCCGTGTTCCGTGGGATAGAGCAGTATTAGCGACATACTGCCGCGCAGCTATTCTGGAAAGGCCAAGTCTTGTGGCAGATATTAATGCATCCATACGAGGCTTGGCTTCTAGTAAAGCTAACGAACAAATCGATTCCTTATCTTTACCTTCTGCTCTAGACAATAGAGCCCACCAAGCCAATCAGCCTATACCCTCCTCATTGCCTCACAGCCTCACAACACTCTTCTACGACTGCGCAGTTGGAGGGGATGCATGTTTTGTTTGGCTCGGGGGGCCACGATGCCAATGACAACGACAGTGAGAATGAAGATGATGTTTCAGAAGCGTACTGGCCATCTCACGCGCTAAGCATCGCAGAGATTCAAGACGTGGTAGGACGGTTTGCTCGCGCGGCGAAACGAGCGGTCTTCGACGCCGGGTTCGACGGTGTCGAGATCCACGGTGGGAATGGGTATTTAGTGGACTCGTTCACGCACGACAGCATCAACACCCGAGACGACGAGTATGGCGGGTGCTTGCGAATCGGATCCGGTTTGCCTTGGAGGTCGTGGATGCGGTTGTACAGGCCGTCGGACGTAGTCGGACGGCGATTCGTCTAGCGCCGTATCATGTCCTGCAGGGCGCGAATGATAGTACGCGGTTGGAGACGTTCTCGGCGCTGGTGAGCGAGCTGGAGAAGAGGAGGCTGGCGTATGTGCATATCGTGGAACCGCGGTATGATCAGTTTAGTCGGGGGGGGGGGGCGTTTTCGGGGGGTATTCGTCGGGGAGAGGATGGAATTGAGGCGAATGGTGAAAAAGTAGGGATGGAGGCGTCGATTTGCGTTTCGAAGGATTCTGAAGATCATGCCGGTGATTGGCGCTGGGGGCTATGATGCTGTGTCGGCGGCTAAGGTCGTTGATGAAGGTGAGTTGTTCTGCTTATGGCGCTTGATGATGCTTGTTGCTAATTGTGTGTCTATAGGTCGCGTGGATCTGGTGGCTTTTGGGAGATATTTCACCTCGAATCTGGACCTGCCGGAATGACTGTTTAAGACCGTCCGTTGACCAAGTATCATTGGCCAACCTTCTATACTTCTGGAAAGAAGGGATATCTGGGGTGGCCACGCTGGGATGAGCAAGCTAAAGCCAGGGAGTGATGAGACCCTGAGGGACTGCTCATCAAAGGACCAAGGAATTAATACTGAACCTAGATTGAATTTCAGCAAAGAATATATGTTCAATGGTTTACTCGTTTATATCATAGAAGTAAGGAGTCCAAGTCCTAATATAGGAATCAATAGAGAATGAAATGAATGCATAAGTTCGTTGCCTCCATTAGTTCCTGAAAAGCTAGTCTATCCATCTATCCAGCATGTTTATCATTGCCAATCATGCCATCTAAAATGTAGAAGCGCTTGTCTGACAGACCACGCCAAAACACCATGATTTTAGTTTTTCGTTAAACAAGACATCGCATCTAAGCGAAGAACTTGGCCTCACCCTCCTTGAGCTTCTTGCCGGCCTCCTCAGTCCAGGCGGCCTTGACGGCGGCGGCATCCTTACCGGCAGCGGTGAGACGCTCAGCGAGAGAAGCCAGCTCCTCGGCGTCGATCTTGCCCATGATGTTCTCGACATCGGTGAGGACACCGTCGATCTGGGCGGCAGAGGCATCACCGGACTCGGCGAAGTAGTTGACGTCCTTAACGGAGGCCTTAAGAACACGCTTGTTCTTCTTGGCGGCGTTCTTAGCAGCCTCCTTAGCCTTCTTCGACTTCTCACGGTCGGCCTTGGCGGCCTCCTCGGCGTCCTTCTTGCGCTGCTCCTCCTCCAGACGAGCCTTCTCCTTCTCCTCGGCCAGACGCTTGGCCTCGGCCTCACGCTCCAGACGCTTCTTGTCCTTGTCGGCACGAGCGGCCTTACGGAACTTCTTGATACGCTCGTCCTGGGCGGCTAGGTCGTCGACCAGGTGACGCAAACGGGCAGTGTCCTCGGTCTTGCGCTTGCGGCGGGCGTTGGCGTTCTTCTTCTCGACGTGACGCTTCTGGTCACGGCTCTCACCGTCATCGGGAACATCCTCGTCCAGGTACTCGAAAGTACGCCAGCTGTCGAAGTTGTACCAGAAGTTGTAGAAGTTGTCGACCTCCTCAAAGGTGCTGTTGTCGTCACCCAGCATAGGCACGGGCTGGATCTTGGAGAAACGGGCCTCGGCCTCAAGACAGCGGCGCCAGAGCTTGAAGAAGTTGCCCTTGGAGGCCTCCTTCTTGGTCGGGGGGTCGACCTCAGCGGCCTCATCGACGGAGTCGAACTGGCGGCGGCGGACGGGGTCCGACAGAACCTCGGTGGCCTTCTGGATACACTTGAAGAACTGGTCGTTCTCGTCGCTCTGGCCCATGGCGGCCTTCTTGTCGGGGTGGTGACGCAGGACCTTCTTGCGGTGAGCACGCTTGATCTGCTCGGGGGTGGCGCGCCAGCGGTACTTGGTCAGACCGAGCACGGCGTAGTGATCTTGGCTCTGTGACGGATTAGCGATTAGCGTTGATGGGCGGAGGGGTGAACAATGGATGTGCGCACCTTCCAGTCCTTGGCCTCACGAGCCAGGAGCATGGCGTCTTCGGGCTCGGAGATGTTGTCATCCTCATCATCCTCGGTCTTCTTGACGTTGTTCTGGGCCTGGATTCTCTCGTCCTCAGAGAAAGTGCGGTTGTGACGCTTCTAGAGGGTTGTTAGTGCTTGAACAGCGGGAACAATTGGGACTCCATTTTCAGAGTATGCCGATTGCAAAATCAGATGAATTTCAGCCAGAAGAAGAACGTACTCTGCGAGCGTGAGCGAGGAAGTGAGGGCCAACGGGCTCGATCGTGCGCTGGGTGGCGGCAGACAGCGAGCCAACGGCCTTGAAGTCCTTCTCGGCAGACCAGCCAGAAGGCAGGGCCGGCAGAGTGACGGTAACAGAAGTCATTTCGATGCGGATCGAAGCCAGCTGTACTTTGCGGCGTTCGAGATATACAAAGAAAAGAAAGGAGGGGCCCGAAGGAAAGTGGATGCTGACAAGAAAGAATGGCGGCGGCAGATAAAAAGTGTGCCTTTTTTTTTTTTCTCTTTTTTGATTTTTCTGCCCCGACATTCCGCCCCCGCCACGCCAATCAGCCGCCGGTGGTTTCGGAGATCAAATCGAATGCTTCAGAGACAAGTCGAAGAGCAACTACTTTGACGGCAGAATTTGTTGGAAGAAACCCTTAGAAGTTTTAATTCCTCATATCAGACTATTCAATTAGTCTATCCTCAATCTATCCTCACAAAATGGCTGTTTCCGCTCGCAGTGCCTATCGCCAGCTTCTCCGCGCCACCCGGGTCGCTTTTGAAAGTCAGTCAACCCTTTGTTTGTTCTCAATCGCACGACTCTAACATACTTTTGGATGGTAGATGACACCCGTGTGATGCTTGCTGCCCGTCAAGAGGCCCGTCGGAACTTCGATGACCACTCCCGTGTCGGAATCGACACCCCGATGCAGATCAACCACGCCGTGGAGGTGGCCAACATTCTGAAGCATAACCTCGTGCAAGGGTCTCGGGCGGCCGGGGATGAGAGTGCGAGATGGGGTATGTCATATTCTTGGAGCTGTGTGGATGTTGCTAACAGTCTGGGATAGAACTTAATATCCACGACAACATCGAACGCGGCGATAACGACTCGATCAAGGTTGGCGGCAAGAATGTCAAGGTTGACAAGCCATGCTCTGCTTAGGGAAATCTCAACGGGTGCTGGCCTACATGTTCTACACATGGGATGAGGCGATTGCAGAATATTTGCATTTGTACTTTGTATTATAGTATACCCAAACTTTTCTCTCCTTCCGGCGTCTTTTGGGGTATTTTGGATTGATAATAGCAATGTAAAAAAAGAGAATACACAAAACGCCCGCTTCGAATGTACATGTGGTCTTCAATGGTGCCAATATTTCAACAGGTAGAGCGTGTATCAAGATGTGAACCGTATACTTAATCTCCAGACAAGCTGGTGTACTGAATCTCGCCGCTGCCCGGGGGTGGAGCCACGATATTTCGGGGCGCCTCCGGCTTGTCCACGGCTTCCTCGCCCGCCGCGGTGATGGCCTTGTTGCCGGAGCCTGGTCCCCTGGATGTCCCGACGGCCGATCGTCCCTCACGAGCATGTTTCATTCTCTCCTCTCGGTCCATGTTGTCCAGCGGCTTGGGTTTACCCCACCGAATCCGCAGCGGACAGCCCTGAATGACAGCCTTTCCTTGGCACTGTTTGGCAGCAGCTTCGGCGCCCTCGCGTGTAGCAAAGTTGACGAACGCAGAGTGAGCGCGGTGAGAGCAGACAAGCGACCGAAGCTGACCGAACTCAGAGAAGAAAGTACGCAGAGTGTGCTCGGGAAGGTCATCCTCGACACCCGTAACAAAAAGCGACGTAACGTTGGGGTCCGCGGGGGGAAGGATATCGTCTTGCGACGGCGGCAGCTGAGCGGTTCCGGGGAACGGGCGACCGCCACGGCCACCGCGCATACCGCCCCGTCCTCTCCCAGGCAAAGGTGTCCCTCTCCGACTGTCACTCGTTCGAATCGGCCCCGGTCCGTTGCCATATCGACTATGCATAACGGGACCGTCGGCAGACGGCGCCTCGCCCTCCTCGTCGCGCGGAGCTTCGATCTGCCGAGGCTTTCTGTAGTAGGGTTCGCTGTGCGCGAGTCGCCGCAGCAGGTCGCGCGCTTTTTCGTCCGTCTTTTCGTATTCTTCTACCGCCCCGCGTCCTTCTTCGATCTCCTTCTCGTGTCCTTGGGCGTAGTATTCGCGGTTGATCGTGCTCTCGGGGCCGGGAGCCACCATCTTGAGAGCGGCATCACGCACGACGATGGGAAGACCGAAGGACAAATCGAGCATACAGCACTGGCAGCAGTTCTTCAACCGGGCGCAGGTCAAGCAGATGGCAGTGCGCTTGGTACGCGCGGTACGGTCGGCCTTCCAACGGAAGATGGTAAAAGGACGAGTGCACTATCCAACAGTTAGTTGATGAAGGGCGGAGAAGGCGGGGAATGGAGGACATACGATCTTGCATTCTGCGCCGTAGTCTTCCTTCAGCATCTGCACGTAGGGATTTTCGGGCAGGCAGTTTTCGCAGACGGAGGGGAAGTCGGTGGTTTCCCACCCCGACCGGTTGAGGTCTTGTTTAATTTGAGGCTGAGGCATGATGCAACACGGTTGTTCCGGCGAGTCTGGATGAGAAACCGGCGAAGGCACGCGTTGCTCGAGTGGATGCGCTTCGGTGGTCGGCGAAAGAATCACGATTATCGATAGAGTTCCTTCTGTGGCTAGAGAGTGGCGGGACCATGTGGCTGGTGAATGACATAAGCTAGAGTCACGTGCGCATGGTTCTTCGGTGGCCGCGGGAATCTCGCGTGGTGGAATCATCCGCGATAAGATCCCTCATCTATTCTGGGATTTAGAAATAGGTAACCTGAGATTAATGTATCGGCCAGCGTCATATAGTAAGTACGCCATATAGCATCTCTCTTAATCCAGTGCTGAGAATGGATTAAGAACCATAATGTTATGTAGAGCAAGTTCAGCACGAAGGGGATGATCTAGACCCGTCGTGTTCGCAGCGTATTCCTGCCGCGGCGTATTTGCGTATTCACTGCGCCACTTTGCCAGCCAATGGAATCCCGCCTTCTCCGGCTCGAACCCCGGATGGCCCATTTAGGACTAGCTCAGGTCGAGGTGGGTCGAATGCCCAGACTCCGATCTGTGATTGGCTGTGCCCCTTGTCAAAGTCAGTCGCAATTCCGCCTCCTTTCTTTTCTCGTCGATCTGCTTGCTGGCCGCTTATCTTCACCTGCTCTGGCTTGCTTTTTTTTTTCTCCTTCTCTTCTTCTCTTCTATTTTCAAATTGCGGTTTCAATTTCCCACTCTTTCATCTCCCTGTTGTTTTATCCTTCTCCTCGACTCGTGGTCTACCGACTACAAATTGCCCTCTGAGTCCCCTCCACTCTTTCGCGTCGTATACGACATTCTTTTTCCACCGAATCTCCACCCCTTTTCACACCTTGAATTACTCTTCACAATGGCCCCTACCGCTTTGGAACAGGAAGACCACGCGCGTGATGCGCAATTCAACAAGGCTCTTCACGGCAAGTCCTCTCAGGCGCAGGGTGGTTTCGCCGCCATGCGTGGAAAGGACGCTGCCGCGCAGAAGGCTGCTATCGATGAATACTTCAAGCACTGGGATAACCAGGATGCCGCCGACGAGACCGAGGAAACTCGCGCTGTAAGATATATCTTGCTCAAGTGATGCTGGGGGTAAACATTGACCAATTGACTCTTTGTCGACAGGCCCGTCGTGCCGAATATGCCACCTTGACCAGACAGTATGTTCACCGCATTTGCCAGTCATCACCTCATTTTCTTGTTTACTGACCTGCCCTTCCTCCCCATAGCTACTACAACCTTGCCACTGACTTCTACGAATACGGATGGGGTACCTCTTTCCACTTCTGCCGATTCGCCTACGGCGAGCCTTTCTACCAGGCCATCGCCCGCCACGAACATTACCTCGCTCACCAGATGGGCATCAAGTCCGGCATGAAGGTGCTCGATGTCGGCTGCGGTGTCGGCGGTCCTGCTCGTGAGATTGTCAAATTTTCTGACGCCAACGTCGTCGGTCTCAACAACAATGACTACCAGATCGAGCGTGCCACCCGCTACGCCGAGCGCGAGGGCCTCAGTGACAAGCTGAGCTTCGTCAAGGGTGACTTCATGCAGATGAGCTTCCCCGATAACTCGTTCGATGCCGTCTACGCCATCGAGGCTACCGTCCACGCTCCCGAGCTCGTCGGTGTCTACAAGGAGATCATGCGTGTGCTGAAGCCCGGTGGTATCTTCGGCGTGTACGAGTGGCTCATGACCGACGAGTACAACAATGACAACCCCGAGCACCGCAAGATCCGTCTCGGCATTGAGCAGGGTGATGGTATCTCCAACATGGTTCGCGTGTCTGAGGGTCTGGACGCCATTAAGAATGCCGGCTTCGAGCTCCTGCACCACGAGGACCTGGCGGACCGCGACGACGCCATCCCCTGGTACTTCCCTCTCGCCGGATCCTTCAAGCACATGTCCTCGCCCTGGGACTTCTTTACCATCGCCCGCATGACCTGGTGGGGTCGTGGTATCGCTCATCGCTTTGTCGGCGCCATGGAGAAGGTCGGTCTTTTCCCCAAGGGCTCGCAGAAGACTGCCGACAGTCTGGCTCTGGCTGGTGACTGCCTTGTGGCCGGTGGTGAGAAGAAGCTTTTCACTCCCATGTACCTCATGGTGGGCCGCAAGCCCGAGTAAACATTTCATTCTTCGCATCCTTCTCACCTTCTGAAAAATACCTCATGTGAAACGCCCTGTCCTGTACAAAAACCACTGTCTCCTCCGATTTGTACCAGCATTCTATCCTCTTCATCTTCCTTCTCATAGACTTGGCGGTCTTTTAAATCCTTTAATCTCGTGCCTCTTGTTTCTTCTATCTCTCTGTTTTTGTTATCTCGCTTCTGGCGGTTTTCAATTTTCTTCTCCTTTTCTCGAATGATTTTCCGAATTGCATGCCGCCATCGGATGCTATGTTTGTTTGCATCTTTTTTCCTTTTGTCACTGTCAAGGTCCTACGAAATCACTGCTGTGTATATGTCCACGTGCCCACGGTGATGATCGACTTGCATTATCCTCTTTTCTCTACTGTGTGTTCCTTTAGGTAAAGATAGGGTTTTTAATGTAACCGACTCATGAACGAAAGCCTTCTCTTCATTTGCCTTTTATTAACGGTGAATGATTCATTCAGGTAACTACTGGTCTCGTTAATATGTTTGCTATGCCGCGACTTGGAGATATTATGAAGTACAAAAGCCTATCCCCCAAGACAGGCTAGGCTACTAGTGCTGAAGGTAAAATAACCATCCAGCAGCATTACACTTTGATGAGGTGGTATACATACACCCCAACCTCCCTGGATATTTGGCATTTCTGCAACCCTTTCCAGGACTAACAGAGGGAATGACCAAGCCCGATCTGAAAGTAGACCCGAGACTTTACACAGACAGATTTCTCAAACACATGCGCTTCGTGGGTATTATGTCGTAGAGGAGACCAGAATGGTCTCGCGTCGTAAAGATCCCTGTGAAGCGAATAGAGCCAGATCCGATGCTCGGTCGTCCGTGACCAATTCCTATTATGACAAGAAGGTCATGATAAGCAATAAGCGAGCCGCGAGCCGTTCAGCCCTGTCTGTTTCTCGCGACTTTTACCAATTGATAATCTTTTATTGGCATGTCCGACAAGCTCGTGGAAGACTGGAAGTATGCACTACCGTAGGTACCTATACAAGACGGCTCCACCCGGGCCAAGCTCAACCGGTCGGGTGAGCCAGCGCCCGCACGTGCCCGGGACCCGTCGCCAAGCTTTGGACCACTCAGCGATCATCGACTTGCAACGTGCCGCATTGCGATGCACGACACGACCAACTTGCCATGTCCCCAGTGGGGAGAGTGCTGGAAGCGAGATGCTTTGACCATGAGGGGTACGTGGTAGTGCTATCTAGATCCATCGCGAGGGTGGACCAGGTTTTGCTGGAACAATCCGTCCTTAGCTTGATGTTCAGTTGGGAAAGATATATAAGGGAGGTGGAAGGTGCCTCTATACGTTGATTCTTTCTTAACCATCCATCAGCACAGCATCTACTGTTCAATCATTAGAGCACGCAGAGAACACGATGCTTCCTCAGCAAACCCTGGTGACCCTTCTGGGTGGCCTTTCCCTGGCCTTGGCCAAAACTACCACCAAGGAACTGCCTTCTCGTGCGGAGATCGAGGCTGCTCAGGCGACTGTCCTGCCTTACTCCCCCGTCTCCAATGTCAAGGGGTTGTCCTTCAATCGCTTCGTCAACATTTGGTTGGAAAACACCGTAAGTCTATCTTATACTATTCCTCAGCACTGCATGAGCCTGAGTCTGATTGAATACAAAGGACTTCGACGATGCAGCCAACGACCCGCACCTGTCCAAGCTGGCCGAGAAGGGTCTCCTCCTGAGCAACTACTGGGCCATCACCCATCCCTCGGAACCCAACTACTGTGCCTCCGCTGGCGGCGACACCTTCGGCATGGACAACGACGACTTCAACCAGATCCCGTCCAACGTGTCCACCATCGCCGACATGCTCGACGTCAAGAACATCGCCTGGGGCGAGTACCAAGAGCACATGCCGCACCCGGGATACCAAGGATACCGGTACCCGGAGAGCGGGCCGAACGACTACGTACGCAAGCACAACCCCAAGATCCTCTTCAACTCCGTCACCGAAGACGCCACGCGTCTGCGCCAAATCAAGAACTTCACCAACTTCTACGAGGATCTCGAGCACCACCGTCTCCCGCAATACAGCTTCATCACTCCCAACATGACTAACGACGCCCACGACACAAACATCACTTTCGCCGGCTCCTGGACCTACCGGTTCCTCGCGGAGCTGCTCGAGAACGAATACTTCACCAAGGACACCCTCATCCTGCTCACCTTCGACGAGAACGACACTTACGAGATCGGCAACAAGGTCTACAGCTTCCTGGTCGGCGGCGCTGTCCCGGAACATCTCCGCGGCAAGCAAGACGACACCTTCTACACCCACTACTCCATCATCGCCTCCCTGTCCGCCAACTGGGGTCTCCCATCCCTGGGCCGCTGGGACTGCGGCGCCAACCTGCTCAGCTTCCTGGCCGAGAAGACCGGGTACAAGAACTGGGACGTCGACACGAGTAACCTATACCTCAACGAGACGCACCCCGGCCCGATGGCTAGCAAGGCTGGTGCTTCTAAGTGGCCGGTACCGTTGACCCAGGGCCGCTGCTCTGCGGGCCACGGAATTCTGAACGTGGTGCAGCAGACGTGGAAGAACTTGACGGCTACGTTCAACTACACGAGTCCTGTTCCGTATGATTCGGTCAGTGGGAACAACGTGGGAGTGAAGTATAGTCGTGAACTGGTATGTGATATCCCTCCCCTTTACCCTCCATCTACCCCCTCTACCTTTCCTGAAATTGGAGTGACTAACTTACTTTGATTTGATAGAACGGAAAGGTTGAGAGCCATATCACGGAGTAGAGTAGACTACTCACCCACCATACCCTTCTCTACCCATCTACCTGTCTACCTCACATTCAATCACGTCCCGGCCAACCAAAAAGCCTCCATTCGATATGGGATAACGAAAACAATACTTTCATGTCTTAATAGTTCAAAAGCAAATAAATGAGAATAAACTTTGGTTCACAACTCAGTTGAAAAGCCTTTCAGAACTGTTTGTTTTCCGTAGAGCCTAGGAAATATACCAAAACGTAAAAGCACGAGTCTAATGAAGAAATAAAATACCTCAACCAGTGCGTAGGATAAGAGAAGCTTATCTCGAAGATGGGACTATTTATTATCAGACATCTCCAAATCATCCAAAACAATCGGAAGTTTCCACCCCCGCAGCAAGAATACCAAAGAGTAAATAGGCTTGAGTTGGCAGTGGAAAGAACCATGGAGTCTTATAGTTGATTTCATGGGAATCGTACCTGATCTGCTATGCAGCGGGTCTCATATTCCACCTCGCTGGGAAAGGAGTAGGTAATTGAATTCTCTGGCCTCAGTAGGTAGACCAGAAGAACAGATATTCTTTTCTGTCTTCTTTATCTGGGCTATTGTGAACGTTCCGTTTATTTGTGTAATAGATTCGGAGTAAAGAAGCTTCGCCAAGAAAAGAATCCAGCATGTAGAGAACCTTGCCTTTTGGCATCTAAAAACGAAAACGATAGAAACTTCTGGGTTAGCGAAAGATAGCTTGAATAGATCATTTCATTTGTGTGCATAGGAAGACTAGAGTCTCGAACATGAAAGGAACGCATCTAGTGATTACAGTCACTGGAAGTTCTTTGTTCAAAATTAAGATGTAAACAAACATAGTAAGTTTGTGATAATCACCTTCTTTCACAAGAAAGACCATCTCCCATTATATTGAAATTGACCCTGTCATGATGATGTAAATAGACTTGTAGAGACCCTAAGCACGCTTTACCTGAAACTATGCCTCAAAGGAGAACAATAGCAGGAGTAATAGACAAAATAAAGTAACCCAAATCGTAACAAAGGTCATCTTAAGAGCCTATCTGGACGCTTTCAAACTTTCCTAGTGAAAATGAGCAGAGAGAAAAGAGAACGATAGCGCCTGGCGAAAATGATGTGAGATAATCTGGCTCTTACTGTCCGTAGCAATGCGTGCCTCATAAAGCTGAAGACTTTTTTCCAAGTGACAACTCACGAGAAAGAACTCGAAATGTGCTAGAAGTCATGAGACCGTGCTTTCTCTCAGCGTGACCAGGTGACATCGTAGTATTAGAAAAGTATATTGGATTCTTCCGAGATGGCTGCTTCGTCACTTACCTTATGGTAGTCAAATGTTGCGACAGAGTAAAGCATATGGAGTGAAAGTCAGAATTTTGAACAGAAGCTCTCTTCCCAGTAACGCTGAGATTCAAAACACGACAAAATTTGTGTGTCATTCACCGTGCTTGAGTGAGAACATCTCTCGGAGCCAATCAGGCCCGGTGGCGGGTGTAGGCAGCCCCAAAAGAGCAACAGTGAGTCCCTATGAGACCACGTGAATCCCCGGACGCGCCCTAGTACCCAGGGACTTCCAAGGTTGTCGTCCGACACAGACGCGTGCAGGTCAGCTCCTCGTCTAAGCGAGAACATTTCCCCCTACTCACACCGTACAGAGAGGTTGCAGAGACACTACCTCTGTTGAATCCGTTCCTAATATACCTCTTTGTCCTTCTCTTAACCCTTTACATCTATCAGCTACCACGATGTTTAGCTACAACCAGTTTCAGAGCCATCTTGAAGTGGCTAGAGCCCGCTGGGAAAAAGTGCAGGCCAACATTCAAGCTGGAAAGGTTACCATCGATGGAGACAGCTTGACTATTGCCGACGTCGTCGCAGTTGCCAAGTAAGCTCAGCGCTTTTCCTTTCACTTCACCCTGCAAAACGAAGCTGGAGACTAACGAGCGATGGGATCAGAGCTGGCTGTCGCCCTCATCTGACCAAGGACCCTGAGAGAATCGCGAGCATCAACAGAAGCGTCAGCGTTTTGACTGACTGTTTGGCTAGAGGAGACTTCATTTATGGTAAGATATCCAATCATTCCCCGTAACGATGAGTTGATGACTGATGGATGCAGGGGTCAACACCGGCTTCGGAGGAAGCGCGGATTCTCGAACTACCCAAGTATTCACGTTGCAGAAATCCCTCTTGCAGTTTCTTCAGAGTGGTATCTTGACAGATGGTGACATCGGGGATGAGGGGTCTGCGCTGGAAAGCCATTCCATGGCGCCTGAATGGGTGAAAGCAACCATGCTGGTCCGCTGCAATTCTGTCGCTAGAGGTCACTCGGCTGTATCCGTGGCTTCTATCAAGGCAATCCTACGCTTGATCCGCCATAGAATAGTCCCCGTGGTGCCTCTTCGCGGTACCATTTCGGCCTCCGGGGATCTGATGCCTCTCGCTTACATTGTTGGGGCCGCTGAAGGAAACCCTGGAATATTTGTGCAGATTGGCAAGAGCCCTGAACGTCGGTTCGTTACCGCACAGAAAGCTCTCAACGCACACAAGATCCCAGGGATTACCCTAGGCCCAAAGGAGGCGCTTGGACTCGTGAATGGAACTGCGGCGGCCGCTGGCTTGGCTAGCCTTGTCTTGTATGAGGCCCATCAACTTGCCGTTTTATCCCAGGTCGTGACTGCAATTACTGTGGAGGCCCTCGCCGGCTCAAAGAACAGTTTCCACCCGTTCATTCACCTGACCCGCCCCCACGAGGGCCAGATGGAGGCTGCTACTAATATTTTCGCCGTGCTTCAGGGCTCTCATCTCGCGAAGGGAAATGAAGAAGTGCAGACAAAGTATGCAGGTTTGATTCAGGATCGATATTCCATCAGAACAGCTGCTCAGTGGATTGGGCCCCAGCTGGAGGACCTCGCGCTCGCCGATCGCCAGATTGATGTAGAGTTGAATTCCACCACCGACAATCCCTTGATCGACAGCTCGGCGTCACGATACTACTGTGGCGGAAACTTCCAAGCCACGTCGGTGACATCGGCGATGGAAAAGACTCGTCTGGCACTGCAGATGCTGGGTAAACTGCTTTTTGCACAGTGTACCGAGATGATAGACCCTGGTCTGAGCAACGGCCTGCCGACTAACCTGGCTGCCGATGAGCCTAGTGTGTCGTTTACTATGAAGGGAGTCGATATCAACATGGCTGCGTACATGTCAGAGCTGGCCTATCTCGCGAACCCGGTCAGCTCACATGTCCAAACTGCCGAGATGCATAATCAAGCCGTCAACTCCCTGGCCTTTGTGACAGCACGGTACACTATGAAAGCGGTTGATCTAGTCTCCATGATGGCAGCATGCTCTCTGTATGTCGCGTGCCAGGCCCTTGACCTGCGTGTTCTGCAGTTGAACTTTTATGGGAAAATTGACACAGTTCTCTTTGGGGCGATGACTTTTGCTTTCAATGACTTCCTCACCGCAAATGAAATTGAAGGGCTGTTCAAACAAGTCATCGTTTCCATTCAAGCTACCTGGCCCGTGACCTCCCGCCTGGACACCAAACAACGTTGCCGTTATGTTGTCGACAACTCCTTGCCCATAGTGGTGAGAGAAGTCGCCAAGATCCACCCGACTGGTCACCCCGAAGTGAATCGTCTCGTTAAAATCGACTCGTGGAGAGAGCTCGCTGCGCACAACCTGACCCTGGCTTACAAGGAGGTGTTTGATGAGTTCTGTGAAGAGCCGAATACCCATGACTACATGGGCGTTGGATCGAAGTTGGTTTATGTGTATATCCGGCGTCAATTGGGCATTCCATTTCATCAAGGCTTTATCGAGCATCTGTCGTGCGACGAGAAAGCGGCCAATTCCCTCAACGGAAGAGACAAGAAGACGATCGGAGCTTGGATATCGATTATCTATGACGCCCTGCGTAAGGACCATATGACTGGTATTCTTCTCGGTGCACTGCTTGCTCGCGTGGAGGATTAGGACTCGTTTGTTTAAGAAGTGGTTGGATCTGTTCTTATCTCGTGGGATTTCTGGTCGTGGTTGATGTCACTATTGTTTTTATTCCCTCTCCATGTAACCAAACAGATGATCTCCTATGGGTGACTGAATTGGTCAAATAAATGAGCTTTCGCTTTGGCTAGGCCCTAATCGCTCGATCATTCCGAGTAGATGTAGCAAGGTAGATGGAAAGTGAGCGCCAACCGAAGGATCAGTGAATCGCGTCCACAACTCCCATTTAGGAAGGCGCATGGCTGCCATTTTAAAAAGCTGCCAGGGCAGTCTATCTACTGCATATGAGATGTCCTTCACACGCAACTCTGTCAATCAAAAAATAGATAAGGGAGGCTTGTAAGTAGGCGTGCAATGCATGAATGGGATCAAGCGAGTGAAAGGGCAATGAATTTAGAATGCGGGGAAATATTTCCACTCAAGGATCTTCTACTTTTTCCCACCAACCGTCTGTCTCCCTTCATCCATGCACGCTGAGATAGCAATGCTACCTGTCGAGTGGGGAACTAATGGCCGTTTTAGAGGGGTTGTTTTTGCCTTTCATTGCCAGTGGAACTCTAAATGGAGATTTTTTAAGTCAAAACGTCTTTCTTGATCTAGTTTGAATCGAACGCTCAACACACTGTTTTCCTCGCAACTCCATCGTTGTCTGCGAATCATGACCTTCCCAAACACAATCTCAGTTCAGAGTGACGCTCTCAAAGTCAAAGTCCACATTGATGAAGACGGAGCAGCCTTTCTACAAGAAGTTGTCCCGGTTCCTGGCTCGACTCGCCCTTCAGCATCGAAATACTTCGCAAATTCGTTCGCTCCGCTTGTAGAAGTGCGTCTCGCAGGCGAAGGCACTGAGAAACATAAGTCCTCCAAGTCTCTCGTTGGAAGCTATTTGGGAACGCGGCTGAGATACCAATCGCACCACATCAGCACGCAAGCTGGAACCAAAACTTTAGACGTTGTTCTCGTGGACAAAGCCTCCAGAATTACCGTCACCTGCCATCTCAAAGTATACCAGTGCGTTCCGGTTCTTTCATCAACAGCCACGATTCGAAATGATAGCGACCAGGACATTTTGGTAACCCAACTCAGCTCGCTCGTTCTTGGGGGATTAACAACAGGTTCTGAGAAGTGGTGGTTTAATTACAAGCTGTCAGTAGCTAACAATTCATGGTTCAGAGAGGCGCAATGGATCGAGCATGATCTACCCAGTCTCGGGATCGATGATTACGGAGTCTACGGCCGCCCGGAAGCACATGCGGCCAGTCTGGCTCATTATACTGTTTCCAACCATGGAAGCTTCTCAACAGAAGGTCACCTACCCATGGGTCTGTTGAAGCGGGATGACAACGCAGAAACGTGGCTTTGGCAGGTGGAGAACAACGGGTCCTGGCGATGGGAAATCGGAGACTGGAAAGACAGCGTCTATGTAGCAGCGGGAGGGCCTGTCGAGGCGGGCCACGACTGGAGAGAAAGGCTCTCTCCGGGACAGGAGTTCACAACAGTACCTGTTTCAATATGTCACGTCTTCGACAACTACGAGAAGGCGTTCGCTGAGATGACGTGGTACCGACGGGAAATGAGACGGCAACATGAGGACCACGAGCGATTGCCGATCATCTTCAACGACTACATGAACTGTCTCATGGGTGACCCCACGGATCAGAAGATCCTGGCTCTCATTGACCCCGTAGTCGAAGCTGGGGCTGAGTATTTTGTGATTGACGCCGGATGGTACGCCGATGATTCGGGATGGTGGGACGATGTCGGGCTGTGGGAGCCTTCGAAGAAACGGTTTCCGATGGGATTCAAGGAGCTTTTGTCCCAGTTGAAAGCACGAGGTCTAACCCCAGGCCTCTGGATAGAGCCAGAGGTAGTCGGAGTCCGAAGCGTCGTTGCCCAACAGCTCCCTGAAGACGCTTTCTTCCGACGAGACGGTCACCGCATTGTCGAAAAGGGGAGATACCAACTCGACTACCGGCAAAAGGTCGTGAGAGACCATATGAGTAACATCATCCATCACCTCGTTACAGCATATGGTGTCGGTTACTTCAAGTTCGACTACAACATCGAAGTCACGCAAGGAACTGACGTCAGTTGTTCCAGCCCTGGATCTGGTCAATTAGAGCATAGCAGGGCCTACCTACGATGGGTTAGCGAACTGCACGACAAATACCCCAAGCTTGTTATCGAAAACTGCTCCAGTGGTGCTCAGCGAATGGACTACGCCATGTTAGCCGTACACGCGCTCCAATCCACCAGTGACCAGCAAGACCCCGATCGATATGCTGCTATTGCCGCGGCCCTTCCAACGGCCGTGACTCCCGAACAAGGGGCCGTGTGGGCGTATCCTCAGCCCGAATGGGATGACGAAATCAACGCAATGACTGTCGTCAACAGTCTACTGGGTCGTATTCACCTCAGTGGACGACTAGATCTTCTTCAGCCTCATCAATTTGCCTTGGTAAAACAAGGCATGGACGTCTATCGAACCATCCGATCAGACCTCAAAACAGCCACTGCATTCTGGCCACTTGATCTTCCTCATTGGCATGATGATTGGATTGCTCTCGGAATGTCGGCTCGAACCTTTGAAGGGCAAGATGCAGGGCATTCTTACATCTCTGTTTGGAGGCGAGGGGGACCTGAGTCAGTTGAGCTCCCCCTTGTGGCGTTCCGTGGCCGCAAAGCCAGTGTTCAGTTGCTTTACCCGGCTTCCTTCCCCACCGAAGTATCATGGGATAGATCTGAGGGCTTGCTCAAAGTTCATATTCCTTCGAATATGGCGGCTCGATTACTGAAGGTCACTGTGTCTTGAGGTTGATGCTTCTTCTTACATTAGTGGATATCAAATGGCCGTTTATTTTGGACGTAGATGGATATGTTTTATGCATGCACAGTGACTCTTGAGGGACAAATTCTGAAGTTTGATGCCGAGTTATTGAACGTGGAACTTCCATTGTCTTATCGAGTATTGGTTCCTTGAGGTCGAGGATCGTTAGATAGATATTTAACCAAGCACCCGTGATCTGGTAGTCTCTCTTGACTGGTCATGTTACTCCTGAACAATATGAACCTTGAAACAACGAAACTACATAGATGTCATATTCAACCAGAAAGGAGACGATGTCCTTTGCTCAGTTTACACTACAAAGAATAGACATTTCTCCACACCTCGCCCTACACAAAGCATTCCAACGAGCCGATAACTGGCAATCTCCGCCGCGGCAGCCCAACGTTGCATCAAACCCGCTTTCTAGGCCCTCGTTCGCTTCTCTAGACTCGTCTCGAGTGTCTCAAACGTCTTTCTGAAGACTGCAGGTGGCGAGATAGGATCAATTGAGTCATGTGCTAGTTGTTGTCCCCTGCAGTGATAAGGACGCAAGGGGTAGCTCGAAATAAGGGTCCATTCTCGGGAATTTGACGCAGAACGATGTGCTTATCTATTGGGTTGTGTTTGTTGCCGAAGCGGTGTGTTCATTGGTATATAACCCAGCGTGGGCCCATATGATACATTCCTTGTTAGGTAGTGTTTGAGAAGATCACTGTATTGATCTCGACACAAGGTAATTGAATTGTTTTATGTTAGTGGCAGTTGTATTCACTTACCCAGAAATAGTTCGTTCAACCGATAGAAAATGGAGAAGCCCAAGGCCGATCATCCGTCATCGGCCGACCTGGAGGCGCGGAACTCCAACGAAGACACACAATGTGCCGAGGAAACTGCTGCATGGCATATGAGCGTGGACGAAGCCAAAGCGGCAAACACCAATGAACATAACATGACTGTTCGGCAGGCCCTACGATCTTACCCTTGGGCGGTGATCTGGTCACTCACCATCTCCATGTCAATCATCATGGAGGGATATGACACCAATCTCATTGGCAGTTTCTATGGATATCCAGCCTTCCAGAAGCAATTCGGCATCGAGCACGGAGACGGATATCAGGTGCCCGAGGCGTGGCAGTCAGCTCTAGGAGCCGGCAGTAATGTGGGCTGCATCGTCGGCGCATTTCTAAACGGGTACCTGGTTAAGCATTATGGGTTCAAGAAGGTATTCATGGGGGCGCAGGTGGTCATGTGCGGCTTTATATTCGTGTCATTCTTTGGAAAGTCCTTAGGTCTTCAAGTGACTGGGCAGGTTCTTTGCGGGTGAGTGTAATGTTTCATTTACTAAGAGACTTCCTGACAGTGCTTCGATAGCATCCCGTGGGGCGTTTTTGCAACGATCGGACCGGCATACTCGTCGGAATTATTGCCCATGGCACTGCGACCATATTTAACATCCTACACAAATATGTGCTTCGTTATCGGCCAGTTCATTAGCGCTGGTGTGCTTCAAAGCTTGTTAAGTCGGGATAACCAATGGTCGTGGCGTATTCCGTATGCCGTACAATGGGTCTGGCCAGCACCGCTATTTTTCGTAGCCATTCTTATGCCAGAGTCGCCCTGGTGGCAGGTGCGCCATGGACAATACGATGCCGCCCAGAAGACAGTCCGTCGCCTAACTAGCGGATCGGACAGAGCTAACCCTCGACAAATAGTTGCCATGATGATCCATACAGACAGCATCGAACGGGAAATCGAGGCTGGCAGCTCGTACTGGGATTGCTTCCGAGGGAGCAATCTGCGACGCACGGAAATCGCTTGCGTGACGTTTGCCGGACAGGTGCTGGCCGGCAGCCAGTTCGCGTACACAGGCACATATTTCTTCGAGCAAGCGGGAATGACTCCATCGGCCGCATACAAGCTCGGATTGGGTGGCACAGCAGTTGCATTCGTGGCAACAGTTCTTTCCTGGTTTCTCATGAAGGGATTAGGTCGCCGACTCATGTATTTGGGTGGCATGGGACTGATGTCATTATATCTTCTCGTTATCGGCTTTCTGTCCCTTGCGAAGGATAACAACAATCTTCTTTGGGCGCAGTCTGCTCTGTGCATAGTTTGGCTGTTTACCTTCTCAATGACCGTGGGACCAATGGGTTGGTCTATAGCACCAGAGGTCTCATCGACGCGATTGCGATCGAAGACGATCTGCCTGGCCCGCAATGCTTATTACATTACGGTTGTGGTGGCCAATGTCATTGAACCATACATGATGAACCCGATCGCATGGAATTGGAGAGGCAAAACGGGCTTTTTCTGGTTCGTTGCTGCTTTCCTCACGTTTGTCTGGGGTTACTTTCGTCTCACCGAGACCAAAGGGCGGACTTTTGAGGAACTGGACATTATGTTCGCGGCCGGAGTGCCAACCAAAATCTTTGGAAGGTATCACGTCGACGCGTACGCGGAGAATGTGGCGATCAAAGATCGGGCAAGAGAAGGTCCACCCGAAGAGAAATCAGCCCTTACCATATAATCTCTTCAAGTTCCAATAGCTCATCTTCTGATTTTCGAGATGCATTTCAATAATAATTTCTGGATTATAAGGTCGTTTCGTCGCTATACCCTTTTATATGGAGTAACAAGACGTTCGAAAAGCTCGATCTGTATTTGACCAGCCGTAAGTTAGTTAACTGTGCCAAACACAAATCGCCTTTCGGATTGAACATCCTCACCAGTGACACCAGCAAGAAATTTCCAATTGATTGTGATAGACATGTCGGGTGTAAGGACCTCAGGGCTGATTGATCGTCAGGGTACAATGTTTTAGGGCAGTTTTGGGTCATTCTGGTCGACAATAATGCTTGCGCACACAAGACAGCCCCAGGATGATTCCATTTCTCACCCCACCTCGCTTCACTCCATCCTCACACTCACTTAAATTGCGTTCGTCTCACAAAGATTGGATATCCGGAGTTTTATTGCCAATTTCATCTTGGCTGGGCCTGACAATGAATGGTGTCGACCTCGAAAGAACCACTTCTCGGCAAGGCAATGATCCCTTCCAAACTCCGACTACCGAGCAAGGCGAGATAAACATTGCGGAAAACTACAATGTAGATGCCTTCGAAGACATCCCTCCGGATGGCGGCTATGGCTGGGTGTGCACATTCTGCGTGTTTATGATCACTGTGCACACCTGGGGCGTGATTAGCGCGTGGGGAGTAATCCTTGCCTATTTCCTGTCCAACTCGACATTTCCCAGTGCTGGTCACCTGGATTATGCATTCATCGGTGGATTGTCTATCTCCCAGTGCTTGTTGATTGGGCCCATTGTCACCAAGACATACAAAGCTGTGGGAACCACAATGACTTTACTGTTTGGCACAGCACTGGTCTTTGCCTCTCTTTTCAGTGCATCCTATGCCACAAAGATATGGCATTTGTTTTTGTCTCAAGGTGTGTGTTTTGGCTTCGGCATGGGCTTCCTCTACCTCACTGCCATGGCCATTCTTCCTCCTTGGTTCTCAACCAAGAGGAGCTTTTCTATCGGCATTGCCGCCTCCGGCTCTGGGATTGGCGGACTTGTCTATAGCTTGGCATCAGGTCATACAACCGAGACCATGGGCTGGCAGATGACCTACAAGATCCTGGCATTCTGCGCGCTGGGGTCCAATCTGGTATGCTCGTTGTTGCTGAAGGACCGCAAACAATCTCGGGCTGCTATCGCTGAGCGGACATTCAATTTTCGCGATTTCAATTTCCAAGTCTTTCTGATGATCGTATGGGGAGTCAGCACGGAGCTGGGTTTCATTGCTTTGATATACTCATTGCCGCATTGCGCGTCCTCAATCGGGCTAAGCCCACAGCAGGGATCGGTAGCAGGTGCTATCCTGAACCTTGGGCTAGCAATTGGACGGCCTCTGACCGGCTACATTAGCGACAGTTTCGGAAGAATCACGGTTTCGACGTTTATGACAGCCTTTTGCGCCATTGTCTGTTTTGCCATCTGGATCCCAGCACAGTCGTACGCGCCCCTTTTAGTGTTCGCCATTTTATCGGGAATGGTCAGTGGGACATTCTGGGGAACGATAACACCCGTGACAGCTGAGGTGGTCGGATTGAGCCGTCTGCCAACGACATTCTCTATGATCTGCCTTATGCTGGTTGTTCCAACCACCGTCGCTGAGCCCGTGGCTCTCAGCCTGGTGGCCAGCTCTGGCTACTTGAATACCCAAGTATATATCGCATGCATGTTTATTTTGGGCGCCCTTAGTCTTTGGATCTTGCGGTCGTGGAAGTTCTATGAGATTGAACGAAAGGCGGCACGAGAACAGGAGGGCGTATATAGATCGGAAGATGCACTGGCTAGCTTTCCGAGTTATTTTGGGTGGCTTCAGCCTCGGAAATTGTTTTTGTACGGTCGTGTGTAATGAATGACCCGGAGTCTTGCCATTTGGAGGTAAGGCATCAAATCGGTTATTCTAGGGAGAGATAGATGCAGGGGATGGCTATTGTGATGATCGGTAGGAATGAAATCAGGAGATTGAGATGATCACGAAGAATGGTCGTAGAGAAGAGAGAGAGAGAGGAAGGAATGAAGATAAGAAAGCGGGCATTTATCACCCGTGACCGGCTCCACCACACGCTGCCTTCTCCCCGTTCATCTTCCCGGTGGCAACGCCCGTACCTACAGTAGTAGTCTCGCTCTCCAGCTCAAATATTCAGATGCCTCCAGTTCGAAGACTACGTACGGAACCCATTGTTCGGGTTAGGACTGGTTGCTGGACTTGCAGACGCCGCAAGAAAAAATGCGATGAAGTCAGACCGGCCTGCGGAGGATGTGTCCGCAATAAACTCTCCTGCCAGTGGCCATCCAGTGTACCCCAGAATCCATCGGCAGCGGTAGCAAATGCTCCAGATACTACGACCACGAATCAACACAGACCCGAGGGCCAACCATCTAGCCCAGTGGCAGAAGAAGGGCATCGTGGATCAGTTGGTTCATTGGAATCTGAATCATCTGCCGCTTCTCCCGCCCAACTGTCGTGCACCTCGGACTCCGCCGAGCCTGCTGGCTTACGGATCGAAGAACATGTTTCTCCTGAACAGATTGCCCCGAGAAGGGACAGCTCAGTATCAGACCTATCTACTCTGGCCGTTGGGGGCCTGGTGCCTCGAAGTCTATCGATGCTCCCAGGCTACAGTCAAGAATCCTTTCAATTACTGAGCCACTATCTGGCGACCACGGCTGAGTGCATGGCCAATGGAACAACTCCCGTCAATCCATTTTTGGTACAAATAGTCCCGCTTGCTTTCACCAGTGACCTTCTTCTCCAGCTCGTTCTCACGCAAAGTGCTGCTCATCGTGCGTTCAGAAGCCGAAATGATTCCGACGAAATTGCTCAAAGCCACTATACGAAAGCTTTGCAGTTGTTCCGCAAAGGTGTCAACGAATTCATCAATGGCAAGGAATCTAACTCATTGATGTTGACTGTCGGGGCTCTTGTCATGTGTTTTACAGAGGTATGCACCATGTGCGACCGGTATAGAATGTCGGCTGACCATACTTGGCTAGACGGCTAAAGGAGATATCAATGGCACGATCTTTGATCATCTGTCTGCAGCCAACACGCTTTTGACACGGCTATTGTCTCTTAGTGATGCAGCCGTGCCTAAAGAACTGAAAGATTTCGTTATCGAATATTACACTTATACGGCAGCAGTCAGCATGATATCTATCGACGCCAGGGTCAGCCATCAGCTTTTGCTGAATTTTGAGTTGGAGCATCGGGCTCGCCAGCTCCTTGACTCTCAATATTTGGGCAATCTCTGCGGTTGCTGGTTGGAACTCCTGCTTCTAATTCCTTGCATATTCGACTTGGGTAGACAATGGATGATGTACGATGCACAACCAACTATGCCATCAGCAGACGAAATCGCCATGTACGGCTCACTACAAACGCAGATTTTGCAGTGGTCACCCTACCCTACCGTCACTCCCGAGGTATTCCTGGCGGGTCGCATCTTCCAACAGGCCATGCTTCTCTACCTATACACTGCCTTGAGCTCATTCACGCGGACTGAAAATGGTATGCACCAAGGGTTGATGAACACCGCTATTGTCGAAGGCATGATGTATTTGAACCAGCTCTCCGCGACAGTGCGAATCAACTCTGGGCTCTGTTGGCCTATCGCCGTGATAGGATCCTGCCTATCTCAAGAAGATCATCAGGCGGATTTACGGGACCGACTAACTACAATGGTGAACACATTTGGCCTGGGAAATATGCATCGAACGCTTCTCTTGCTTGAGCACATGTGGCAGATGCCTCTCGAAGAAGCTGGACCATGGAACATATGTCGAGCGATGCAAAAATATCAAATATGGATCTCATTTGCATAACGTGAATCATGGCTATCTTAATCATACAGTACGGTCATCATTCATGCTCCCCTTCCCCCCCCCTCTCGTCGTCCTCGATAGTGCCCTCGCAAGAGTATCTATTGGCCTAAATTCTTGGGGGCTTCAGTTGCGGGTCCCTCCGGAGTCACGTATGCTTTGGTCAAGCCACCATCAACCACAAAATCGGCAGCGTTGACGAAGCTGCTTTCGTCACTGGCCAGGAAGATGACAGCATGGGCTTGCTCAATGGCCTCACCAAAGCGACCGGAGGGGAAGTGAACCTCACGGCGGAATCGCTTTTCCTTGTCGTCTCCAAGCCAATCCTGCAACATTGGGGTGCTGCAACAGTTAGATGAGCAGCAATGAATTGGGACGAGAACAAGACTTACTTGAGGGGTGCAGGACACAGGGAGTTGAAGCGGAAACCTGATCGTTTTAGTAATGAGCGTCGCAGATAGGAGAATCAGCTCACCTTCGCGCGCATGCACAATTGCCAACTCGCGAGTCATGGCCAAAACTGCACCCTTGCTGGCAGTGTAGGCCAACTGCGGAGTTGCGGCGCCTACCAGAGCAACCATGCTGGCAGTGTTGATTACGCTGCCCTTCTTCTTCCCGTGTCTCCGCAAACTCTTGACGGCATGCTTGGATCCATACCACACGCCCTTGACGTTGATGTCCATGGTCAAGTTCCAAATGCTCTCTGGTGTTTCTTCCGAGTCGCCATCTTTCGCATGCATGATGCCAGCGTTGTTAAAGATCACGTCCAAACCACCCCATGCGTCCAGATGCGCGACGGCCGCCTCTACTTCCGCTTCCTTGGAAACGTCGACCACGCGGTATTCTACCTTTCCGTCGTGTTCTGGGACAACCTGGTTTACTTTCGCCAGGGCTTTTTCGAGGCCCGGGGCACTTATATCGGTCATAAGGACGGAGGCGCCTTCGCGCAGCATGAGGATCGTGGTTTCGAGACCGATGCCACTGAATTCGTTAGCAAAGCCTGCTTAGCAGCGGGAGTCGGAAATACGCACCCGGCGGCACCAGTGACAAGGGCGTTCTTTCCGGCGAGTCTTCCAACCATTGTGTGATGTTCTTGTGTGTGGTGAATAAGATGGTATGTTAAATCGATTCAGGCAGAGAAAGAGATCGCAAATTCTAATCAAATCGTTGTAGGTATTTGCTGAAGAAAAGAAATGCACTTTATAACCCCACCATTGCTATCGTTCATATGACCTCCCCTGCATCCCACCACGCGGTTAAGCTCCGACCGACCGACCAACCCTCTGTCAATTGAGTTTCTCCATTACTAAACGCGACTCCGACCTCGGTTTGGTTGAGCGCAGGCTCGATAAGCGCGGACAAGCACGCGAGTCTTGATAAGATCGACAGCGCGGTCCGGGACCGCGCTGTGGGGTTCTGTTTAGGCGGTCGACCGCGGGGTAGCTGGGAGCTCCCATGGAAAGCTTGCGAATAGAATGGAGTCGCGATGATGTTTCTGTTTCTAACCTCATCTTACCGAGGAATTGTGTAGTATCTGCAAGGGTCATTCGTTATTCGGTATAGGCCATGAATCGTGAATCAGAATTTGGCTTGGGCTGCCGGGACAATTGTTGAATCAATCGGAAGAAATTCAACTTTCTATTGACTTCAACTGGGACTGTTCCGAGTATGTCTACTAAATTCTAAGGGAAAAGATGCAGAGAGAGGTTGGACCAAGTGGTCTCGCAACCCCGAATGCCTGGTTCGTAAGGCCAACCAGCCGGGGAAAAGTCCGTAAATCTTCACGAAAGTAAGCCAAGACCAACTTTCGGGTGGTATAGGGGAAAGAGTCCATTCCAAGCTGCTCCTCACCGCGGATGAGATGGTTATTATTCGCGGAGTCAACACACCACAATCCACCGACCCACCTGATACTTCGAGCGCGGTCTCCTAATCAACTGCGTCACGCCTGGCACGGAGCATCTTAACCTATAACTACATCTTATCGGACTGAAAGCCACTTCTCCAACTTCTCATACTCTCACCACAGCACAACCATGTCCAACGCAATCCGCACCCTTTCTCCATCCACCAACAAGCTCCTCTACGAGCACCCGGGCACCTCTCTCGACGAGGCCCGCCAGCTCGCCATCTCCGCCCAAGATGCGCAGAAATCATGGAAACAGGTCCCTCTATCAGAGCGCAAGGCCATTATTCTCAAGGCGCTGGAGCTGATTGATGCCAATAAGCAAGTTCTCGCGGAAGAGCTGACGACTCAAATGGGTCGCCCCATCGCCTACACAACCAAGGAGATCGATACCATGCGCCTACGCGCTGACTACCTTCTTGGGATTGCCGACGAGAGTCTCAAGAATCTCCCCGGTCAGCCGCAGAACGGGTTCAGGCGGTTTCTGAAGAAGGAGCCCGTCGGTGTGGCGTTTATTGCGACGGCGTGGAATGTACGCCCCAGAACTCCGTCTAATTGGAAAATAATACACCGTTTACTTACAATAAACGTCCTACTATAGTACCCCTACCTCATCACAATCAGCACCATTGTCCCCGCCCTCCTATCCGGAAACGCCGTTCTCCTCAGACCATCCCCTCAGACGCCTCTCGTCGGCCAACGCTTCCAATCCTTCTTCACGCAGGCCGGTCTCCCGCCCAACCTCTTCCAGCTCATCCACTGCGGTTCTCTCGACGTGCTCGACCAGATCGTCGCCCTCCCCCAAATCAACCTCATCTCGTTCACCGGCTCCACCGAAGGCGGACTGCGCATCCGCGAAGCCACGGCCCGTCGCGTCGTCCCTGTGAACCTAGAGCTCGGTGGCAATGACCCAGCCTACGTGCGTCCGGACGCAGACCTCCCATACGTCGCGGCGCAGCTAGTCGACGGCGCAGTGTTCAGTTCCGGACAGAGCTGCTGCGCCGTGGAGCGGGTTTACGTGCACGCGGATGTCCACGATGCGTTTGCGAAAGAGGTGCAGAAGGAATTGGCAACGTATGTTCTCCCCTAGCCTTTCATCCTATATCCCCCGCTGCAGAATAGCTCACAAAGTGGTAAGATACAAACTCGGCGACCCCTTCGACAAAACCACCACCACTGGCCCCGTCATCTCCCAACAAGCCGTCAAGACCATCAATGCGCACATCGCCGACGCACTATCCAAGGGCGCCATTGACGCCACCCCCGAAAACACAACATTCTCGGCTCCTCCGCCCAATGGAAACTACGTCGCGCCTAAAGTCCTGATCAACGTCTCCCATGATATGCGAACCATGCGCGAAGAAACCTTCGGGCCCGTGATGCCCATCATGAAAGTTGCGTCGGACGACGAGGCGGTGGCGCTGATGAATGATACCGATTTTGGCTTGACGGCGAGTATCTGGACGAAGGATGTTGGCGCCGGGGAGGCGTTGATGGAGAAGTTAGAGGCTGGCACGGTGTTTTTGAATCGGTGTGATTATCCGAGTCCGGTATGTTTCGAGATCTCCCTGGTAGAGAATATTGGGTTGGGAGCCTGAGATGTTTGCTAACTTAGTTGGGTTGTAGGATCTGGCGTGGATCGGATGGAAGAATTCGGGATTGGGATGCACGTTGGGACCCCATAGTTTTGATGCGTTTTACAAGTTGAAGAGCTTCCATATTAAGGAACAGCAGGCCTGATTTAGTTATTGAGTAAATGTGATTATGGTTTACTCTTTTCCATATGTGGTAATTTAGGAGGCTGTTGTACAGCATATTGTTGGGCTGTTACTGTAGGTGTGCACGTTTGTTTGCTCGGTGCTTGCAGATATCTGAACGTGTATGTATGCTTATCAGGCCACTTCCCTATCTACAGTACCGGCCCTAACTACTTTATTCAACCTAAGGTCTGTACCTCCCCGATGGGCGACCCCACCCAATATCAATCTCCACAACATCTTGACGGCCGCTGTACCTGAGCTCTCACGAGAAATCAGGATTTGGCTCTTCAGGTGTCCCAAATCAGCTCCTTGGCAAATACTGATCTTCATCTTACCTGCTCTATTTCGATAATAGCACATATGGCCTGATAGGTGCCGCCGCTCCTGCCGCTGCATGAATTTCGAATGACTGCAGGACCTAAAATCTGACACAGTCAAACATGCATAACCTAGTTGCCAAATCCAGCCTTATCCCAGTAAGCTCAGTCGCTCGAGCCAAACCGGTTCAAGGAAAAGCTGGAATAGTCTCGATCCGTTTGAAAGTGTTTGACCGATAGGTAGGATTGCTCGCGTATGCTGTACTAGTTTTGCCCGGCTGATACTTACTCAGTACTTGCAGATTGCGTTCACTCGTGATACTGAGGCCATTCATTGCTCTGTTTCCTAACACCGAGGCCTAATTATCCCGTCTCGCCGAATGAACTGACTCGGCTGACGGCGCTAGCTGCATCAGCGCTACCTTCAGGCGGACGTACCCCTCAGAGTCCCCTCTTGATTCGGCCCCCTTGCAGGGGACTGAAATCGAGATAACCTGGTTCAAATGCATCTTTATCAGTTCAAATACTCTGGATAAAATGAAGAAACATGCAAGTTGCTGAACAGCCGGTGGGGGCGAAGAAGCCTCATGGCCGGACATCAGCCGGCTAGGCGGGTGGATATGCCAGGGTTATCAATCTTCTCTTTTAAAAGCTTCCAACTCCCGCCTCGCGCTACTGGTATGGCAGTTCGCATAAGCGAAGATTGATTATCAATATCATGGCCTCCACCGACGCAGGAGTAGATCTGTGTGCATACCCCGCGGGGACGCCACCGGGCCTCCAAGCGTCTAACCTAGTGAATCCGCCCTCATTAGCTGCGACTACGATCGCGGTGACGACGGTGACTTTGGTCTGGGCCACAGCTCTCACGGGAGCCAGAGTGTCTACTAGACTTCGCAAGCTGGGTTTGGCTGATTGTGCGTTTTACGCGACGAGCTTGGCTGCGTCAGTGCTAACTTAGCCGGCGTGTCAGACTTCGTGATCATAGCTTTGGTGTTTTCAGCAGCATATGTGGGGTTGATCTTAGCAAGTAAGAAGACATGATCAGGATACTTTCAATAAAGATGCTCAGAGCTCGCTACAGTGTTGAAGTTTGCCCGGCATCAATGGGATATTCCCGCTTGTTGGTACAATGGCGCGTACATGAAGGTACGGCCTTTTCCTCCCTCCCAACAGTGTTACTGAGTATATCGCGAAGCTCACGAATAAAATAACAACCAGATGCTATACGCCTCAAGCACTGTTCTATGCCCCACAATATTCTTCGCCAAGTTCTCCATCTTCCTCCTATATCTAGAGATCTTCACCATCCACCAGGCCATGCGAATCGCCATCTGGGTCGGGATGGTGTTCACCTTTCTCCTGTACTGGGTGGGCATTCCTGTGCAGACCTATTTCAGTGCACCACACATCGGCGAAACGTGGGAAGAGCTACTCTACAACGGCAGGCCCCATCGCTTGCCCTATTGGGCCGTTGTCCAGGGCGCATGCTCCGTGGTTTTGGACATCTATATCTTGATCTTACCGCTTCCGCTGCTGGCGCAACTGCAAATGCCGAACAGCCGGCGGCTACAGTTGTTTGTAATCTTCTCTACAGCGTTGATGTAGGTCTTTGTTCCTATCGTCTGGAAAGGCATTTCCCTCGGCCTTCCAGAAAAAGAAAGAAAGAAATAAGAAGGCTGATATTGCAAATCACGACAGGGGTGTCGTCGCCAGTGTCTGCGCACTCGTCTTTCGGGTGCAGCTGCTGACCACGAGCGATACTGCGTATGTTCAGAGTGCGGTTTTCATCTGCATGTAAGTGGTCTTTTAAACGTTACAATCATTCGGGAGTCGGATCCCATCTCACGTGTCCCAGCATTGTCGAGAACAACGTCGCGATCATCGTCAGCTCGATGCCATTCTTCCCGTCTTTCCTCCGCAAGCACATCCTAGAGACAGATCTGTTCAAGAGCCTGCAGTCCAAACTGACGGTTCTGCGACGTAGCTCGAGCCGGTCCGGGTACATGCAAGGATCGCTGGTAGAGCAGTCAAGCATTGAGGGCAACGGCTGGAAACAGTCTCGCAGGAATCTGCTGAAAAAGGACACTCCAAATCAGATGCACGAACTTGGGGATGTACCCAAGTCGGTGGTGGCGGTTCAAATTCATGCAGGGAGTCGAAGGACGAGTATTCACGCGGAAAGGGGGATTAACCGGGAGGTGAACATTGAGCAGGATACTCATTCAATTGTGTAGACTGAGCGATCAAGGATTGCTTTCACATTCTCCCTTATATACTTAAGTAGTCTGACCGCCGAACGGTGGTGTAACCCACGAGTCATGCTAGTAGCGCGCTTCTCTCTCAGTTCTTTGTCTCAGGAATTAAGGCGAATGGATGTTTGCTCGAGCTTGTGTATGCTGGAGACAAGGACTAGTCGCTAGTTTCGAGATGCTTGAATTGTATGAAGCCTTTGCAGTATAGCGAGGCTATATCCATTATGGATCAGTTGACATGTAGTGGTAAATTATATTAGGAAAGGTGCAAGTCCATATAAGCGAGGCATCCAACATATTCTTTTATGGATGAAGTACCACAGGAAATGTAAAAAAATTATGAAAAACCGTAAAAATTGTATGAAATGTTAGAAATTGGTTGAAATGTTCAATTCTGCAATAAAAAAAAAAAACAGATTTTTTTTATTTGGTATAGTGCCAATCATATTTCTACTTAGTATTTATAGTAGTATGATTTGTATCTGAGGGAGACCGTTTGTTTGAATTTTTTTGAGGCGTTTGGCTTGTAGAATAAGATGTTTGATTTGGAGAATGAGGTGTTTAATTTGAAAAATGAGGCGTTTGAATCGCTTGAAGCGCGGGAGAATATTTTGAATAAATGAGTGATTTTTTAGATTAATAGAATAGTTAAAGAGTTAGGTTTTTGTTAATAGAATAGTTGGGAAAATAGTTAATAGAATGATTTGAGCTAGCAGGATGGTCTTTATAGGATTTCAAGAAGTTAGTAGGATGATTTGAGCTAGCAGGATAGCTTAATGAAAATGTCAACAGAATAGTTTAATGAGAATGCTAATAAGGATAGCAACTAAATTAGCAGAATAATTTTGGTTTAAAAGAAAGTTAGATTATCAATATGATATTTATATTTATATTGGAATCGTCTTGTAGTTTTTATATTGGTGCTTAGAGAGCTGATGTGACTTTTAATCTAATACAACTATGGTGTAAAAATGCTTGAATTGTATGAAGCTTTTGCGGTGCAGTGAGGCTATATCTATTGTGGATCAGCTGACATGCAGTGCTAAATTCCACTAGGAAAGGTGCAAGTCCATACAAGCGAGGCATCCAACAACAGGAAATCCGGAACCCATTAGGCGATCCTTCTGGCAGTTGGATTCTAATCCGGGGTGGGTCTAGTGCCAACTTGCTGATGGAACAGAAAGGGAAATGCCCGAGAGAACCGAAGACAAGACATCCCCTTTCCTTTTCATGTGTCTTTACGACTGTCCTTTTGCATGCACTTCACATAAATCCACACTCTTTTCTTCCCCACACCAGAAAGCTCTACACTCTACAGGCTCCTTCACCTCGAGATGACCGCCAACCCCCGAACCATCCTCATCACCGGCTGTTCAGCCCATGGCATCGGAGCAGCTCTGGCCCTGAACCTCGCCCGACAGGGTCATTATATCTTCGCCACCGCCCGATCTCCGACAAAAGTCCCAGAGAGCCTAACCTCCCTGGAGAACGTTCAAGTGCTGCCTCTGGACGTTAGAGACCCCTCCACAATCGCGGACGCCGTGCGCGCAGTCATTGAGCACGGCCGTGGTCTCGATGTTTTGGTCAATAACGCCGGCGCCGGATATACCATGCCTCTACTGGACACGGATATGGATCTTGCTATGGATTTGTACGAGGCAAATGTATGGGGGCCGCTGCGCTTGATCAAAGCATGTGGCGATCTACTCATCGCTTCGAAGGGGAGGATCATTAATATGAGTAGTGTGGGTGCTGTGGTCAATACTCCCTGGCTTGGTGCGTTTTGACTCCTTCTTGATTCTCAATTTTTGAGCCGACTAGATAGATGGATAGGTTTCAAAATCCGACTGACCATAACTCCGGCTAACAACTCCCCCTTACTGTAGGCGTCTACTCCTCTTCCAAAGCCGCCATCACACAGTTATCCGAAACGCTTCGCCTAGAACTCGCCCCCTGGGGTGTCCGCGTGGTCTGCATTATGGCAGGTAGCGTCACCAGCGCGTTTCACGCCAACGAGCCCGAGGTGATCTTGCCCCCGACTTCGCGGTACGCGGCCATCAGACAAATGATCTCCGATCGGGCGACCGGACGAGACGACCTCAAGAGATGCTCGGCTGACGAGTTCGCGGCCTCGATTGTCGATGACGTACTGGGCACCGCTGGCGGGGTGGTTTGGAAGGGACCGTACAGTGCTCTCGTTAAGTTTCTGTCTCGGTGGTGTCCTGCGATTATTTTGGTTCGTTCTCTCCCACATGTTCCCTCGTCCGGATTCATTGTGTTCCGTCTGTTCTGTTTGTGGGGCTAACTAGTTCGTTAGGATCGCATGATGAGCGATGGACAGGGGTTGGATGAGCTGGCGAAGCAAGGGGGTAAGTAAAAAGAGAGACCTGTCACAAATTCATAGCGGAGGTATTAGAAACAGGGCAAAAAGCAGTATAGATTCTGTAAATAACTGCTTATTCTAGATGGAAAGCAAATCACACCAAGGATTTTTTAATTTCTTTGGATGCCCCCAAGACTTAGGACAACCCAGCAAGCCTTGTTGTCATTTATGTCTCGATAACGATAGATAGTAAATCTTCATCGTAGCACCTAATGATATTGAGAGTAATAAGAATGAGAGGTTAAGAAGACAATATAGGATTCACATATAACTCGTCAAGAAGCTAGATTTTAATATACAACAATGTCTTGTCCCTCCACGGCCATCACCGTTACCCAAACCTCAAGCATCACCAACCAACCTCCAACTTCCTCCCTTCAACCCATTCGCCTCACCACTCCTCAACCTCACCACCGTCCCATTCACACCAACCAACGATCCCTCCACGCCCGGCAACCTCACTACACCCCTCGTGCCCACCGGAGTTTTGAACTCGAACCTCCGATATACACTACTAGTACCATTGCCCTTCCTCTCAAACCTCACCCCAAACTTCCCCTTCACCGTCTCAAACCCAGCGTCCACATTCCTCAAGTCCCCGGGCTGCGGCGCAACCTCCCACTCCGCGCCCGCCTCCTTCGTGATTCTCAACCCAGCCGCATAGTGCGTCAACGCACTCGTCGGCCCCGTCGCCCAGCCATGCGCATGCGACACGCGCGGATCATTCGCATACGGCTCGTAATGCAAGGATCCATTGACACTGTACCCTTCGATGAAAGTGGAGTTCGTCATGCGCGGATCATCCAGCATGAAGCCCCATTCGAGACGCATGAGGTCGAGCCCCGACTGCGCGTCGTTGGCCAGAAAATGCGCCTGCAGTTCCAGGCTGCTGATGAAGGGAGATACGGTGGCGCCGGCTTCCGGGGCCGGGGCGCCGTATTTACCCCAGCGGGACCGGAGCGAGTGGGTGAGTTGGCGCGTTTGGGAAGTCGAGTTGGTCAGGTTGGCTTTGACGGCCCACACGTTGCCGTCTTGCGGGTGGAGGGTTGTGGTTTGGTTGTCGCGGTAGAGGCCCGCAGAGGCGTCCCAGAGGAGGGAGTTCGCGGAATATTTGATGCGAGAGGCCGTTCGGGTCCAGTTTTGGACGGGGGTCGTGTCGTTGAGGAGTGTCGATAGCGTTAGACCTTGCTGGAGGGTGTAGGAGAGGATGGCGTTGGCTTCGATGTTGTGTCCGCCCATTCCGAATCGCAACCAGTCCGAACTGGCTGTGATATTCGCCAGTCCGGTATCGTCAACGCTTCCCAGGGCCCAGTCAACCCCGAGCTTGAACTGGTCCCAGTGACGCGCCAACCACGCCCGGTCGCCCGAGTACAGGTAGTAGAAGTAGATCCCGATCAGACTCTGGCAGTGATACGTGAAGCTGACGGTATCGGCATACGGCGGGCTGGCATACGGGAGTCGTCCATCCTCCTTCTGCAGCACTAGCAGCCGCTCGAGCGCGTTGCGCATGCTATACAGGTCGTAAGTGCTGATGCCCACCACTTCCAGCTGCACGGACATATCCCCGGGCCAGACGAGACGATCGCGCTTCGCGCCGTCCGTGAGAACGCTGGACCCATTGGAGATGGTGTAGTTACTCCACCAGGGGACCGTCTCGGGCAGCTCGATGGTCTGCGTCTTGTTGATGATCTGGTACCAGACGAGCGAGTTGCCCATCTCCGGGTCGATCGTGCAGAGCTGGTTGGTGTACGCGCCGGCGTACCAGATCCGGTTGAGCAGTTCGTCGTCGCAGTGGAAGTATCCCGTATACGCTGTGAGATCCTGTTTCGGCGCGGCGGTGAAGTTGACCGTCACGCTGTTCAGAGATACGTCTGCCGTCGTGTTGCTCACGACCGTCATGTATCGGAATCCGCCTCGGACGTGCCTTTCCTCCGCCGTGTACTCTCCGGTCCCCGAGCCGACGTTGAACCAGAGGGGACTATCGAGGCCGGCGTCGGCAGTGGCATCGCAGGCTTCGCTGCTCACGTAGAGGCTAGACTCTGAGAAGGTGACGCCGAGGTAGGCGTCGGATGTGGAGGCATTTGCGACATCGAGGGAAACAATGCCGGCGATGTTCTTCTGGAAGTCGAAAGTGACGGAGGACTTTCCGTGAAATTTCGTGGGGGTCGTGCTGTTTTTGTGCAGCAAATAAGGTGCGAGGGATACGGAGCCCTCAGTTCGATAGATAGCAGGAGGAGTGAGAGTTCTTGAAGAGGGAGCCAGAATGTAGTCGGCATACGGGACCGCCAGAGCGGCGGTCGCCAAAAGTGGCAGAGAATATACCCTCATTCTTCCAGAACTAGTGCTACAGACCTACGCAGTCTCTTGGGCAGGGATCTTCCTACATTTAAATCTTCTCCCATACCGGCCCACAGCCCTTCTCTACGATCCAGTTCGAAAGAAAATCGTCATATCCAGAGCCAGAAAGTCGCTCATTCCTGGTTATGAACCATTTACACTCGGTGCCAGGTACCCCGACACCCCGAACTGTTAGCCGAAGAGTGGAAGACCCGCAATGTTGGCACGATGTGGTTCCCAACTCGACGCCGAATCCGTTCAATAGCCCTATCTACCACCGGTGTCGTCACTCTCGGCTTCATCCCGAGGGATTTTTTTCGGTCTGCGGAGGCCGTCCCCACGGGGTTATCAACCCTGACTGGCTCCTTGGTTGTCGGGTCGTCTAATGCCCCCCACTTGTTGATGGAGTCGGAATACCCGAATGACCACAAGAGTTCCTCGGGATCTGTAGCTGGCCGACTCTGGGTAGGGCTTTTGCAGTTGAATGAGCACAAAAGCTGGTGCTCTCGTACACAGTAGTAAATGGCGACATGGCATGATCGGGCGGTTGCCGAGTCGCGTGCCGAAATACTACATTTGGGCTATGATCCGAAGATTGCCCGTGGGTTTCGTGCAGTGGAGGACCTAATTAGTTTTTTTTTAGTTGTTCACATATGTCGTAAATGTCTTTTTACACCCTATGTTATGTACTCTGGTCGGCCCGTTGAGAGCCCTGTTTCTCGGCTTTGCGAGACCGACGGCTTGCGAGATCGAGTATCTGCTCGGATATCTGCGGCGTTTGATCACCTGTACGGAGGTGCATATATTTACTCCAGCTCAATGTGACTCAGACAGGCTTACGCCTTTTCATTTCATTTTCATGGTTTCTATCTTGAGAATGATTGGTCTTCTTCAGTACTATCTAGTCTTCCTCGCCAGCGTTCCTCTTGGTGAAGAATATATAAAATCGTTTGACATACCAACAACATAAAGTATTTATTGCTAGAAATATTCTAGGAGACCCCAAACATATAAACTCCTATACTCAAATACCCAAGAACTTAAAACAAAATAAACCTCCACACAGCCTCTCCAAACAGTAACCCATCATGCGGCTTTCCCGCTCTCTCAATCCCACTATAAAACGTCCGCTCACCAAATATCCCCATCTTATACCGAGCGTCCAACAAACTCGTAATCACAAACCCATCGTACTCCGGATGTCCCTGGACCGTCAGAATGCGACCCGGCATATATAGCCCCTGGACCTCACAGATGGGTGTCGAGCCGAGATTCACGCATCCCGCGGGGATTTCGTGGGCGATATCGCGATGCATTTGATGCAATGACTGAGAAGAGATGTATTAGTTAATGGGATTTCTGTCTTGGGTTTCTGGTTATAAACGTACGAATGTGTCCCTGGAAAACAGCTGCTTGCCCGCATCACTCAGAGAGATCTGCTCGACTGATACTTCCCATCCAGCGTCACTCCGACCGACTCGCGCACCTAATGCGCGGGCAATGATTTGATGGCCAAAGCAGATTCCGATGATGGGTTTCTTGTGTTGATGGGTTTTTTGGACGTAGTTGGTTAATTCGACTATCCATGGCGTATCTGAAAAAGCATCGTGTTCTAGGTATGCTGTCAGTGACTCCATCGGTACCGGGATGAGGGTTGACTTACTGCTTCCGGTTAATAGAAGTGCATCAAAGTCCCCTGGATCAGGGAACACTGAGTTCTCCACCACGTCCCATTTGGTCAGTTCAAGCGTAGTGTTCGTATTTTCAAGTGAAGCAAGAGAGGTGTTGAGAAGCCTCTGAAACATGTCGCCGTAGCTGCCATAGCGATCTTTGACGGGATCAATGGGGGTGTCACATTCGAGGATGGCAATTCGTGTCATATTTGATGGTTAGAATATTCGACAACTAAGAATCTGTATTTTCTCGACTTCGAGAGGCCAATGGCACAGAGTAAGCTCATTATGAGAACTGTTTACTCAGACTCCCCCGCGGTAATGCTTATCGGGGCTTATCTTATCGATAAGCGCGGTCTTTTCCCTTCCCCGCAGCGCGCTCCCCTTCTCCAACGCGGTAAACACCCAAATTGCTTCATCAGCTCCATCGCAGCGCGTCGTTCTCTGAGCAATAGACGAAAGTGGCTAACTCTGGTATCGCGATGACGATCTCCATGGCAGCATGGCTAGGTGCGATCCACCTCGGCATCTTTAAAGCGGTACCTTGAGCGAATTTACTCTTTCCTTCTCCCCATCTCCAATTGAGCAACTTTCTCAACATCATAATCACCATGACATCGCAAAATATTACCGTCGAGGAGCTCCCGACCCTCCTTGCCGATGACATCAAGGTCAAGGTCGCCGGCGTGGACTGCGACGGCATCCTGCGCGGCAAGGTGATGTCCAAGGAGAAGTTCTTGGGCATCGCGCAGAAGGGGTTTGGGTTCAGCTCCGCGGTATTTGGCTGGGATATGCAGGACATGCTGTACACGACCGACGCGAGGATTGCGCCTCCGGAATCCGGGTATGTGGATTTTCTCGCCGTGCCGGATCTGAGCACTTTTCGACGGATACCGTGGGAGGAGGATATTCCTTTCTTCTTGGTGCGGTTTGTGCAGAATGAGAAGCCCGTGTCGGCAGATGGTCGGAGTATGTTGAAGAGCATCTGCGACAAGCTGGCGGCAGCGAATTGCCAGGGTATGGCTGGTGGTATGTATTCAACGTTGGGATCTTCTTCGGGGGCAATTGCTAATGTGTACTAGTCGAGCTGGAGTTTATGAATTTCCAGACTCCTTCACAGGACGGATACGGTGCGCATGACCTCACGCATGATATCGCCGCCTTTCTCGAGAAGAATACCCCTGGCGCGCTTCGTCCCTTGACTGCGGGGAGCTTTTCGTACAGCTCAACACGGCCGGTCGCGCACAAGAAGTATTTCTACGACATCTTCAACATGAGCGCCCAGTTCAATTGTGGAATTGAGGGGTGGCACACCGAGGGCGGGCCGGGCGTATATGAAGCGGTAAGCCTGAATCATATCATTTGTAGAATCATTACTCATGTATCAGGCTCTGAAAGTATGCGATGTCGCGGAGATGGCCGACAAAGTCTCCTTGTTCAAGTATGTCCTTCCACCGCGAAGATAACGCAGCGACTAACGACTTAGGCTCCTGGCAAAATCGGTAGGAATGGAATACGGAATCACGCCCTGTTTCATGGCAAAGCCCATTCAAGGCCAACCAGGCAGCTCCGGTCACATCCACGTCTCGCTCTGCGATCTCGACGGAAAGAACCTCTTCGCCCGGGAAACACAAGACCCGAACGCGCCGTGGCCCGATGCAGCTGGACTGTCGGACCTGGGTCGTCAATTCCTCGCGGGTATCCTCGAGGCTCTACCGGACATTATGCCGCTGTTTGCGCCCACAATCAATTCCTATAAACGCTTGGTAGAGAACTTCTGGGCCCCTGTGAATATCACCTGGGGTCTCGAGGACCGAATGGCGTCCGTCCGCATCATCACGCCGCCAGTGTGCAAGCCCGGTGCCACGCGGTTCGAGGTGCGCATTCCCGGCGCGGACCTGCACCCTCACTATGCGCTGAGCGTCATTCTCGCCGCGGGCTGGCGCGGCGTGCAAAAGAAGCTGGAGATCACAGTTCCGCCCGTGTCGGCGCTGAAGCCGGATAGTCCCCGGCCGAAATTGTTGCCGAACACGTTAGAGGCGGCGATCCAGCGGTTCAGCGCGGCCAACAGCGTGGCGCGCGAGATTCTAGAAGACGAATTTGTCGACTTCTTTACCGCCACGCGCGAGCATGAATTGCGACTGTGGAGAGAAGCCGTGACTGATTGGTGAGTTTGACCGGAGTCCATGTGTTGGGACTTGGGAGATTTGCTAACGCGCCTAGGGAATTCAAACGGTACATCGAAACTGTGTAGCGACTCGGTCGAGTATAGAGTACAACACTTGAGCATGGTAGAATGCGCCTTCTGTAAATAGTATCAATAGCATCTCAACCCTCCCGCCTGAATAGGTAAAACAATGTATCTTTTTGGTCAAAGTGTGTAACCATACATTTTTCATCTATTGTGGAAAACATCTGTTATTATCTTGAAAGTGTTGATCACCTTCAAGTTGAACTAAATGATCTTGAATGAATGACCACAGTGAATTCTGGCTATTGAAACAGGATAAATAAGTGTGTGGTAGGAAGAACATGGAACACCTGTATGTCATTGAGAATTGCCAGACTGGATTCTTGTACGTTTTATAAGTAATACCTGGATATTAGGAGAAGAATATAGAGAAATGTATTCTATAGTTAGTCATTGGTTGTAAGGATCTAGGGCTGTACTGATTCACCGCCGCATTCCCCCTAGCTCCTCAGGTTATCTTCTCCCCGCCTATCAATAAAAGCAGCTGGAACAGACTCAATCGATCAAATCAAGTAAGACAATTTGTTCTGGGATCTGTTTGTATGTAGGTGTACTTCTACCACTAGCGTCTATTTCTATACTCGGCGTTTAACCTCTGAGACATATTCAGAGGCCAGAATTCCGAGCCAACAGCATGATCGTAGAGGTAAGGCAACGGACTGTTTTTCTTTATAATGTCAGAACTCAAAACTCTTTTCATCAACCGCCCGGGTGGTCTAGTGGTATGATTCTCGCTTAGTATGTCTCCACAGTTATCATCCGCTCATTTAGCCTTTACTAACAACAACTCCAGGGGTTCCAACCCAAGCATATCTGCGAGAGGTCCCGCGTTCGATCCGCGGCTCGGGCCTGTTTCTTTTTTGTTTTTCTTCTTTTTATCTGAAGGTCTATCATTGCATTCAGGACCTCCAGGCTCTTGTTTTCCCACCTCTGTTTGCTCTAAATTATTTTGTGGCCAGGGTAAATGCACATATGATGAATAGGCAGTAAGTAATTCTATAGACTGTCTGTACGGAGTACCATATCCTAAAATCCCCGAACAAGGAGGGTCCTCCTGTCCAAAGCAAAGGAGCGCATTGGCCCAACGTAGAAAACGCCCCTCCGTCGTCTTAGGTCCCGTCAATCCCAGCCGACTCCCTCAATTCGTTTCCTTCTACTCCTACTTTTGCGAAATCTGCCATTCCACGATATAATCCCCAATGGACTTCTCTCTCCAATCTCACGCCTCCTTCATCGGTCGGTCAATCAATGACCTCCCCACCCCAGCCCTCGTCATCAGCAAACCTACCCTAGAGCGAAACATCAAGCAATTACTACAAGATGTCCAGGACCTTGAGATTTCCTTTCGACCGCATGTTAAGACCCTCAAGGTATGGTCAATTTCTTTCAACGACCTGCTCTTTCGATATGAATGTAGCTGACAAAGTGAAACAAGTCCATCGAAGTCACGCGCAAAATGCTCGCGAACGGCCTCCACCGGAAGATCGTGGCGTCCACGGTGTGCGAGATCCGGGGGGCGATGCCGTTGGTGCAAGAGGGGATTTTAGATGAGGTATGCTCTTCTACTTACCTTGAGGACTACTTATCTGCTACTGGGTACCAGGCGACCTAGTTGGCCCATCCACTAGTTATTTAGTTACTGACTGACTGTACACCCGGATAGTGTCTCTACGGCATCCCCATCTACCCCAGCGTCCTGCCCCAGTTAGCAGAGCTGGCAAAGTCCGTCAAGATATCACTCATGCTCGACAACGAGCAGCATGTTGATGTCCTGGAGCAGTATGCCCGCAGCTCTGGGACCGCAGCTCCATGGCCCGTCTTCATCAAAGTGGATGTTGGGTCGCGGCGCGCGGGCGTGGAGACGACGTCCTCGGCGCTGGAGCGGTTAGTGGCGCGAGTTGAGGCATCAGGCGCAGCTTCTCTGGAGGGGTTCTATTGTCACGGTGGCCATTCGTATGGATGTCGCACGCGCGAGGAGGCCGTGGAGGTCCTTCGTGCGGAGATGGATGGCGTGGTTTCCGCGTCGAGGTATTTGGATCTAGAGCGTGATAGCACCAGGAGGGTTATTGTTTCGATTGGGTCCACGCCGACGGCCCATGTCGTAAAGGCTTTGAGGGAGGAGTTGCCGGGGAATTTGGAGTTGGAATTACATGCTGGTTAGTTTTATCGCTCTCTTCCGAGAGTTGATTGAGATTGGAATGTGGGGCTAACATTTGAGCCAGGTAATTATCCTGCGCATGATCTCCAGCAGGTGTCGACCGGTCTGGTGGGAGAGTCGGAGCAGGCTGTTCGCGTCCTGGCCGAGGTGTGCAGTGTGTATCCGGAGCGAAACGAGGCGCTCGTTAATGCGGGTACGGTTGCGCTGTCCAAGGAAACGAGTGCCGTGCCGGGATTTGGATACGTTGCTGGTCGGCCGGATTGGTCTGTTGTGAGGATGTCGCAGGAGCATGGGATTCTCGGACTAGGGGGTTCGAAGAAGCAGGAGAAGGTGGAAGACGTGTTTCGAGTCGGGGATAGGGTGATATTGTATTGCCAGCATTCGTGCATTACTGCTGCCGCGTTCCACGTTTACTACGTGGTTGATGAAGAGGATATAGTTCGGGAGACCTGGGTGCCGTGGAAGGGGTGGTGATCAGGACGACAACGTAGCATTAGAGATAGAAACGAACAAAATTAAAAGAACAGAACTATATAGCTACCCTAAATTAAACTCCCGCCCAGACAGAAATGCGATTTGAAGAAGATTTCAAAAGATGCTGGGTATTCATCATCAGCCATTTACTCATCCTCATCCTGAGCATCCTCCACAGAGGCAGCGTTCTTTCCATCCACGTGCCCATTTTGACCATCTCCGTTCTGATCATCTCCATTCTGACCGTCCTCTCCATCTTCACCCTCGGCTTCAGTCTCTGGCTGCGGCCCAGCTTGACGCGACTCCTGCTGCACCGCCTTGCCCTTCCCCTTGGGCTCCTTCAACGGCGTATCCAACTCACTTTTACCCTCAGCGCCGGACTCCTCAACCGCCGGGGTCTGCGGCTCGCCATCCTTCCCCTTCGCCTTGGCCCGCGCCCTCCGAATCAATCGATTGTGGAAGTCCTTGCCGTCAAGCTCCGGATCTTCCTGCAGCATCCGCCGCGCCGCCTCCCGGCCCACGACGGGCAATCGATCCACGGTCGACGATGCGCCCTGCGGAACGAGTTTCGGATCCAGCAAGCCCACCTGCACCAGTACGCTGGCCTGGTCCCAGTACACGTGCTCGGAGTAGAGCTTGCCGGCGCGCAGACTCACGATGCTGACGATCACGATCTCCACGCGCTTATTGGTCGGTGGCACGCCGGGTAGCATCCACGGGATCTCGTGCGTGTGCTCGAATGTCACGAAGAGCTCGTCCACGACGCGGTCGGTGCCTTGCGTGCGAGAGATCAGCCGTAGACGCATCGACGGCGGTAGCCTTTTCAAGAAGTGGTGCTCGTAGAAGCGGCGTAGGGCGTGTGTGCCGATTCCGCCGCTTATGGTGGGCGTGTAGGTCACTGTGGGAGCGACCTGGCTGGTATAAGCAGCCATGGTATCGGAGAGGTTCATGGAGAAGAATCTCGCTGGTGAATCATCGTTAGCATCTCATCTGCAGTGGTGTGCTCGTTGGGCTACCGGAAGTAGACTGCAGGTAAGGATACCTTCTAGATGCTCCTCCCATTTCTCCTCGATGTCCGGATCCTTGCCGAACCCCTTCCTCAGCATCTGCAGCGTGCGACTCCAGGCCAACTCGCTAGCCAGCCGATCATACTCGTCCAGGTCCGTCTCGGCGAACCCCGGCTGCGCGTGCTCGTACGTATACGCCAGGTGGCCGATGTTCAGGCGCTCGCCAGTGCCAATGCCGGGGTTGATCTGTCGCGTCGTCGTTCGTCTCTTGCCCTGCAGACCCAGCATGGTCGGGGTGGTCGTCACGTCGACCGTGCTGCCGGCCAGATGCGTCATGACGCGCAGCGTCGGGGGGAAGCGCATCCGGGGGTCGGGGATGTTGGTCGGGTAGTATGCGATGAGCGCGCAGAGACGACTCGAGGTGGTGGGTTTGATGTAGTAGTCCAGACAGAAGGAGGCGGCGTCGCCGAACGCTACGGGGGTGTTAACAACATATATCTCCTGTATCCTGTACCATCTCCGATGAAAGGGAAACTCACCAACAACAGCATAATTCTCCCCAACCCCCAACCCCTCCTTCACCGACTTCAATCGCAGGATGTAGTCCTTTCCTCCGCCGTTGAACGGCACGTACTGCACATCGAGACCCTCATCCTGCCAGCGGCGTAACAGCGAAGTATCAAAATCCGGTGTCTCAGCCGTCACGCACAACCGAGCCGTGTTATGGCCGGAATTATACAAAAAGCCACCCGCACCGGGGGCAGAAATGGAAATGCTGGCCATCGTAGTATGTACTTTTTGCTTTGTTATATAGGCGTGATTAGATTAGAACCGAGTCGATTAGATTAAGGTATCCGGGAAATCATCGAAAGAACGATAGGTACATCCGACCCTGAAGAGAAAAATGAAGGAGAAGAAGAAAAAGACGCAGGGAAGAAGTCGCAAAGCTGGTGGCAGATCGGCTGGACTTGACTTGGAGGATGCACGGGAATACGTCATTGTCCTTGTCACTCGGCGCCACTACGTCATCGCTGCAGGACGGCTGGGCATCATCTGATGGGGCCATTTATATTAATTAACGGGGTGCGCTTCAGTCAGTAATTTCTTTCTCTGTCCATTAAGGCGGAAGGATTTGTTGATTTGTTTCCAGCTGTCATTGAGGTTCCATGGTTCGGATGCTGTCGTGCCTGGTTTGACGGTGCTATTTTAATAATGGATGGGGCTATCCACGGTTGACATTGGCTTGCCTCGAGTTTGTTAGCCTTTGGGTAGATTAATTACTATAACATAAATAAGGCAAATTTATTCTAGAGCTCACTTCTCAATGCTCTTAATTACTTCTGGAAATAATAGAAGATTTTACATCCATCTATCCTTATTGATTCGTTTCTATTAGCTTATTTCTATTTCAATAAGATTTGAGACTCGCCCCACAATATTAGGAGGATAAACATCTTATGTTATCATTATCGATACTTTAATCATTTCAATGCCACTTCTTGCAAATAAGATCTTCACTAAAAGCGTCAAGCCAAAGCTTCCTAGCCATCATCCATTTATGAGCTTGATGCACTTAATAACATGGTTAGAGTTGATGATTCCTGAATAGGCTGAGCTCCTTCGTCTACAACCAGAGAATCCGATGCGCTACCAGGTACTCAAGAAGTCTCAAGCAGCTCTCTACTTCAACCAAGTAAATCAAACCATTCCATCCCCAGACTCTGTTGTCGAACTAAGACAAGCTGCATTCTGGGGTGATTCCCCGCACCACAAAGACCGGGCCATCCCCGACACCAACGGCTTTCTCTCCGGTGTTGAACAGCTTCAGTTCCCATCTTAAAGATGACGATGTGTGATACCTCTCCAGCAACTACATACGTTCTTACCACAGCCAAATTCTACCAACCTCAACAATGCCCAAACCTATTGTTCTCCACCTTGGAGACCCCATCAAATACAACCATGACTTCTACAACGGCCCTTTCTCCGACCGCTACCAAGTCATCCACAACGATGCCCCCGGTCGAGAATCCTTCATCCAAGCCTTGAAATCCAACCGGTTCCTTCCCTCACCCCTTTTCCCACCTGCATCAAGTCGAAAAAAACTAACAAAAACCACCAGATACGGCCCCTTCTCCGCCATCTTCCGCCCTCACTTCCAATCCGGCGGCGAAATGGGTCCCTGGAACCCAGACCTCATCTCACTCCTCCCTCCCTCCGTCCGCATCTTCGCCTCCGCCGGCGCCGGTTTCAACTGGGCCGACGTCGACGCTCTCGCCGCGCGCGGCATCTGGTACGCCAACGGCGCCGGGGCCTCCGATGACGCCGTCTCCGACACAACGCTGTTCATGATCCTGAGCGTGTTTCGCAACTTTACGAGATCGCAACTTGCGGCGCGGACCGCGGATCCGGAGATCTTTACGGCCACGCATAAGCTCATCGCGACGATCTCGCGAAACCCCCGTGGTCATGTCCTTGGGTTAGTGGGGCTGGGGAATATCAGTAAACGGGTCGCGGCAAAGGCGAGGGGGGCGTTGGGGATGGAGGTACGGTATTTTGATGTGGTGAGGTTGGAGCAGGAGGAGGAGGAGAGGCTGGGGGTGGTGTATGTGGAGTCGTTGGAGGGGATGTTGAGGGGGGCGGATTGCGTGAGCTTGCATACGCCGTTGAATGGGCGGACTAGGCATTTGATCAATCGGGAGACAATTTCGGTCATGAAGGATGGGGCGAGGCTGGTGAATACGGCGAGGGGGGAGGTGGTGGATGAGCAGGCGCTGATTGAGGCGCTGGAGTGTGGGAAGTTGTCTGCGGCGGGGTTGGATGTGCATTATCATGAACCGCAGGTTTCGAAGCGGTTGGCGGCTATGGAGAATGTCACGTTGACGACGCATGTTGGGGGAGGGGCACTGGAGACGAGGATCAACTTTGAGTTGAACGCAATGAAAAATATTCTGGCGGTGGTGGGGGAGGACGGGGAGATGATTGGGGAGCCGTTGACTCCGGTTAATGCGAGGGCTGTTAGGGAGGCGTTGAATAGGATGCAATAGAAAAGATGTCAATCTTTGATTACAACTATAAGTTTTGGCCTTGTCAGTGTCCTGAGTACTTTATACATAGAAAAGTAGAAGATAGAACTTCAAATTCAACTATATCGAGTCATCCATCTTTAGTAATATTTTGAATTTATAGAATAGAAAGAATCATCATAAACTGGCTCGCACCATCGTCTAACCTACAGCTTATAGCTGCACGTTCGTCTGAATAAAACTACAGATTTGTACAGCACAACTTGAATTTCTAGATAACCCACACCCTCAGGACCGGCTATCCCTCTCTATCCCTGCAGTCTTCTCCGCATTTCCCCAGATTCCGGCAAACCCCCGAGCTCAACCCGCCGATCTACCCCAGACATCGGACAGGTTACCGCGGACTCATGGCCTGCATAACAGTCTTCGACCTTTAAGATGGCCCTACTGCATTTGTCCCCGCAATTACAGCTCCGCACTCGCCGACTGACAGCTACCATCCTCACAATGGACGACAGAATCAAAGACACCCGAACCCAAAGCAAGGGTGATGTCGAAACCATCGAAAATGTCAAGCCGGGCCAACTGCAGCAGCTTCCACTGCCGGTAGAACTGGCGAGTCTAGAGCCAGAGGAGAAAGAAGCTCTGGAAAAGGATTTGGTGAAGAGACTGGATTGCTGCTTACTCCCTGCGGTTATTATTTTGTTTTTGATGAATATTTTGGATCGGTTGGTATTCGTTTCTTTTTCGCTCTGGGCCTGGGTTTTACGCTGTGGTAAGACTAATCTAGAGCAGGAACAACATCGCCAATGCAAAGATCGCCGGACTTCCGACTACGCTGGGAATCTCCAATACGCAGTATAACACCTGTCTGATGATTTTCTACGTTGGATGTACGCTACTTCTTCCCTTCCATCCATCATAACCTTCAAACTAACCACCTAGAAAGATATAATAACCCAACTCCCCTCCAACATGATCATCACAAAGGTCAAACCATCCCTCTACATTGGCCTCGTTACCGCCGCCTGGGGCCTCGTGTCTCTATGCCAGGCCTTCACGCGCAACTTTGCAGGCCTGTTCATCTGTCGCATCGTGCTGGGTCTCGTCGAGGGACCGTTCCTGCCCGGCGTCTTCTTCCTCATGTCCTGCTGGTACAAGCGGTCGGAATTGCCGCCGCGGATCGCGTTCTTGTATGGTGCGAATATGCTGGCGAGTGCCTTTGGGGGGCTGATTGCTGCGGGTATTGTGGCGAGGATGGAGGGGGAACTGGGGAAGCCGGCTTGGGTGGGTTCTATTCCCCCTCAGTGCTAAGAGGAATCGATTGAGAGGCTAACGTGGAGACATAGGAATGGTTGTTCATCATCGAGGGATCAATGACTATTGCTATCGCCTTGCTTGTCATCCCAATTATCCCGGATTATCCTGGGTCGACGACGCGGTGGTGGATAAACCAGGACCATCAATTACTCGCAGTACTCCCTCCTCCCATCCATCCACCTGCTCACCCAATGAATGATACAAACTAACCAAAAACCCAAGGACTGGCGTCTCCGCAACGAAAACGCCGGCATCATCGACGACGACCCCGAATCCCTCCTCTGGGGCGTCAAGCAAGCCTTCCTCGACCCGAAACTCTACATGTTCATCGTGCTGCAGATGTCGCTGCTCACCGCGCAGTCCTTCAACAACTTCTTCCCCTCGATCGTCGGCACCCTGGGCTACAACGAGACCATCACTTTGCTGCTCACCGCGCCGCCATATTTCTTTGCCTTCCTCTGCTCCTTGTGTATCTCTTTCCATGGCGCCAGAGTTAATGAGCGGGGATTGCATATCACTGTGCCGTTGGCGTTTGCGTTGTTGGGGAATTTGCTGGTTTGTTTTCTCCTTCTCCTCGCCCCTCTCGCATTCCTTTTCCGCAGGTCCATGACCAAAGATATCATACAATAGCTGACGCGAAAACCAATGAGATAGGCAATGTTCACCCCCTCCCTCGGTGCCCGCTACTTCAGCATGTTCCTCATGACTGCCGGCTCCTACAGCCCCTACAACCTCGTCGTCTCATGGCTCAGCTCCACGCTGCCGCGACCGAAAAGTAAACGCGCCGCGGCCTTCGCCGTCGTGAACCTCATGGGCGCTGGTGTCGCGCACTTTTATACTTCGTATATGTTTCCGGATTCTCAGAAACCGAGATATTATGCTGGTGGAGGGGTCATGAGTGGGGCGTGTTTAGTATGTGCGTGTACGGCGGTGGCGATCAAATTGCATCTGAAGAAGGAGAATCGGCGAATTGAGAGGGTGGAGAGAGAGGGGGATGGAGAGAGGGATGTAGGTGGATTGGTTGATGGGGTGGTGAGGTTCAGGTACGTGCATTGATCTGAGGGTGGGATTGGTAGTTGTTATTTACTTGACCTATATCCGAAATTCTACATTTCTATAGCTTAACAAACATGCTAATTTGATTACAATGTAAGAGCTACATAACAAATATTAAAATCTGAAATTTACTTCAATCGGGAGAAGTCATCAACATTATGAAAAAATTTTCAAAAAAATGCATTGTTTTTCGACAAAATCCCTTACATTTATTGTTTTGCATGTCTTCATATTTTACAATATCTGGGAATTGAAAATTCAAAAATTAATTTTATAAATTATCATCTTCACAAGAATTGCAAAAAAATAAAACACCTTCAATTATGTTCAAGCGAACAATCAATCAGATATTGAATGAAGAATCATCATAAATATTTATTTATCCTTCTAAAACAAACCTTTACTGATTATTCTCTATCTTTAGATCTCTATCGTTTATAACAAACAGAATTTTCAAGATCAAATCCTACATTTTATAATTGCCTGTCACTTGCCGTTTTGGATTGTTGAGCATATACAATTCAAACAAATAATCAATTTTGTTGCTTTATCTCCTTGCCGAAGACCGAGTCCTCTCAATCAAACACAAATTAAAAATTATTTATTGAAACTGTCCGAAGAAATATATACAAAGCTATTATTAAAATTCTCAAATATTAAACGAATGTCAATTGCAATTGATTACTAGACCAGCCCTAATCAAAAGACATTTTTTACTTTGATTAAGTATTTTCTAACGGAAAATATAGATTATCATAAAATATTATTAAACTTCCGACCAATATCTGGATCTTATATTAATAAAAATCTAACTGCAATTATTTTATTAATTTTACACAAACACAATCTTTTCAACCAATTGTTAAATGTGACAACCGATAATACTAATAATAATAATTCAATATTTGATTCAATTTCATCAGAATTCCGGACTCAACTCAATCAAAATATCCAATTTTATAATATTCTTGTCAATTCCGACTTTGTAAAAATCATTCAAAATCAACATCATATTCCTTATCTCGCTCATATAATTCAACTTGTAATCAATGCTTTTTTACGGAAATTTCGGATTGAAATCTCAAACAATACTATTGAATATATTTGAAATAATAATAATAAAAATTTTAAAGTCTTTTCCGATATTTCAAAAACTCTTGAAAAAATATATCTTAAAAACCGTTTGTAAAAACCTTTTTTAGACAGTTTTTAGAGATCTTTTTTTTGTAATAATATATTATATTAATTCTTGATTACAGATTCAGAAGATTGCACAATTTATAAATACAAATTTTCAATACCGTGAAAAGTTCCAATTTATCCAACGATTTGAATCTAACTCAATTTACTATCTTTTTCTGAATTGCAAAACCCGCTAGAATTCAATTTATTTTATAATTTGCTGAACGCTCAATCTCCGTTAAATAATTAAAAGCTTTATTCAACACTGTAATCATACTAATATTGATCATCTTCAACCAACTTTGATTGAATGAAAACAAATAAAATATCTACTCGAACTTCTATACTCATTTTTTCTTTTTACATTCTGTTTATCTGAAAATAATGAGCCTACTGTTCACAAGATCTATAATATCTACAACAACCTTTTTGATTATCTAAATCACTTCATCAACCGACTAATAAAAAAACAAACATTTTAAAAAAAGAAAATTTTCAAAGGCTTGCAAAATGCACATCAAAAACTACAGAAATACTATCATTGTACTTATTAAATAGAAAATTATATCTACACAATTACAACGATTCTTGATCCAATGTCCAAATTCAAAAAATTCAAAAAAAAACACATGATTTGATAATAATATCAATTAATATAATGAATATTAGACTATCTTTAAAAAAATATTCTATTTCTATCACAATCAAAATCCGGCTATCAATATACCGTCCATTATCTCCAAATCATTTTCAGATCTGAATAAAGTCTTTTACAATATCTTTAAGCACCAAAGACTCTCACCCGTAACAGAAACATTTGAGAAACTCAAAACATATTTAAATGTTGAAAATATGTAACTTATCAATTTGTCTTTAATTTAATTAACACTGTTCCAAATATTACAGAACATACTAATATTCTTGTTTATTGAAAATTCCGTTATAATCAATTTCTTATTTTTTATCAGATAACTAAAGATTTTCTGTCTATTACAACTAATAATATCAATATTGAACGTCTGTTTAATAGTTCTCGAGATATCTGCCACTATCATCAAAATCACCTTCAGTCTGACATAATTGAAACGATTATACTTCAGATGTGTACTGATCATTTCATTATAAATGAAAAATACTAAAATATTTTCAAAGATCTTAATCCAAATTCAATCATCTTTATGCCTAAAAATCAAAAAAAGAATGAAATAATTACTACCTTCTATATCAATGAGAATGAAGATATAAATGATCTAAAAAATAATTTAAAAAATAAATTATTATCAAAAACAAAAAAAATAATTTTATCTAAATTTATAAACATCACACACTCTCAAATAAAGATCCGTTTTTCACAATTTTTACACCATCATAATCACTATCTTGAACAATACAAAAAATAATTAATTTATATATCTCATATCAAATATTATTCTTCTTATATTAAATTCTGTAAAAATCTTTTTTAAAGCATAATATATCTCTCGGAAGAAACAGATAAAATAGATAAAAAAAATGAAACAAATAAAACAAAAAGAACAAATAAACTAAATATAAAAAATATGACTATACTGTAATTAAAAATATATTACACTTTGTATATTATTTATGTAAAAGAAATGTATATATTACCAATTAACCTGCGATTAATAACCTATCTACTATACCTGACCTTCCTGATCGGCAGGTATAAACGGTTAAAGTAACAGTTGTACCTTAACCTGACCGCCAGGTTATGGTCAGGTTAAGGTTAAGGTATAACGGTCAGGTTAAGCCACTCTAGATGGGTCCCCAATGGGCCCCTGCAAAAGCCCAATTTTGCATAAAATCTTGGTCTTGGCGTTTATAAAATTGCTAAATAATCAAGATAAAATACTGTTTTTTACATCTGTTCCAGTTTGTCGACTGAACTTCTTTGTAACCTTGCCTAAAGCAGTAGGAAATTCTAGGAAATCTTTTTTGAATTAAAGAAAATAAAGCTTATTTTAAGCTATTTATTTATGAAAATGTTATATTTCAATTGTTATGATGGTGTACGGATGGTTTATGAATGAAATTAATGTAAACTTGTCTAAATATATATTTCAAATATAAAAGAATGTGTGTATCTTTTTGACAAAAAAAAATAAAAAAAAAATTATTTCTGTTTATTCTGATTTGTTCATTCTCTACATGAAATGAAAGCTCATTTTCTTTATTTTAGAATTCTAATCATAAACGACAGTATAAAGAAGTGAATTTGAAAGAATTTAGCTCTTTGTATCAATATTCTATCTATATATCTGACCGGATGAAAATATTTTAAAAGTATCTAAAACCAAGTTGGACTGAGAATGGACTATCAATGAACTCTTGTGAGCTGTTCGTGGGCTATTTATGGGCTTTTGTGGACTTTCATGGGCTTTTATGGGCTCTTTGTGGGATTTCCTGGGCTATTCATAGGCCCTAATGGGCTTTATTGGGCTTTGTTGGGTCTCGTTGAGCCAAATACATTTCATTTGTGATATATAGGCTTGTTTGTGTGACTTACTATCAACAGCTAAATAAATCAAATTATTAGAAATCCTTCTTCTAATCATATATCTATCTTCTTTATTTTTCTTTTTTTCTTTATTTATGTATTGTATACTTACTTTATCATATTTCAAAATCAACAATCTGACTTTGCATCATCTTTTTATGATGCAAAAATAAATAATCTAACGTTTTTAATTTCTTTAAATCACGCAATTATTTTATTTGACAGCCAATATCCATTTGATGCCCTTGATCTTTTGACTTCTTCATTTATTCGATCAGCTATTTCTTTTATAATTCCATTCTTTCTTGAATGCGTCGGGCCTGATCGAAGAAAAGCATATGTGTTTTATAATGAAATGATTCATAGTGAATGAGTAGATTGGTGGTTACAAACTGATTATGGATCTAAAAACAAGATACATTGAGACTCAAATCATCTTTTAGATATTTGAAAGCAATATGATTAGATCGCTTTTAGTATAGATGGCGTCTCAAAGATTATATATAAATGTTGCAGTCAAATCTTTGAACATCTTTATTCTACAAAAAAGGACATTAAAAAAAAAGAAAAACATTATTAGACTTCCGCACAACCCAACATAACCCGGACCCAACCCGGACCCAACCCGGGCTGGGTTGGGTTTTGGGTCGAAGACTCCGACCCAGCGTTGGGTCCGGGTTGAAGTTGGGTGACCCAGCCTGGGTCTGGGGCCCCAACTTGGGTTACAAACATAACATATATGCCAAGATCTGTAACATAAATATAATATTTTAATTACTAAGCAGCTTTATGATCAAAATTATACAAAATTATGCAAAAGTTGGGTCGAATTGGGTTATATTGGGTTTTATTGGGGCCCCAACATTGGGTCCGGGTTGGGTCCGGGTTAGAGAAGTTCAACCCGGACCCAGGCTGGGTTGGGTTTTGGGTCGAGACCTTCGACCCAAGTTGGGTTTTGCGGAAGTCTAAACATTATAGCTTATCAACAATAACAAAGTATCTAAAGACCGCTGCGTGTCAACGATTTGAAAACAAACAAAAAGAATGAAATCATAAAATTTTTACAAAAAAGAGTATATCTAATATTCTATTACTATACTTCTTTAATTAATAGTTAATTATTTTACTAAAAATCTGCTCCGACTGACGTTCCTTTCTCATAATCAGCCTAAAAAAAAAGATTTTATCATTTCTTATAATCAATCGGCTTTTCTTTTATTTAATCGAACATTTAATATTTATAAGTTTGATTAAAATAACTCACAATACATTCAATATGCCACAAATCCTATCTGCAATGACGATTTGTCATCGGTTAAAAATACTAGTCAAAAATCGGCAACAAAGGATTCTTAAGATGTTTTTTTCAGATTCAAAGATATTAATTGCGCTTGATAATTGGATATTTTCATTTTTTCAGACATTTCTAACTATAACTGACTACTTTATTGATGCTGATTGAATATATTGAAAAGTATTTTTTGGTTTTAAATCTCTTCATGAAACACATATTAATTTGAACATGAATAATGTTATTCTTGAAACACTGAATAATTATTAGATTTAAGATCAGATCTTTGAATTAATCAGTGATAATGCATCAAATAACAAAACACTAACTAATTCTTTTCAGCAGGCTTTATCTAATAATGTTAATATTATCTAAATTTTTTGTTTTGTTCATGTTATTCAACTTAGTCTGAACCAGCTTCTTGATCGTCTCAGAACAATTTTACAAAACAATATTATAAAAACAAAGTGGACTAATCGACTGTCATCTTCAATTAAGACAAATATATAGCATCAGAAATATAAAATCTCTTTTATTTTGAACAAAATCCATTCTTTGACAATTTATATTCACGGAAGTCTTTTACACCAGAAAGCATTCAACAATCTTCAAACAAACGATCTCAAACTTTTATCAATTCAAAATGTAAGAATTCGATAGAATTCAATCTTTTTCATATTCTATTGCGCGAAATGATTCCGCGATATCTTTACACAATTTTGTGTGGATTATGATTGCAAAAAAATAATATCAAATAATAAGAAATGACATCAAATCAACTATCTTTTTTATATTATTGAACCATTCTTTTTCTATACAACAAAGCTATTAAAGACTCGAGAGATTACAATATATCTTATTTTCAAAATCTATAATGCGTTTTTTGAGCATCTTGAAAAATTAATGAAACAGTTCTGGCGAAAGTGTATTTCATGAAAAAAACAAATGTTTGATTCTTTTGAAGTTAATCAATCAAAGCTTAATGAATATTATTTGCAAACAAATAGAATTAAATCACATATTTATGCGATTAACACAATGTTTGTTCTTGATAACAAATTCTAATTTTTCTTATCTGATGATTGGAATAAACAATAACGTGAATTTTATCGGATATCTTTCCAAGAAATTAAGATTTCTTATCAAAAACATCTTTCTATTATTCAAGATTCTATTATTCTCTTTATCACAATCAGACCAAGCTCAAGACTTAAAAAGATATTGAATGAGCACAAATCACAGTCAAAATCAATGAGAGATGAAATGATTCAATATCTTGATAATGATATGTTAAACATATTATTTTTTTTAATCATATATTAATATTCTTAAAGATACTATTGACATGAAATCCCTTCAATTCTGAAAAAACAATAAATATCGATTTCCAGTTATTGCAGCTTTTGCACAAGATATTCTCTCTATTTCAGCAACAAGTGCTGATGTTGAACGACTTTTTAATACTGTTCAAGATATCTGTCATTATCGCCGCAGTTGAATGAAATCTAAAACAATTGAAAAAATTATGATGTTTCTTTGTACATCAAGATTTGATCTCGAAAAACAAGAAACAGAATTTTTCAAAAAATTCTTCTCTATCTATGAAATAGAGACAGCAAAGAAAGAGAAAAATGAGAATTTAAAGAAGATTGAGATAGAGCCGATTAATGACACTAAAAAACAAAAAAATGAAGAAATAATAATGATATAGAGCTATACAAAGTCTAAATTACCAGAGAATATCACACAAACACGAATTTCAGGAAGATTCAAAAAGAGAAAAAATAAGAAAGATGATAAATTTGAATATCATTAATATATTGAATTACTGCTTTTTAAATAATATCTTAATAACTAATCTCTACACGCTGACCGCTTCAGCAAATAAGAATATAAGATATAATCAGACAAAATAAACATTACAATAAATCAATGATCGCTTTTCAAGAGAAATAATGTAAAAGAAATACTCAATATTACAACTAAAAAATGCATAAATTATGCAGTCATAAGATCGGAGCATGTTTGCACTGTTTAGCCTAATTTGAGGGCCCATTTGGGCCCCATCTAATGGCCGTGGGCCCCTGGGCTCTGATGAAGTCTACTTCATATAAAAAGGTGTGTTCGACAGCCCTTGCTCAGACATAATCTGGGAGATAACTTTCAGGATCTCTCGGCGGCTAGGAAGCCCGATAAACCTCAAAACACTGATGGGAGGACGATAAGGATAGTCTATATTCACGAATACAGAATAGCCCTTTTGTTCCACAAGGGATGGTTCTAAGCACTGTGTGGTCGGTGTGTTTGGTTCTGTCGCGTGTTCACTTGGGTTTGCTTCTGTGGACATGTCAGTTATCGTTCTCAATGCGTATGTAGTCCACAATATTACTGTAGCCCGCACCTTTTACTTCTAGAGCTGCCGTGTCCTGAGGTAAGAGGTCATATTTCATGGGCGTTAATTGATCGGCATTGACTGATAACTCCGGTTCCCGGGGCAGAACGATCCTGCATGTTGGTAGCTCCTTCTTGGTTACTTGGTGATTGTGTTCGATAAAATAATCCCGCACGCGATTCGATGATAGATCATGTAAGTCTCGCAGCGCGCACATTGCCTCCATCTCCCAATTTTACATGACTTCAATTCGCTCACCATTGGCTTCTATTATATATATTCAAACGACAACCTTGCCCTCCGTATTGCAGGTCACAACATCAATATTGTTACCAAACACGACGCGAAGATTTGCTGCAAATTGATAATCATTACTTGATCGATAATTCATAAAAGTTAGGGCACATTTATTGTTTGCTCACGATAGAAGAATTCACGGCTTGGAGATGCCTTCATTGTGATATTAATCTCGGTGACAGACTTCGATGCTATGAAAAACTTCCCACGTAAAAACGATACGATGCTGGCTATAAATACTCGCAAATCCTACTCGTGAATCCCTTCATGTAACTTGGAGGTATCGCGGGAATGTGAGGAGAAATGCTCTGGTACTACGAGAATGTTAAGGGGAATTCTCCAGTGCCACAGTCCCATCTCGACGGACCCTCAGTAGAGATTCTATTGGTACGAGAAGGAAACGGTGATGCATGGACCCATTAAAAATTTGGAGAGATGGGAATTCAAAGTCGCCAGTACGACTCAGCGGCTTATTAAAGCAATGGATGCACGGTGCACCAGGAAAATGAAACCTGGCCAAGTAGTCCTTGATCCTCAAGATGTCACCTTGGACTTTGGAGAGTGGATCTACTACTTCACGATCGAGGCAATTAACAGCATCGCTTTATCGTCACACCTGGGCCTACTGGAAAATGCTTCAGACATTGTGACTGCCCAGAAAACCGATGGGACGCTCTACCAAGCTCGTTATCGAGACGCCCAGAACAATGCAGCACTCGCTCCCTCGGTCTTTGTGTGGGACTACAAGCATTTCCCTATCTTGGCTAGGCTATCCAAACTAAGTCCAAAGTGGCGGGATATCTGGAAGAGAGGCGAACCCTGGGGAGATATCGTGTACCACCAAGCAGTGACAAGACTCCGAAGGTACGAGGCAGGAGAGGAACTCGATGATTTCTTCGCGGCTATGATGGAAGACAAGAATGGAAGCCCAAATAACCTCGAGTGGGGTGACATTATAGCTGAGGTTGGTGGCCTTATCAACGCAGGTGCAGATACAACCTCGATCGCATTGACCAATGTGCTTGAGCTTCTTCTTCATAGTCCGAAGCACCTCCAGGCGCTCCTTGAAGAAATTGATGGTGTTCTAGATGAGGATGAAATTATTGCCCCATACGACAAAATCAAAAGTCTTCCATTTTTGAAGGCTTGCATCGACGAAAGCCTTCGCATCAGCCCTCCAACTTCCGCTGGACTCCCAAGACGAACACCCCCAGAGGGAGCTCAAATCCTGGGCGAATTCATTCCAGGGGACACCACCGTGTATATGACCATTTATGGAGCGCACCGAGACCCCGAAATCTTTCCAGATCCTAACACGTATAATCCTGACCGATGGATGCACCCGGAGGCTAGAAAGAGAATGGAGCCCTACTTCATCCCATTCTCCTCTGGTGCACGAGGCTGCCTGGGACGCAACATTTCATACCTAGAGCAAATGGTCGTTCTTGCTACTATTGTGCATCGATATGAATTTGCGCTGCCTTCTCCCGAGTTCCAGCTCATACGCGAGGAGGCGTTCAACCTCCTGGTTGGGGAGCTGCCACTTAAGATTTGGCGCCGGGAACTTTCTGTTGATGCTGTCCGAGCTTAAGCGGCCAGAATCATCTAGGAAAATTTAAATCCATGTGATGATTGATGATCATTATTGAGGCAGGCATTGACGATATGATTCCGTTGTATTCAGAGATATTTCATTCAAGTGCTGAATTGGTTAACCTCAGAGGCACGGTTTGTTGCTCAACTGGCGTAAGTGCAAACGAAGAATCTCGGGTTTGGTCGGGTACTTCTAGAAGATTATAATAGAGCGAATGTATGGGATGACGATGTAGCTATCTTGAAGCCGAAGAGGTGCGTTAATTTTTTTTTTTTTTTGCCCGAAATGCCCTAGTAGAAATCTCCTTATCTCACTTCGCCTGTCAGCTTCTCTGACTTCGCTGCCATCCCCTCCAATCTGTCTTCCCAATATACACGATTCCTCATTATGCTCTTTTTCTCGTAGCCTTTTCACAAATTACGTAAATCTTGCTATTGCTGTGACCTGCGTGAGTACGACCTCTTTACGAGCCCTGGGGTCCCAAATGCAAGCATGAAAAAGTGGTGGGAATCTTTTTCGATCAAATATCATGTGTTAAAGCTCCGACTTTCCTTGACCCCATCCATCATTGCCAAACCAAGCGGCGTACCGAATTTGTACTGGAGTGATGGAGCCTTGCCGGCTGGTGTCATGAATCAGTTGTAATGCGCGATAAATGCGGAAATACGCGATTCCGTCTAGCTGCGATAAAACTGTACTCAAACAATGCACGGGTCTTCACTTTGCCGGTCAAGGCTGGACGCACTGCACATGTCCAACTAGTTACTCATGGGGATATTTATGGTATAACATTATGCTGTAATCCATGTGTTGGCCGAAGGCCGTAAGGAAACTAGTGACGTAGAACTGTAGCCATATATACGGGGACTGAAGCTGTTTCATCACTCTGTAGCTCTACTGTCAATATTTAAACACGGTGATCGATCTAGTGGAATTCAAAGTAATTAGTACGGTCTTTTACACCATCCCTGACTCTAAGCTCTTCTTTACTCATTTATATATCTCTGAGGTTTATTGCAGATATAGGAATAGCCTGACCTTAAATCTACTAGCTATAATGGGTGGATAGTTCTAATACGTCCGAGGTACATATACTTACCTCCGCTTGAATTGTGAAAAGTGCTGATCCTGTAGTATAGATCGACCAACGGTTGTCGCTCATGTTAGGGCTGGCCGCTCCAAGTGTATGTACAACCACGCTGACATGGGAGATAAAGGCGTTAGACCAACTCGTGGACGCGCCAGAAGCACTATCAGGATAAAATAAAGTAGATGTTGCGGAAGCTCTCCACGTGGACCTTATACTATGGTCCTGGAATCTGTTGGACGGTAGTCACGTGACAATTTTCTTCCATAAGTTAGAACGCTGTTTTTGGGATCCTGCGGTTCATTATATCGAGTCAACCGTTGCAAACAAGACATAAAAGGTTGCCATCGTCCACCATAAGTGCCCCATCACAGTTTGAGTACGGGGTTAAACAAAAGCCTTCAAGAAGTTTCAGTGATTGCTGCATAAACCCCTCCGCTGTTAGAACACCTACTTCAATATGGGGACCTGTCTCAGGTATGTCAACATTCATTTCAATATAATTTGCATCTCAGAACTTACCAGTACATACGACCACAGGGTGTGGAGAACAGGGCTTCCCGTCCGCTCAGCCGTACTTAAGCCACACGCCGGCAGGTTAGTAGTTGGGTGGGTGACCACCAGCGAATCCCTGCTGTTGTATGTTTTTCTTTTTTACATTTAGCCGTCTCTAGTATATACTGCGGTGCAACTACAATTCCCGACCGCCACAAAGCCAGATGGATATATGGGATGTTAACCAGCTTACCAGCAGAAGAACCGGCTTCTTTTGGGCTTGGATCAACTGCAGAGACTGGTGGCGGCTGATAAAGCCGGACGCATCCCTAAGGAATATGTGAAGCTATTTGTGGAAGAGAGGCGCTGGACCTTTATAATAAGTATTCTGGGGAGTACTTTTATCCAGACCATCACATCAAAGAATGTACAGGCTTTACTGGATACGAATTTCAAGAAAGCCACTCCAGACGCATGGGAGTTTGAGCTCGGCCCCAAACCGCAAAGGACAAGAAGAGATTTGAATGGATGAAAAGTGGGCTTTGGCAGATGGACATTGGGAGAGGGAGTAGTGTATCTTGGCTCCACCATTTCTTCCAATGATGGTCCTTTATTCGCAACTTCCCCCGCGGGATCTTTTGCTGTTCACGGCAATTCAAACTTGTAGATCACCTGAGAATTGTGTCTGGAACCCTGAGATTGGAACATGCTACTATACGGTCAGTGCGGGGGCATGGAATATTCTGGCTTGCCAGAAGATAATGGCGGACTGAACATATGTTGCTATCGAGGCTATGGGAAGTGGGTATGGTATTGGGGGAGGGTCACATGACTTGAACTAATGCTAAGGCGTGTACATTCATTTTCCACCACATACGTTTGGAGCGACCGTGGGCAATGAGCCATCTGTCACAGAATTAGCATGGGGCGCTCGAAAGGGACAGGCTTGATCTGATACCTGGGGGACTCTGGCAGCCACGGCACTGTGCAGAATAGAATCAAGTTAATGATAAGTTGGAAAGACAGAGGAAACCGCCAGGAGACCGGCCTGTCTGCGAATGAAAGGCCGTAGTTGAGCCAGTTTGCAAGTGAAAAGCCCACAAGCACCAAAACATTTTCCAAAATGACTAGCTTTCCCCGTAATTGGACTTTTGACGTTTCAACCTGCCAAATGGGCGCGGTCGATGTATTGAGCCCTGGACAGAATAGCGTGTCATAGTTAGCATCAACAGGGTCCTATGCGCTTCTGCGTACCGTTACCAATACCCGCAATGATCCGGCCACTCATCATATGGTCCAGACTGTAGGAGGAAGCCTGCAGAATAGCGCCGATTGTCATGATCGTAGTGCCCAGCAAGACAGTGTTTCTGCGGCCCAGGCTCTCCCCGAGCCAGTAGGCTGACATAGATCCCAGGAAGCAACCGACATCATAGATGGCAGTAACTGTTCCCAATAAAGAGGCTTTGGATGGTTCTTGAAGATGGTGAAGCCGGAGGAAGTCTTGCGAGATCACGACTCCACTGAAAACTCCCTGAGGTAAATCTTAGACCCAGCGCCATGTTTGGGTCCGCCTGTACACTACGCACTTGATCGTATCCATAGAGCTTCATGTCAGCACCACAGGCCAGTGTAATCCAGAACGTAAGCCATCCTCCTCGGAGGCCAAAATATGGTTTGGCAGATTTAAACATCTTGTGATAAAGAAAGGTGACTTCAGTGTCTCATAGTTTTCCCACACGCCGGGCGCTGTGACAGCCTTTTATTTCCCAAGATTACCGGGCCATGAAAATGCAACTTGACTGTCTCCCCAAGATCACGAGCTCACTGGCACTAGAACCTGAGTCACGAGACGGGATGTCCATATTGACGTTCGTAGTCAACTTTCTTACCCCGAGTTGCCCCAGTTTTCATTTCCCCCAATCTCGGGGTGCTTCCGGATGATATAATCCGTCACCCCGCCTTTTTCTTTCCGATCCCCAGACCCCCGAGACGAGGAAGACTTAGGAACAGCCGCAGGAGCAATGGCCTTGCCTCTTGACCAGTGCGATTCCAAAAACGCACTATACGAAGACATCGCAACGATGCACTCACGACCCTCTTACAGACGGCCACGCATCCGAAAGTCCCGCGGCCGTGGCTTGCGAACGAGAAATGGATGGTAAGTCGGTGTTGTCCGGATCGCCGTGATTATCACGCTGATAATTTGATGCAGCGTACAATGTCGGAAGCGACACATGAAATGCGATGAGGTCCAGCCAGTATGCGGAGCTTGTGCCAGAAAAAACAATACCTGCGAGTTCGCAAGCTCAGACCGTCGCAACACCAGCCATCCCGTCACCTATAGAGCCTCCAGGAGCGCCAGCATCGAGGTAGCCACGACGCAGGACTCATTCCCGGTGCAGAACAAAGAACATGCATCAAATGCAGCCCCGACAGTCTCGACACTGGTCGAGCCGCATGAGGCCATTGCCCCATCCTGGTCTAGTTCCGCGATCCAGCCCAAGCTCTCTCCTCCAATCCAATTGGATCAATCGATGGGGAATCAGCTTAGTTCAAGTGAATGTCCCTCGGCGTTTCCGGATGCCTATATGTCACCGTCAAATGCATCCTTTGCAGCAGTAGAATGGTTCGGCCTCCTCGCAAATGATGCTGCCAGAGACATTTCAACAGTCTCGACGATTCAGGAATCCTGGGCGAACCAAAGTCTCTCCCTTGACCAGTCCAGTTCTGCGAATCGAACACCACTTACTTCGCTGCAACGTGCGACTCAGGTGCTGGATAGCCTTTCTACCATATACGGGAATCATGACCAGACCCCCGCTTCAGGATAAAGTCCCCTCGGAAGAGTGGAGATCTGGCAGTCACAGGAGGAAATAGAGATTCTTCCAGCCGAGGCAACTTTGTTTGGACATTTTGTAGAACGAGTGAGCCCCTGGGTATGCTGGATCGACCCTGTTTATTATCTTGAAACGCTTAACTTACAACCCATCCTCCCACAGATAGATCTTTTTGATCACACAAACCAATTTTCCACCTTTGTTGCGCACCTGGCAGTAAGCGGAACCTGAACTGCTAGGAATGTTTCTGCTTCTGGAATGCTGACATGGGATCTCTAGATACAGAATGCGGGCCTGATGAATGCCATACTCGCTCTTGCATGCCGACATCTAGCTTTAAATCCCCATCTGAATGACCACAGTCTGCCTAACCAGGAGGAAGCAGCCCTTCAATATTATTATCAGACGCTTCATTATGTGCAAAAGGCTATGCAATACTCTGGCTACAAAAGAAGCCTAGAGCTGCTCGCGACCACGTTGATCATCTCCGCCTACGAAATGTTGGACAATTCCACGAACGACTGGGAGAGACACCTAGAGGGTGTCTTTCTTATCCAAAGATCCCAGACCATCCATGGTGAATCCGGGGGGCTACATTCGGCCGTCTGGTGGGCGTGGCTTTGCCAGGACATCTGGGCGGCCTTCCGCGAGAAACGCAAAACTCTTACATTTTGGGTTCCACAGAAGTCACTTTCCGCCTTGTCCGCATATGAGCTTGCTAAACGCTCAATATACAACACGGCAAAGGTAATAAGTTATTCCGCCGAGGCGGTGACCGAGGCAGACATTGGGCGTCGAGCAGATGAGGCAACCCGCCTTCGTAAAATGTTGGATGACTGGCAGCGGCATCTTACCGTTGAATTCTCTCCCCTGCCGCTCGGGTCATGTAAGCAGTCGTCATATTTCAAGCCAATTTGGATCCATCCACCTGCATTTGGTACGGTTTGAACATCCAGTCCATCTTGGGATAATAACTGATGAAAAAATATAGCTGTGGCTATGCAATTCTTCAGCGTGTCAAATATTTTGTTACTTGCCCATGAGCCTAGCTTGGGTGGCATGGAGCAGTACCTCGAACGGCAAAGATCAATCACACGTTGCGTGGAGAATATCTGTGGTATTGCTGTTACACTCAAAGATCACCCATCAAGTTTGATGTCATCGCAGGCGGTTTATATTGGTTGGTCCTCCATGCAGTCCTCCATGCTCCCGTCCTTGCAGACAAGGCTGATCTGAATATAGCTGGAAAATTCACACAAGTCCAAAATGCCAGAGAAGCCATATTGAATCTGCTGGAGTCCGGTCGTGAACGAAGTGGTTGGCCAGTTAATCTTTAGGCGAGGACTTACAGCACTTCTGGGAAAACCTCGAGTCGACAAGGACTACAACTTCCGTGAACCTTTCTGTGTAATGAACATAGTGACCTGGATAGGCATTTTCTCTTCCCGTGCATTCCTGTGCTCTATTGTGAAATGTCTATATCCCGAGCAATGCCCCCTTTACAGCTGCTCCTAGCTGGACTCTCCACAGTCGATGCTCATTCAGCGCAAAGATCTCTCCGCCTTGGCCGAAACAAAAGTTCGCAACACCACCTCCAATAATGATTCTACCCAAGAGGACACCACCTGGCGACCATACGTTGATTCCATCTCCGCAACCACTATACACATTTCCTTCAAGGTCACACTTGATTCCGTCCGGGATACCTTGATCCGCCATAGCAAAAAGGCGCCGGTTCGTGAGAAATGTTTCTCCGCTATATGTAGACACATCGAAGGCGTAACTTGAATGGAAGAACTTAGACATGTTGAAAGAAAGTTGAACGAGAACCTGATCTTACATTGAAGAAACCCGCATATCATCGATTGTGCCATCACCATGGACCCGATCAGTATCGGTAATATAAACGACTTTCTCATCTGGGGAGAAGCAAAGGCCATTCGGTCGTCCAAACCTATCCGCCATAGCTCGGATATTACCACTACTCGGACACCATCGGTAGACCTGGTTTGGCAGACGGGGAGGTGGTCGATAACCCTGCTCGAAGCCGTAAATGGGATCCGTGAACCAGACCGAGCCATCCTTGTGTACCACGACATCATTGAGGGAATTGAATTGCCGGCCGAAAAAGTCGCCTTTCAGCAGTTCGGATTTATATGAAGTGGTCGACAGCCAGTATAGCCCGCTAGGCTGGGTCATGGATCCTTGCGCACAGAAAAGAATATCATTTTTTCCATAGTTAATGGCTCCATTCGCCATTGGTATATCTGTGAGAACTTCCTCATAGCTTACAGGCCTCTTGTTCAGGTCCACTCGAGTAATGTGAACCCTTTGTTCGCTGCCCGGTCCGGTACATCGGTTGCTAGTGACGTAGAGAGTATTGCTCTCAGGAAGGAAGACTCCCGCCTCGTGAGCGAATGGATAATCCCGATGTTCGGCAAGAAGCTCGATGACCGGTGTTGATCCAACAATTGCTGCAAAGCGGTGGTCGTGGAACTGGAAGAAAGTCTCCGAATCCGCGGGCATGATGAATTTCAAGCAGTAGGCGAACTGGTCAAAAGCGAGGAGGCCGGGAGACTTCCAACTGCTGCTGAAGAAGACAATACCAGCAAGACAGTTGGGTTACCGGGGAACCACGTAGGTGAGAGGGTTGCTCAATGACCTCAACAACCCAGAAAAGCAATATTCCAATAGAGGGGAGATTTGAAACCCTGCGGGCGAAGTGGTGGGTCTAGTTGTAGCCCCGTCTCGGGGTCATCTCGTCCGGCCTCGAGGCAACATCCGTCCGAGGCCAGCGCTTTTTAAATGGCTTTATTCAACACATCGACATGTAGATTGACCTGGAAATCGTCCCTTCATCCCGATACGACCGGAAGATGTCTTGGAAAGACTCCAACTGCCATAAGCGCATCCTCCGCGAGGCCGAAATCGGCCGCTTCGGGGTCATCGCTGCCATCGCGTACAACATCGAACAAGTTTTGGGCCTGGTGCGAGCTGCAGAAATTGCACGCTCACCACTCATCATTCAATTCTTTCCGTGGGCCATCGAAGCCACAGATGGCTTACTGGTACACATCGCTGCCGACGCTGCCAAGCGTGCAAGTGTGCCGATCAGCGTTCACCTCAATCATGCTCAGTCGGAAGCTATCATCAAGCGCGCGGCAGAGCTTCCATTCGATAGTATCATGGTGGATATGTCGCACTACGAAAAGGATGTGAATCTAAAGATGACGCGCGAGCTGGTGCAATATTGTAACGCGCGCGAAAAGGTCACGGAGGCCGAGCCGGGTCGTCTCGAAGGAGGGGAAGATGGAGTGATGGATACAGCAGGATTAGAAGCCTGTATGACGACCGCCGAGGAAGTAGATGATTTTATCCAGACGGGTGTGGATGTTCTCGCGCCTTCTTTTGGCAATGTTCATGGTGAATACGGTCCGCGCGGCCCTCATCTACACTTTGAGAGGTGAGTCTGGGGACGTCGATTTAGTGAGATTAAGGATACTAATTTTAAAAAATCCAGATTTGAGAAAATCCGAGCTCAGGCGAACGGCAGGATAAATCTGGCTCTACACGGCACCAACGGGTTTGCCCCCGAGCTGTTGAAGCGCTGTGTGGCCGCTGGTGTCACGAAAATCAACGTAAACCGACTGGTCTTGGACGACTACTACGACCATCTATTTGCAAACGCGGGGAAAATGCCCCATACACAGCTTATCGAGGAGGGTATTAAAAAGGTGACAGACCTTACCATCAAGTGGATGGAAATCTGCGGCTCTGCGGGTAAGGCGTGAGGGGATGTTCGTTTGTAGACAATAGCATCAGAAATCAAAAGAAACCATTCCCTCATGTCTTTTACCTTCCTACAGAGTATGTATAATTGTTGACGCCTTAGGTGTCGCCATATCGGACCCCTGAGTCAGGTAGCAGATAGCTTTGGGAGGAGAACAGATAGAAGCTCTCTTCTCTTGCCATTCCTCGCATTGATTCACTTTCTGGCTCGATCGAGTTTGTTTTCCGTACGGCAATCAGTGTAGTTCCATCTGTTTTCATTGTGACACTGCTTTTGCAGTGTCATCAATAATGATGCGTATTCACCTTCGGTTCCTGATCCATTCGCCACAAAAGTCCAAAAAAAATGGAATGACATAGTTTGGTCGAACAATTGATTTTTCCACGGATAGACTCAAGAGAAGATAAGCCCTATTTTGTTTCCGGGTCAAGCAACCATGCATGATATTTCTATAAGTCGGCGTACAAGAGAACTAATATCCCCACAATTACTGCAAGTTACTAAACATGCCACCATCAGCTAACAGTCCCGTGGCGTTCACATAACGGCTCATCTCTTCGCAGGCCAGGAAAACCGCAGGACCCGCCATGTCCTCGGGGTCCCCAATGCGACCTAGGGGAATTCGGGCTTCGAGAGCGGCCTTTTTGGTGGGATTCTTCATATCATGTTCGGCTAGCTGTGTCGCAATAGTGCCAGGCATCAATGCATTACATCGAATCTGGTCTTTCCCAAGGGCGATCGCCATCGACTGCATCATGGAGAGAATGGCCGCTTTTGTAGGGGTATAGTGGGTCTGGAAGCCACCACCAAGCAGAGCGCTGACGGAGGAAATGCCAATTATAGAACCGCCGTGTCCTTGCTTTACCATCTGGCGAGCGGCAGCTTGGCAGGCATAGAAGCAGCCCTTAACATTGACATCGACACTGTGGTCAAGAAGGGCCGGCTTGATACTGCAAGAGATATGTTAGCGCATTCCGATCTTTGTGACGGGACAAGCTTCGATCTCAGCATTTTCCATCTAACTTACTCGAGAAACTCTGCTTGTTTGAACACACCCGCATTGGCGACGAAAATATCCAGCTTGCCCCATTTCGAGACAGCTTCTTGGGCCAGACTCGACCCTGTTTCGGGGTTTGTCACGTCACCAGGAAGCTCCAGAATGTCGCCGGCCCCGATGTCCCTACTCTTGATGGCCTTGACCTCTTCAAGTAGACTGTGTCGATGTTTTTCATCTTGAGGCATTCCCAGGTGGTTGACTGCGACATTACATCCTTGTGTAATGTATGCCAAAACAATTGCGCGACCAATTCCGGTGGTGCCGCCAGTGATTGCCGCGGTCTTGCCTCTGAGAAGATTCCAAGCAGGAAGCGCAGCCATTGTAAATCGGTCTGTGACGAAGGTGAAGCGAATGAAATTGGTCAGATGAAGCTGGAAGAAAATCGGCGCTTCTAATGGAACGAAAATGATGGAGGCGGGGGTATCTCCAAATTTGTCCCGCTCACCACCAAGCTGTGGATCAGCTGTTTCCCACCCCCTCCTTGCCCCTGGACTTGACCACAATTCTGGCTTGCTTGACGATGGCACAGACAGTGGGCCAAGCTTTGTCGTCTCGGGACACACGGTTGATCCACCTTGGACTCGTCTCGGTCCAGCGTTCCCCAGTCTTTCCCGTCTCGGGACACCTCGAGTCGCGGGGGAGTCCACTGAGGGGAAAAAGCTCTGGTAGATGGAATTTGCGATGGGAAACTTGCTTTGATTCTGGTTTCATATCATTTATAAAAGGGCTCTTGGCTTTTCCTCTTCAACTTCACTCCTTTCAATCTCTCGATTGCCTGCCGATCTCTGCTTTCCTCTCGTACCCTATGGCTCCTTCTATGACATCCGACCAAGTGTCTATTCCCCAGGGTGAAAATGCCCCTCAGACTCAGGTCACTCTCGGTGGAAAGGTTATCGCTAGTAGGTGCTCTGGCGCATTATTTTGATTCATATTCACTGATGGCCACTCGCGTTAGTTACTGGCGCCAACCGGGGTATCGGCCTTGGTATCGCCGAGTGTTGTCTATCCAACGGCGCAGACAAAGTCTACTCTATTGACATTGGGGAGACCGGTGACGATTTTGCTGCTGTCTCCAAGCGCTACCCCGGTCAGCTTTTTGCCGTAACCGCGAATGTGACCGATGAATCGACAATCACGGCTGCAACTGATAAGATCATCAAGGAAGCCGGTACCTTAAGCGGAATGGTGGTTAACGCTGGACGTACACACCATAAGGCTGCTCTCGACTTCACCAAGGAAGATATCGAGAATCTATTCAATGTCAATCTCTTCGGAGCTTTCTACACCGCACGCGCTGCCGCTCGTGCGTTTATTAAGCTCGGAGTGAAGGGCTCTGTTGTTTTCACAGCGTCAATGGCTTCTTACCGCCCCAATAAGGTCAGTCCAATAGTGAAGTTGCCCTTTGTTTTGACTCTTATCTGACATCCATCGCAGCGCGTCCCTTCCACTCCATATGGTGCCTCCAAAGCCGGCGTGCGCAACATGACCCACACGCTGGCAATGGAGTGGGCGCAATATGGGATTCGCGTCAACAGTGTCTCGCCCGGTCTGGTAAAGACCGCCATGACATACTGGGTACCCCAGTAGCCGGACTGGGAGCAGCAGTTGAAGTATTATGGTGGATTCCCCAGATTGGCCGAGGTGCAGGAGCTCGGCGGTGCCTATGTCTATCTTCTCAGTGAAGCTGCCAGCTACACTGCCTCCATTGACATTCCGGTGAATGGAGTGATTGGAAGTGAGTAATTCTTGTTCTGCATCTAGTGAAATCGTCACACTAATATCCTTAGTTTGTTAAAATGTTTCGCCTGATGATGCAACGGATGACTGTAACCTTGACATGGATAAAAGTGTGCCTCCGGCAGTTTATAGAAATTTATCATGCTTTATCCCGAAAGTGATTGCTCGCTTGTAACGGAGATTTTACGCACAACGGTGTGTTGGAAATATGAATCCGATATCGGATATCCTGAAAATATTTGCGGACTATGAGAGCAGAAGGCTTTGTGGACGACAAATCGTGCTGCTCGGCGCCAAAACAGAAAAGAGAGAAATAAAAGAAGTTAATGTTAGTTTCATAGGTTTCGACGGAATATCTAACTGCTCTCGCATATGGAGGCCTATAATTCAGGCAAATGAAAATTGTATGGGTTTGACATACACAGGTTTACGGGTGATTCTGTTTCCTAATTCATTCAGCCCTGTTAGTAGCGCCCGTAGTCTAATGATCCGATTGTCTATCCTCATGATGTAGACTAGTGAAATTAAAATTCCAATTCTCTTGAGTACACATATCCGACTTAAGGCGCATTGGCACCTCTCTAAATTTCTTATCTAGACGGAATGTGCGGGCGTTTGATTTTTTACTAGCTAGAGACCATTTCCTGGTGCTCTGACTCCCCATTGCAGGCCTTCTCATCGTCTCCAACAATACTGTTTCTCCTACGAGTAGCTCCGAAGTTTGGGTTCTCAGCCATGAATGCCGCAAAATTCGACTCGGCTTCCCAAACAAATGGTGACTTCGAGGTAAAAAGCATATCAATCTCCTCAAGCGTGCGCCGGCTGGACTCGGGATAAAAGGCCCATACTAATAACAGTCAGTGCATATCCCTCATAACAGGAGTATAGGCTCTCTCACTGATTGGGATGCTGAGTATGTTAACTGCGCCAAATACATGTAGTGTATTCTCCCCAATAGCACCGAAAATGTATGGCAGAGCCAAAGTCAACGATCTGACTTATGTTAAGAATGTTCAAAATGAAGTTGAGCAACTGGGACACACTTACCGATTTCCCAAACTCCAGCCAACTACACCCCAGGCATTACCCTTGGCTCGGACTTTGAGGGGAAAGATTTCGGCGGGGTACAGCCATGGTACAGTGAGCCAAGTGGCACCGAAAACAAATGTATAGAGATAAACCATCGATGTCGCTGCGATTCCCCACGGAGCCTGGTTTTCCGGATGATCAATTCCGCCGCGAGCCATGGCACCTGCAAGGAACATTGCAATCGCCTGTCCTGCTGCTCCCCACCATAATGTCCAGCGTCGACCGATCCGATCTAGGGTGACAACACAAATCAATGTGGCAAATGCGTAAAAGATATTATTGAGCCCAGATATCCACATGGTCTTCTGCGAATTGAAGCCGGCGATTTTGAAGATGGCTGTGAATATGATTTGTATTGTGCCAGAAGGGAGGGCCAGAGATAACGTAGTGCGTACATTGTGACGCCGGCAATGCCTGACCAGCATTGGAGGATTTGCAACCAAATCACGAGTTGGACGCGTCGGGCAATGTGCAAGTCCCCTTGACCAACCCCGAAGAGCATGTGGAGATACGTGATGTTTTGCTCGGACTCAGCCTCCAAATCGACCACAGTCTGGATTTCCCGCATCTCCAGTTCGATTGCTCGTTCGTTTTCAAGTCCGCGAAGGCGCTTGAGGACGTACATCGCCTCATCGCGTCGACCCATCATGCAAAGCCAACGAGGGGAATTCAGGGAAGAACCAGCAGCCGGTAATGAGGAAAAGGAGCATGATAATCTGGAAGGCGATGGGAAAACGCCATTAAAACTGGGATGTTCCGTTGTCGATGTAACTGAGACCGAATCCCAGCCAATAAGCCACTACCACGCCAACAATGTTCAAGGTGAACTCCATGGCGATAAACATGCCCCGAGACTCATAATCGGCCAGCTCAGAGCCATAAACTGGCACAGTGGCGTTCAGGACTCCAGTACCAATGCCGTTAAGGAGGCGAGACACAATCATCCAGGCCGGGTTCATTGCTGTGCATTGGAGCGCAGCCCCGAGTATGCCCCAGGCAGCACCAAAGGCGAGAGACTTGATGCGACCAGAACGATCACTCACATAACCACCCATGAAGCATCCGACCAAAGTTCCCAGATAGTAGACGGAGACGATGCTGCCTTGTAACAGAGTGTTGGTAACAATGATCGATCCGTTCTTCTTGTATCCCAGTCCCATTCGGTGCACATACTCCTGGGAGTCGTTCACTCCCCCCATCATGCCTTGATCATAACCTGTTTCCCGAGTCAGAATAGGGGCTCTCGCATTACCACTGAGATATCAACGGGAATTCTCACCGAAAAAGAAAATGGCGAGACCAGCGAGGCAGTTAACCCCGATTAAGAGCCATTTTTTCCCCAATTTGGCAGCAATCTTCCATTTTGCCCGCTCATCGCTCAACGTAGCGAACATTATGAAGCTAGAGACGAGATATGTCCCGTTGTGGACATAAGAGGAAGAAACAAAATGATGAGCCTGATGCCCCTAGTTCGTGCCCGAAAGACCGGGTCTTTCTTGTAGTTATAAGAGCTCCTGATCCCCTTATGGGGCGGATAGTCTTGCAAGGAAACCCCGGATTCAGGACGTCATCCAATGGCAAGGGGCCCCGCATCCAAGCCCGATATACTCGACTCGGGGACCCGGGGCGCGAAACGGGGGCCTCGTCTGCTCGGTATCGGATGACATCTTCCGAGATGAAGCGGCAACAGAAGAGAACACGTCTACGTCTCGGAAGTGGACGACGTGCAAAAAAGCGATGATGAATCATGGAGAGAAGATCTTTCCTCCTCAGGACAATCTACCTATCTGCCGGGGCTCTCGCTTGGGCGCCGCCTGGCGCGTTGACAGAGTCTCCTATTTTTGACAAAAGCTCATACCGTGCATTATTATGAACTATCTAGACACAGGTAAATAAGCTGGGACTGGAGCGTCAAAAATTTCTATCATCTGCCGCACCGTCAAGCCGCTTATCAACAAGCTCCCTGTATTCCCGCTGCTTGAAGCACATGTCCAAAAACACCTCATACTTGGCCTGGAGGAGTAGCTGCTCCTTCGGATTGGTGGTAGGGTCCACACGTCGGCCAGGCTTACTCATTTGGCTCATGATTTCCCACAGGTCTTTCGAATCACCCTCGGAGCACTTGCTGGCCGCCACTGCTGCTAACATAGCTGCACCGTGGCATACAGCAGCATGGACGTATGCAGGTAGTACGACTGGCATTTTGCAAGCAGATGCAATTAGATGTACCAAGAGTTCGTTTTGTGTCTGGGAGCCTGACATGAAAATCGTTGAAATTCGATGCCCGTGTTGATTCATCGTATCAACGATCTGGCGTGTTTGCAGTGCAATGAACTCCAGAGCACCGTAATATTGGAGCGCTAGATTCGCAATAGACCGGTCACTTTTCAACCCGATGGTTGCGCCGCTCATCTGGGGGTCTGCAATGGGAGATCGATTACCCCATAAATCGCCGTAGAAAAAGAAGTGTTTGGCCAACTGAGCGATATGACACACTCGGGCCTTCGTTGCTGATTTTCGAAGATAGTCATTGAGGAAATCGTAGATGTGTATTTCGGCTGCTTTCGCGGCTTCGTTTGCTTCCGCGTGTGCCGGATGGCTCTCAACAACATGTCGGATGAGTTCGCCTGTAGCTGACTGGCCTCCTTCAGCAAGGTAGGCGCCAGGAAATAGAACGTCTCGATAGGGGCCCCAGACTCCAGGTACGAACAACTCATTTCTTGACATGTCTAAGTGACATGTTGACGTGCCAGCCACCACGGCCAACCGATGAGGAACATGCTCCTTCTGGTCTGTCAATGGCGAGAATCCCAGATCAGCCTTCGCGCCAACTGTACCGATCCAACCAGCGTAAGCATCAATGACTCCACTACCGACAGCGATCCCTGGCGAGAGTCCCAGCTCAGCAGCGGCCCTCTCGGCTAAAGGTCCAACGCACTCGCCAGCACTGAGATACTGGCCATTCTGCAATAGGTGAAATGTCAGTTCAACTCTAGGGAAACATGAGAGGTATCCATAGGCGACTAACTTTGCCATTTATACCCCCAAGCCTTCCAAAGTTATCTTGAGCAAGACTCTGGAGACCAATGGAAGTCAAAAAGTCGGACTGCCAACCTTCTTCGCCGCAGTCAGCTCTGTGCGCGAGATAACCTTGCTTGCAAATCACACTGCAATAGCTGCGTGATTCTTTCCCTGTAGCTAGATGCGTAAGCGCATCTGCAAGGTCAAAGAATTTGCAGTCATGAAATGTGCTTGGATCCATATGATTCTTGAGCCAAAGAATCTTGGGCATCTCCATTTCGAGTGACATTCTACCTCCGACATATTGCAGAATAGCGTGGCCAGTTTCATTGATTGTTTTTGTTTCCTCGGCCGCGCGATGGTCCAGCCAGAGAATAACATTGCGGTCGTTACTGACCTCTGCACCGCTGACAGAAACCGGTCGACCGGTCTCCTTGCTGAAAACAGCCAGGGAGCAAGTAGCATCGAATGCAAGGCCTCGGATCTTTGACCGAGGCACCTCACATTCCTCGACTGCTTGTTTCACTGCAGCGCAAATGCTCTCCCAGATGTCGGCGGTCGATTGCTCATAGTATTCGGGGTGCGGTTGCCATGTGGTGATGTTATGCGATGCGAGCCCGACAATGTTCCCGTTGTGGTGGACAACGCAAGCACGAGCACTGCCAGTACCTACATCGATGCCGATGTAGTAATCGTCATATTCACCAATTGACATGTTGATAACGTATTTCACTAGCGAGCGCCGCACACCACCGAGCGCCGCACCTCATCAAAACTTTACGCGTTTTATTGCTTTACACAATTCAACTACTCACCATGCCTCCAAAAGCGCGTCAAAATCGAAAAGAATCAATTGAGCAAGATGGCAGAGCCCAACTGGCAGTTTCTGCTTTAAAGAAACAGCAAATTCACAGTATTCGTGAAGCAGCGCGCGTCTATAATGTCCCGGAAAGAACTCTGCGGCGACGACTTAATGGAACAACTTCACGCTCGGAAACACGCGCCAACAATCATAAATTAACTCAAAATGAAGAGGAATCGCTTGTACGATGGATTTTATCGCTAGATCGACATGGAACGCCTCCTACGCCATCAAATACACGAGAAATGGCTAATATTCTTCTTGCTGCCCGCGGTTCTGCATCTATTCAATCAGTCGAAGTGAACTGGGTTACCAAGCTTGTTAAACGTCGCCCTGAAGTTAAATCCTGCTTTTCTCGACAATATGATTATCGACGCGTCAAATGCGAAGATCCTAAAATGATTAGAGAGTGATTTGACCGCGTACAAATCATTATAATACAACATGGGATCGCACAGGAGGATATCTATAATTTCGACGAAACTGGCTTCGCTATGGATCTAGTAAACAATGCTCGAGTGATTACTAGAGCTGATTACTATGGCAAAGCGCGTGTTGTACAGTCAGATAATCGGGAATGGATTACTTCGATTGAATGCATCAATTCAACTGGCTGGGAGCTTTCTCCATGTATTATTTTCAAAAAAAAGGTCCATATAGAAGGTTGGTATCAACTTTTTGAGCTCCCATCTGATAACAGATTTGAAGTTAGTCCTAATGGATAAACTTCTAATGAAATAGGCCTTTGCTGGCTTAAAGATCTCTTTATTCCTGCTACTACTGCCCGTACAACTGAGAAATACCGCCTTCTAGTTATGGACGGCCATGGCAGCCATCTTTCGCCTCAATTTGATCAAATCTGCAGTGAAAATAATATTATTCCTATCTGCATGCCTCCGCATTCTTCCAATAAACTTCAGCTTTTAGATGTAGGCTGTTTTCGCGGTCTAAAAGATGCGTATGGCAATTTTGTGAAACAAAAGATATATTTAGGAGTCAGCCATATCGACAAGTTTGATTTTTTAAAGATCTTTCAAAAAGCTCGCAAGCTCGTTTTTACAGCAGAGACTATTCAGCATAGCTTTGCAGCTACTGACCTAGTTCCATACGATTCAGCGAGAGTTCTTAGCAAGTTAGACGTTCAATTGAAGACTCCTACACCACCAGACAGTCGATCAACTAATTCAGCGTCTAAAACATCTTATACAACTAGGCAGCTGGAGAAGCAAGCATCTGCAGCAAAGAGATTACTTAGGGAACGCACCCACAGCCCTCTACCTTTGCTAGAAGCGCGATTAGACAAGATTATTAAAGGTCATGAATTGACTCTTAATGAGCTTGTTTTCTCACGGGAAGAAGTTCGCAAACACCGCGCCGAAAATGAATGGAGAGGTCAAAAACGCAAGCTATCTAATAAACAGTTAGCTATTACAGAGGGCTCATCACTTCAGGAAGGACCAGATCGATTCCAGGGCGAGAATGAGGCTAATAAAGGACAAGATACGCTTCCTATAGATCCAGCACTTTTAGGAGTTGGACCGCGCGTACGAGCGCCACCGCAGTGTTCTAATTGTCATGTTCGGGGACATACTAGAGTTAGATGTCCTAAACCACTTAGTAATTAATGTTTAGATAGAAATGCAATTGTTTGGTTGATAAAGCCTCTAGTATTTGGCCCGCCGGCAGGAATTGAGCGAAGGTGCGGCGCTCGGTGGTGTGCGGCGCTCGCTAGTGAAATACGTTAAAGCAGCCCGAATCACCAGATTATGTAAACAAGCGGACCTGACTTAACGTAATCAACGGTGGATACAGTTCACGCGAGCTTATCGATAGGCTCGCTTGAGCCGTTTCATAATGTGGGTCCGCCAAGGCTTGATTTATAAGCAGAACGATTCGCGCGACCTTAAATATCTTACAGTAATCCGCTTTCCATGAAAAATTCAACTTTCTTTCTTATTTCTTCACCACTCCCTATTCCGGTCCGTCAAGCGCTTCTTAAGCGATTACAAAGTACTTTCTTACAAGTCATACTATGGATTCTACTGCAGATCCCTTGAATGAAGTAATCGATGTGGATGCTTTGACTACAGTAGGGAAAACTCCCAAGCTTGCCGGCGCTTGGTAACCGCTTACTAAGTGCTTATAGGAACCCGAAGATGACATTCCAATTCCGTTGACTCATGCGAAAACAAAGCCTCTTACTACACTAAAGGTTGAATATATTGATGATCTTCCTGAATACCCTCAATCTCATTTGCAAGGATATTCATATATTGTTGCATCAAGAGGACGATCATATGATGAATGCAAAAACCTACTATCAGAGGTACAGAACCACTTAATAACCGCTTGATAAGTACTTACGGTCTTAGGTTCAATATGCGAAGCGGCAAATCTGTGGTCGTAAAGAATCGATTTTTTGTTCATTTTTGGATTGTTTTGTCAGCCGAATCACATGGAATTGCTCAGGAATTAAAACATGCGAATTCCTTAATTCTGATCTCAGATTACATCATCATACTGCAGTAGATGAAGCTTTGTGGGAAAGGATTCGAAAGGCTCGTCGAAGCATTCAACTTTCTGAGACAGATAGGACCAAACGAAATGCATACAGGTATTATGACCACTTACAAAGCAGTTAGCAAGTACTTGATCTAATTTTTCCAGTTTTTTTCGAATGCTTACGCAGCGTTTCAACCGAGGGCATGCATGTGTTGAAAATCGGGAATCATGTAAACCGCTTTTTAAGCGGTATAATCAAGTGGTAAGCATTATTTCCTCTAAGTGCTTAGGAACTGTTTAACAACTACTTTAGAACGCTATAGGAGAACGTCAACCCTATATTGCTTGTGTCAATGATCTAGGGGGTCAGAATCCTTCTCATCTTCGAGAGTCTATTCCAAATCATACAAATATGGATATAGGCTTCTTAGAAAGTCTTTGTAATGAAGATTTACTACCTTCTTCTGAAGAATGTGGTAGTTTTGAACCTGTTACCTCCAGAAGACAGTGGTGCGGTATGTTATCTTTTTAATTACTTGCTAAGCGATTATTAACTGCTTATCCAGATCAAGACCATCCGCAAGGAAGTGGACGGATTATTACAACTAAATGCAATGTTAAATTCAGTGCATTATTGCCTCTACAGCTTCAAGAATGTCCATATTTCATCTTCACTTCGCATGGGATTCATCAACATATACCACCACCTCCAAACAAGCCTCCAGAACAAATTTTAAATGGAGTGCAAAGAATTATTCGTGAGCTTCGGGATCCTACTTTAACAACGTGTAAGTACTTTCTAACCGGTTACGGACTGCTTTTTAAACTGCTTAGAATAGCTCAATTTCTCCGATCTCCACAACTTGAAAAGTTTTGTGAGCAGTATAATTCTTCAACCTTAGCTCAAATCCATTCATCTTTTTCAAATAAAGATCGAATCTCTGCAATTATTCAAAAAGAACGTCTTCTTTCAAATCCTGCAGGTCAAGGATTGAATGGTTTAATCTTTTTACAAAATCGGGATCCTTTAATAAAAGTAAGTACTTAGTAACCGCTTCTTAAGTAGTTACATTTATTTACTTTACTTAAGGAATATCTACGAGAATACTATCATGATTCAAATGGTAGTATGGCTTTTTGCGCATTCAAAGAGCAAATTCAGCTTCTTTCAGAATTAGGCTCATTTGAAGTTGATATGTCATACAAACGGATCCGTACAAAGGACTTTAATGAAGTTCTTTTTTCAACTTTTCTGACCGACCAGAAGAAAAGTGAGTAAACAGCAGTAAAGTACTATTTAAGCGCTTACTAACTGCTTTATAAAGTTGTTACCCTCTTACGCGTCTTTACCAACCAGGAAACAACAAAAGGCTATTTTTTACTTTTTAAACGAGCTTTTCAGCTTATTGCAAAGGTAACAAGAAAGCCAGTTGTGTTCTATCCTATTCATGGCAATGGGATTTACGGTATAATTGTTGATATGGATAATAAACAATATACTGGTAAGTACTTATCAACTGATTGACAAATGCTTTCTAAGCGCTTCTATAGGTCTGGGGCAATATCTGTCTGAAATCGATCCGGAACATCGAGATTATATATGGCAATTGCAGAATATAATTGTATTCTGTAAAGTCCATTTCCAACGATCGATTTTGACTGCGATTGGCACTCAAAATCATGGTAGTGGCGTATGGAGTCGAATGATGAGTCTTATTGAATGCAAATCAGAGGAAGACTACGATGAGTTGATAAGATTATTAACTAGTATAACTACTTATTAACTACTTGAGAAGCGCTTGCTAACTGCTTATACAGCCTTGGAAGATCACAATGTACGAAATTGGGCTCTACACAAAAGTCGACCAATTATTAAAGCAGGTTTGAATAAAGCCTGTTCAAGAATTAAGCCTGTTTTCTTTCAATCCCTTCGCGATCATACAAATGCGGTTGAGCAATCTCATGAAAAGTCATATGCCTCAGGAAAGTTTTTACCGTTAACTGAGGCTGCTAGAAAGTACTTAGTAAGCACTTTCCAAGTATTTATGATAATACTAATAAGACTATAGCTCTGCGAAGCTTGATCAAAATGATATTGAGCAATATTTGCACTTTGATCAATATAATATTCATCATAGCTCGCGAACCTCTAGTATAGAGACACATTATCGGAGACACCTTTACCGTGAGTTCCCCCAAGTACTTATCAACCGCTTAGCAAGTGCTTACCCCCTCTTTAGGATCCCGCAAACGCCCTAGATCGAACTCTCAAGGTTCATTATATGACCCTGAAGAAAGGCCTCAATCTCAGGCCGTCTCTCAGTCACGGTCTCAATCATCAAGGCGTAGTAGAGACAGCGAGTATATTTCCCCCCTGCACAAGTACTTAGCAAGCGCCTAATAAGTACTTAGATCCGTTCGATCAACCACCAATCTTCGTCGTCTCGCTTCAACCAATACCCTTTCGGCCGAGCAGAAACGTCAGGAACTTGAGCTTAAAAAGCTTGAAGCTGATATACGAAAGCAGGAGGAAGAGACGCGATTGCAACAGCTACGAAATGAAGAGTTGGAATTGAATCTTATTGAGCGCCGGCGCCAGTTGCAAGATGATATAAATACTTATTAAGCAGCTTCTAAGTGCTTTTGCTAGGTTGAAATATATTTCCTTGACCGTAAGCGCTTTATAACTGATTAAGGGGTCCCTTGCAAGCATTTTAGTGGCGGACCCTTCTAAATATAGAAGATATATATTCTATGATATATCGAGCTTCGGTAAAGGAATGATTCCATCTAAGCACTTATAAACTACTTGAGGTGATAATCTACTTTTTGGTAAGGAAGTTTTTCAAGTGCTTAAGAGGCACTTCTCAACTGCTTCACTTGAACTAACTAACCACGGCCATGTTTTTCCCCCCAAAAAAAAATGCTTAAAATCCTGGGCCGTTGGCCAAATCAAAACGCCTCCCTAGTTCACGTAACCAGTTGCAAACCACTTAAAAAACACTTCCAAAGCGCCTGTTTTTTTAAAAAAGAAAATTCCCCCGAACTCCTGTAACCGCTTGGAGACCGCTTAACAAGCACTTGATCCCTGGTATTTTTTTTTTCAAGCATCGTTTTCCTCGGCATTGACGCCAGCATTTTCCTGCTCATCGTTGTGGGTAGCCGGGGCCAATTTGTCGCAATTAAACAACAAGAAATGCTCGCAAAGATTGATATCTTTGCAACAATTTCTACGGTCGCCACAACTGCCGCAGGGAATCTTTTTGCCCATATTTCTGACCAGCTTCCGCATGTCCGTGATATGAACCTAAGCAGTCATTAATCGCTTGCCAAGCAGTTAATGAGTGGTTATAATCTTACCTTTCCGTCCTTTTTAGTCAGGGGCAAAGCTGGCAGGGGAATCGAGGCATTGCCAGAACCAAATCTGCCGCCGCTACTGCCGCCGCCAGTACCTTCCTCAAGCTGGGGCTCCTCACCGGAAAAAAGGTCCTTGTACCATTCTAAGCAGTTGTAGAGCAGTTAGCAAGTGCTTGAGAATCAGTTGTAATCATATTGAATATCCGTACTGATGGACCGATCCATTTCCTTCTGTCCGACCCGACCGCCCTTGTTATCCTCTGCCAGGCTGATGTTTTCATGCGCTTTGAGGTGGGTGCGAAGGTTATTGGTAGCCGTGTATTTCCTCTAAGCAGTTGACAAGCAGTTAGCAAACAGTTAAAATCATTTTATTTTTTTTTTCACCTGGCCCTTGGCGCAATCCTCCTTCCGGCAAAAAAGCTCTCCGTAGTAGATAATCAGGTTGCCGGCACTATCCTAAGCAGTTCCAAATCAGTTAGCAAATACTTGAGAGGCTGGAAACAAAAGGTTTCCTCGAAGTACTTATAAAGCACTTCTCAGTTCCCTTTCTGAAAGGTTTCAAACCGCTTTCACTCAAGTGCTTAAAAAGCACTTTTCAAGCAATCTTTCCCTCCCTTTCAAGTATCCTTTCCACGAAAAGATTGCTCAAATGGAAAACGGAATGAGGTAGGAATCAGACAGAAAGAAGGCGAAAATAAGGCTTACCGTTTCGTAGGGGGGGAGGGTGAGCTGCCCAGTGGGCACCATACGCAGATACCAGCAGTACCACTTCTGAGGGGAAAAGTTAAAACAACTGCTTCGAAAGCGCTTGATAAGCGGTTACTCACATTTTTCGCCAGATTTGCCATCGTGGCGGCTCCGAAGCGGTTGCGGAGCGGTAAATGAGTATTTGTAATGAAGAGTGTATCAGAGGGCTTTATAAGTGTTTGGAAAGTGCTTTATTGAAGAAAGAAAGAAGGGGGGGGGTCGAAGAAGGTGGGTTGAATACGAAGGTAAGGTGGTGTAAGAGGTCGTGCGAATTGAAAAGAAAAAATTTGGTGGTGCGAACGTCACGTGACCAAATCCTGCTTAATAAGCGTTTTCGGCTCGCGGGACCCACTTTCAAGAGGTCAGGTCAGCTGCAACCACTAATCAACGGGCGAGTGATGAATACGGGCGAGCGACGAGTTTCTTTATTGTTTCTAAATCAATAATTTTCAACGCGTCTTTTTTGTTAATATATTGCAGAAAAATGCCTTTATTTCAGAAGAATTGTATTCAGATGGCTATTTTAGTTTATGAAAAGAAACAAATTAAATCAATATTAAAATCTGCAAAGACTATTGGTGTGTCAGAGGCTATTCTTTGTGTGTGTTTTAAAGAAAGAAAATCACGCGCAGAAACACGCGCCAATAATCACAAATTTATAGAGATTGAAAAAGAATTGCTTCAAAAACGATTTTTAGATGCAGATAAACGAGGATTTTCGATTCGATTTGAATTTTTACGTGAAATGGCTGAGATATTATTTTGTGCGAGTTTTCAAGATTCTAAAGCCAAAATCGGAATTAATTGGTTTTATATTTTTGTTAGACGTCATTTAGAACTTTGTACACGATATACAAGACGAATGATTTATCAATGTGCAAAACAGGAAGATTCAATAATTATAAAGTCTTGGTTTGAGATTGTACAAGCTGTTATTCAGAAACATGACATATATGAAGATGATATCTGGAATTTTGACGAGATTGGCTTTGCAATGAGATTTTATTCTACTTCAAAAGTAATTACTGCAATTGAACGAAACGAATGATTATGCAGAGTTATTCAAAACAATTATGAATGAATTATAATTATCAAAATAATTGAATCAAAAAATATATATTTTCCGTTAGTTATTATATTAAAAATAAGCGTTCAACAAGTTGTCTGATTTTAAGAATTTAAGTTTTTTAAAGACTGATGAATTGCAATTAGTCAAAATAGTTGAACAATTGATAAAATAGATTTTTTTTGATTAAAAAATGTCTTTGAATCATTTTCAAAACGTTATATAATTAATGCAAAACATTTATTTATTTTTGATGGCCATAGCAGTCATTTAATTGTTAAATTCGATAATTTTTGTAAACAAAATGTAATTATCTGTTTTTGCATGTCTGTTCATGTTTTGCATCTTCTTTAATCATTTGATGTGAGTGTTTTCAATCTTTTAAAAAGAATATACAAAAAGCTTTTTGAAGGCTGTATAATTGTCGACAACAATCATATTAATAAAAAAGATTTTTTATCGCTATATTCAGATGCACGCAATAAAATTTTTATTACAGTTAATATTTATGGCGGTCTTAGAGGAGCAGGACTTAAATTATTTAATTTAGAATGTGTTTTTTCACAGTTTATTTTTCGATTATGTACGTCTATATTTACATCATTATTAATTGAAGACTCGATATTTTTTATTTTTTAAATTCCGCAAAATACTCGTCAATTAGATCGAAAGGTCCGAAGTCTACAAAACAATTTTAATAAAAAACAATAGCTTTTTAGCAGTCCGATTGCTCATATTCAACATTTTGAAAAAACGGCGCAAATGGCAATGCAAATCCAGCTTATTTTAAAAGAACGAATTAAAGCTTTACAAATTGAAAATGGGCGACAAAGTCGGAAAAAGACAAGAAAGTGTGTTGAACTAAATAATGACCGACTTTTTAATGTACAAAAAAATCAAAATTGCGTTCAGCAGCTTGATACATGACTTAATGAGTAGCTTGAAGAATCTATTTTGATGTTTCGTCGACGAGCTCCGCAACGCTATAGTGGTTGTAAGATAGTTGGATATACAATTCGAAATTGTTTTAATAAATAGCTATCTTTTCATATATTTATCCAGTCATTTCAACGGAATTGGTGATTAAATAGCTTCATTTAGTAATGGACGCGACGCAAAACTTGTCGCTCGCCCGTATTCGTCGCTCGCCCGTTGATTACGTTACATCAAGCAGGGAGCCGGAGCCCTGATTGCACTTATAACCATTTCAATGTTGTTTCTTTTGACTCGTGATACTACTCTTTCATTCCACTGTCCGATTTTCGTTGATAGCAAATTAATTTTTGTTTTATTTTTTTCTGTTGTGCGAAAAGGGACTGTTGTAGTGAGGTGGTCCCCGAGACGGCGAAAGGCCACGAGACGGGGGCGAAACCTCCACCAGTACCGAAAAGACGACATGGAGTGTGTCCGACTCTGGATTTTCAAGATGAATGTCTGGCCGTGTGGATAAATATCGTTCTGGATGACAACGGGTTATAACTACGTGTGACTCTACAATTTGAGGAAATAAAATTCAAGGAACTGACTCGAAATTCAACATGGTTCTCTCAAAACCGGATGATGCTCCCGTACAAAAACTCTTCGATCTTACGGGCAAAGTCGTCGCCATTACTGGTAGGAGAAAAGCATTTCCCTGGGGCTCCTCTCGCTAACCTATTATCAGGGGGCGGACGAGGAATCGGCCTAGCTGTGGCTACTGCATATGCTGAGGCCGGTGCCAAAGTAGGTCAAACATAATCACTTTCCAGCTGTTTGCATTGAGAACATGCATTGACCTCTTTTCTAGATTGCTCTTCTTTACCGCACAACTACAACCGCCCCGAGAACCGCAGAAAAGCTTTCCGTTGAATATAAAACGGACGCTCGCGCTTACCAGGCTGATGTCACCGTCCCGAAAGAAATCTCGTCGGCAATCGATCAGATTTCTCGGGACTTCGGAAGGTTGGATGTTATTGTGGCCAACGCCGGCATTTGCTCCGAGCATTCGGCCGAGGAGTACACTCCTGACGAGTTCCAGGAAATCATGAACGTCAATGTTAACGGTGCATTCCATACTGCACAGGCTGCCGCAAAAATATTCAAGCAGCAAGGTTTCGGAAATGTAGTGATCACAGCATCTGTCAGCGCTACGCTCGTGAATACGCCCCAGCGCCAGGCCGCAGTATGTAACACTCTACTATTCTGGTGGCTGGCATTTGAAGTTTTTATTTACTGATCAATCTTGATTATAGTACAATGCCTCCAAGGCTGGCGTCTTGCAACTGGCCAAATCCCTCGCAGTGGAATGGGTGGACTTCTGTCGGGTTAATTGTGTTTCGCCGGGCTATATACAAACTCAGATCATGGAATACGCATCAAAGGATATGCTCGACAAGTGGCTGGGTCAAATCCCTGCCCGCCGATTCGCGTCTCCATATGAGCTTAAAGGGGTAAGGATTTGCTAAATTTGCAAAATCGGGAGTCAAAGTTTTGTTTATATCCATCGCTCTAGGTTTACCTTTTCTGTGCTTCCGATGCGTCTAGCTATATGACAGGCTCGAACTTGGTGGTTGATGGTGGATTTACTCTGCCTTGAAAGTGAACGAAAGTAGATCTCAGACGAAAACGAAAATTCAAGTTACTCGCCTTCACTGTACAGTGATATGTAGCCTTTCGAGTCATCATGGTTAGTCTGTTCATTCTTGTCTCAAATTCGTCTCTCGGAGATTTAAAGTGAAATTTTGAACGTAAGGGCTCTACATGATTTCCCACAAAATGTGGCATAAAGTGTAGTATAGACCGAGGGATAAAGAGAATCCGCTGTAATAACTTCATAGAGTTGCTCCAGGGTTTTCTGTCGTTCAGGCGACAATTTGATGCTGACAAGGCGGAGGAGTCAGCGTCGCTTTGATTATATTTGGAATATGGTTATATTTGAAGGCCTCCAATCGCTCCTTCTTTCAAAATATATGCTCACTCTGATACACATACCCTTCTCGCAATTCGTCCCTGCACGTACCAAATATAAAGTTAAATATACTCCATTTTCTTCCAGCAGTAGGTATTTCGGTCCTATGAGAATAAGAAAATACGCTAGTATTATCTCGAGTGATATCACATCCTTCTCCAAAAGTTGTCTCCCCTGACCATTTATCAAAATGATTGATGGAAATCATTCTATTGACGAACACAACCAGTTATATACATTTCTCCATAACCTCTTGTGCGCCTAGTGAGTTTTTCCCCTCATAGTACCTTCAATACCCTCGAGGTCGCTGTATAACCGCCATTCATAGTCCAAGCTAGGATCATTGAAGCGAGCCTTCGCATCCAAGGTTGCGATCTGAGCCATCTCCTCAGGCTGCAACTCAAAGTCAGCCTCCAAGTTCTCCAGAACCTGCCAGTCAACGATACTCTTGGGAATGACAGAGCGGCCGCTATTAATACCCCACGCGAGTACCACCTGTACGGGGCTCTTGCCATATTTCTGGCCAATTTCCTTCAGAATTGGCTGGTCAATAACCCGCATCATATGCGAAATCTCTTTGGACCATCCAGTGTGTCGGTAAAAGTCATTCATATTGCCGAGTGGGCTAAATTGAACAACGTGAATTCCCTTTGTCCGAAGCCACTCGTTGAACCCTTTTTGTTGTAGGTAGGGATGAACCTCCATTTGGTGGACAGCCGGGACCTAGGAAGACGAATGAGTATGATATGGTTTTCTTGTGTATATCCAAGAGTCTGAAAGAAGAGAGTATTTACCGTAGAAGATCCGTCGATCAGGGTGTCAATTTCGCTACGACTGAAATTCGAGACGCCAATAGCTTTGACCTTGCCAGTCTTCGTTACTTTCTCCATCGCTTTCCAGGTATCCAGATATGTCGTCTCGCCGTGAATCATTCTACCATCAGCATCCCGAGGGAATCGATCAGGGCCTCGCTTAAAGGTGCAGGGGTAGTGCATCAACAGTAGATCAACGTATGGAGTGTCCAGATCTCGGAGGGAATCATCCACAGCGCGCTCCACATCATCGGGATGATAGTTATTGCACCATAACTTTGTGCCGAGGAAAATCTCCTCGCGAGGAATTCCGCTCTTCTTAATTCCCCTTCCGACTTGCTCTTCGACATTGTAAACCCGGGCCGTATCAATAAGACGCATGCCTTTTTGCAAGGCCTGGCTAACAGTGTCTTCCTGGGAGTCTGGATCTTGGAAGTGCCAAAACCGAGAGCTGGGATTTTCGCACCCGTATTGAGTGTATAAGAGGTTGCACGAGTGCTCATAGCGCACGAAGACGACTGTCGAGATAAAAGAAAAGGGTTTCGGAAAACTGGCATCCGGGTTACTCTGGCTGCAAGAGAAGCCATAATGAGAGACGGATAGGCAGGCCTAGCTGGTGGAATGGACTGAGATAGATTCGCCTTTCTCTTCTTGCGATGCTCCGCATCGATTTTTGACAATGCTTGAAGGGGATCTATAATAATATTTGATCAAATGGTAGCAGCAGAGCGGGGTTAAATCTCCTGCAAAAAAAGTGGACAAGGTGTATCCCCGTGTCGGCGCGATGGGTGCTTGGGTGCGTGGGTGCTGTGGACGCGAAACGGGGTCTGTGGGGTAGCGGGTTCTGCGGTGGCCCAGGGGATCGTAGTCAAGAGCCTTCATTCGGCGGAGTCTTGAGCCACGACACGAGGGCGCAAGTGCCCAGGTCGCCAGGCTCTATGACTGTACGATAACTTCGGATTTACGATAGTTGTCAACCATGATTGCTTTACCAGAATCGCTGGCTTATCCAGCCGTCGTAATTATTAGGATATCGGAAGTTATTGGTATCGCAGCTAGGATGATCCCTTCCTTAAGAGGAGGATGATAACGATCGCATCAAGGAGAATCCAGATTGAATTGTTCATACAGAGAAAGATTGCAGATAGTCTAAGAATTTAGACCCTCATTTATTGAAAGGCATGGTGGGTACGTGGGATTGGTTGTTGGACGCTATACAGGATGCCACATATATATACTGAGAAGCAAGTTGATTGTACAGAAACCATATAAATTATGAACATTCACACGCCGGGTCTTATCGATACCGTTGGTTTTGTCGCTTTAAATGACTCAATCAATGCCAGTCCAATCACTGTCCCGTCAGCAGTCTTCGCAATAGAGGTCAGTCCTCTTCTAGCGGATTGCAGTCAGTTCGTGGCTATACGCCCGTAGAGACTCTGGGAAGGAGGGATCAGTCACAGCCAGGGTACGATGTAACGGCTCCCGCCGCAAGAAGGTGCTGCCCATGACCTCGGTGACCCGGGGGTCCTCGCTCTCCTCTGGTTCCATCAATTTAATGATAGTTTGCTTCGCGCATAATTTTGCAGTGGACTCGATGGAAATATCCTCTCGGGTGATAAAGACCGGTGGTCAGGCGCCTGGTGCCGTAGCTCGTGTTACAATGATCGGATGCCATACTGGTTGGCCTCATCCCAGGTGGTGATATAGCCGAAAGCCTCCCCATCACCGACTCGACAGCCTTTGGCCATCACCGCTTTCTTTTCATAGATTTTGAATTGGAATGGCCAGCTTGGATCCACCTACTCTGGTGAGTTTATATTATTGTTATGCCAGGGGAGACCAAGTCGCGCAGCACTTCTGTTGTCTTCATCCAGAGCGGGTCGGAAAAGGGGTAGAAAGGACCGGGCGATTTGCTCCTCCATTCGTGATAAAGCCGATTTGCCTGGTCCAGGATCGGCAGAGGTGCACTTGCCCGTTTCTGAATCACTGGATCCTCCATCCATCCTGGTTCGCTGGATTGGAAGGCCTTGTTGATGGTGTCCGGAAGCGAATTAGCGACATCCTCCCCAGTTCCGCTCTCTGTTGCCTTGGCAGTCAATGAGAGTGCTGCCTTTTTGTGCAGCACGATGCTCTTAGTTTCAATTTCAGCCATGTTAGATCATGTGCGGAGTAATGTTCATGACACACTGTGCTTGCCGGAAAGCCTGGGCTAGAGTGCGAAGGCGTGGTTGGATAGTGTTGAAGGGCTGAAGATGTATATCCGTGCTACTATTGAGAACTTGCAATGAGATATATGTACGACTGCTGATGCGCTGTTTATCAAGAAAAGGGCGCAGATAGAATGAAAGTGACTAGAGGTGGATATAGACTTATCTATCAGTTGGACGTGTCGGGGTGACCAAGATGTTGATAATTAGACAGTGACAACACTCTTTACTATTTTCTAGATGCCGAAGAGGGTCCATTCACAGTGTCAAAGAAATTGAAAATAAATACAGCAGGACTTGATACAATCCTCATGACGAATACTGCAAGCCGCAGCTCAACTCCCGTCTCTCATTTCACCTCTTTCAGTCCATGGGAACTGGAAGAAACAGCATTTATATCCTCCACATGCCTGTTCTATACCAGTAGGTCTCCTTTGTGATCACTTGAAAAGAGATTAGTCCGTCGAATCGTTGACCCCGACAGATTCGAGAATATTATGCAGATAGTACGATACTAACCCGTTACCGGAGCACTGACTGAAGAAGGAGTTTGGGATAATGAGCAGCACCAGATGACATGGGGCACGTGGAGTCCGACTTCACCATCTTGTTGGAATGCCTCGAGGTTGTCTTCTTCCTTGTGGCTCTCTGACATATTGGAACGTCAATGGTTCTTGCAGATGATGATAGACAGGAGGAAGGAAAACCGCTTTGCGCAGTACGGGGGTATATATGTAGGCAAGTTGAAGGGGCTTCCCGCCTATTTGTAGCTCTCCAAGCTCATGCCAGATGATGCGAGCTGGTAGAGTCGTCAACGGCCTCAATTTTGCGAAACGAGGGTCAATCGAGTCCAGGCCTACAGCCACAATGCGTACCAAAAGTCTCATTATGCTTTTCACTGGGTCGTACAGATAAATGCACCTGCGGAAATTAGGCCAATCAAGATTGTGGGATTCCGCAACACCCCTACATCTATCTTACCTACGTGGTGGTACTTTGCGGGGTGCGGCATGTCATACAAGCATTCGTCAATAAAGGCATCACTCCGGTGGGAGAATTCATTCCCCCCACTGGACTGTCTTGCGAAACTTTCCTCAAATTCCTGCTCAGTCTATTTCGCTCGCTCCCTCTTGTTCACCAAACTGGCACCAATCTTTACTACCTTCCGAAGCATAGCCACCACTAGCACCATGCAGACCAAACTCCCTTACCTCGAGAAAGCCTCAACCGGCCAACAGCTCGTTGTCGATGGAGAGCCTTTTCTAATGCGCCCGGCCGAGCTTCAAAATTCTTCATTGAGCTCCGCCAAATTCATGAAGGATGTGTGGCCCCAACTGGTACAGGGGAAGATAAACACTGTCCTCGGCTCCGTCAGCTGGGAACATATTGAGCCTCGTGAGGGAGAATTCTGCTTCGAGGAGCTCGATGAGATATTGCAAAATGCGCGTTCACACGGTCTGCGCCTTGTGCTGTTGTGGTTTGGATCGTTCAAAAACAGTACGGATAACGCCACAACGTTGAAGTACACCATATAGTGCCGTGTTTCTGATGATCTGGCATATGTTAGGTGTTTCCACTTATGTCCCAGCCTGGGTGAAGATGAATCCTCGTCGGTTTCCTCGCGCAAAAATCAACGATACGGCTTCTCCCGGTACTCCTCGTGTAAGTTCTGTCCGTCTTTCACAACGAATCTGTCGCCGCCGATGCGCGCGCATTCGGCAAATTAATGGAACACCTAAGAGATGTCGACAAAGATTACTCCACAGTTGTCATGGTTCAGGTTGAGAATGAGGTCCTCGTGTCGAACTTCTGTGAGTGCGGCACTGAACTCTTCTTTAACTTTCTGGAGCTCTTCCTTGTGCAAATCGTCTCGTCGTCTAATTTCTCTCCTGAGTTTGACGAGCTCTTTCACGAGTTCAGAGGCGTTCGGGTCCTCGCTCTCTGTCGAGGAGTCGTCCGAAGTCACCGCTTCACGTTGGGCTACTGGCCTGCCTCGAGTCTTCTTCTTCTGCTGGGGGCGAGCCTTTCGCTGCTCGGTATCGATCTCTTGCTCTCGACCATAGTGAGTCGGTGGCCTTGTGATACGTTTCGGCCTCGCCAATCGTGGTGGTGAGTTTTCGTGTTCGTCGCGGTCGGGCGGTTCAGGGGTTCGCGATGCCTCACAGCCTGACAGCCTGAGTGGAACCACCCATACTACGGAGTAGGTACCTTTACTAGGCCAGTCAGTGCAAGTATACAACCACGACAACTCCCGGTCAGGTGAAAGCTGTAAAACCAGACAAACAGATCCACGGAAGACTCCAGGAAAATAAACGGTTCTCTCCTCTTCTCTTCCTCTCCCTCCATTCACTCTGTCCCAAGCCTCCCCCCCCCCCTCATAAAAGGTCTCTCATGACCTCACAATGAACTAACTTGTTGGTGGCGCTTCTTCCGACCTTCTAGTCGTATCATTATCTATCAACTATCTATATTCCCCTCTCAGACCCTCTGCAGTGCAACGAACCACTTATTGTTCTTGTCCAGGTTGCCAGCTCAATCTGCATGCACATCCCTGGCTTTCTTGCAGGCAGCAGTCTCTTTTTTGGTGAATAAAATTCATCGTTGTCCGCTTCCTTTTCTTCCTTCTCAAAATTGGAGAGGTCGGTCTGTACTACTTAAGACCCTCCCCTCAAGCACCTATCCACTTTACTTCTTCACTCAGCTCTCCCCTAAACAATTCTCCAACCCACTCATCCTTTCCAAAATTCTTCTAAAACCCATCGTTATCTCTACATTCTTAACATTAGTGACATTCATCAATCATGTCGGCCCCTAGAGGTCCCTCCCGGGGTCGTGGTCGCGGCGGCGACCGAGGCAGAGGTGGTGGGGATGCACCTGGTGGTCGCGGTGGTCGCGGTGGTGGTCGTGGCGGTGGCCGCGGCTCAACGACTGAACTGCCCTTCCGCCAAGGCAATCCTAGAGGCGATTTCAGAGGTGACTTCAGAGGCCGTGGTCGCGGTCAGTACTCTAGCTTTCGAGGCGGCCGCGGTGGTGGTGGTGGTGGTGGTCGCGGCAGAGGAGGCTTTGCCCAGGGTCCCGTCATTTACTCGTAAGGATGTCCCTCCCTATACTCCTTCTCCTATCCCGTTCGAAGTCACTAAACTTGGTTTCCTAATCTAGTCCTGAAAAGCCTGTGTCTGTCAACCCTCAGGTTGAGAAAACTGAAAATGCGGTGGCCGCCGCTCTGAAGACCAAGGAACGCAAAATAACAAGCTACCCCGATCGTCCGGGATACGGCACGCGCGGCGACCCGGTCATGCTCTATGCCAATTATTTTGAACTTCAGTCGGTTGGCAAGGAGCTGTTCAGGTATTCTGTCGATATTGCAGGTAACTCGCCTGGCAGAGCGCCAACCGGCAGGAAGGTTCGCCAGATAATCAGCCTGCTGATTGAAGAGCGTTTCGGATCGGTGAAAAACAGCATCGTCACGGACTACAAGTCGACTCTAATTTCATACGTGAATTTGGATGTTGACTCCCCTCAATACGATGTCCGCTATCGCAGTGAGCATGAAGACGAGTATCTGGAAAACCCAGAGGTTTACCACACTACGACCCAGCTCACGGGCACACTCAGCCCTTCCGACCTACTCGAATACCTGACCTCCACGGACCCCGCTGCTGCTTTCGGTTCGAAGTACGATACCTTGCAGGCTATGAATATTGTCCTGGGACACCATCCTAAGACCAATCCGGCAATCGCATCGGTCTGTGCCAACAAGCACTATGGAATCGGCGAAGGGCTGCAAGAGAAGTATGATCTTGGTAACGGACTTGAGGCTCTGCGAGGGTTTTTCGTCAGTGTACGAACAGCCACCGCGCGTCTTCTCGTGAATGTCCAGGTCAAGTACGTGGCTTGCTACCAGGAAGGCCAGCTTCACTTCGTGGTCAGTCAATTTGGGACCCGTGACCTGCACAGTCTGGGGCGTTACCTCAAACGACTCAGGGTGCGGGTAACCCACATCAAAAAGAAGAACAAAAAAGGCGAAATAGTCCCCCGTTTCAAGACTGTTGGCAATCTGGCAACGCCGGCTGACGGCAGAAACCTGCCCATGCCACCAAAGGTATCCAAGTATGGCGCGGGCCCGAGAGACGTTATGTTTTTCCTGGATGCTCCTGGCCAGCAACCTTCACAGCTGAGCAGCTCTGCGACCCCCAAGGGCAAGGGTAAGAAGCCTGCAAAAGCAGGGCCTGCACCTGCCGGGAAATACATAACCGTGGCCGACTTCTTCAAGCAGCGTAAGTCATTCATACCGAGAGCGTGGCCTCACCACAAGTGTGCTAGGCTAATATAACATTGCAGATCACGACCTGAAAACCGATTCCAACATGCCAGTTGTAAACGTGGGCACGGTGGACAACCCCAGTTACTTGCCCGTCGAGGCATGTGTGGTTGAGCCCGGTCAGCCTGCTAATTCGAAATTGACGCCCCATCAAACACGGAGGATGTTGGAATTTGCGGTCCGCACTCCAGTAGACAATGCAGAGTCGACAGCCAACCTCGGTAATAGAGTGCTCGCTCTCTCGCCGCCAAACCCTACTTTGGTAAGCCTACATTTAAACATATGACTGTGGCCGGAGACTAACTGCCCACTACAGGGAGACTTTGGGATTAAAGCGGACCTGAATCTGATTAAGGTTCCCGGTCGAATTCTTCCGTGTCCTAACGTCTTGTACAGTGCACAGAAGCAGATTACGCCCGCGAACGGTAGCTGGAACATGAAGTCAATCAAATTTTCCACGCCCAGCAAATTGACCTCCTGCTCATACGTCTGGTTCGATGCCCCGGGTCCCAGGTCAAGCTTTCAGGACTCAAAGGAGGTTGAGGCTCGTCTGAAAGGGATTATCGCCAAGATTAACGAGATGGGTGTCAACACAAATAATTTGATTACTATTCCTGGAAAGCGGGTGATTCTCGATCGCCATCCTCAAACAAGTAAGCAGGAGAGGCAGGTGAATCAGGCGATTTCTGAACTTATGGCCGGCTCTCCCAAGCCTCAGTTGATCTTTACCGTCCTGCCGGACGCGGACGGCGACTTGTACAACAAGATCAAGAAGGCCTGTGACGTCCTGTATGGCGTTCGCAACGTCAACGTTCTCGCCGAGAAGCTCAGAGGTGCCAACGACCAGTACTACGCGAACGTCGGCCTCAAAGTCAATCTCAAACTTGGTGGTTCCAACCAAGCTTTGAAACCATCCGAGCTAGGCATCATCGGCCAAGGGAAGACGATGCTCGTCGGAATCGACGTAACCCATCCATCTCCTGGATCTTCCAGCAGTGCCCCTAGTGTCGCAGGCATGGTCGCTTCTGTTGATTCCTCCCTCGGTCAATGGCCCGCCGAGCTCTGCATTCAGGCGTCCCGTGAAGAGATGGTCAAAGACTTGGACACCATGCTCAAAGCACATCTCCGTCGCTGGGCCCGCAGCCACAAGAACATCCTGCCTGAGAACCTAATCGTCTACCGAGACGGCGTGTCTGAGGGTCAATACGACAAAGTCGTCCAGGAGGAGCTGCCCCTTCTCCGGAAAGCCTGCAAAGAGACCTATCCTGCCACCGACACCGCCAAGGGCCTTCCACGTATTTCGATCCTCATCGTCGGAAAGCGGCACCATACTCGATTCTACCCCACTGACGCCGATAAAGCCGATCGTTCGAGCAACACCAAGAACGGCACCGTCGTCGACCGCGGTGTCACCGAGGCCCGTAACTGGGACTTCTTCCTGCAGGCGCACGCGGCCCTCAAGGGAACCGCGCGCCCCGCGCACTACTTCACGGTCTGGGATGAGATCTTCTTCCGTGAGAAGCCGAAGCCACCCTACCAGAATGCCGCGGACGTGCTCGAAGCCCTGACCCACCACATGTGCTACCTCTTCGGCCGCGCAACCAAGGCAGTCAGCATCTGCCCGCCGGCGTACTACGCCGATCTGGTCTGTACCCGGGCCCGGTGCTACCTCAGTCATGTCTTCGAGCAAACCCCCACCGGAAGCAGGGTCACCGGCAGCGGACAGACCTCGCAGGTCCGGGCCTCCGATGTGACGATGCACCCCAATGTGAAAGATACCATGTTTTACATTTAAAGTGGGGTAAAGTGAGCTTCTATCTATCTGTGGAAGTATGTGTATGCACTGATGAGACCGTGTCTGTCTTTGTACGCATTCTTACGTTACTGTCCCATGATCTATTGTTCCACTTGGGTCGTTGTCATATCTTTGCTTCCCTCTCTTGCTATCTTTCTTCCACTCTCACATTCTTACCTACGCCCTTGCATATCCCGTCTCATATCATCCCATCTCTTATCATTTCCCACCTCCCATCCTTATACCCATCATCATTCGCCATATCAATTATCAATCATCAATACTCCAATTGGAAACACAACCCCGATTGATACTCTATTGGCTAGTTTGGATGCTTTGGAGATATGATGTACAGTGTATATCATGACATGTGGATGGGGGAGCATAGTCTGGTCTACCTACCTCGGTACGCGCCAGCTCTGTATGTATGCAGATGATGTATGCATGCATGTACGCTCTAGGCTTTCTGGACATGGATATCTGTCTGTTTCGATTGATTTTGGTTTATTGTGAAGTTTTCTGAACCTATAGATTAGCATGCCTCTTGTCTTTATTTCATCGTCATTGGTAATTTTCTTACAATGCTGGGTATTGTTTTCTGGTTTATTTGATAATCGAATATCAAATATCGAATTCTCTACCTTTCCTTCCCTTCAGATCAATTACACATTAAATAAGTGAAACTGTAAAGCGTACTTCATTATCGTTTGATCTGTACGGATTCATACACAATCCAGCACTCAGTACTGGTCCAGATATCAGAGCTGCCGAACGAGAAAAATGTAGAGAAAAGATACAAGGAACGAAATGAAAGCCAAGCCATAGATGAGACGTAAAGAAAATACACAGCTTGACAAACAAGGAAGAGAAAATCCATACAGTATGGGCCATTGCACGCTCACAATATCGCTGTACACATATGGGTTAGTTGAAGATGTCATGAGGCTAGCTTCGTCTAAAGGTAAATGGTGAGTTAAAACATCGTGTGGAATCTACGTCCAGCTGGAATCTAGGTATCAGCCAAGGGGATGGGATCGGAAATTTATTCGTCATCCAGTCCCCAGCTTCTCTCGTTGACCTGGCGCACGGCACGACGCTGCGGGGGCGGACGCACGAATTTGCTGGGCTGAGGGGATTCGTCGTAGGCTTCCCATTGGGATTCCATGTTCTTGAGTGCTTTCTGGCGATCTGCACCCACAGGTTTCTTGTTTTCGTTGGACTTGCCATCGACGGGGGATTCATCCGCGGCGGTCCAGTGACTCTCGAATTCCCTACGGTTTGCACCGTTGTGGACTGATGAAAGTGGGGCATTTTCATTGGATTTTTCCTCATCTGCATCGTCAAACAGATGGTTCTTATAGAGGGACATGCCTTTGTTTCCGTAGGCTCTGATATAGCGGGGTTTGTTTTGCTCCTCGTCTTCTCCTTCGCCGGTCAAGTTGAAGTGGGTTTTCGCGTCGCGGCGAGGATGGGGCACATGTTTTTGAAACACGGGCGTAGGCTCAGGCTCATCGTCGCTCCAGCCGAAATGACGGATTTCTTCGCCACGAGGCTGGCGCTTAGGCTTCTCAGGCGTCGCAAAGTCGTCGAAATCCCAGTGCGGAACATGGCGGGATCCTGGACGCGAGGGCTTCTCCTGAACCTCGCGCTGGCTGTTGTCTGCGCCGATCTCGAAATGATCGAACCGCTTGGGGTTGGCGCGATAAGCGATCATTGGGTGGGAGCCTTCGGCCGCAACGGTCTCATCGTCATCGAAGATGCGCGAGGCTCCGAATTTCTTATTTGCGCCGGCTTTGGGAGCGACGTTCCTGGACTTAGAAGGCGTCGCATCAGGGACATCCGCGTCATCCGGGTCGTCGGCGTGCACGAAAAGTTCGTTGTATTCGCGCGGCGGAGGCTTCGCGGAGGCAGGCGCACGAGGAGCGCGTACGGCTTCGGCACGGTCCTTCTCGGGCGACAGCAGCTCGTACAGGGATCCGGCTGCGTGAGGGTCCTTGATATGTTTCTTCCCGGGGGAGCCACGTTTGGACTCTTCGCCGTTCTCCGGGTCGTCGTTACTCTGGTTCGTGCGGCGCGTAGGGGCAGCAGCCAGCGATACGGCTGTTTTTATAAAACGCGTTTGTTCTTTTGCCTCCCGAATGGGCCAGCCGCGACCACGGGCACCGATCACCTCGACTTGTTTCAGCAACGATGCCTGGTCCCAATAGATTCGGATCTGCTGGATTTGGTTCTGAGAGTTGAAATGAACGACATGGAGCTGCCAACAATCGGAAGAGTCAGTCCCTCAGGGCAGATCACAACATGCGTAGCAGACAGAGGGGTTGTTTGTGTACATACCGTGGGGAAAGTCGCGACGCGGTCGGCCAGGAAATTATCATCCAGCGAGGGGAGATAGGCACCCCCACCAGAGACAAACTCCAAGATGGTCTCAACATCCACACATACGGAATTGTCGCCTTCGATGCCAGCAATGACCTGCTCCGACTTGCGCTTGACAACGTGATCTTGCTTGGTGAGGTGAGAGAGCACGGCGTCGGCACCATCAAACTTGGTCGTGGTAGTGATGTAGCTCACGGAGACATCGGGGGCCAGAGCAGCAGCTCTGGGGCCCACTAGGAATCTCTGATACAGGTCCTTCAGAATGGCCATGGTCGCAGGGGACTAGGAGATGTCTATCGGAAACGAATGTGGAAACCGGGGTAGCGAAAGAGAAAGGAAGGGTGGCCAATGAAGAAGTAGGTAAGGATCAGGAGAGCACCGGAGATGGGAATAATGAATGGAATGGTTACTGTTGCAGAAAGAGGAAAGAAAACAAGCAAGGATTCAATCAGTTCATTGGAAAAGAAAGAACACGAACCACAGATAAGAAGGCAGATGTGGCAGTCGCAAGGGGGACAAGACAGGAAGGACACAAGTGAAATTGACGGCCTGCGAATCACATGGCCCGCAGTTGCCTGAGAGACGGGGCAAGCGTGAGGTGAAACACTGGTGCTGCCCGCCTCCGCCGCCCTGGACGATCCTGATATCCCTGAGTCCAGAGCATTATTTCGCTACGGTTCTTATGGATTCCTAGTGCTGACCCGGTGCTTGGAGTACGGATACGACGTCAAATTACTCCAAGTCTGGGGTTGACGTCTACTTTCAAATCCCATTCAATCCAACGGTTCCAACCCAGATTCCCCATATGACCGATCTTCATATCAACTGCACTATCGGACTAAATATCGATTAGCTCAACCTAATCGGACTTGCCAAGATGCCCATTCCTAAATGCGTCTGCTCTTGAGTCTCGCCCGTCTGCCATTTGTTTCGAACTGTAGAGCTTCGGTTCTACTACTCATGCTCTCATGCAATTACCAGAATACCCGGCTTGTATGCGATACGGCGTCGTGTCCAAGCTCATTGTTCCAGGCCATTCTTCAGAATACCCATGTGGGCCACAGAAATTTAGTGCCATGACCATCAGGATGCCTCCAGTGCGAAGTCACTAGTGCAACGACCGGGTCCATGCCATCGGTACCTTGACATGAAGCGTGGGAAAAGCGGAACGGGGTTCACATAAAGTGGGAAAGGACTATTCTCCAATCGGTATTGAATATAGCCCAAATGCTGCTGGACAGAGAAGGGATAATTGAGCCCTGGCACACCATATCCCTTCTTTAGTCTGAGCTACCCCCACGCTAATGAAAACAACGGCAGTGCGCTTTGAGAATTGAAACTGGGAGCAAGCTGGAATCTCTCGGGTATGTTTCAACAGCAACGGCTTATGCGGAGATGGGAAGGCTCTTCTTGACCACTATCAAGCGTTGATAGGGTTGAGTATAGAGTGTGTGCGCTTTTAATTCTTCTCTTGTAGTCATATGTCCCGGCAAGCAAGGCCAAAGGATTGTTCGTGGAGACTTCTTGAATAGTGGGATCTATGTCATTGATGACTCGAGCTTTTCTATGGGGACTATGGAATATATTATCTCCCTACCTAGTAGTTTGAAACATATCGGGATTCGAGATTCATTTCCCTACCATCCCATGCTTGCATCGTCAGAATAGCTAGATCAATGCGAATTCTATCTTTCTTTATTTTTTTAAAGTCTGCATCAGACATCTTTTGGAGCTTTTTTCGAAAGGATCCTCTCATCCTGCGAGGGTTTAGAAATAACATGTCTCTCTGCTCCATGGAAGATGCTCTTTCATGGGCTCGAGGGATATCTGCTGATCAACCTATAAAGACTGTTGCATCTTTTCCAGGGACCAGCGGCTTTTCGCATGCACCCTTTGCAAGGGGCGGAAGCTCCAGCAAAAAAGGAAAAGAAAAGAGATAGGCTTCTTAAGTGTTTGCCGGTGGTATTATTGGTATAGATCGTGAAAATGTGTTGGGCATCCCTTGCTGTTTGTCCTCTTGTCCTTTTGAAATTCCATTGCTCGTCGAGATTGGTTTACAATGGTCTGTAGTGGGAGAGACACATTAGCGGTGTCTCTTGAGTAGTGAGATTAAGCATAGCAAAGACCCACCCTAGGAAATCCTCCTTGATGGTACCAATGGCATTGATGGCCGCCACATCCGGCTTGACACCGAGAATCTTGAGTCGCAGACTGGTTCCCTTTTCGATGACTTGGTCGGCATGATCTGTGTATTGGGGAGGTATCGTGTTCGGCTCCCACTTGATATCGGAGGGGACGTTCTTAGGGGCTCAGTTAGCAGAGGAAATCGACTGGTCACCTGCAGCTGATGAAGCATACTTTCCGCGCAATGAAAACCGACAATGGACCTGCCAATGTGAAAATTCCGGTGGGTTTGACAGAGGTAACTATGGCATCGACCTGCCGAGGTCAGGGTCAGCATGCGAGAACGCTTGGTGTCGCCAACTCTCCAGAACAAAGTCATACCGTCTCCCCTCGGAAAGGCTTCCAGATAATCGCACGGTATTTTATAGTGTATTCTGCCTGTCCTCCGCTTGGAAGTACCCTCCCTTCGCCAATATCGACCATATCCATGACACAGATCACAAAGTGATCACCCGTGCATCGTCCTTCCTCCTCCTCGTTCAATCGGTTGATCAGATATTCTCGCACATTGGGACCGAAGTAGGACGGATGCAGCGTGATAACTTTGGTTTCTTCTTTGAGGAAGAACATGGCGCAAGGCTTTGCAACGACGACACGGATCGGGTCAAAGGCGGGGAGGATATTCTGGTCGCAAGCTAGATAATTGGTGGGGTTCGCACTCGATATCGCTGGCTGGAATTGGTTCTTAGACTGTGAAGACCACACACAAGGAGAGATTTATTGCAGGCGAAACAACTGTGAATGCGAAAAGGAGAATTCCGAAGTACGAACAGTTTCAATTCACGTCCATGAACAGAGCTTCACGGCTCATGACCAAACAAGAAGCAAATAACCCCGGAAGAGAAAGCGCACAGCTGCTAGAAAAGAATGTAGTAGGGTTAGTATATAGTTGATTCACTGCCTGTGCGAAAGGGCAGGGGCGAAGAGCTGGGTATATACAAGAAAATGGACTCGAGGCAGACAATGATGACGGCCCATGTCTGATCAGCACAAGCTGCAGTCAGTCACATGATCTGGATAGCCTGAGGACGGCGTTTGTTACATGACAATACCGTACCTGCCCAGCGCCAACGGGCCGCTGCATACGGCTGCATAACTCGTTATCCAAATACATTATCCTCGGTCCCTGGCGCCATTTGCACATGACGTCTGTGCCAGAGCAAATGCCTCGTCGTCTTAGCGCAGATAAAATGCCTGCCCTCTCCACCTCTTGGCTGGCCTGATCTGGCAATACTTCTTGCTGTATGAATTTGTAACGGTGGTCGGTAAAATAGTTTGAAGGGTCTTTTTCATTGTTTAGGTCCATTCCGACGGCCAGCTTCATCTTCTCTTTCTTTAAGAAAGCCAACCAAACAGAAATCGACATGGCTTTGAACTTGGAAAGGCAGCTTCTCTTTGTAAGTTCTTTCATCTCGCTCGATGGATGAGAATAACATATCATGATCACATTTGGACACCTGCTTACTTTTCCAGTATGGCGCCTACCATAATAATCCCGTAAATCTCTATGTACCCCCCTATAGCCGACCGTTGTCACTCATGGCCTTTAGGTAAACATTGCCATCCACATCACATGTGTGCCAATCCTCTTATTTACGGGAATTGCACTGGTATGTTTTTGTCTTTGCCATCGCCAAATTCTAACTAGGAGAGATATTGACGAAAGACGATACCATCAGGCTTCCAACTCTCCCGTCCTCTTTAACGTCCCCGATGTCCTACGCTTCGAAAACCTCCCGGCTAATGTCGGAACGATTGGCGCGTTGATATATGCCACCTTCTATATTCTTTTGGAGCCCGTCGCCGGTGGCCTAGTCGCGCCGCTCCTGCTCGCAGGCGCGGCCTTCGCCAACCATCTCCTCATCACATACGGTCCCAGCATGAACTACTGGTTTGGGGGCATCCATATCGCGTCCTGGTTGGTGCAATTCGTCGGTCACGGAGTCTTCGAAGGACGGGCTCCCGCGCTCTTGGACAATTTGGTTCAGGCCCTCCTCCTGGCTCCTCTGTTCGTTTGGATGGAGATTCTGTTCTTCTTCGGATACCGCCCGGAACTGAAGGCCCGATACGACGAGAGCGTCAACAAGCAAGTCGCGGCGTTCCGGGAACAGAAGAAGAACAAGGATGCCGCGAAGCAGTAGACCTTCAGAGGCATCTGCGCGACGCGAAGAGACTGCTCCCGACTGGCATTGTCAAATAGTAGTAACCTAATGAGCCTGTTACGGAGGCAGATTCTTCCACTGGTTGAGCAAGTTGTGGTGGTTGGAACTAAGTGATTGCGACAGGAGTTGTTGATTTGGATTCGATGTGAAGTTTTTTCTCTATTGAAACATGCTTGTCATTGTCATTGTTGTTTGTTGATTTGTTGATGTATATGCACAGCGGACTGCTAGGTACTGGATTTAGCGATTTGGTGTTACGTAATGCAGCATTCGTACAGCTTGAGCTGTCCCGAGAGTCGAGTACGGAGTAGATGGCACTTGCGGTGACGAAAGGGAGCTAAGGGAACGGTGTATTTGATATAAATAAACATGGACGTTGGGATACGGAGAAAAACACACGAGCAAGATATTAAATCGGGATTGAACTCTTCACCGCACGAACTACGTCTTGATATCCACCTACGGTGTAGACCGTAGACGCCCGGATATATATTGAGCTACCATAGAAACAGCTACACCGTACCGAGTATCGAGAACATAGAAATATAAGAGAACAGAAATTAGGGAGAAGATTAATTTTGATCAAAACCGAATAGAAGATAAATATAAAACGATAACAAATATAAAGTCATATAAATCTATAAATCTGAACATCACGGTCTCCAGAAAGAGTTGGCAGTGGTTGCCGTGACGAAAATGGGCGGGCACTGAGTCAGCAGGCTAAACCAATGACCAGGACGGAGTATCCGCAGATCCGAGAAATTATAACTAGTTAGCGAAAACTGAGATTGCCAGGTGGCCCGCAGGAAGCCAGGGAAGGGAGAAAATGAGGGAGAAACACGGACGGATAGCCGGAGAAAACCAAGCCAGCCAGCACCGCACCTCCACTCCCAAGTCAACTTTCCCACCCCCCGTCACCCAGGCGAAAATATAGTGTAAGAAAAGAGAGAAATCGGTAGAGATCAAATCGATCCGACTCTAAAAATTAGTAGGACGCTCGGTCGAGCTGTAGTCGTGGAAACCGACACCCGCAGAAAGGGCGGGTTTGGCAGTCCCGTGAGCGCACTAGGGCGGCTTCGGAGGTTGCTGAGGCTCGGCAAACTAGGCTTAGTGCCGTTCTGAGAATCCTCCCAACCCCGACGACAAAGCTCTCCTTCCATCCATCCACAATCCTCTCTCCTCTCTCCTCTCCTCCCCCCAATTACATCTCTCCTTCAGAGAAACCACTCTCCCACTCCTCTGAACCCCCATCACAATGTTCAGAAACGCTTTGCGGCAGTCCAGCCGCACCGTCGCGGCCGCCTCTGCCACCGGCCGGATCGCTTCGGTGAGTCTCATCCCTGCCCAGGTCGTCGCCATCTCGTCGCCCATCTCGTCAATTCCGCTGCTGCCATCCGAAAAGTCATCTCAATGAGGCCTCGAATGGCTTGCTCACCCATCGCAATACATCTTACCTCCCTTTCACGCGTTGTGGTTGTCGTGTTCGGTCGTTGACAGAATTTGCGTCTCTCTTTCCAGGTCCGCGCGGCTGTTCCCGGCCCCCTCTCCGGTGCTTCCAAGCAGGTCCGTACCTACGCTGCTGAGGCCAAGGCTGCTCCCACCGAGGTTTCTTCTATCCTTGAGCAGAGAATCCGTGGTGTTCAGGAGGAGGCCGGCCTTGCTGAGACTGGTCGTGTCCTTTCCGTCGGGTACGTGATCGCTTTTACCCCAGTTGAAAAATTCGAGCACGGCTACGGCATCATCAAAAAATCATCGAAAAAAAATCATCTCCAACCACGACGTCATGGCTTCTTTTTGTCTCTGCAGCAGACTACAGTTGACTAACTTGATTACTTGAATAGTGATGGTATTGCTCGTGTCCATGGCATGACCAACGTCCAGGCCGAGGAGCTGGTTGAGTACGTACCCCCTAATGATATCACCTTTTCCCCCCAGTGATGACCCTAGTGTGACTGACGGATGAAAAGGTTCGCCTCCGGTGTCAAGGGTATGTGCATGAACTTGGAAGCCGGCCAGGTCGGTGTTGTGCTTTTCGGTTCCGACCGTCTTGTCAAGGAGGGTGAGACCGTCAAGCGTACCGGAGAGATTGTAGGTTTCTCCTTTTCTGAAAGCATTTTTTCCATGTCGAAATTTAGCACTAAACTGGAATCCTAGGTTGATGTCCCCGTCGGCCCTGAGCTTCTCGGCCGTGTCGTCGATGCTCTGGGTAACCCCATCGACGGCAAGGGTCCCACCAACACCAAGGCCAAGAGCCGTGCTCAGCTCAAGGCCCCCGGTATCCTGCCCCGTCGCTCCGTCAACCAGCCCGTCCAGACTGGTATGAAGTGTGTCGACTCCATGGTGCCCATTGGTCGTGGTCAGCGTGAGTTGATCATTGGTGACCGTCAGACCGGTAAGACCGCTGTCGCCCTTGACGCCATGCTTAACCAGAAGCGTTGGAACAGCACCTCCGACGAGGCCAAGAAGCTTTACTGCATCTACGTCGCCGTTGGTCAGAAGCGTTCCACCGTCGCTCAGCTCGTCAAGACCCTCGAGGAGAACGACGCCATGAAGTACTCCATCGTCGTTGCTGCTACTGCCTCCGAGGCTGCTCCTCTGCAGTACCTTGCTCCCTTCACTGGCTGTGCCATGGGTGAGTGGTTCCGTGACAACGGCCGTCACGCCGTCATAATCTACGACGATCTGTCCAAGCAGGCCGTCGCCTACCGTCAGATGTCGCTGCTGCTTCGTCGTCCCCCCGGTCGTGAGGCCTACCCCGGTGACGTTTTCTACCTCCACTCTCGTCTCCTTGAGCGTGCCGCCAAGATGAACGACAAGCACGGTGGTGGTTCCCTTACCGCTCTGCCCGTCATTGAGACCCAGGGTGGTGACGTGTCTGCCTACATCCCCACCAACGTCATCTCCATTACCGACGGACAGATCTTCTTGGAGTCCGAGCTCTTCTACAAGGGTATCCGTCCCGCCATCAACGTCGGTCTTTCCGTCTCCCGTGTCGGTTCCGCCGCCCAGGTCAAGGCCATGAAGCAGGTCGCTGGTTCCCTGAAGCTTTTCTTGGCCCAGTACCGTGAGGTCGCCGCTTTCGCTCAGTTCGGTTCCGATCTCGATGCCACCACCAAGCAGACCCTTGCCCGTGGTGAGCGTCTGACCGAGCTGCTTAAGCAGAAGCAGTACTCCCCCATGGCCGTCTCCGACATGGTCCCCCTGATCTTCGCCGGTGTCAACGGTTTCCTTGACCAGGTCCCCGTCGCCAAGATCCTCCAGTGGGAGTCCGACATCCTTGCTCACCTCAAGAGCAACCACCCCGAGATCCAGGAGACCATCGAGAAGGAGGGCCAGGTCAGCAAGGAGCTCGAGAACCAGCTCCGTGAGGTCATCGGTGCCTTCAACAAGTCTTTCAACGCATAGGTGAGCAAAAGGCAACTGGGTGACTAAACAACCGTGTACTGTGTTTTTTCCTGACTCTATGTGTATAGACAAGTTAGCTTGTACAATTTGAGACCACTGTTTTCTTTTCTTTTTCAATCAGAGCTTCGGGTTGGCTGAGAGCCTTCGAGGAACCATAGCGGATATCCTTTTTGGTGTTGCAACCTGGTCCTTTGTAGCTTATGAAGAAAAGGTACAATAGTGAGACGGTAAAAAAAGACAGATACGATTAATATCCTGTACGTTTAGATCTTTCCGCGCAACAGGGGAGCGGGATTAGGAGGAGTTAACTGGGGGCTCTGGCTTTCCTTTGCAAGGAATGGCTTTTTGATACCCGGTTTTTCTTTCTATCGGAGTTCCTTTGTCTCCATATATGCAGTCCGAATATGATTTCCTTTGTTCGCCTACTTTCTTTTCTGAATTGCTTTAGGACTTGTAGGATGACGTAGATACCTTGTGTTGACATTGACGATTTGTAGTTCCGATATCGTCGACTCCGTGGTTTGATTGCGGTGGACAGTATGCTCAGTGACCACTTAGTATTAGGTGGGCACTAGACATCAGATTGCTTTCTAAATATAAATGATCATGGCCTAACAGACCAATTGTGGACTTGCACATATGTCATAAGGTGTCACTGAGGCATGTGCGGTCGGTTGGGGAAGGGTGCACCACATTTACCAAAGCCTATTGATAGATCAGATCTTGTTGCAACTGAAATCTCATGCTGAAATGCAATTTAACTACTACACATCTGTACGATGTTGGCAACGAATGACCGGCGTGATGGGCTGGGATGCGTCGAGGGCCGAATGCGGCATTTCTTTATCGATAAGCGAGCAGTCTTTTCCGTCCCAAAATTTTAATTCCTGCTCCCCTCCACCCAAGTTATCCAAAGCAGTTTCCTGGTTCACGCGCGGTCAGCTCTTCCCATATAAGACCTAACCCCTACAAACATGGCCTCCAATACAGATGCGGCCCCGGCCACTTGCAAGGTCATGCTCTCGAAGCATGTCGCCAACGGTCTACTAGAGGAGGTTCTCGAGGGCGTCCGGACTTTGGAAAAGCCACCCCACCTTGTGGGTTTTCTGGCCAACAATGACCCTGCGGCACTCATGTATGCCCAGTGGACGGAGAAGACTTGTCAAGAAAAGTGAGCACTTTCTCATGTTTATTGTCATTCATATCAATGGCTCCCAGGTGGCCTGTTTTCTTCTGTCGAAGAAGACGGGCCCGTGTCGCGACTTGCGATGTCGGAGCGCGGGGTGCCAAACCGTGATGAATCACATCGTAGCTAACGTAGTTTTTTTTTCTTTGCCCTACAGCGGATTCCGTTACTCCCTTCGTGAAGTGTCTCGCGAGGATCTCGAAGAGGCTATCCTAGCTGCCAATGTCGACTCCGACGTTGACGGCATCATCGTATACTATCCCATCTTCAACAACCGGCAAGACCAGTACCTGCAGCAGATCGTCGACGTCTCCAAGGATGTAGAGGGTCTCAGCCACCGCTATATCTTCAACATGTACCAGAACATCCGTTTCCTGGACCCCGAGACCAAGCGCCAGAAGTGCATTTTGCCATGCACCCCTCTCGCCATCATCAAAATCCTAGAGCACCTCAAGGTCTACAACACGATATTGCCCTACGGAAACCGGCTCTTCGGACACACGATTTGCGTGGTGAACCGGTCTGAGGTCGTGGGTCGTCCTCTTGCGGCACTGTTGGCCAACGACGGTGCCTGCGTTTACAGCGTAGACGTGACCGGTGTCCAGAAGTTCACCCGTGGCGAAGGCATCAAGAAGGGCCGGCACGAGGTTGTCGACCTTGAGGGCCAGACTCTGAAGGACGTGGCACCGCTGTGTGACGTTGTCATCTCTGGTGTCCCCGGAGAGTCCTACAAGTTCGATACTAGCTTGCTCAGAGAGGGTGCCGTGTGTGTCAATTTCTCCAGTGAGAAGGTATGACAAACGCCCTAACTGCCCATGTGATTGATGCGCGAGTCCAACGTCTAATCCAATGTTGTCGTAAACAGAACTTCGGACCGGAAGTCAAGGAGAGGGCTTCTCTTTTCGTGCCTTCCACCGGAAAGGTTACCATCGTCGTCCTGCTCAGAAACCTCCTGGTAAGTACCTATTCCCGGTCTTGGAGGGAACATGTCTTTCTAACCATGTGCAACAGAGACTCATCCAGAACCGGAGATTGGATGATGTTAAGCCCGCCCAGGCTACTGAGCGCCCAGGAACCCTGGAAGCTGCCTCATGATTTCAACGATATCGACATAATACCTTGTGATGGAAAATGATATCACGCAGAAGCCATTCTAGCCATAGAGTTTTTACTACTTCTATTTTGTTTTATTGCTGTCTTAGATGAGCTATCATAAATAACTGGAATAAACAATCGATTGTACAAACCTCCACGAATGAACTGCGTATGAGCATAAGCTTGCAGCTTCGATCTGCGTTGATCCCATTCCTTTCAAAGGCCTATCCTTCCCCGAAGCTTGTATCATCTAAAGCAGACACAGGTCCATAATATACTCGCTCGTATGCAAGGAATAATGATATATTTCTGTTTCATAATCTGTGTCCCGCCAGACCCGGGGCTAAAAAAGCGTATGGAAATAGCAATTATAGGAAATGAAGATGTACCCAAACAAGCCCACTTTTGTATTTCCAACACACCCCCTCCAAACAACCCACTCATAACACACCCTACTTTCTCCTCTTAGCACCCTTATCGTCCTGGCTGCTCTCAGATTCCTGAGCCGCCACAGAAGCCCCAGCACGCGCAGCCTTTCTCTTCTCCAGCTCCTTCGCCGCAAGCTGTAGAACTTCGATCTCACTCGAGATCCACTGCTGGAGGGGCTTGGGATGGAAAGTGCCGTCGGCGGCGAACCAAGTCGTGAAGGAGGTCTCAATCTTCTTCTCCTGCAGAACCTTGTTGGATGGCGATGTATACTGGATGTGGAGTTTATAGAGGGGCGAGAATTTCTTGTTGGTTGAGCGGATGGAGATCTAACCAGTACCGCGTTAGTTTAGGACACAGGACACAACCTAGTATTGGAGGGGTGGTTTGCTCGTCTTTGGGACATTCCATACCGTTTCGCCAGACTGTCGCTTGCCTCGGAAGATCTCGCCGGATTCCACGCCCCAGACCCAGTATGTGAGGATGGTGTTCAGGATGAAGTATGATGCGACGGCGGCCAGGATCCAGGGCGACGTTGTCGCTTCCCATCCCAGTTTGCGATCAGCGTAGAAGGTGAATGCGGCGATGGAGACGGCAGTGTAGCCTAGTACGAATCGGACGTTTGTTTTCGAATGGTCCTGGATGAAGGTGTACGGTTGGGGAAGAGTAGTCAAGTACGGCGCAAGGGAGTCATCGGTGGTTGATTTGAGGTCTGTAAATGTGTTTAGTAGATGGACATGGCTGCGAAAGCTGCGATAGGAGGACTGGGAGCTGGGGAAGCTGCGAGCAATTGAATGAACTAGCCGTGGAAATGCGATACTAACCATTGCCAGAGTAAACAGGCACCTTTACTGCAGGTGCGGACGCCATTTCTAGGATTTGGATGGTCACTAATTGGGAGATATAGCCGAGGAGATTCAAGACAAAAGTATAGGCCAAAGAATAAAACTGTTGTGCAAGGAGGGGTCTTTCAAGGTGGACTGTTTATAAGACGAGGGCGTTGCGGCGAGCTGTCCCTTTCGCGGAGAGCGGAGCTAAAGCGGCGTGACATCTCACGCTAGGCCAAGCCCGCTCTTGAATCTTGGGAGCTCTTCTCGACTCAACGTCAAGCCCACCAACGCCAACCCCCCCCCAACAATTCGCGAATCACTTCGTTCGCCATGGCATTGCAAGGAGTCGAGCAGACGATCCTTCGGGATCCGGCTCTTTTGTGAGTTCTGCGAATTAAACACCGTCAAGCCACGAAGACGTAACTAACATGATCGCTCAAAAGCTACTGGATCCTATTCCCCATCTCGATTGTCATGGTGCACTTCCTCCTGATCGATATCCACTGGTCGCCTCGATACCGAAAACTAATATATTGAAATAGATCCTGACAGGTATCCTTCGTCACTATGCCACCGTCCTGATGAACAACCCCCCGAAGCCTCCGGCCACTATGGCTGAATCTCGCGAGCGGCTGTCTCTCATTCGCGGCGTCAATCTGCGTAACAATGCCTCCGCGGTCCTCTCGCGGGAGGCGTTCGAGCTCCGCAAGAACTACCTGGTCTCTGCGTACCAGAAAGGCGAGTTCCTGAAGGACCCGGAGAACCGCGGCCAGCCACCGGCCAACCCGATGACCGACCCTGCGGGCATGGAGGCGATGATGGGAATGATGAAGGGCAATATGATGATGATGATTCCTCAGACGCTCATCATGAGTTGGATCAATGCGTTCTTTTCGGGATTCGTTATCTGTATGTCGCCATTATTGATGTCGCTCGATTGGGGCTTATGCTCGGTGTACTGATGCAAGTGATACAGTGAAATTGCCTTTCCCTCTCACTATTCGGTTCAAGTCGATGCTTCAGTCTGGTGTCATGACTCGTGATCTGGATGTCAGATGGGTCTCTAGTCTGTCGTGGTATTTCCTGAACCTGTTTGGTCTTCAGTCCGTTTTCGGTTTTATTTTGGGTAGTGACAACGGTAAGTCTACCTCCGACTTCCTTGACTTTCATAATGTACCTTCCTTGACATTGCTAACGTGTCTGCAAAACTAGCCGCAAGTCAAATGACCCAGCAGATGGCTGGCATGAACCCAGCCGCTGGAATGAATCCCTTCCAACCCGGTCAAGACCCCGATAAACTATATCAGAGTGAGGCAGAGAACCTGGAGGTTGCGGAGCATTTCTGCATCCTGAATGGTATCGAGGAGAGAATACTACACAACCTTGGTTCCAAGGAGGTCCGCTGAAACCGAACGCCTCAACGCAATTTGACAGTTCCTATGTTCTATATACTGCCTTCAAATTCAAAATATCTAGAAGCATGTTGATACTCCGCTATATCGAATGATAATGAAGAAGGGTGCGATCATGATACCAGAGGCGCAGATTCTCTAGGTCTGACATGTTCATATCATCAAGTCACATCGTAAGAACATCAAAAGATTGTCACGCGGAGTAATTCAGTAATTCAAAAATATGTCGAAATAAAACAAACAAATACATCGCATCATAAGTCGTTATCGAATACTAATCTAAATCAGCGGTAATTGATCACGCCGCTCAAAATCCACACCTCGCCGTTCGATACTTGCTCCGCAATGCTTTCGACTTCGACGTTGCCAGGTTGTATCTAGAGTATGTTAGTATATATCACCTCCAGCCAAACAGGGGAAGAAAGAGACATACAAAGATCTTATCACCGTCCTTAGTCCACCGCAGTTTATCCCCCGCGAGTGTTTCCGCTTCGACACCTTCCTCCCAAGGACTGACGGTGACAATGTGAGCCTCGACAAAGCGCTTCAGGTTACGCTTAGCGCGATCCTGTCCATCTTGCCCTTCATAGGCATTTGCCTCTCCGAACTGCGCGTAGTCATCAGGATTCTCCCAAGGCTTGCGAGGCAGATCCATGATCGCACCATTTCGAGGCGCCAGGACCGTTATATTCTTCGACGCATCGCTTAGTCGCGATTCCACGGACTCAAAGTCCCGCGTGAGTCGTGCGAAGATATTGATGGCGCGCGTCTTCGGAAGCACGTCGGATATGATGGGGTTGTTCTGATCGGCGCCCTTGGGGTCTTTGGCGCCCTCTTGGGAGTTTCCAGATGGAGGCATGACGACCTTAGGATGAGCGTTACCCATACCAGGTTCTTGTTGCTGAAGCCAGATACTGAGACTCCGTCTCTGCTGTGAATCTTCTTCTTCGTGACGTACGGGGGGTAAATCGCTAAGCACGGGGGGAATACGCTTTCGAAGGGATAAGGTTGGAATGCTCCAGGCTGTAGAGACCGAGCAGATTATGACCGCTATTAAAAGTATTGGAGTCCAGGTAATGTGCCGCATCTTGGGCAGATGATGGAAGGAAAAGTGTCGATCAGTAGAGATATATATCAGTCGATCGGCTGGGGTGACTTCACCAAAAGACCCATGACGCAACTGCCCGTCCCTTCCCTTTCCCTTTCCCGAAGGGCACGTGATGTTGCGCGGAGAACACTGAGGGAGGGTCCCACACGTGACCATAGGTTATCGATAAGGGCGGCCACAAAAAGCGTCATGTTCCGGTCGCGGAGGAGGGGGAATCGACTCTCGCATTACCCCTCATCACACGGCTTCAACGAGAAGATGTCGGCGTTGCAGACTTTCCTGCTGGTCGTGGACCATGACAAGCAGGAAGCAAAGCAGATTGCGGAACGAATTGCTCAAGGTACCGTCACTTGCTTATCTCGCGAGGAACCTTTCGCTATCAAGAACATGAACATGATCGTTTTCTAACCCTTGTTTGGCCAAAAAAGATGTGGAGAACAAAAAGACGACCCTCATCGAAGTTGTACAGTCCCTGGGCGAATACGTCAATGACGAAGACCCGATTCTGCGAGGCAAAGCTGTCTCCTACCTCTCCGCCGTGATCATAGCGCTACCGCCCAAGTTCCTTACAAGGCAGCAGGTCCAGGTCCTGACGACTTTCTTCAGTGATCGTATCGAAGATGGAGGGGCTATTGCAGGGCTGGAAACGTTGCAGAAATTGGACCGTTTCAACAAGGAGCTGGCAACGGAGGTGGCACGGGCGTGAGTATATTCCTTTTTGCCCTTCATCTGTTGGCATTGCACTCGGTTTGAGAAGAGGGAGATGTGCCGCTGAGAGCTGCAGGCGTGCTGACATTTGCATAGTATTTTTGAACATTTCCAGGAACTGCAGTCTCGGTCACAATCGCAAAGATTCCAGATTTATCAGCTACTCAATGAATTGATGTCCAACCACCGAGCCGGTAAGTTGAACAATGCCCAACCTAGACTGGTATTCCGTAGGTTCTGACACTGTCTAGCTCTGCATGAAATGGGAGACGAATCTCTGGTTGGCATTGTGGACTTAATGACGGGCGAAAAAGACCCTCGTAACCTGATGCTCGTGTTTTCGATTCTGAAAGTGGTGATGATCGAATGGGATGTCTCGAACCATGCGGAAGTAAGCGTCGTTAAATTTTCGGGGCTTGGTACCAAGAACTGACATTGGTAGCTTCTGTTCGATGCTGTGTACAACTATTTCCCTATCACGTTTAGGCCTCCGCCGAATGATCCATATGGCATCACCGCGCAGGATTTGAAGAGCCGTTTACAGGATTGCATCTCGTCTACGGGCCAATTCGCTCCACACGCCATCCCTGCATTGCTGGATAAACTGGACTCGACGTCACCGAATGTCAAGGTAAGATATTCTCTGGGTCTATTGGTTGATCGTATCTAACTTCTTCACAGAAAGATGCACTCAACGCGTTGATTGCATGTGTCCGTTCGTATGACCCGGATACTGTTTCCAGATATTCGATTACTATATGGGATGCTCTCAAATTTGAAATCCTCAACGCACAAGAAGAGTTTCTTTCCGATCTCTCCCTGGAAGTTTTAAATAACATCACGAAGCGGCTTTCTGAAGGTGTCACGCAGGTCTCCGATCAATTGCCTCTAGCACAGTACTTGCGACCAATCACTAAGGAATGCAATGATCAATTGCGGGAACCCCAACAAAAACAGGCGAAGCCAGCTCAGCAGATACTCGGCTCCATCTCGACCGCTTCTGCTGTGTCGTTCACATTGGCGGTACAAACCATCGTTGCGCCGCTTTTGACCATCTACCAAGAGGCCGAAGGAATCGCCAAACAAAGAGCTTTGTTGGAGACTCTCATAGTCCTCTTCGACTCCGCTATCCAAGTATTCGGAGAATGGACATCGCGGGATCCAGAGCCTGCTGCCGAAAACCCTCTTCTCGAGTTCAAAGACCAGTTTTCGGACATTTTTGGCCAGGCTTTAATGGGGGTAATTAAAGAGGAGGTGTCCTTCCGAGTTTCTGCATTGAAGGGATTTCTGCGCCTCTCTACTTTGCGCAATTATTTCCAAGACAACGAAATTGGACTCTTCGTCCAATATCTTGACGAGATTCTTCTCAAGGAAGAGTCCGTGGGCCGTGACGACCTTAAGAAGGAGGCTATCTCCGCATTGGCTGAGCTCTCAAAGTACAAGCCACGGCTTATCATGGACATCACTTTCCCTGCCTTTGTGGCAACGCTGCCCGATTCGAATGAGAGCACGGACTCTGATTATTTGACGACACTTGAAAACCTGGCGCAAATCAGCGTTGAAAAGGACATCTTCGAGACACTGGTCCGACGACTCCTGAGCAAGTTGACAGTTCTGCTGCAGAAGGAGCAGCCTGGCTCCGCGGCGTATCCCAGGGCAATCCTCTTGACCATCTTCTATGTCATGAGCCAAAGAAAGATGGATCAAGATCCGAACTTGGGCGTCTACTATGACAAGATAGTGATCAGCCTGTGTCGCAGCGTGGCCGAATCAGCGTCAGGCAAAGCCAAGAACAGTATCTTGACCGATGTTACCGTGCTGGACATCCTCGGAAGACTCTGCAATCTTATTGTCAGATCTCTCCCCAGAGATAAGCAGGACGAGGTCGCAGAGAACGTCTATACCCTGTTCTCCACGGCAGAGAGCTTCTCTCCCGTCCCTTTCGCCCAGTCCGCAGATGCCAACCAACAGCGCACGATGATCATATCCACGTATCTCCTCGCAGGACTCCCAGCGGACTGTGACAAGCTGCCATGCAGCAGCCCTAACATGTCTGCCCTGCTCTCTGATATCGCAGCACGTTGCACCACGGAATGCGAACCAGCCACCCACATCGCGCTCCTTCGTCACCTCGCTCTTCTCGCCAATAAATTCCTGCCAAAGAGCGACCTCGGAATCGCCACGGACCTTTTCGACTTCCTTCTCCCTCCAGGCACCGTCGCAACCGAGAAGCACAGCCCGGAGAAACTCGCCACCACCCTCTGGCTCTCCAAGGCCCTCGTCCTCCGCCTCGCCCCGAAGACCACCCAAATCCTCACCTCTCTCCTCGCCCTCCTCTCCTCCCCCGACGAAGCCACCAGCACGACAGCCGCCCGCGGCTTCGCCATCCTCCTCCGAGACGACGACGTCCTCTCCCCCGCCAACGGCGCCAACATCCGTCTCCTCTCCAAGCAGCGCGTCTTCACCACCCTCGTACCCCTGATCTCCACGCGAATCCGCGAAGTGAACGTGAACACCAACGCCTCCTCCGACCCCTCATCGACCTCAGCCTCGCACATCAAACCCGCCCACCTCACCGCCCTCTCCGGCATCCTCTCCACCATCTCCCCGTCCCTCGTCATGCCCGAACTCCCCACCCTCCTCCCCCTCCTTCTCCAAACCCTCGACCTCCAAACCGCAGACTCGCAGGCCGTCCGCTCCGCAACCCTCGACACCCTCGCCGTCATCATCCGCGAGAACGGCGTCACCGTGATCGAGAACTGCGGCCACGTGCAAAGCCTCGTTACCCGTCTGCTCAAAACCACCCAATACATCCCTCCCGGGTCCGGCTCCCCCGTCAACGGAACCCGTCTGCGCGCCGACGCGCTTAAATGTCTATTCTTGCTCGCGCAGACCCCCTCGGTTGATGCACCGGCTATCGCCAAGGCGGGGAAGCTTTCGCCGTTGCTGCCGGTCAAGAGTCAGGTGTTGAGGTCGTTGAAGATGGTGTTGGATGATCCGAAGCGGGATGTGCGGAAGGCGGCGGTTGATGCGCGCGGCGCTTGGTTGAGAGGTGTGGATGATGCGCCGGATGAGGAGGAATAGAATTAGATGAGATAAATTGGTTCAGCCTTTTCTACTTCTTCTTGTTTGTTCGCTTCAACTTCGGTGCTCTAGGTTTGGATCGCTTATTATCATCCTCCCCCTTCTTTTTTTTCGGTTTGTATTCACACCTGATGGCCTGCTCCGGTTTCAAATGAAGATGATGATACTAGTTAGATAGTATAGACCCTTGGGAAATTTGTCTATAAAAGTCGTTGATTGAAAAGCAATCAATCAATCAATCAAGATTCTATCAACCTGATATAGCCTATCTGAAACAACAAGTTATACAGGCGCTTCGCCGAATAAAGCAGAATCTCGAGCCTATAAAACCCTACAAACACAGTTAAACAGATCAAAAAGCAATAAAAACACATACCAAATCAGCAGCTGCCACACACCCCTCTGCATCCTACCGCGCCTCCAAGCGCTGTCTCTCCTTCTACCCCGTTCTATTTACATCTTCGCAGCTAAACATATATACCCCCCTGCCATCTTGTGCGCGTCACGGTGCGGTGCTAGTTGAGATAAACCGGCTTTTCATTGTTCTTTCCTAACCATCGTCTTCCTCGCTTAGCTCGACTTCCATCAAGAGGGTGCTAGATTCGGAGATCCTCCTCTTCCTCACTAAACGTAGCAAAACGGAATTGCTGTAGGAGACCTGTTCGTTATATAAATTCGGTGACGTAGCGTATCGCTTGCGGGTGGTTTATAACCGCGTCGTAGTCCTGTAGACGTCCGCGCAGTCCCTCAATCTGATCAAGGCTTTCTGTTATTATCCTCCGGCTGGCAAGGTGCAGCGAGCACTCTATAAGGACGTGTTTAGGGGTCTGGGACCCCTGTTTACACTCGCAGCGATCGGAGTCGACCGGCTTTATCTTATAGAGGAAGCGCTTTAGTCCTATCCTCATGGTGCATCTGGATAATCATAGACGTCTGGGACTTGCCCAGGCCCTCGTAGGTTCTTAGAACCTTTGATTGAAAAGCACATTTACGGAGGGGTATTGGTATATCATCGCTTTTTTACACCGAGCACAAATCAACCCCTTTAAAAAATCACAGTTCCATGAAGTAAACTATTCTGCCTGCTTAACTAAAAGAACAGCCGAAAACCCGAGTACAGAAAAGAGCAAGATGCCCATCATCAGAAAAGAAAAAAAAAAGATCAAGGAAAGTTCAATGCACCGGTTGCAATCCCGATTAGCTTGAAGTGCACATAGAGCAAGTTCACCAGAAGTCTACCTCTTCAATCTGTTTCATCGCTTTGGTAGAAGGAATGGGAGAGGACTTCTTGGTGAGAGCAACACCCATAGCAGCACTGCCGACATCTTTGATACTCTCCAACTCTTCGAAGCTGAAACTCTTTGGATCAGACTTGACGGTGAGGTTTTTGAGAGATGCAAGGGTGAGAGCGTTAGACGCAGGAGGAATACTGAGCGAGCTGGGAGGTGGCAGGCGCACGGCATCTGTGTCAGCGTGAGGGTTGTAGTTCCAGTATCCGACGCCGTCCATTTTGTTGATGATATTCTTGGCCACACGGAGCAGATTCCCGATGCCAGCATCGCCAATAGCGGATGCAACGGGGCTCAATGCAATCGGGGCGCGAGATTCAGCAGAGTCAGTTGGTTTGTCATGAATAAGGGAGGCGTCATTTCCGAAGAGATCAGTGGCACACCAGTCATCAGTACGTTCCCCGAGCTCAAGATTGGCGTTGGATTTCAAGATAGCCTCGATGGCAGGACTGACCAACGAGACCTCGTACCATTGGCGTCCGGCCTTGAGCATGTCTAGCAGTGACAAGCATTGAGCTCTTTTGACCCGTTTGTCCGTGTCACAAGTTCCAATGACTAGATCTTGGACTTCCTTCACCTGCAGGAAGATGTCCTGATCGACGTTCGATTCGGGCTTGATATACCGATGTCGTGTGAAGCGCTTCATAAAAACCTTTTCAATGGTAACGGTGTTTCCTTCTGGGATTCGTGTGAAGATCTGAGCAAGAGTTTGATTCGGGGGAACCCAACAATGGTCCGCTAGGTGCTGGATAGCTTTCTCGATTTCTGGGTCGCTTCCCTCCTTGTACGTGAAGCCACCGCTGACACCCAAGTGAGCATCCCAGATCTGCCCAGGAAAGTGCAAGTTGACTCCACCGAGAGCGGCTGCTGGAGATCTGAGGCTGTGTTTTCCCTGTTCGTTCACCGTGATGATGATGGGTTTGTCAGACTTGATTCGACAATGATATTCGTAGAAAACGGAGTATTCGCTGTCCTCTTGCTCAAAAATGCGCCGTTTGCCTTCCACTTTCGATGTCTTCAAGTCCACAATGTGATCAACATCAGATCCAGATGTTGTCAGCCGACTGATGAACTTTGTAGTTGGCGGCGCAATTCCGGTTTGGGGCTGGAAGATTCCTGACCATTCGGCAAGGGACATCGACTTTTCTCGATAGGTTTTGGGTAGCAGAGGAGTTAGCAAGAGGCCGAACTGTAATTCTAGAGTCACTGTGCCTGGAAAACACTCAGCAGCCTCCAAAGTTTGTTTCAGCGCGCTAAAAAGATGTTTGATGTCGTCATTCGTACGCATTTCGTCTGCTTTCGCCCGCGAAGTTTTGTCGTTAGTCTTCTCAATCCCCAATGCGGAGTCGGCCCTTTTGATTGGCTTTTTCGGAATGCCCCATGCATCTTCGAGAGTGGCCTGTCTTTTGGACTTCGCCTTAGCGTTACCTTTCGCCTTTCCAATAGGGCTGGCTGCCTTCTGCTTCATGGTAAGGTGGTATTTGCGGGTTGCAACTTCGTCAGCCGACCGAATCATCTCCGGTCTATAGATCCTGTTCAGCTCCTCGAGCCTCTCCTTCAAGTACTCTTGATGGGCATATCGCCTGGACTTAGGCTTGTTGGTAGTGAAGGCATCAACTTCATTGATTTTAGTCGTCCCAATCTGGTCCAGACAAGTCATCTTCAGCTGATCAAGCCGTTCCTCTAGCTCTAGAGTGTCGACACTGGAGGATGCCAGTTCCCGGCTCGACGGAATGCTATTGGGGCTGGGCGAAGAGCCATCGGTTTCAAAGTTGAGACCAGCGAGCTCAGTTGAGCGGATGGATTCACATGAAGGGCCAATATTGTCGGTGTTGGTCTTGGGCATTTCGTTGCTGGTGGATCTATCTGGGATTAAGGCAGGTTGATCCATAGAAAGACGGGGAAGCGCATTGGAATTGACGGTGCAAACTGGGGAGGATGTATCAAGTAGCTCACTCCCTCTCCGAGGCTTTCTGTTCGACCAAGAGGACGAATTCTCATTTGCCCTGAATCTGTGGGAGTCACGAGAAATGCTTATTGGAATGCGGATGTGCTTGTTATTGGCATTTTTCGTAGCGTCGGATTTCGACGCAAGTCTCGCTTTGCCCTCTAGGACCTTTGTCTCGGTGACATTAGATGTCACATCGCGAAGAATGGCTCCCTCACGCTTGTCATTTTCTTTGTTGGATTGACCAAGGCCAAGGCCAAGGGCCTGCGACGCATTCGGACCGGCGTTCATGTCGTAAATCATCTTCCACTTTTTACGTGGGCTGTTGGATTTGTCGTCACACCCCGGGGCACTGAGCGGCTGGGATTGAGATGCCATGGACTTCGATGGGGATGCAGATTGCTTTGGCACCGCAGCCACTGCCCTTCGTGATTTGATTCCAGGTGGCTTCATTGTATTGGTAGCAGTTGTCGGCTCATACGGGGTCTCAGGCTGGGGGATAGAAGAAAGCTCTGGGACCGGCTCAATTTTCTCTTGCTCAACCCCAGACCTTTCATTTACCCATTTATCTACCTGCATGGCCTTTGCGGCAGAGAGGTACCTATGCGATGGAGACTCTTCGAGGGGGGAGCTCTTAGCCTCTGAATGAGGTGTTTCGACGACTTCCGCCATGTTGAATTGATCCCCTTTTCCGAACTCCTGAAAAGTGAAGTCACTCCAGATTCGCGACTCTCCACCGGGACCGTCCCCAACTTGTGAGGGGTTGAGGAGATTGACAGGCAATTTGAAAGTCTGTGATTCCCCATCAAAAGCGAGGGACACTGTCACAAAGCTTTGATAAAGACTTGAAGCAGAACTCAGATTCGAGTCAGTGAGTATGCGGCGTCTGGCGGCCTGGTTCAGATTGCTGTAATATTGCATCTGCAAGCGAGGGAACTCGTCTTCAAGCGAGACTGCCATGTTTATTACACGCGGATTGCAAATGCACATCTGTTACGGTGTCAGTAGAAGACGGGAAATGAATGGAAAAGTCATCGATCGCGTACCAGCGGTTGATGTGTTCTACTGATTTTCGCCAAAGCATCCTCCACATCGTTCTCGTTCCTTCCTGACACCCGAATGCCCTTGAGATCTTCAGCAACGGCGATCTCCGTGCCTGTCAGTTTTGAGATCTCCGAGAGCATGCTGTGGAATTGAGGATAGCAGCCTGCGCCACCTTCCTGGGAGACCCAGGTCTTGGTGACCCTAGGATGAGGAATTGGCTCCCCATCCTGGGAGGTACCGAGAGCCAAGAGGTCGCCTTCTTGGGTGTTCGCGTCCTGGCTCAAACCGGGGATCGGGCCATCTTGTAGTATGGCAGGGACTTCGAGGCGGTAGATACGGGGAACCTGATGTAGAAGAAGTGAGCATTAATCCACCAGGTACCAGATAGTTTTTTTTTTGTGGCTGAAAATGAGGCTTACATCTAGGAGGTCCTTGTTTTCATGTTCCTCGACGTAACGCGACAAGATGCCGGCAGCTGTAGAAAGAGAGCCTTGTAGGCGGCCTTCCAACACAAGAACCTATTACCAAAAATTGTATCAATAGAAGAACGCCATATATTGAACTAGCATTCCACTTACATCATCTGTCTTGTTGTAGTCACCCTGACAGTCAGAGATACCGGTTTTCCTAATTATTATTAGTCACCGGTGAAAATTATAGTTACCGGCCACCAAAGAACTTACCTAAACTCGTGCTCAAGCTCTTTGACCTGTTCAAGGGTTCTCTGTGATTAGTATACAGTAAATGTCGGCATAGATGGCTAAGACCTTACCCCTGTACTCTCGAACCCCCAGGCAGACGCAAATGTTAGGCGTGAAGTAGAAGCCATGTCCCCAATCCTTTAGAGGGAGAGCGTGCACAGGGGAGGGGGTGCAGAGACAGAACACGAAGATAATCTTAAGTGTAGATGCGTAGTGTTCAGGTGCTACACCACAAACCAGCAGAAAAGCGACTAGAGAGGCAAGCTGAAAATAGAATAGTTAGATCCTGTCACAATGAGAAGGAGATACCAGGCAATTGACGAGGAAGATGAAAGGTCTAGGGGGAGGAAGAGGAAGGAGAGAAGAAAGAAGGAAGATGAAGAAGGCAGGCAAGAGAAGCGGGGAGAAGTTGCCAACGGAGGGGTGAATACCCAGCCAGAGTGCCAGAAAAGGAAGTCAACGCAGCAGCGAGACATTTGCAACTCTATCACTCGCTGCCTGCCATTGGGCAAACAACAGACGGATACGTGCCGGTAAGCGTGAAGTGAAACTCTGGATCAAGGTGAATCACTGGAAAACGTTGTCCAGTCACCTCCGTGTGAGGGGTAACATATTCCGCGTGAATAAACGAGCGGTAATTCTTGTTGTGAAGAGAAAGGATGAAGAGCATTCAAAAAGCGTGGTGAATCTGGGCTATTTTCTGTTGCTAAGCAGCTTCCAGTGAGTGGGTAAACAAAGGGTCCGATGGCGCTCTATGTAGGATGCTTACTCGTCGTCATGCAAACACTGCCATATCCGCATCAGTTACTTTCTGTTCCGTCATTTGTTGGAGCTAGGGATCGTACAGCAGGCTAATCCTCTGGGTATATGTTGTCTTATTGATCTCAAGATATCTCTAACATGGTCTAGGCCATAGCAGCCATCACTGTACTTCAAACAAGGTACATCGAGTAGGGAATATGAATATGCCGGTCTATCTCTCCCAGGGTATCAAGCATTCCCAAACTCCGATCAGCAGCTGGGAAGGGCGAAGGGGGTGACAAAAACGAGGATAAAGAAGAACAAGCGAGTATGGAAACAGATGGAAATAAAAGGACACGGAAAGGTAATTGATATAAACACATGGGAGTGGATCATTTGCAGTGTTGGGATCTCATCCCAGAAAAGCAAAGGAAACAAAGGAAAACGCTGCATATAATTGCAATAAGAAACAGCAATGCAAGGTAGGTCCTGCCTGACATACCTGTTTATCTACCAGGCCCTCACGGCCAGCGCTCACTGCCTGTATGGTGTAATGACGGTAGGTTGGAACCCCACTAAGGTTTTCGGGTCTCTCTTCCTCCCCTGAATCTCTCTATTCGGCGTCTTTGATTTCCTTTTTGACTTGGATGACCCATTTCATTTGCCCTTCAGTTTCCTTTAACGAGGCTAAGGCAGCTTCCATCCTGGCATCCCCCTGACGCCCCTTCTCGATGAGGGTTCTCACTTCGTCGTCTTGAGCTTTCTTGTACGCCTCGTAGTCTTCATATAGTCGATCAAAATTCTCTCTGCTGACTTCGATCTCTCGGTTCTTCTGGGCCATGACCGTATCCAATCGCTCAAGCTGCAGGTTCTTTTCCTCATGTTGACCCTTCAGGGCAAGGAAGTCTTCCCTGATGGATTTAAATTTCTTTTGCTGCTCGGCTCGCTCGCGCTGTCCCGCCTTAGCAAGCACGTCGTACTGGGTCCGTGAATGATTGGCAACCTCCTGCAGTTCGGCACATTTCCGATTGAAATCGTCGCGGGCCTCGTCCATCAATTGCTGGGCCTTGTTGGTCTGCTCTTCCAACCGACGCCTTCTGTCCTTTTCACTCTGTACCTCGGCGCGGAGTTCCTCGATCTTGCCGTCCTTCCGGGTGATTGAATGGAGGTTCATCTCGTTGGCCGTTTCAAGATTCCGGAGACGCTCCGCCATGTTCTCAACCTGAGTCTTGAAGGCATCGTTCATGCGCTGCGTTTCTTCCGCACGGGAGCGATAGAGAGTGCATTCGCGGGTCAGGCGGGCAATATCCTCTTGCAGATTGTGTATGACACGGCCGGACTTGCCCGTGGCTGCGTGACCGACGGCCGATGACCATTCCGTCGTCGATGTATCGCCGTTCGTAGGGTTCGGGGATCCGTTGGAATGAATCGAGGAATGCAGGGTTGCAGAATCTGCGTGATGCGCAAGAACGAAAGTCAGCCTTTGGACTCAGGGATTGAACGCGCACTCGTGCATTCAATTGAGTGGGCAACGACAAGGAAATGGATCAACTAACCTGTGGAGGACTCCATGATCGCGTTTTCTTTCTGGCGCTCTGGCGATTCGGGCTCGAACAGGCCATTGTACCGATGCATGTTCAATTGTGTTTCCACATGAGGGAGACTGACACGAGGGGAGCGCTGAGGGGGATCTGACGTAGGGGACGCAAGAGCATCCGAGTTAGCATTCTCGGCTTCTGGCTTTAGCGTCTTCTTCACCCGACCGAATCGGGCCATGCTCGGCATGGTGGTGGATATGGGAAAGAGAGGAACAATGAGGGCTGGCCACAACAGGGAGACTTGAAGAAATATGGAGTAAAGACCCAGTGACAGGCCCGAGAACAGGGACAGAAATCGGAAAATAAGTGAGATGAGCCAGCAGCAAGGAGTGAGCTCTCGGGATAAACATTGGCCAGTACAGCCCGAGCTAGCAACACAACGACTACATAGAATAAACTTGGAGTCGCGACAGCGCTGCTCAACCAGGCGAGGGAGATGAAAAACGTCGGGCCCCAGGCACAGAAAAATAACAAGGGACAAAAGTAGGTTGGGTCAGGGTCAATAATGAGCACATACCGACAGGGTGGATCGGTGCTTGATTGCAGGCGATCTGCAGGAGAGTAATTAATATTTATTATGATGACAAGTGCAGATATAGTGCTTATTCATCGCCGAGCCATCATTTAGGGGGACACAATGGAACTAGCCTCAAAGTGAGGCGTGGAGTGATGAACTTACTATGACGGCCCGATCCTTTGCGGGATATCTTGTGAGACGATATGAACGAAAAGGGGAGGAGTCTTGTCTGGTCAAGAGTATTGGGTGGTGCAGGGAGTGGTCAAAGGAGAATATATAATAAGTAACAGTTGAATGCGGATAGAAATATGTACAAAAGAAAAAGCTGCTGCAGTGCGGAGAAGGGGAGGATGCAGAAGGATGAAGGAATAAAGAGCGAAAAAGAGAAATGAGAGAAGAAAATGGGGAGAGACAGAGAGAAAGAGAAGGTACTTACGAATTGCGTTGGGCTGTTCCACTGTTCATGCGGATTGCTGGGATGTGATGTGTAGCCCACGCTAACGGCCGCTAATTCCGTGTGGGCGCCGCTCGCTCATCTGCTTACTGCTTGCTCTACGTGACACAACGACAAGGATTGGATTTCATGGATAGAATAAAATCGTGTTCATTTTGGTGCTCTCACATGCTGACAGACACAGCATGCAGATAAAAAAAAAGACTCATTGTTACTGATGTACCCAGTAACAAAGGGCAGCATTGTGGAGGAGAGGGAGGCCTCATGCAGGTACTCCCTATGTCGGTCTCAGGAAACCACACACGAGCTGAGAGATATATACATCAGAGACACGGAGCATTTCTCCCACCGACAAGCCATTAAGAATTGCCCCTGCGAAACGGGGGTTGACGAAATTCATCCATACAACTTTCAACAAACATGATGTGACATACATCATAGAAGGGCAAAGAGGGATAAGAAGATATGATAAAAGCAGGTTGAAAAGAATGGAAGCGAAAAAGAGTAGACTAGAAGCGAAGCCATATTTTTTTCAAGCCAGGTTTCAAGCCTTTCATCTCGTCAGGTAGAAGATGATGCCCGCGGCGCCCAAAAGCAACTCTGGCGAGGTGTTTCGAAACGTCGCTCCGCCGGTTTGCATTTGCGCTGCCATGGCGCTTTTCCCAGACGTGGTGTTCTTGGTGGGAGTGGTTTCGTTTAGTGAAATGGTTTCGCCGTTGTTGCCTTCTGGGATCTCATCGTCCTTCTCATCATGGGTGGCAGTTTCGAAATCCTCCGACTTTGGGTCATGCGCAGCGGCAGTTGGACGGGGCCCCTTTGACGGGGGAATCACCGCAGGAGACGTCTCCAGTGTCAAATGGCCCGAATAGTTCACTTGTCCGGGCTGATTGATTTGCAGCGCATAATCAGTTCCACCAGGAAGACTGTCATCGGGAGTAAAGGTAAACGTTCCTCCCGTGGCCTCGGTCGTCAAGACTTGCACGTCGCCTAGGTCGGTGGCTGATCCTTTCCGAAGAGTGATGGTGGCGGGCTATACAAAAATATGTCAATTGGACCCTTGAAGATACCAAGCTGGGTGCGAAAAACGCGACACGTACGGTTTCAATATCACCGGTCCAAGTTACCGTGGCGGGCTCGCCAGCACGAAGGGTGGTTGGCCATTTGGTGAATGCCAGTGGCAATGCAGCAAAACTGACTTGGGCCAGGCAGAGGCAAACGGCGAAGAAGGACTCGTACAGACGCATCCTGAAAGTTACTGGGACCTTAAGAGATGTTAGTGGGATGAAACCACTTCAAACGATATAGGCGATCGATAGTAAGGTGAAATGCCAGAAGACTTTGGTGTACAAGACTCTTTCAACCGAATCAACCTGAACAATGCATATCCATCTGCCAATTCGCCTATGCAATGGCTAGCACCTTCCCAGCGGAAACAGATACAGAGCAGACAAGTACGACCATCTACTGTCGGTTTGATAGGAGGCAGGAACTGGGGAGTCAACACGGCGGAAGCGATACCAACTTACCTACCTGGACAAACTTCTGCAATTCAGACTCCGAGATCAGATCGTTGGCAGCGTCGATATCGCGTGCTGCTCGTCGGTGTCAGTTGAGGATGGATGAGATGACAGCGCAGGAAAGTCCTGGAGAGATTCCTGGGGTTTTATTATTTTGTCTTAACAAGCATGCATAAACTTCGACCCCCAATGGTTTGTTTTGTTTTTTGGAGCCATGCGAGGCCAGGAAACATACCCGGCCAGCCGGGCACATTCCTAATAGGTAGTCACAACATTTGTCTTGGTGTGGATGGCAGTATGATTTACCCTGGGAATGCACCCGGGCCTCCAGCAAAATGCAAAACAACAGTTGGCAAAACATAGTTATCCCAGATTCTATCTTCTACTCTACATATCAGTTTGTGTCAGGTTGAGTTGTAGGATCGGGGAAAACTCAACTGACTAGTCATTCTACTCAATAAGGTTCATGGACAATTACCTACTGAAGTTACGGTGAAGCATGACACGACTATCACCAATATGTGGCGACGTTTCGAATCAAATATCTTATTGCAAAAGTTGCCTGATACAATTCGAGGCAAGAAATCAGCAATGGCCGTTGTTTAGAATTCCCGCCATTGCCTGGAATGCAGAGCTGGTCGGCTGCATACTGCGCTGAGACACTGGTGCTTTGACCATTACTACATACCTTCTACTTCCCCAGGTATGAAGGGGTTGCGGTCTCGATTTTCAAAGACTTTACTCTTTAGTTTGATTTCTCCTTTCGGTAGCTTGGCGCATGATGAAGTTGTTGATTTGCAAGGGGCAGCGGCAGTTTAGAGGTCATCACAGGTCTGCGACGAGATCGACGCAGCACAAGCCCTTCATAGAACACATTTAGATGCCTCAAATTATATGAACAAATTCTCAGGAGTATTTAATAGCTGTTATAGGCCGTCTTGTTCGCCGTCCATCTCGGATTTTATGATGTTATACGAAGGATGGCCGGTCAGTCATTTCGTAGACTGGTACATACCTATACCGCGAATGAGAACAGCAATTTACAATATCTACGCAAATTCCTGTTACGAGAGTCTTCTAAAGTATCTCCAAGAATTCAGTTCGTGCTACAATCAAGGAATCGTGATAGTCGATTTCTTCAAGTGTTCAGTAGGTATTGTTCAGATGTCGCTTCCTCCAGACATATACGACGTCCTCCTTCCCTCTATTTGCATATCCTGCGTATTTTCTACTGCTTCACTGCCTAGCAATGGTAAATCTCTACGGCGTACGAAACCATGCTTCCATCGGAGTCTAGAATGTTTCCTTTGGTAATGTTTCCAATTGCGCTCATTGCACTTTTTCCCCCTAGGTATGTGGGTAACGGAATGGCCTCTTGGCTCTCATTCCACTGATAAAAACAGGCTTTCCTCTTGCAAGCGTATGCTCTCCACTTAGCAGAAATTTCTGGGGCAGCTTTGCTTATTTCTCGACTTGTCTGCTTCACTTCCTCTTGTGTGTTGATTGTTCAAGCATGCACTCCTTCTTAATCTTAAAAGCGGTCGGTGGTGGGACTGTAAATGGAAATGCCATGGGGTTACAATGCGATTTTTGCGGCTAGGCATGCGCCATTTGGTAGGTAGGTTTTGGAAAAGACAAAGCAATGATATAGACACCCTATTTACCTTGATGTGCGTTGTTCTATTGCTCTTGCATGTAGTTACTTGTAAATGACATAGCTAGTCTGACAAATACATGAAAGAGGAAAAAAAGGTCTAGCAGTATGGAGTGCCCTAATGAATGGCTTACTGATCCAATTTTCTTTGGCTGTTCTCTACCTAAATTTGTCGAAATAGTTAATCTTCGATCACACGTGTGAAGCTATCCAAGCTCAAAGTCTAACATGCATGGCTATTGTCACCCTAGACTTATCATTGGAACGACCGAAGCCAGCGAGAACATTGTAGCTATACTCAGAATGGATCTCCAAGTTTCTAAAAATAACGAAACCCGGAAGAGAAAGGAAAGCAACCGTAACACTCCAGCCCTACCTCTGGTTACCGAAAGCGGAAATGAGACAAGTTTCATTTTTTACAACCGTGCAAGGCAAACTACTTCTGCACCGAACCGAATAAGAGTAGACCTATAACAAGCTTGAAGCCCCCGTTACATCTGCCCCAGCTGTGGAGTTACACTCGCCTTTCTCTCTCCGTCAATCGACCGGTTCTAGTTTCGGTCCTGCGTTCCTTCCGTTGCTGGTTTCCTGCGATGCCGTTGTTCCATCTGAGAGGGAATCGAGGCGATGGACTTGCGCGAGAACATATCACCAATCCGTCAATCAGCATTCACCCGTCCATTGATTTAGTGGTCTACGCTTTATCGGCCTCTGTGTCCATATATCATTACCCATGACTTACTTCATTCGAGTCACTCGTTAATTCTCATTTCCTTCTTTCTCTCGTATAACGTCCCGTTTGCTATCTGAACGCGGCCAATTTTGTCACTCGTTTCGAATCTCTCCCCATCTATCTGCTTTAACATCTCAACTTACCTCCTTTTACATCGTTGGGATCGATATGCTGCAAGCCAACCATCCAAGGGGCCCCGGGCTCTCCTGCATCTTCGAGCCTGCGGTGGCACCATTTCCACCTCCTGAACAATCGGACACCGACCTCTCCCAGCGCTTCTATCGAACAGTCGACGGCGTGGAGGAGCCTCACTCGCCCATCCCAGACTCGCCTGTGCCCAGAGAAACGCCCGGATGCACCGCCAAAAGAACCGAACAGCAGCAGCAGGCGCTCCAAGAGACACGACTCGGCGCCCTCGACACCCTCCACCTCTGCCGCAACGTCATAACGACCCTCGAGCTCACCCGGCTGCGCAAGTCCCGCGTCGGCCTCTACAACTGGCTCGGGTTCTGGGACCGGCTGTACGAGCGACCCTTCGCACACAGCCTAGCGTCCTGTGTCAGCACGGCGCTCTCCAAAATCGACTTGCTGTTTCGAGTCGTCTCTGACGACCTACACCAACTAACGCAACGCACCGAACACGCCGTGGTGTCCGCGACCTCCGAGCGCGAGATCTTCTACCTGCTTGAGCGCATGGAAGACGACGTGGAGGTGCGGCGTCTTCGCCGCCGGCGTAAGGCGCAGGTCATTCTGAGCAAGATGCGTGCCGAGCTAGAGATGATTCCCATGAAGGTGGGCGACGATCTGTTCGACGACATGAAGCGCGGCGTGTTTGCCCTGGACGTCGTCTGCGACTATCACCCTGGAGACACGGTCGCCGAGGCCCACGAAACTACCTGGCCTGATCATTTCACCGGTCAGCCCGTTGATCACGTTGAGCTCTCACCTTACCTGTATCAGCAGTCTCAACAGTCTCAAGCGTCGGCGGCTTCGGGGGCGTTTATGCCCTTGGGGTCGTATACAGCGAATAATACCTCTTTGGGATCTTTGGATATCGATGTTGATGGTAGTGCTGCTGTTGGGTGGACTGGTCGTCCCTCTCGGAGGTATGATCCATGGTGATTATTGGGTGAACTTGTTGATTTTCTTATCTTTGTATTTGGTTTGCGGGTTGGAAAAGCAGAAGGCACTTTTATTTGCCGGCGATACATTACTTCGTGTTACCCTTTTTAATTAGATAGACCTTTTAATTCCTGACTTTTCAGGTTAGCATAGGAAAGAATACTAGTCACCTACTATGGGAATAATTAATAATGGTTCACTGCTTGACTGTGTTTTGTTCCGGGCCTGGTGCAGGTATATAACATCAAAGGATAAAAATTGCTTTTATTTGTCTGAGAGAGAGAAAACAAATCTAGGTAATTATGTACGCTAAAAAAAGAAGGCACAAACGTATCTTTTAACCGTCTAAGAAAAATCCCACAAACCTCTGAGCAGATGCCCAGGAGCCGTATCCTGTCCACCATCTTCTTCCAGCAACCGATCGGTGAATATCCGCTTCGGTATTTGGTATTCCACCACCGGGACTCTCTTCAACGGCTTATCGCCCGATCCCAGCTCCGCCTGTAACATGCCCTGGTAGGTATAATCGAGGAAGTCCTCCAGGTTGTACATCTGCTTCGTGAACTGCTCGGCGAGGATGCGTGCGATGGCCGCCACGTTGGGGTGGTAGTGGGACTGGAGGCTTTCGATCTCCCAGAGACTGCTCTCGAGGGCGTTGGTGCGGGTTGGGTCGGGTTCCTGCGCGTCGAAGGGGTCGTCCATGCCCTCGGCCTCGAGCTCGGCCTTGGTGGTCTCGTCGCGCACCGGGCGATGCAGCATGAGTGTGCAGGTGGGGTGGCTCTTCAGGAGGTTGTACATGAAGGGGACCATGGCGACGATGGCGGTGGGAGGGGCGTTGAGGGCGAGGCGCGCGAGGCGTTTGATGAAGCTGGCGATGAGGGTGGCAGGAAGATGGGTGGAGGCGAGGAAGGTGTTCATGAGACGGAAGAAGCGGGAGCGGTGTTTGGAGTGGAGGAGGTTGGCGTCGAGGAGGGAGTATAGCTTCTGGTAGAACTGGGGATAGTCGAGGTTCTTCTCCTGGATGAGGTAGAAGAGACCAGAGAGGGCGAGCAGCGACGTGGCGCCGCCGACGTTGTAGGAATCCGTCAGGAAGTCCATGAGCAGTTCCGGGCGATTGAACCAGGGCTCGATGGAGTGGACCATGGTGCGCAGAAGGGTTTTTCGTTGCGAAGGGGAGATGTCGCCGTGGAGAACTGCCATCCAGGCGTCCTGGGCGCGTTTCTTGTGTGCGTTGACCGAGACGAGTTTCTTGTTCTTCTTGCTGGTCTTGGTGTAGAAGTTTTCGAACTTGTGCTCAGCGGACGGCACGTTGTCGCAGGCCGAGAGGAGGGAGATCAGGATTTCAATTGTGTCCGAGTGTCTTCTTGTTGCCGCATATTCCCTGAAGCATTGGTTAGCATCACAGAGAAGATTTCCAGCTGGAGAGTGTAGGTGCAACATACGCAATTTGCGCAAACATATGGTATCTCACGTCTTCGTATTCTTTCGCAAATTTCTCGAGGAACTCAGACCGCAGCGTCTCTCCATTTCTGGCTTCGATGACAGACTCGACGATGTTTTTGAACAGACCGGATGTCCACAGTTGCAAATCATCCTCAGCAAGGTGTGCTGCACGTTCGTGAAGGAGACGCATACTCAAAGTCAAGGCCGTGATCTATATGAGATTCAGTTAGCAGAGACCCAACTACCCAACTATGCATAAACCAACCTGAGAGGAAGGATCGCTGTCACGAATGATTGTTGCCAGAGCCTTCTGATACTCTCGAAGACGCTCCTTCAACCAAGCCGCAATGATCTTCTCGTTTTCCGCGGCTCGATTTGTCTCTCCAAGATCCCCAGTAGCAATCAATCTGCTAAAGACCCGACACAGGGCCACTGCCACCGCCAAATTTGGTTTCCGGCCATTTCCCTCGACGTTGAGCATCCCAATCAGCTTGGCGATGTTGTTGTAGTGCTTCCGCGACTCCGAAATTTGATCTTCCAGCTGCTGGATTTCGGCCATCGCATCTGCGCTCTCATTTTCTGCGACTGCCCGGCGTTTGGAAGAGTGGGCAGTTGTTTCTTTGGCGCTCTTTCGCTTCTTGGAGCTGACGGCTCCGGTCGTAGGGGCGGGCATTGTGCTCGAGAGAAATATAGGGCCAAATTGAAAGAACCTTTTCGCACCGACGTGAGGGCTTTCCTGCTAAAGAGAGCATGAATCCATGAATTTTTGGAGATCCCTCGGCTAACGGTTTTTCCGAGTCGGTTGCGCTAGACCGCAAGGGGCTAGTGTCTTCCCGCACCGCCCAAACCGCCATCCCGACCTCAGAGTCTCCTCAGTTCCGTTCACCCATCCCATCTTGTCAAGGTCTTCCCCATCGCTACAATGGCTTCTCGTGTGGCTAAGAGCGCCATTGGTATGCCGCAACCACCACTTTCCGGTCCGCTCGAAAACCTCTTTATAATCGCTAACCCCCCAAATAGGTGCTGCCCGGCTCCGGCCGACCCTTCCCGCGCGCAACGTCGCTCCCATCACTGCCAGCTTGACCGCGTCTCGTTCGGCCTCCAACGTCCCTGCCGAGGACCCCAGCAAGAAGGCTCAGTCTATCCTCGACTCTCTTCCCGGCAACACCCTGGTCTCCAAGACCGCCATCCTCTCCGCCGCCGCCGGTCTCTCCGTTGCCGCCATCAGCAATGAGCTCTACGTTATGAACGAGGAGACCGTCGCTGCTTTCTGTCTTCTCAGCGTCTTCACTGCCGCTGGCAAGTACGGAGGTCCCGCCTACCGTGAGTGGGCTGAGGGTCAGGTCCAGAAGCACAAGGACATCCTGAACGCTGCCCGTGCCGACCACACCAGCGCTGTCCGGCAGCGCATGGACAACGTCAAGGAGCTCTCCGGTGTTGTTGACATCACCAAGCAGCTCTTTGCTGTTTCCAAGGTACATTATCACCTTAATAATGCTTGACGGGAACTATTGTTCTCCTAGGCTCGTGCACAAGGATCGTTTGTTGACAAATCTTGAAAGGAAACCGCCCAGCTTGAGTCTCAGGCCTACGAGCTCGAGCAGCGTACCGCTCTGGCCGCCGAAGCCAAGCAGGTTCTTGACTCCTGGGTCCGCTACGAGGGCCAGGTTAAGCAGCGCCAGCAGCGTGAGCTTGCCGACACCATCATCGGCAAGATCCAGAAGGAGCTCGAGAGCCCCAAGGTTCTCCAGCAGATCCTCCAGCAGAGCGTCGCCGACGTTGAGCGTAAGTTCTTGATCGATTTTCTATTTCTCAGTGCGGTATCTTACATTATTTCTCTTATCCAGGGATCATGTCTTCTAAGGCCCAGTAAATGGACTTGCATGAATGGCTTCCTAGCTATTGATATCATGTACAAATTAAGGATCTGTTTCTGTGCTCCGTTAGACATACCAATACCATTCTGATCAAAATCAGGAGTATTGTAGATGATTGTACTATGTATTTTTCTATTTCAATAAAGTGATCTATTTCCAAAGAATCCCTGCTGGTGCCGCCTGCATTGGCAAAACTCATGCCGTCCCCGCCTTTTTCCGAGTTGCGTAGCCGAAATGTTCTGCACCCACGTCTAAGTGAACAAAGATCTATCTTTACTCTGGATTGTGTCGAGTTTGTGGTTTTTCATCACCAGACCGTTCAATTCCCACTCAAGAGTAGCCCACAGACTAAGACACTGGCGTAAAAATTCAACTCGACGTCAAGAACTCCTTGTGTGCATAAAAGGCCCTTGCATGCATGCTGACAAACCGAGCCAGATGGATACACATTCATAAGTTGCATTCGCATTCTCCATTGCAATCGATAACCAGTCTAGTCTACTCTTGCTTTCATATGACGCTGCTGATAAGATGAAAGATCTTCCTTTCAATGCACTCTCATCTGATGTCATCCTGAAACTCGGCGCCTACCAGTGCGTCACATCCACGCCTCTACCATGACAAAAAACATTTGATTCGATTGATTCCAAAACATGATTCCCTCTCATCATTCATTCTTCAAAACAAAGGAAAGGGCAAAAGCCCACTCGGACGAATGACAAGGTCAAAGGAATTTCCGGAATTCCCAGAGCGACAGGCACAACCAGAAAGGAAAAAAAGGGACGGAAATATTAGGGGGGCCAAGACGCCGTTCAACCATGGATGTCAAATGGCGACGGGCAAATCAATCATCAGACAATGACCCTTCGGCACAGCCACGGCTCAGCGCTTGTGCCTTGCTACTATTTAGTCCGCAGGGCTGAGATGTTCGTGTTCTGGCATCTATTTCAAGTTGACCCCTTTATCTTCATTGCCTTGAAAGCCGATTTATCTTTGCATTTCCATCTCGATTCCTCGCATTCTGTGGGAAGTCCAACCCAATCAGCGCAATTCCAGCACCTGCCGAGTATCCACTCCCGCTGAATCCCCGCAACAAACAGCAGTCACCATAATGCCGTTGCGAGAAATCCTCCAGAAGAAAGACAAGATTAGCGATAACAGCGCGCAGTATGCGGCCGGCATTCCTTCGACGACTGTAGGCCCGGTGCCTGAAATTACCTTCGTTCGGACCGATACCACCACACATGAAGTCATCCGGCCACCCGTCTACGACGGAGACCACGATGTTTATCAACACCATGCCCCATACCTTGAACCCTCCCGACCGAACTCCTCATCGCATCGTCGCTCATTGAATCCCTTCCACCGTTCGCGATCTCCGTCCGAATCGCAAGGATCCTCGTCCCCGTCGCGTGCGCGCGGAGAACGCCGCTTGTCGCATTTGCTGCATCGGGACCGGCGCAACTCGAGCGCGAACTCGACCAACGTCCCTGCGGACCTTCCTCAGATCACGGGCGACAGGGGCAATGAGCAGGAGATGGAGGCACAATGGGAGAAAAGGGCTACGATGCTGGTTCAGCGGAACCCGCAGTTCGCGGGGCCCTTGTCGCCGACCTCGTCGGGCTTTGGACCGAGTAGCATCGGATCAAGGTCGAGGAGTTCTAGCCATAGTGGGGTCATGGATCGGGAAGGGGATGTAAGTCTCATCTGGGAATCAGTCTGGGGTAATGAGGGCAAGGTCTGACAGTGTTCAGGTTGACGTGCAAGAGGCGATCCGACTTCACGAGATTGGCGGTAAGAGAAATTGGTCCAAAACCAGCTACTGGACCACGCTAATAAAGGTCAATTATAGAATTGGAAAAGTCAACGGAAATGTTCCGCCGATTGGCAGAGCCTACGGGTGCGAATAATGCACTCAGCCAAGTGCTCTACGGCCTAGCCCTAAGGTAAGGCTACCTGGCTCTCTTAGCTCGACAACTGCTTTGACGGCATGTTGAGAAATGTGAAGCACGCTTCTAATAGTCTATTCGCAGACACGGCTGGGGCTGCCCTCAAGATCCCGACAAAGCGGTGACATATCTCTCAGCGGCGGCGTCCAACTCCGCCTCGATCGAGTCCCAAGCCCTGCAGGCGGGTATCAAAAAAGGCGGTGCAGCTAAGGGAGAGCTCGTCCTCGCAATTTTCGAGCTGGGAAACTGTTTCCGTAACGGTTGGGGCGTCCAGAAAGACCCTGCGGCCGCACGACAGTACTTTGAGACGGCCGCCAATCTAGGCGACACAGATGCCATGAATGAAACGGCATGGTGCTACCTTGAGGGATTTGGGGGGAAGAAGGACAAGGTAAGAAATTTGCTTGCGTCATGCTTCTATTTCGAGTCCAAAGGGCGATATTGAGGAGAAATGCCTCGTGTCGCCGCGAGTCTTGGGCATCAATACTTTTCCCTTTCACAAGACTTGCATCACCTGTGCGCTTTGTCCTTCACCTCCCACACGACCTTTATTAATAAACTAACTTGGGATCGCTTCGACTTAGTATACGGCCGCCAAATACTACCGATTGGCCGAAGAAAAAGGCAACAAATTAGTTGGGAATTCTTGGTAAGTGCCAACAAACCAGCCGATCCTTTATTGTCGTCCCCTTTTACCTTTGGTCCTGCATATCCCTCAAGCGTGATGAGCTCAGCGCCCCATTTGGAAAAACCCATGATCTGCACCTCTCCTCTCCATCACCTGCAGATATCATGTTTGGGAAGCAGCGCCGGCGGTTGAATCGATAGGCGGAGAGGCGATGTCTGCGAACTGCGCCATGCACTACGCCATCACGCTCTCCGCCAACCACATCCCGTCATTCTTCTCCCTCTCCACTTCCCTCCTCAATGCACATTATCGCAAGTACGATCATCTTAGGCTGACATGACGTTCGGCTACTCCATTACAGGATCTGGAAGGACAAATACAATCCCAAGTGAAACCTTTTGTTTGCGTCTTGGAGTTTAGCATAGCGATCGCTTAGCGACCCTGGTGGATTCGCAGCCTTGTCGGCTCGTGTCATCACATCTCAGGCCCCAACCCATTCAACGTTATCATTTGACGCGACCATGCGGGAAGACAGCATCATTGGATATTACACGACTTATTTTCTATTTCTTTTTTCATTTTGGTTACATGAAGGAGTTCTCGGACCCGGACCGTCTTTTCCTTTCTGGCTTCTCATGCGGACCTCATGCGGACCCATCGCCAGACTTGGGTCACTATGACTATCACCGTGTTACCATCTTCCTACCATCTCACGCCCATCTTACTAGCTACTACCATCCTAGGTATCGACCATACTGATGAATAATTGAATTATGACCCAATCTGACCCAGGCAGCCTCGTTTTGGACTGCAGCCTACATCTACGTGGTAAAATAACCCAACTTTAAAATTTATTTGTTTTGTTTACCTATTTCTCTCCGTCATCGCGTGCTTGTCTATGTCCCCTTCCTGCGCTTTTCTTTCTTTCCTTGTGAGACCTGAAAGAGGCTGGCTATTATTATCAGCCTGTCATGCACAGTCTGCTTAGTAGGCTCTGTGGACCTACAGTTAGACGAAATTTTCCACGTAGGAAGAATACACGCACAATTGATTAAATAAGTAAATAAACAAAAGTACGTAAACTAAACCAGCCTCTAACGCGACATTAGAAAAAGTTGAAAAAATCGAAGAAAAGAGCAATGAAGCTAATATTGCTTCAAAAGCATACTGCATACGTACCGTTCTCATGCGTGCTCTACTCTGTCCTTCCTACCGAATTCTCCATAACCCGTTCTTCTAGATAGGGAATGGACTGTCGTCCCCTTACCCAACTCCAATCACTTTACTTTCTTGTTGTATGTAATTGACGAACGTAAACAGTGGAATGTAATAACTGGCTGTTCTCACAATATCTTCTTTTATATAATCAACTACACTATCTTTCTAAGTATGTATGGTTCTTTGAGGATTCTGGTTATTTAAATATTATTAGGAATTTTGTGTTTTCGATTGAGTCGATCTAATTCTCTTTTGCGCTTTCTTTTAGGGTGATTAAAGTATAGAAAGAAAGAATAGTTAGTAGTCTGTCCCCTTGGTATACTTCGCAACTGTGAAGATCATTATGACCAAGCAGTCACACCGCCCGAGGTCTGCTTCCATCTTCATATCACCCTGCAACATGCAACACCCTTAACTCGACAGAAAAAAAAAAAAAAAAAAAAAAAAAAACAATCTAAGCATTCTTTTTAGCAATGTTTGCACGGAAGCTTCACCCCCATCTTAGATTTCGGCTAGTTACGCTACAAACTACTTATCTACTCCTTTCCGCTCTAGTCCAAGGAAACTCACGTATTCATGCCGACAGTCCCAGGGTTAGTTAGAAGCACCCCTTACTTGATCCACAGCTCATTTGCAACTAAGGTCCGGTACCCGACGATGACCTTTTCACGTACACGTCTGGCCGGTTTCTCTACAATGAGAGCGCGCGACTTGGTGAACGACATGTCAGTTTTGATGTTGCCGCACTTGAAACCGCCGTCGAGAAGCATGTCGGCCACGGAAACGTCAAATCTCTCACCAAATTGAGCGAAGGTGGTTTCAATCGCGTGCTTCTGGCTACTATGGAAGACGGTTTCAGGGCAGTCGTCAAAATTTCATACAAGATATCCGTTCCGAAGACGTACGCAACCGCCAGTGAAGTCGCAACCCTTACGTTCCTTCGCTCAAAGGATATCCCGGTGCCAGTAGTCTATGGGTGGTCTTCCACGAACGAGAATAGTGTTGGTGTTGAATATATCATTATGGAGCATGCTCTAGGAGTTGGTGCGGATACTTGTTGGTTTGATACGACGAAATATCAGAAAAAGGCATTGGTGACCGGGATCGTCGATATTGAGAAGAAACTTTTCGATATCCCCTTTGCTTCTATTGGCAGTCTCTATTTCAAACGGGATCTTCCTCCTCATTTGCAAGGCCAACTATATCAGCCCGGGACGCCCGACGGGGATGAAGATTCCGAGACCTGCATTGGGCCCATCGCCGATTATATGTTTTGGTATGGGCAACGCGCGAACCTTGAGTTGGATAGGGGACCATGTATGCTTCTCGTCGAAGTGGAATTATATACCCGGTTTTGCTGACTACTCTTACAGGGAAAAATCCAAATCAATATCTTCTTGCAATTGCCAACAAAGAAATCCAATGGACGGAACAGTTTGGGAAGCCAATTGAGTGCGACTTTCCACACAACACCGTTTTTCCTGGCGTCAATTCCCACCAGGATTATTTGATACTCCTTAAGAAGTATCTGGCAATAGCTCCATATCTCCTCCCAAAAGACCCGAGAAATCCGTTGAATCGACCTACTCTACGTCATCCTGGTGTGTTCATTATGCTCCTTCTAATCGTGGTCTGATGGATTCTAACTGCAATAGATCTTTACCCCAGCAATGTCTTTGTTTGCCCAAACACGTTCAACCCCACATGTATCATTGACTGGCAACACACAGTGGTCACCCCATTATTTCTTGCCGCTGGCTATCCGAGGCTATTCGAAAACCCAGACCCCGAGCCTCCAACAGGACTCGTTGCGCCCAAATACCTAGATAATTACAACACACTGAGTCCCGAAGAAAAGGCTCAAGTTGATGAGCTTATCCGTCGACAAAGTCTGTTCTACCTATACCGTGTCTTTAATGGGGGCCTTAACAAAGTGCATCTCCAAGCTCTACAAGGCCCCTTGGTTCTATCACGTCAGCATCTTGTCGATTTTGCCGGCCGCCAATGGTCTGGCAACCTCATGACATTGCGAGGAGCTTTGATGCGTATGCGTGACATCTGGCTCCATGTTCCGGGAAACGATGGAAGTATGGAATGCCCCATTGCGTTTTCAGGAGAGGAGATGGAAGAGCAAACGAAGAACGAGCCAATGTGGTATAATCTAAACAGACTTGTCAGCCATTGGCGGGATGTATTAGGTGGCGTGTCAGAAGAAGGGTGGGTTCGTACTGAGCAGTATGACTACGCCGTCAAACGAAACGAGGCCCTTCGAGCAGAGTTTTCGGAAGGTGGTAGTGCAGACGAGCTTGAAAAGAACAAGCGGGGATGGCCTTTTCAGGATCATGAGGAGATTTTTTAATAGAAGCTCACACGTGTTCTATCCTGGTCGTGTCTTACTTTCTCCTGGTTTATCTTGTCAATGAATCAAGGCTGGCTCCACGGAAGTATAAATGGCGTGACCTCTGGGACTCAGAACTAAATTGCTACTCCGTTTATCTAAGAGATAGGAAGTTGAGCGGCAAGGATCTGAAGAGTCACCATATATCCGAGAACAGAGACGTTATCCCTAATACGACAGCTTGGGCGCTTAGATTAACCAATTCACTTGATGGCTGCTACTAGTCTTTTCAATGTGTGTCAGTGGCCGCCCTGTTGGCCCGACGTTAACATCTCAATATCCCGTGGGCCAAGTATCACACCAGCACCAGATCCAGCAACACGAACCAAATGTCTTGACGCATTCCCTATGCCCGCACTCTGAATTGGATATCAAACTCCAGATACAGGTCTTCGGCACTTGATAAATCCAAGCCAGGGTTATTCGCTTGATTGATCACGATGTGCCATTTCGTAAATGGTCCGACCATAGCATATTGATCATTATCAGAAACCGTGCCGATAACGCCATCCACCGTTCCCGGCCCAGTATGATCCTTGTCCTCGATCACATAGCGGAAGTTGGTCACGACAGGCTGGTGATCAAAGGTATGTGCCGTGCCTGTCTCATCGATGATGGCCTCCTGACCGGTATGCACTAGGAGGAGGTCAAGAAAGCCAGTGTCAGTCTTTGCGCCATCGATGAAGCAGCGAATATTCGTCAATCGGATATCAACCCTGCCTTCTCCGAAAATGAGCCCGTCGGTTGTCGGATTGATTGTTTTAGGCGTGAGCGCAACTTGAACAGTTGACTTTTTATCTGTGAATGTTTGCATGTCCTGCTTTACATCGGAGACGGGGAACGTGACACCCTTGAGTGTCTGCATGGACTGGCCCCAGGACTCGACCCGTTGGGCATAGTAGTTATTCAGATCGGAGCTGACAGCGTTCAACATGCCATGCGTGAACTGGGAAAACTGGAACCCATCCATTGCATTTCCAATGATGTTGGTTTGGTCCAGGGTAACAAATGCATAAGCCTGCTGCATTTTTCCCAACCAGAGCTGGACACTGGCAAGGGAGTTGGTGTAAAGCGTGCGCATGAACGCGGTCAGTGTTGGGTGTTCTAGCCCAAGGACATTATACTCGTCACGGACTATGTCCTTCTTTTGACTATCCAGGGATTCAGCAGTTCCGAGATAGTTAATGAGCTGCTGTATGCCCGCACTGTAGTCCATGACCGCTGAGTTGCGGGTTTGGGTGGTTTCTGGAATCGATGAAAATTAGCATGACATTGCTTGTAAGAGAGAATGTGATGTGGTAGCAACGGGGTAAAGAAGCTCACCAACATATCGATCAAAGCAGTCCTTGACTTGCTTGAGACGATCATCTCCGAGCGCAGCACTAAATTCCGCCAGTAGCTTGTTGAGCTCTGATTCCAACAAAACCAGTTTTGCACACCCTGGGTCATCGAACTGAGCGTTTCCGTCGGCTAGGATGGTGTACCCTTCGTGCAGGTCCTCAATAGAGCCTTCAATCTGGGTGACAGAGTGCAAAAGGTAACCTTTGTTGATGTTGACCCCAGAGTCTTTCGAGATTTGCGAGAGATGATCGTGGGCCCATTTGGTGCTGTCGTTGATTGTGCCCAGCAGGGATGTGAAATCGTCTTTCATGGAAACAACCTGGGTGATTCCTTTGAGGAGATCCTCGAAACTGAATTTGAAAGCGTTCTTGATCGCATCTTCAACATCAGCGATGCTTGCTATCAAGCGTGCCTCAGCTATCCTCATATCCTCCTGAGCCACTGCAATCTTGGAGTCGATTGTTGTTAGAGCATTTCTCACAGCCATAATCGAATTTTCGATCTGAGATTTGGAGGAGTCACACATGGAGCCCCTCTGCTGAACTGCGTGAGCTTTTTGCTCATTGGTGAGGTCGTCGTTGAGGTACCCCAAGTATGTGTCCTCAATCACCTTCAGGTCATCAAGGAACTTGTCTGCGTACTCTTTGTAAAAGGCGAAAGAGCCGCGAGGAACTTTGAGATTCTGTGTTGCAAACGTGTCCTGGGGAGCAACGAGCATCTTTATGGTTTTGTCAACCTGGTCGTAGATGGATCGGAGCTGTTGTATGGATGCAGGTTCCTCGCCCTCTGGTCCCGAAACCACCGCCAGAGATTCTTCGGCTCTTCGATATGCCTGCCCTAGGTTGGTACCGGACAGATCATTAGGACAGGAGGGGTCTCCCAAGAACCAAAGTCGTTGCTGAAGCTGCTGGAGGTATTGCAAGGCCCTTGCTTTCTGGTCATCAGTGTTTAAGAACAGAAGAGCCTTTGCCTTGTCAAGAAGCATTCGGCATTCTACCGGGTGTAGGTAGCAGACGGTGGACTCCGTGACTGTCGAGGTCGAGTCGATGAAAAAGGAGTGCTGCTCACCACTGGAGCCACTATTGCCGCTGGTCCCTTGGCCCTGGGCACTTGTGCCTCCAACTCCATATGTTCCCCCGTCGACATTGATGCTCTTGGTCACCTGGGAAAGCAACGAATCTTCATTTGCGAGAAGCTTCTGATAAGCCGTGATGACCTCCCGATTGAAATCAGCTTTCAGTCCACTGAGGACCTGACTCGCATCCTGCATGGTGGATGGTAAGACATAAACCTCCTGGACCTCTGCCTCATTCATCGTGCTTATCCAGGAGCGGACTGTGTCCCGGAAGTCGACCGGCCATTCGCTTCCATCGCTATTGAGCGCTGTTAACAACGACTCCGAGATTATTACTGCCTGGCTGAGGATCCGCCCCAAGAGCACAATGACATGGCCACCGTCACCTCCGTCACCTCCATTAGTTGGGGGTTTATCCTCCACAGTTGGGATACCATCCCAACCATGACCACCGGGAACTATATACAGAGACGGGCTCGTCAGTAAGTATCATAGATTGCGGAGAGCGTACTCTACCTTTAATCTGGATCCTTCTTGCGGTGCTCAGTGGAAGGCTCTCCACGTACAGCTCAATGTTTCCACCCGATGCTCCTTTGGGATGTTTCGACGTGCCATTTTTACCAGGAACACCCAGTGAGACATAGTCATCCGATCCTTGAGGAATGTCTATTTGATGAGTGTACAGCCGAAAGGTAGCTGCGGCGGCATCCGTGCTTTCCTTTGCCGCATTCCTCTCGCTTTCCTCATTCTTGCCAAAATCGTTTTCCGCTACAAGATCCTCCGTTAAAGAGAACTTCTCGACATACAGCGAGATGGGGACCTGCAACCCGGTTTTGGGTGCGAACGCATCTTCTGACACCGAAAGGATAATGGACGGGTCTGCAAGCGGATATTCAATGATATCAGGATTCATTGTGGAATGTGAAGAAGAGGAGCGATAAATGCGATGACGTGGTTCAAATGGAAACAGAGCTTCTTGACCGATGGAAAAGAGAATTTTCGATTCTTTCTGTTATCCTGGAGAGGTAGAAATTGCTCGATCTGATGGGTTCTTAAATGTTATTGATATTGTTGCATCAGCCAAGGCGTTGCGGCCTCCGACTTTGTGGTCGCTTGCAATCTAAGAGAAGACACCGTGTAGGGTCCAAACGGAATCGATATCTGGTCAATCTTGATGCGGATGGTGTCTGTGGTGGCAAATTGCCAAATTTGCATGCTTACACAGTTATGTATCGCCTGCATTGCACCCCTGCATCCCCTCGCCCCAGCTGAAAAGAACGCCCGGGACTAACCCAAATGGTAGGATGCCAGACCCTTCAACACCATTTTTTAATATAAAATGCGTGATTTCGGCCCTTCGATCCACTGCTTTGCAATATAACCAGTGTCTAGACCATCTTGAGAGCTGATTAACCCATGTCAAAAGCGGTCCGCGCACACCACCGAGAATCGACTTGCGTCAACTTCAGCTGAGAATGGATTTCTATCGCGAAGGCAAAAAGCGTACCATTCGCAGGATTCATACAAGGTTTGCAGTGGCAAAAGGACAACTCTGCGTTATCACTGCATTATCCCCGCTCGAAATGAATCATGTCCAGGGTATGAAGGTGGGTACTTAATATAACTGACTCGGAGAGCTGAAAGAGCGTGTCTTTAGAGCATCATCGGTGGTGAACTCTCATCGTCATGATGATGGTCTTCTTCACCAAGATCCATTGCCTTCTTGTCTAGACTACAATCGAAGGGGGGGCGGTTGTTCAGCTGCCGAGAATTGACTCTCAACTCCTGCAAAATCTGGCTAGTTGACATGATATCGTCATTCTCTGTACGCCCCTGCGGAAAGAACCTGGACAGGTGATCGGATTCAGTAAAGTATTTATAAGACCAGTCCTCTTGCTCTGATGGAACTGCTTTTTTTGAACATCGCTCCGTCAAACTTGCCAACTCTCATCCATTGCTTTGAAGAACCCCAAGTCGAACACAATGCCAACCGTATTCCAATCCAGAGCCGAATTCCACCAGAGTTTGGTCAAGTACAATCGGACTACTACTGATGGTTGGGATGTGATTGTCAGTTACTCGGAGGACAAGCTGAATGCCTTGTTGAAGAAATATTGGACTCAGAGATTCGACGCGGCTGAGGTCTCTTTCCAGCACAAAATCGGGACTGATAATGCGTATTTTTTATATACGTATAACCTGACCCTCGAAGCCCCAACTTTATCGTTCAAATCGATTACTACTACTCATGGGGACATTGCTGTCTCCGCCCTATCGTGGAAAATGTCGGGCACCGTGCATACCGTTGCGTATATGAACGGCCAAGAGGGCTTCTCCACCGATGAGGACGTGGGCAAGGATCAAGATATATACTTAGATGTGGTAACACCGGTGTCTGCAATGGATGGGGAGTCAACCGATACCAGCACCGCAAAGGTTAGTCTTGACTTGTCTATCCATCAGAGTCTTCGGGCCGGTTTTTGTGCATGCCCGTACTAAAAGAAATTGTCATATAGTCTAGCGATACAACCTTCCAGTTCAGCGACAATACCGAGTCCAGCTACAAGGTCATCCTCCATTTCCAGAACGCACAGGATACAGACTGGTCCGTTCAAACGGCCAGTTCGAGTGATCCTCTCAACGAAAGCCTCACTGAACTGGTGCATGCGTTGATGAACAAGGAAGAGTTCAAGGGATTCACCTTCACCCTCGGAACAGTCAAGAATACGAAAGATCAGACTTCGGATTTTCTACAGCCGCAGCAATTCCGATTCAACGCGACCGAAGGTGTTCTGAGCATCTTCATTCAGGTGAAAGGTGGCAGTGGCAAGGGAACGGCAGAAGCACCGCAGTTCCAACTGACTCACGACAGCGGAATTGCAGCCATTCCCGAGGGCTACGAAGCGAGTATCATCCTTTCTCAAACGCTCATCCGCGATGACTATCTCGTCAAACGCATTGCAGAGAGCTGCAAGGATACATTGCAAAGTAGCGGCGGTGTGACTGGCAGTCAGGCGTCTGCCAACCCAACTGTCCATCTGAAGTTCAAATCCGACAAAGTCTGGGAAGGCGAATCGATGAATCATGGCGGATGGCCTATGGTAGGCGAGGGAGATCTCACCGTAGACTGGGATAAATATCCTTTGATTCTAACGCTTTTCGATGACGGAACGCCGTTGACATCTCATTACAAGTGGGTTTGGGACAATGCATCGGTGACGTTGTCCTACACCACCATGGATCCAATCCACGGAGCTACAGGTGGACCGTATACTTCTCAAATCACGGGGAGTATTAAAGCCGTGAGTTTATCTTCCGTCCGGATCATCATAATATCGAAGGGTTCGAAGCTAAGAAAGACAGAACTCGACCCCAGTCGCGACTATTTCAGGAGATACGTTGAAGTTCAACATCCAATTCACCTCCGCTAATCAGCCCGATGCATCCTTCTCCGACGTGGGCCCTGCAGACCTGACCGGATCGGTGACATTTCCTGAGCTAGACCTCAAACTGCCCGATCTTGACTTCTTCCAAACGCAGAATGTGCTGGCTCCGGGCGAGGACTTTATCAAAGCACAGGACACTATGTGTCCATGTGACTTGTTTGTTCTGGGATCGATGTATAGCTGATGGGATCGAGAGAGATGAAGCAGGCCTGGTTGACTCTAGACACTGGACAGATCAGACTGCAGATTTGTAATTTTGTATGCAATCTTTATTTCACCTTCCACTCATCATGGCTCCTACCAATTGCCTACCAATTGCCTACCAATATATTTACCATGCCTCCACACCACATATAATCCGCTGTTTATTGCTATTAACATATTCCCCTTATATCCAATTACATACGACCACAAAGTGGTGAAAGTTGGCTTAGGGAACAGCCCTCCGAACGCTAACCGGACAGCCCATTATTTAGGGTACTCTAGAAATTATGCAAGAGTATCAAGGACTTAGGGACTTCAGATCTCTCCAATTCTTTTCTCCATATCTAGCTTTGTATTTTTCCTTCAAGGGTGATTATGGTGATTAAAGTATACATAGAAAGAATAGCTAGTAGTCTTGGTATACTTGGTATACTCCGCAGCCGTGGTGAATGACATCATGGGTGAAATTAGAATCTCCTAAATTACAGTGACACGAAATTAGTCATTTGCTAGGTGGTATTATTGAGTGAGCCGGGGAAAGTTTCCTGCTAACTAGATCATAGAAATGGTGACAAAGGACCAAAGGGCCCTACGCTAATTAACGTCAAAACAAAGAGCACCATTATTATCAACGCTAACTTATTGGTCACGTTCGCACCTCCTGTTATATATCTTGTCAAGTAGATGCTTAAGTTCTTCTAGCTTTGGATCACAATATGTGTCGGCCAACAACTCGATAACACCAGCCGTCGATATTTCCGAGTCCCAAGAGTCTGCTGCAACAACAGCATTAACATTCGCACCGCCCTCTACGAAAAGTCGCACAATCTCTGTCCAACGTCCAATGCCGTTTGTGTCGATATCGAAATAACCTATCATTCCTCGTCTATGCGCCTCTCGGAGAAGTCGCAAAAGATTCACCCACGAGGTCATTGGGATTTTGGTTTCGAAATCAATGTACTCATGGTTTGGGCCGGGGTTTATTCGATGAGACCGTGCGAGAAGGTTGCGAACCATGTGGGGGTCAGAAAGCGGGTAAATCGTCTGCTGTCGCGAGCAAAGAAACTCCGTTGCATATGTGAGAAGAGGAGTAGCTTTGTCGTCCACGGTTGGCATCTCTTTTTCAAGAACGCCGTATCTATCTTGAGAGATACACGCGTCTAGCTCCTCGGAAACATATGTCGTTAAACCGAATTTCGTGGCTAAGCATAGGAAAGGATGCCAGATTGGTGGAGCCTTCTTTCGAACGTGAAAAAATCCAAATGCTTTCGCAGCCCAATGGTCATATATATCCGGTTTGGTGTCCCACAGCCACGAGATGATATCGTTGAGCTGATTCAGGAAGTAGCGTTGCATCTTCTTCACATCATTTTTAATATACCTGGAATGAGTCATGGCTAATGTTACGTCCGGCCACCACTCATCAAACCGTCGATGATGCTCAATTTCATCCATCGGTTTCTTGAGTCGAAGCACATATGATTGTAAAAGCCGTAAATTGGGGTCAAAGCCAGCTTCTGCTCTCTGTTCAAGTCGCCTATGAACGTGGTCGTCTCGCAGCCAATCTCGCACTGTACGATGAATGAAGGTGACCTTGTTGTCCGCTAGTTGGCGTACTGAAGCACTGTCGATTTCAATGCTATCCGTGAATTTGAGGGTACGCGGGCGATCTTGTGTCTGCCTTCCTTGAAGGCTCAAAAGTCCAGCGAATCTTTGGTGCATGCACTCCACTGTCCTACTACAGCGTTCAAGGATAAACTTGTCGGACACCTGTGATACCACCCCGTCCGTGGCATAGTCGTCATCTTCTTCCAAAGCAAAGGCCAACTCCCACACTGTAAGAGCGCATGCTGATGTGTCATTGACAAACTCGGCCGCAATCTCTCTCGACTCGATGAGGAACAGGAAAGTTGCCGTCCTGGCGATTTGAATATCGGTTTGGTCCTGAAACAAGAGCTTTTCGTACAAGCCGTCCAACTCTGCTGGAAGTTGATCCACTTTCTCCATCAACCCAGAAATACCCTTTTCAGGCGCAAAACCTTTGAGAATGTCGTCCAAAGCCAACTTGATCCATAAGAATACACCGCTTGCCCGATCAACTATCGCCTGGAGCAATTCCTTTGTCCTTAGATTCTCGCGTCCAAGACAGCGACGAACAACGACATTCTCTCTGAGTCTGTCAGTTGCGTATTGATGTAGATCATTTTTCGTGATGTCTTGTATTTTGGCGTTAGGTCCAATGCTTTGAAAGGCTTCTTCAATCGTAGTCCAGGGACGCGAAGAGAGACAAATCTTAACATTGCTATTAAGGCTGAGCTCTTTGAAAAAGATAATCAGTTCCCGATGGCCTTCCTCAAACTCATCGAGGCCATCAATGAAAAGGCAGAACTTCATTTTCGAAAGTGATGATTTCATGTATAAGTGAAAGGCTTCCTGGAGTTCGTCTTTGTCCCATTCCAGATGGAGTGCGATTCTCTCCTTAGAGGTCATGGTGCGGATTTTGGCCCAAAGATTCGGAAATGTGCAAGGAATGAGATCGTGATTGAGCCGGAGTAACTGATACAGAAGAGATCTGAAGAGACCACGTTTGGACCGCTGCTCCTGACTCCCACTGGCCCAAGAAAAGAATCCTGCGGTTAACACGGGGAGTGTGCCTGCCCATTTTTGAAGCAGATTAGATGTAGCTGGGTGTTCGTAGATATATTTCATGAGTGTCGATTTACCTGATCCCGGCTTACCCGACATCCAATATATGGGATTGCAGTCGTTAGTCTTGAGCCATGCAGAGAGACCGTGCCGAAAATCCTTCTCCGTCTGGCCCTGGTGGCAGTTCTCACTGAAGATCCAATCGAAGGTCTTCACATGTGCTTTGACTACACTTGCCTCCCGGTCAAACATTTCTTTGTAAGCCAGAGTGTCGAGAATGAACTCATTGAGGAGACCAACTGGAGCATTCAAGGATTGCGAAGGTCTGTTGGACTTGAGCACTCTCACGTCTATGGCCAAGCTCTCTGGGAGAGAGCTGAAATTCCCCGTAGATGACTGCGACTCGCGCTGGCTCGAACGTCGAGCTTGAATCTCTTCATTGCTATTCGATTGTTGTTTTCGGGGTGCGTTATGCCTGAAGGACGAGAGAACTCGCTCATATTGAGTGAGGACACTGTTGGGAGCGAATAAGACTTAGAACATCTACGCGGGTGTATCGACTTACTCGGATGGGGGATTAATAGATTGGTGCTGACGTATTAGGCCAACCAGCCGTAAGGCAAAGGCTTCAATAACATCTTGAGTCCATATGTCACGAAGTCTAGGCCCAGGGTTATGGATCGTGTGAACAGACTCATCGGCGCGGTCAAGACGAATCAGAAGATTACGTCCCAGTTTCAGGCAAGTCTCAACCAGTGTTTTGTGTTTATCGGTTATAGCTGCTGCCGTATCTGGTAGCAACTGAATGGTATGGCGGAGGCCGATGGACAAGTCAGCAAGATCACATTCTCCTTTAAGCCGTCGTCGTTCATCCGTCTCATGGATCGCCCATGCCACCTGGCATATGGCACCAGATGCTGTCAGGAACTGACAGATGGCATCCATGGTACATGGAGGATTTGGGAGGCAAGAGTCGGCGGACTCGAAATGTGCTGTCTGGTCGATATACTATGCTATCGGATGACATAATCTTGCCTGAGCCCGCTCAACTCCGCGCTGGTTCGGCCCAGATCCTTTGCCCTTTATCCACTTTGAACTCCGAGGAGAACTGGAAAGATCCTCAACTCCGCCTAGCCCTCGCTGCACAAGACGTCATCATATGCGTATTCCAGTCCCTCTTGAAAGTAACTCTCAATGTATTCCAACGCTTCCAACCTATTCTTACATCTATCATTGCCTTTGAGCATATCTACGAGGTACGTAGCAGATTCTTGTAGTCCAATGATGACCTGAGAAATCGATCTCTCGAGCCCTTCGCTTACGCACAGCAAAATCCATTGGCAGAACAATACATTCCAAGACTTCCAACAGTTTGATTGGGTCAGACGCGTAACTCTTAATTCACATCTCATCAGAATACCGTCTCCAGCCCCTAAACAGTCAATGGAAAAGGTCACGCCCTCTACCGCTGGGAAATCTTTGTTATCCAAGGCCTCCCTTCCCACCAATGTTCGGCCGACTACCGAACTTGATGAGTGGATCGAAAGACTGAAAGAGTGTAAATCGCTTTCTGAAGACGAAGTAAGAAGACTATGCGATAAGGTAATAATCTCATCCTTGGAATATGTGGATAACAATTAATCACTCCATGACCCTTGCAGGCACAAGAGGTAGTGCGATCGGAAGCAAATGTCCAACCTGTCGTATGTATCCACCGCCCATTAATTATGTCTGACAATGGATAACGTGAATGAGTGAGCTGACAGGCGTGGCTATAGAAATGTCCTGTCACAGTATGTGGAGATATTCACGGCCAATTCCATGACTTGATAGAACTGTTTCTCATCGGTGGGCCATGCCCAGATACTAATTATCTGTTCATGGGTAAGCTTCTGCCTCTCCTCGCTCGTCTGGTATTATTGACCAAAGTGGCCAAGGTGATTATGTCGACCGTGGATACCACTCTGTAGAGACAGTGAGTCTTCTTGTGGCCCTCAAGATTCGCTTCCCCCAGCGGATCACCATTCTCCGGGGAAACCACGAATCGCGGCAAATTACTCAAGTTTACGGCTTTTACGATGAGTGCTTGAGGAAGTACGGGAGCGCCAATGTCTGGCAGTATTTCACCGATCTTTTCGACTATTTCCCAATTACTGCATTGGTGGAAAATCAAATATTTTGCCTCCACGGAGGTCTAAGTCCATCCATCGACACTCTTGATAATATTAGAGCACTGGACCGCGTACAAGAACCCCCTCACGAAGGTCCAATGTGCGATTTACTATGGAGTGACCCAGATGAAAGATCTGGATGGGGTATCTCGCCCCGTGGAGCGGGATACACGTTCGGAGCCGATATTTCAGAGTCATTTCTTAATAATAACAGCTTGAGTCTTATTGCACGAGCTCATCAAATGGTGATGGATGGTTATTTCTGGTCTCATCCTGAAAATGTCGTTACGGTTTTCTCTGGTATGTATCCGTCTGACATGAAAAGAAATTAGGAACCAAAATCAGCTTATCGAGTATATTTAGCACCTAATTACTGCTATCGTTGTGGAAACCAAGCTGCCATTATGGAAGTGGACGAGCATCTTGCATATAAATTGTAAGTCTGTGAATCTGAAAACACTTTCGCTGAGCTAACGATGCTCATCCAATCTTCAGCATCCAATTCGATCCAGCTCCCAGAAACGTCGAGCCCAAAGTAGGACGACGAATACCGGATTATTTCTTCTAGTTGGGAGAGCCAGCAGTGATCAGAAAGAATTAAATCTTGTCCTTCGCAAATACCAAAATGCAAACACTACTGGCAAATTGATAGTGCTCTCTAAATGCCGTATCTAGGCTTTGCAAACGTACGAGTCAATGCCTTCTACCGAAAAATCTACTAGGTGTCTCTCAGGGTTGATAGGAAAGCTGCTGGGTCGCATAGTCTGTCTTTTACTGAACCCTGGTAACTGAACCCTGGCAATGCGCTTCACAACACAGCGAAATGACTCAATCCTGCTCCCAGAGGCAGTCGTGGTCAAACCCTTGTCAATGACAGACTCTAAATGCTCAATAGCCCACCGAGAATCTAGTTGGCTTTGAAAGTTTGTATTCAATGTATAAGTGGCGGAGACTAAGATGATTCGTTACTCTGCAATGCCCGTGAGCCTCCAGTACTCTCAAGTGTGCTAGGAACCCAGGAGATGTCACTGACTTAATCTATTCACTAACCCCGGCGGCTCTATTCCTTTGTTCCGTTTCTTTTCTCCAGCGTGCAGCAAATCTCCATTGAAAGAAAGGGCCGATCAACGAGACGAACTGCACAGCAGCGCATATAGTGAATGTAGCTCCTGCCCCGACGCCATTGATCATAGGCATGACAAAACTCGTACCACCAGCAGCGAACAAGCATCAAGCAAGATGAATGCTGGCGCTAGCAGCTGCACTTCTTGAATAAAATATGTCCACAAGATATGTCTGCAAGAGCGGTGATTTCATCATGAGCTTCCGCGGTCGCCCGAAGGCCCGGAGTTGAGAAGACAGTTCCTGGCGGCATTGAACTGAACTCCGATGTCTATAGCCACCACAAAGGATTTCCTGTGGAATTTTGAACTCAGTACCCAGGTCATCAAACCCGCAACAAAAAGCCCATGTCGGAATTGAACGAAGATAAGAACCCTCCGCATCCTGTCAATTGAGCTTCAATCTACACTTACCCCAAGTCCAAGTCCAACTTTTCTCAAGACACCATGAGCTCTTCCGCGAACAGTGTTAACTTCGGCAAGAACTATGCTGTCCTCAATCTTGACTGGATGGCCCTTCTTCTGAACGCAGTTGAAGAGTCACCAGAAGGCCAATCGCTCATTGCCAATTACTCTCGATGGAATAATGCTGTCCACTAGAAGAGCAATCGGCCACTGACTGTTTTTACCACGTTGCAATTCAACCATGGACAGCCAGACCTGCGGCTCAAGACACCTTTTTCGAAACTCCTTGAACCATTTGGCACCTTTGAGACCGGTACCCCTGGTGTTGAGATCGACCCCCGCTTCACTGTTGATGAGAAGGATGTCGTACTTCGAAAGGCCAGATGGTCAGCCACTACCGGAAACAACTTGGAGCAAATTCTCAAAGCCCAGAGTATTGATACAGTTGTTATCGTAAGTGTTGAAGTGGCAATAGTTCATACCGCAACTGCATCTTTTACTGACTTTCCCTCCAGTCTGGATTGAGCTTGTCTGGTGTCGTCATGGCCACTGTCTACCGGTTGTTCGATCTGGATTTCAACATTTTCGTTATTTCAGATAATGTTCTGGAAGTTCCGCCCACCCAACACTCAGAGGTTTCTAAGATTACGCTGGAGACTCTTATGCCCAAGATGAACCTTCAAGTTATTACCCTTGATCAGGCATTGCAAGCTCTGAAGCAGTCTTAGTAGATAATAGATGTAACGAATATTACATTGACGTGTTTTATTTGTAGTTGCCTTAAAAAGTTATCTTCCACGTGCGTATAGCAACCGTTTATTCCATGAGAGCCTGTGACCGCTTTCATACGTTCCTTGATTCAAGGCTTGTACAAACAAGCTACAAAGTTTCTGGCTGGAGAGAAGGTTCATGAAAGTTTATCAATCTGGATAAATACACAGAGAAACCGTCCACCACACTAATCGCTGCTCGAAGGCTACCTACATACATGAATCATACTGTCTTTTCTTAGATGATGCTTTTCTCGGGTTCCAGCAATGAGCGTCTATATGGTGATGAATGAGAAGCTCTCTCGACTCTGGAGATTTAGTTGGCAAGCGGGATGCTTGCATTCGAATTTTGTCAATCCCATAACATGAGATTGAATATGTGCGTACCATTCGGAGCGATCTGTTAACATACTGAGTCATTCTTTTTGATGGGCCGAGATGTCTACTTCCAAGACAAAGGGACAAAGTCCTGCTTTAAGAGGAGCATTGCGAAACATTAGCGGATCACAGCGAAGAAGCGTATCTGGTCGCTGCAAATTCTCAAAGCAATGAAACTCCCATTCTCCCGGATCTGTGAACCAGGTATCACATTCAAAGCACACTTCCACAAACTGTAGCTTGCTATGGTGACGGTAGTGGGATTTGTTGCATCGATAAGGGTGAATTCCAAAAGGGACGATGTTGGGTGACGTTGTCAATTGTGTGAATGTGTGTGTGTGTGAATGCTAGTGAGTGAGGGTGTGTGATTCCATCACCCTCTATCTCAATCTCTATCTTTTAAAAAGTGGGCCACACTATATACCGGCAGAACACTCTCATAAAAGTCATAGTTGGTCATGAATGCTGATTGGCTGCAGATCATCTTATAGATATCGTTGATATAAAAAAAAAGATGATGGCAAGAACGAGGTTCGAACTCGTGCGACTTTCGTCATCAGGGATCAACGTAGTGACTTAAATCTGACGCCTTAACCACTCGGCCACCTTGCCGTTTGTAATAGGATCCACTTTATGCCTCTTTATATATACACTATTACTATTAATCATATCTTGATGTTCTGAAAGCGACAGGTATTGAGTCAAAGCTCGTCACTGCGATTAATCAGCTTGGAACAACGGGACAATGGAACAGAAATTCAACATTTGAACACCAAGTGTCTCCACTCGTGCTTGAATGAACGCAGACATGTCTCCACATTTTCACTTTGGTGAAGTCTCGAGTGAAGATACCGCGCAGCCAACTCTGAATCGTCGGCGGCTTCAATGAAATGCTTCAGAATGAGATGTTCAGTGGGAGTGAGATCCGCCGAAAAGATAACATTCAGGACAGAGGCGGAAGTGGCCATGGAACGAGAGTGCAGGTTGGACAGATAGACAGAGGATGCTCAGTCCCAGAGAATCAAGCGCAGATGAGATCGAAGCTGAAAGACCAGAAGCTGTCATTAGAAACAGCGCATTGACCGGGCGCGTTATCAAGAGGGAGGCAATTCCTTCTGTTCCGCAACTCATGAAAAGGGTGAAGTTACTCTCTCGTAGACGCGCGACACTTCAAGTGCCAGAACCCGTGACCGCCCCCTGGAAATAAATCCAGAGCACACAAACCTTTTCTTAGACAGTTCTACAAGTAGTGTTCTGTACTACTATGGCATTTACTTTTTCAACTCCTGATGTATGTGCCAGATTACTGTCATTAGACCAGGTCATCATCGTAGACACCATCTGTCCATATATACAGTACAGAAGAGCCATATGAACAGGTAGAAACATATGAAATGTAATTTCTCAAAAGAGTGGCGCGGACCGAAGCCCAAATATGGCTCGAAAAAGCCGTGTGTAAAGAGGAGGCCAAATCCAATCCTCTGAAATGGCCTCGAAGAAGTATCTGACAAAGGAGAGTGAAAAGATCGTAAAACGCTCAAAGGACCATCCCGGACATAGCAGCCCGGCTGTCCAACAAACAACAAAATCATCAAACAGATAGACATTAACAGACGTTCCCATCATAGACATCAGTCGTATCATAATCATAGCAGAAATGCCGCCCTCGGCTGAATCCAACCCACTCGCAAATGCAACAGAAGAATCAATGGCTAAACGCGGAAACACAAAATCCCAAGTACACAAAAGCCCAAATGCAATGTTCAGAGGTCAAAGTCAAAACCCGTTCCGTGGTACCGTGTTACTGGTGGTCAACAAGTTCAGAGTAGTCCAATCCGTACCTCCCCAGGAAGAGCAAGAATAAACAAGAAGAGAGTAAAGGTGGTCCGAAAAAGACCGAGATCGAAAGGTGAAATCCAAAGCAATATACACAGAAATGCAAAATGTTCTGATCGGTCCGTTAAATTCATTTCCTCGGCCCAGGTCCCGAAGAATAGAAGATCAAATGTACGCCGAAATGATCCGAAGAAGTGCGAAAAACATATAAAACACATCGCTAATTCGTCAGACGCAGTCATGAAAAGCTAGTCCGTTAAAGGTCATATATCCAGTCGAAGTAAATGGTAAGCTGTCTATGCATGCATATGGCTAATTCTGGCTTAAGTTGGTCAATAGTCGTGTATCGAAAGGCACAATGTGCAAGTAATCTGGTAAACGAACAGAAGACGGCAAAGGCGAACGAAGAAAGCAAAAGGGAGAATTCATAGACCGGTCAGGTTGTTTTCTTTGTTCGAAAAGAAAGGCTAGGCAGAATGGTTTTGCTCTGAACAAGGTGAGGATAAGTCGGACATGGGCAGTATACGGTTAGACCTCGATATCATCGGGTGAGGGTTCATTTTTTGAACCCATTCAGGCTTGACCGAAGCCCGATTCCTCTTCCTTGACGGGGGAAGCACCATAATCCTGGACCATGCGGCGGAAATCGCGGATCACTTTCTCGGGAACGCGATCCCACATCAGCGATCTCGAGTAGACATCCGAGGTAGATTTGCCGGGAATCTTGTTCCCGGGCGCACTACCGCGCATGGCAGCCAGCGCCTGCTGGAGGTTGGAGGGCTGCTGGGATTTGTAGTTGACATTGGTGTCCTCGTAGGTAGTCAAAGAATTGTACTGGTCCGCGTTCAGAGAGAAGACCTGTTCTTGCTCTTGCTCCTTCGTTGGCATCGCAAGCGCATTGTGAAGCTCATCCAGGTTGGAGTGAACGGTGCCGGCCGACATCTGAGCCATCTCCGCCCCGCTGATGGTGGTCGGGAGGGGAGCAGCCGACGACGAAGCGACGGCGGCCTGGCCCATGGGATGAGCGAGCTCGGGCGGGGAGGAAGACAGCACAGCCCGTAGAACGTTGGCCGACTCGGCCCGATACTCTTCCGACAACTGGGGAATCACGCGGGCAGACAACGAGTTGTTGTTGTTGGAGGCGATGAAGGCACCGAAGAGCAGGCACATGTAGAAAGCGTTCCAGCTGAACGGATAGTCGTTGGACTTCTCGGCGCTCCGGTCGTTCGTCGACACAAGAGAGGACGGCTGCCCGGTAGGAGCAGAGGTGACGGGGTCGGAGTCAAGAGACAAGCTGTTGACCATCGTAAAGTCTTCCCACGGGCTATTGCTCATGGTCAAATTCTCAAAGTCGGAGAACTCGTTCGCCAGGTTGGAGGGAGCAGGGGCGGTTCTGGCATGTCGCTCGAGCTTCTCCACGGTCTCCTTGAGAATGTTGTTCTTCTTGCGGAGCTCGGTGGTCTCCAACGTGTGTACCCGAATCATCTCATCCTTATCCATGTGCATGGTGTTGATGTATTGGGTGATCTCTTGCTGGGCGGCAATCCATTCGCTCTTCTCGCGAAGCAGCTCGGCTTCCCGCAGCCTCATGTTCTGCAGCTCTTCCTCAAGATCGTTGAGGGCCTGGGTGTATTGCTTCTTTTCCTCCTCTAGTTTCTCGGTGTGGAGCTTCTTCCGTTGACGAGAGTCCAGACTGTGAAAACGGGTTGTTAGTGAACTTGTTATCAGATAGCGGGGTGGGGACGTTGGCGGAGACACTTACGCAGCCTGACGGTTTCGCAACAGTCGCTTTTGTTGCTTCAACTCCTTGATCTCCTCCTCATTGCTGGACTGACTGATCAGCTGGTCGATGTTACTCAACGTGCGCTCTGCTGGTATTTCAAAGCGAGCGTTCTTCTTCCGGATACCATCCCGTCGGACGCTCAAGGGAGAGCTGTTCCGATAGGTAGGACTTTTCGTGGGACGAGAAGCGGCATCCGGCATGTCAGTCGAGGCCGGCATCCAGCCCTGGCTGGACTGCGGCGACATGGCGACGGCACCGGAAGCCGCGAAGGCCATGTTGGGACGGTATGACATGGAGGACAGATTGATGGCGCTCACGGGGCCAACGGCCCCGCCGGAGAAGGGCGCTGACGAGCCGTTGTCCATCTCTGAGGGGAAATGCTCGTACATGGCGGTCGGCGTACACGAACCCGAATCCTTGGAAAGCGACCAGGAGGCATGCTGGCCATATGCCGAGGCTGGGTGGGCGCCGTCTACCCGCATAAACGGGTTGGGAGCGGATTCAAAGAACTGATGGCCGACTTGGGAGTTGTGTCGGGACTGGTTGCTGGAGACTGATTGAGAAAATTCCGACCAGACGGAATCTCGATGCGTAAAGGCATCCGGCGCATGGTCATAGGAGGAACGCCGAGGGTCGGCCATGGAGGAAGAAAGTTCTGGTGATGTCGAATCCAAGATCTTATCATCCAATACACTCATCTCGTCCTCTTCAGGAAACGAGGGTTTTGCATCCAACGTCGAGGGGGATTGTTGGTAGAAGTCAAAAGACGGTTGAGAATATCTCGCCATGACTATGCCAGTGTGAAAATCGGATGAAAATAGAACAGGATAACAAAAAAGATTGATGGCCTTGATTGTAGAGTAAATCAAGAGGCGGTGTGTAAAATGGGTGTACGGAAAGTAAAAATCCCAGTCGGTGCGGGGTTTTGGGTGGTTGGTTATTGAAAGAGAGAAAAATCGAGGAAGAATCAGGTGTAACGGGAGGGAGGGAAAAGAAAGTAAATAGAATGGAGAAGAGTTGATAGGTATTGAAGAGAAGGGGGAAAATATGCAGGAAGAAGAGACTAGGTAAAGTCGGTCGTAGTAGTGGTAAAGTGGGAGAGGGAGGAGTAGAAGAATAATAAAAGGAGCAGGGGAGGAGAGGGGGGGAAGGAGAAGATCAGATGTGATGAAGAGGAAAATAAGGACGAGGTCTCTTGTGATCAAAGGAAAAGCCCTCTAGAGGAGAGTTTCCCGGGCAGTATAATCGATGGTGTTGATGATGGAGGGAGAAGGGCAAGTGACGAGGGAGGGGGAAGTCCATATATCTTAATTAGGAACCATGCGAGAGCGTCTCTTCCAGGTACCTCTTACTAGTAGCACTTGGGTTCTGATCAGAGCCGATCAACCAGAAGGTTAGAACGATCAAATAAAATCGATTAAAATTAAATAAACATTAAATCAAAAAGAAATTAGAATTAAGAGTAAATTAGAAGAGAAAATCAAAGAAAATCCACAGACCAAAAAATGAAAATGAAAATGGAAATAAAAATAAAAATAAAAATAAAAATCAAGAAATCAAATAAGAATAATCCCAATGATCATGATACTACGCCTACTACCGCCGACCATGGAAAGGCAGGAAAAATGGACAAAATCCAACCAAAATGACCATAAAAACCCCCCAAACGAAAGCCCATCGACCCTAAACTAACGCCGACCGTGAGGACCCAGTAGGCCGAGCGGACTAATCGCCAGGACGGCATCAACTCATCCAGCGGTCAGCGGAAAAGCCAAAAGGCGAGGCGACGATTTCTGAGGGTTCCCGAGATTAACGAACGGCGGTCATTGGATGCTTCGTTGGGCAGACGTGCGTCTGGCAGGGGAAACTTCCCTTTTGGCACCCGGCGAGCCCTGGGAATCGGGGATGAATAAGCATTGTGCTTTTGTCCTGGATGATTAATCTTCATCCTGTCAGACCACGAGCGATGCCATCATGTCGACATGTACTCCGT